AGAAGTCTAGCGAGCCTGTGAGTCTAGGCTGAGGCTGGTCGGTCGGTATTTTATACAGACCCCAGCCCTTCGGCCATTGGTAGCCAGGACCTGAGAACGTTCCCCCAATTAAGAGACGGCAAGCCAATTCGCTTGTGAGATTCTATTTCCGTCTGTATTTCTATTATTCTCAGGTCCCAGGGAGTTACGCCCCTGCCATGGTAGTAAAGAGTATTCTTGTCTGGTGAGACGGGGTTGAAATTAAACCCCGGCCAGACATTATTTTCCGCTCCGGTGACCCGTTTCGGTCACTGATTAGGGGCTTTATTTCATCTGGTGAGACAGGGTTGAGATTAAACCCTGGCCAGATAGTTTATTGGTTTTGTCCGGTGAGACGGGGTTGAAATTAAACCCCGGCTGGACGTGTTATTGCGAGCCCTGACCCGTTTCGGTCAGCGATTCTGGCTTCGCTTTGTCTGGTGAGACGGGGTGGGAATTATACCCCGGCCAGACTTATTATCTTCCGCCCCGGTGACCCGTTTCGGTCACTGATTCCGGGCTTTATTTTATCTGGTGAGACAGGGTTGAGATTAAACCCGGGCCAGATGTTTTATTGAGATTGTCCGGTGAGACGGGGTTGAAATTAAACCCCGGCTGGGCGTGTTATTGCGAGCCCTGATCCATTTCGGTCAGAGATTCTGGCGGCGCTTTGTCTGGTGATGTCTAGGGTTCCTGGTCACGGTCTTTGACCTGGTTCTGGGCGAGCTGTCTCTCTTTACATTTGGTTTCATCTCGCGGTCAATCTCAATGGCCTTGGTTGTTTTTATCCTGACCTTTCTCGGCTGTTTGGCACTGGCGGTAAACGGGCTCCGAGCCCAATCCGTTACCCTTGCAGAGGGGGAGACTGGGATAAGAAAAGCCGGGGGCTTGGTGTATTCAGTTGGGTTTATTGAGCTCCCACAGGGCTTTTTGTATCTGGCCTTTGCCAATTTTACGTTGCGAGAAAGGTCACGGATAAATCGACCAAGGTCGGCGCTATTTGGTGTCTTTGGCGCCATTGATTGCGCGCTGTTTTGAGGCTGCTACGGGTTTCGATTATATCGCCTGCCTTGCAGGCTGAGGAAGACTTCCGGTCCCGCATTACGTTGCCCACTGTGTTTTTTGCCTGGGACTTATAAATATTGCTTTCCCGCCTTCCAGGGCTCCGCGGCCTTTTCGATGGGGCGTGTTGTCCCCCAAATTCATCGCTGGGCCGCTTCGCTCCCTGCGGGTTCTTTGGGGTTGCTTCGGCGCGTGGCTCCTTCGGCGGTGGCGGGGTGCCCCATCGCGGGCGCTCATGCCCTTCCGGTGAAGACGGCTTCCCACTGGAAGCCTACGATCATCCAAAGGATGATCTATCTCTGGCTGATTCTGTATAAAATGAAGCGGCGAGGGACGAGCCCGCAGTTTTATTCTGCCGGCCAGCGTGGAGATAGGCCCAAACGGGCCACCTTGATAGGGTTGCCAGGCATGCGCCTGGCCGTCGTTCTGTTGGTTCTGCCCTTGCTGGGCTTTGTGCTATTCCTGGGGGTGGCTGCAAGTGCAGCCACACCTTCAGAAAAGGGCAGCAGGGAGATTTACCGTCGCAGCACCGTTGCTGCGGGTTTTTCTCTCCCACCCCTCCCACCCTGTGTAGTTTGTCTTTCGGCAGAGTGTCTCTCCTCTGCTGTGGCGAGTCTTGGTTGCTCCTTTCAGCAGTGGCTTTTCGGGACGATGTTTTTCCGGCCATTTAGAGCATGTTGCTTTATGTGGCACCTTGCCAGCAGCTTGTGCTGCAGGTCATTTCGAGTTTGCAGGCTGTCGCAGTGGTTTCCATCTCTGGCTTTATCACCTGGTAGCCTTGTGCGGGTCGCAGGTTGTTGTGCCTAGTCTCGTGCTTTTTGTCACAAGCGCACCGTAGTCGCCTTGCCGTGGCTGTCCATTCTAGGCCTCACCTGCTGAGGAAATCAGTTTTTTGCCAATATGCGCACCAGTTCAGCTTGCGGGCGACATTTGGTTTTGTGCCATCCGCCCCTGTGGGGTGGCGACGCTTTACGCCATCCCCCGTCCGGTTTGGGGGCGCAGTGAAGTGCCCGCTTTTCAGTTTAGATGTCTGCATTTTATCGCCACTGCGAGGTGTGGCGCCATGCAATGTCAGGAGCCTTTCTTGGGCGATGAGATGCCACGGGGCACAGTGATTGCGCCATTCGTCGCTGTAGTCGCGCCCATTAGCAGGCGCGCCTCCTTGCCGGGGTTTCACTTTTCTTGCGGGGAAACGCCTCGGGTTCGTCTTGAGCTACGTACCGGCTTGCGTTGGTTGGTGGAATGAGCACGCCGTAAGCGTGCCGGGAGCAGTGCTTGCGCTGTTCTCCCGCGGCACGCGCTTTTGCAGCTTCGGGGTGCGGTTCGTCGCTTGGTCGACCTGCGATTGAGGCTTGTTGGGGGTTCCTTTGCGATGGTGTTTCTGTGTTTATGGTGCCAACCCCCCCTCGTGCGGCTTTTGGTGCCGCTTTTCGGGTTCTCGCGCTTCAGTCGAGGGTCGACTGCGCTTCGCCCCGCTCTCCGGGCGCTGCTTCTTATCGGGAGCAGACGGTGTGCCATTCTACTAGCCTGGTCGGGCATAATAAAACTCGCGCGGGAGCGGGCCCGGGGCGCCAAATCTTGCACAGGAGCAGGCGAGGGGTTGCCACGCTTCACAAGTGAGCGCATTTTTGTCCTTCGCTGGCCCTGTGGATTGCAATTATGTGCCTACCTGGCCTCATCAATCCCAATTACTGGCCCCACATGCCTGAGAAATTACAATCGCGCGCGCCCTCAGCCCCATGGATTGCAATCCTGTGCGCAGCGGGCCCCGTGGATCGCAATCTTGCGCGCGGTGGCCCTGTGGATCACAATCCTGCGCGCGATGCGCCCTGTGGGTCGCGATCTTGCACGCTGCAGACCCCGTGGATCGCGATCCTGCGCGCCGCGTGTCCCGTGGATCGCGATCCTGTGCGCGTCGAGCCCCGCGGTCGCCGGTCCGTGCTCCGGGTCGCCTGTCCGCACCCGGGGTCGCCGGTCCGCGCCCGCGGTTGCCGGTCCGATCCCGCGGCCGGCGGCCCGCGCGGGAGGGGCCTAAAGGCGCCGAATCTCGCGCGGGAGGGGCCCAGGGGCGTCAAATCCCGCGCGAGAGCGGCCACCATCTGTCGAAGCTTGGGCTCAAGCGCGTCAAATCTCGCACCGGGGCGGCCCGGAGGCGTCAAATTTTGCGCACGGGCGGCCCCGGGATGTGAATTCTTGCGCGGGGGCTTCATAGGGGTATCAGACGTTGCGCGGGGGCCGCCTGGGGGCGTCAATCCTCGCGCGGCCGCGGCCCGGGGGCGCCGCAAGAGCGGCCGGAGGGCGTCAAGCCGCACGCGAGGACGGCCGGGGGCGGGGCGTCAAACCCCGCGCGGGGGCGCGCCAAACCTCGCGCAAGGACGGCCGGGGGGAGGCGCCAGACCTCGCGCGGGGATAGCAGGGGGACGCTAAATCTTGCGCGGGGACGTCTCCTTCGCCAGGGCGGCGGCCCGGGGGCGTCTCCTTCGCCAGGATTACTAACGGAGCAAGGGTAGAAGTAGAGCGCCCCTCGCCCTTCACCCGAGAAACCTGAGCGATCGTGGTCTCAAGTCATTTCAAGCCGGCCGACCGGATCCGCGAAATGACGGCCTGCGCTCTTATTTGTGCACTAGAATTAGATAAAAGAAAGCCGCCCGGCTCGCGTTGGGCAATCGCCTCGCAAGAAGTGCCTGCGATTTGTTTCGATCCGCACCACCAAGGAACGCTACGGGCCGCGGTTCCTCAGATAGTCGAGAGGCCCTCTCGGTTCGTTCGTGTCCTCGCAATAGTCTCCAAGAAGAAGAACAGTTTCAGAGTGCATTCGCGATAAGAATATTAGTGGAGATGTTTCGGAGCTGGTCTGGAGTGAGTGAGCTTCTTGATGGAGTCCCCCTTGGCAATCGAAGTTGAGTGCAAAACGTCTTTCGCACGTGGCAACCCTTCACGCAGTCGCTTTCAGACCGTAGTAGGAACTTTTTTTTTCTCGTTGCAAGAGCACTGTTATACTGATCCCCCGCAGCCCACACCATGATCGCTTTCCGCGCGGACCCGCTGGAGCTTCTCTTCGGGAACGAGAACAGAAATCACACCGCCGCTTCGAAGCGTAGTGAGAGTTTATTTGGGAACAACCGCGGCGGCGCTCCTTCCGATCAGGCGTTCTTTCGCCGGGCGCGGAGCAAGAGAAGCAGCGCAATCGGACAACGATCGCACCACGCGCAGCAAGGACCACTTACGGATGAGGAAAGCTGCTTGTCTGTCGAAGCCACCACCAATGCCGGGCCGACGGGATCCGACAAGCCACGAACGCGAATTTTTTCCAAGAGAAATCGCGAGTCGGTTGTCTATGTACTCGGGGACGCGGAACAAGAAGGAGAGGACAGCGCGGGCTACTTCGCTGCGGAAGACGGCGGTGAGAACGGAGTAGAATTCCGGATCAACAAGAACCGAGCATCCTCAAGCAGCAATTCCACCAGTTACCAATCTTCTGAGTCTCCGCGCACAGACATCCAGGTCCCCTCGGTACTATCTTCGGAAGACGATCGTCTGTGGAGTTTGGGCAACGGTTTCTCCGTGGTGAATGGCAACTCCGCGTTTTATTTTCCGACCAGCGGTAGCGTTCGCGGGCCGCGGCGCCGCCAAACTCCCGTTCGCGGATTCCTTCGCGCGCCGGAGCGTGTACTACTAGTTGAATCTTCCTCCTCCGACCGTGGAGACGGGAAAATGCAGATCTTCTCTGACAAAAGCCAAACGGATATGGTCTCCTCCGGCTCGGCAAAGGAAGCTGAGCAGAGATCAGCCCCGGTTTCGGTGTTGCCAAGATCCGCACAAGGCATCGTCGAGGGATCATGCGACGTGGACCTACTTTCATCTGCGCATCAAGAAAGCCTCAGCGAGCTCCGAGTGCCGGGGGCCGTTGCGGAACGTGGTCAGAGCACTAGCGGGTTCTTGGGAAACGACGAAAAAGCCGACAAAAGGCAACAACCCAAGTCGCGATCCTCCACGACAAGCACGACGGCGAGCGAGCAAGATGTAGACCGCAGCGTGGAAAATTTGCGAGGAGACGGGCCGCGGTTTGGTGCCACGTCAGGTATTATTAGCCCAGAGGTCGTCGTTCCAGGGGATTTCAAAACTACGGCAGGACCGACGACGACCTGTGCGTCCTGCCCGGACGAGGTGGACCTCCTTCCCGACCCGCTGTGGTTTCATATTTTTCTCTATCTCCCGGCGTCCGACTGGGTTTCGCTGTCGGCAACGAACGGCTTTTTTTACCAACTCGCGGTGACGGCGCAGGACCTGCTGGCGGCCCGGATCTCCCCGCTGCAGTTGGTGCCGAGTAGGAACAATATGGGACGAGCTGGAGGACCTGCGCCGGGTGAGCAGCATCCCTGGAGGGGTTGTGCAGCTGTGGAAGTAGATGCAAGCCTTGATGTTAATACGAGGACACCAGGCAAGAGTACTAACTTCGCACCGGAACAACTAAGTTTATACTCTTTGCAGCGACTGGCGCGGCTGGAAGAGTGCTACGTCTTCGACGTTTTCGACCAGGTCGGGGAACCCGACTCGCAGAGGAAAGTATCCGTGGACTTCCGTGGCGACGAGGCCATTCAAGGTGTGAAGGACTTGGTGGTAAAGCACGTCCAGCACTACACTAGCAGCAGCAGCGGCCGAGGACAGGATGCTGAAACACCAGCGTCGGAGGTCGCGGACGGGAAGATCGGCTCCGGGCTTTTTGCGGGCGCGGAAGGAGGTGCGCAGTTCTGCATCCAGAGATGGAACCAGTTTCGTGCCTGGTGCCAGACGGTCGAGTGGATCGACCGGCACGCGCTGCTGGGGAACACGGCGGCGAGCGCGGCCGGGAGAGGGATTGAGAGGCTCGTCGATAAAGTAGAGAACGAACAAACGCGGGGGCCCACAGAGGAGAAGCTGTCGGGGTGTGCGACGAAAATGACGTTCTTGCCGGCGTCGTCTTCCTCGTCTTCAACTGCATGCCTGCGTTCAGCCACCTCGAGACGTTCTGGTACTGTAAGCCCTACTTCCGCGGTCGGAGAAAGCCACGAGGGAACGAAGCACAGTCATCTCTCGTCTTCGGGACAAGAAAAAGCGTTTGTTTCACCGCAACATAAACAGAGACGCACCACCCGAGAAATGACTGCAGCTACCACAACTACCGAGGACGAAATTTTCCCGCTGCACCTCCCGCCCCAGCCGCGCACTTCGTTCCTCCGGCTGCCCCTCACCCCGCGGTGCGAGTACTTCCGCCGAGTCGGACTTCCGGCCGGGGTCCTTCCGGGGCGGATCAGCGTGCGGTTCCGGCTGCAGAATTTGTTCGCGGAGGAGCGGGAGGACGGCGACCGCGGGCTCCTTCCGGCCGAAGACCACCAGCGCGGGTTGTTCACCTGCGTGTGGCGGAGCGGGGGCGCGACGGAAGTCGGCAAACTGGAGTTCCGCAACAAGCATCGTCAAGTCTTCGCGAGCATCGGGCTCCGCCGCCCGTGGCTGAAGCGGTTCGCCAAACCACGGGGAAAGGGCAGTATCTGGGGACGAAAAGCCTTTGCTTTACCGCGACTGCCCTCGATGCCGTTTCGTACGATATTAACCCGGTGCAGTAATTCTTGTGCAACGGAGATGAAGAACCCCAACAATAAAGCAGCAACTGGTGCGGCCAGTACTATCGAAGCAGCGGCCGGGAATGGTGGAAGTAAGAATGACTCTTCCTCCGAGGGACGAGAACAACAAGAACCGGGTTATCATGATGAAGAAGCTGCTGGTACTGGTGCGCCGTCCTCGTGCGCAGACACGGATTCGTCCACCAGCGACGAGGAGCCAGACGTGACGGCGACGAAGCAGGCGTTTTTTCTGGACGTCAAGCAGTACGCGAACTTCCACTGCCGGGTGCCCGACGTGCGAAACCCCGCCGGCCCCTGGCAGGACCACTTCACAAATGACCTGCTGCTGGAGGGAACGGCCCAGCTGGAAATCACGGAGGCAGAGGAAAAGGATTGGATCGATGTGGATTTTATAAGATACGATGATTTTTACGGTGCTCCGTATTTTTCGGAAGATGATGATGATGCGCGTGGTTCTTATCATCCGACGTGTACAACTACTTCTACTTCCGCACGTGGTAGTTTGTCCAAGCCCGCGTTGCAGATCTGGTGCAATAAGATGCTGGTCGCTGGCGTCTCGACGAAAGAGGCGTTCAAAAAGGTGGAGAAGCGGTTGAAGAGCCGCGTCCACCACCGCTTGGAGACCGACCTAGAAACGGTGGAGTTGCGAGGCGGCGCCGCTCCAGACCCGCAGGGACAGCAAGCGAGCCGGGCGTGCAGCGTGAATTTTGACTTGCAACACATTTTGTATGCGAGAAAGTAGCTGCAGAGTAGCGAAAAACTTTTAGACGTTGTTTTACTAATGTAGACCAACCAAAATGAATAATATTGTCTTACAACTACCCGGTTGTGAAGATATTTTCGGTTTCGCTGTCTGTTTCTCAGTCATTCTCCTGGAGCTTCAAATTTCATGGAAGAGCCTTGATATTGAAAGACCTTGTCGGATTTCTCCTGTTTATTCTAGAGTCAATAGCAGATTTGCCTCGCCTCTTTTCCTTGTGGCGAACCATTCCAAGAAAACAGAACCTAGTTACTCACAACACTTCTCTGCGTGTAGTTCGCAGAACTTGAGCTTCGTTTTGTGTATACTTCTCCTACGTGACGTTGCAACCTTCGTCAAAAATCACAGAGCTTTTGCTTTAGAGGTTTGGTTTTGTTTATTTCAGGCGACGAAAAATAAATGTAGCAAAGGCAAATCAATGGAACTGATGTTTAAATTTTCTTCGTCGAATCCCCAAGAAGCTGAAGGTGATCAGGGTGCAAGCATCGCGCGGTACCGCCACTGCAGCTGGTTTGTTCTGCAGAATGGGGACTGCTGTTTCGGTGCGGCTACAGAAAAAAATGACTGCTGCACCGTGGAGGTCTCCGGGGGTGGGGATGCTTGTAAGTAGTTAGTCGGAAACTCCAAGTAAAAGTTTTGTGTTACGCATCTGATTCGATCACTCAAGATTCCGCTCTGTTTCGTCCCTCGGTCTAAATGCAAACATAACTCATGTCACGGCAACTAGTCGTCAATCTACTGCATTCTTTATTTTTGTTTAGAAGCCGTGCCGTATTGTGCCTTTTCATTCTAGTTTTTTTCACCTGCTGTTCCCCAAATAAAATTCGCTTCGAGCTTCGAGCAGTGCCGCTTTGAATCACAAAATACCCTTGAGCTACTCGTCATGGCCACGGGGTACTCCGAAGCTGACCTGAATTGACGAACAGCTTCCAGAGCTCCGAATCTGACCTGAATTGACGACAAAAAACAGCCGCAAAAATGGCCGACGCCTTCCGTCTTTTCCTGGAGTTTTGCTGTGCGAGCTTTCCGATTGTGCTGTTCTCCGCGCCCGTAACGGTGTTTTACGAGCAGAGATATGTCACGAAGCAGCCGAAGATCGACATGCCGCCCCTCCCGATTACCGGAATGATCATGCAGTGCGGGCTGTGGCTGCCGTTCTGCATTTTGAACGAGCTCCACGAGGGGACCATTCCGAACGTGTGGGGGGTCGTCGCCGGGGTCGCGTTTCTGGTGCTGTACAAGAAGAATTACAAGTATGAGAGTGCTGCACAACTCCCCCGCCTCTCCCTCATTTGTATAGCATGAACGGCAATACAAGCGTCAGCAAGAGTGCCGGCTTTGCATGATAGATTTGCACAGGAGTGTGCGACTGTTTGGGAAGATTCCGGAGTTTGTCATGCATAATTAATAGTGACAGGAGGGACAGTCTGGAGTTGGTGTTTTGCATTAGAAATGAGAACGAGGGGGAGCTGTGCACTGTCATAACAGGCCGGAGGTGTACGGGAAGGAACTGTACTGGCAGACCATCGGCATCTTGGCGATTATTGCGAGGAAAAATCCTTCCTCCCCGTATTGAAAAGGACGTTTTTGATGCTGGATTGGTGTACACAAATCGACTTGTATTGCTAAAAGGCCAAGGGACATTGCTGTGACCACCTGAATTGCAGGCAATTTGTCATCAAGGTGTTTCCCGCTTCCACTCGCCTCCTGTCATGCGGAAGATGCAAGGCTTTCCCACGCCAGCCAGCACTACAGTCTGTCTTTTGTTCTAGCATGGCAACGTGGTAGCAAATCATGCGACACAAATCACCGCTTTAGTATGGGGAGAGGGGATTTTTCATTTTGATAGCGATGATCTTTTCTTTACTCGTCGTCATGCTCCTCATCGCCGTCGACATTATGGATGACGAAGCGCAACAGGACCTGTTCGCAGCCACCGTCGGCTACATTGCCTGCTGCGTCTCCTGCGTGTTTCTCGCGCACCCGGTTATCGGGATGGTGCGGACCGTGTTGACGAAGAATGTGAACGTGATGGGCTCCTTCGCCATGAACCTGGTCGCGCTGCTCGCCGTATCAAATGCAAAAATGTCTGGGTCGGGGAGACTCCGAGATTTGTCATGCAGTTTTTCCAAGCTCCCTCACGTCTGGAATGCAGGGCCTAGCGTCACAGGTTCTGCAGCTCCTTGGTCATGCGTATTCTGGATGAGAAATGCACTCTCAGCATGGCCAGAAGTGGGCACCTTTTGCACGTTTATGCATCACAGATCTTATTTGTAGTATCCGAAACACGCATCACAAGTTCGGATCCTTCCAGACCCAGACATTTTTGCATTTGATACGCTGGCACAGTCTGGATCCTCAACGGGGCTTTGTTCGTACCCGACGAAGTGAAGGCGGTGATCATCACCCCCAACGCGTGCGCCGTCGTGTGCAACGTCGCGGCGTTTGTTGCCCGGTGGAAGCTGCGGAACGAAAAACCACTACCCGATTTATCAATTGCAAAAATGTCAGGGTCTGGGAAAATGCAAGATTTGTCATGCTTGTCTGGCATGACTGTTAATTCTGTGATGCTTAGGCGCAAAAAGATCTTCTTGCCTGTCATGCAAAAATGGAGCCTGCCATGCGGATTACGCAACACGCAGGAGCTCAAAAACTTGTCATGCGCGGTCACCGATTGCAGTGAGCTCATTGTTCACAGACTTGCATCACAAGTTTCTAGACCCAGACATTTTTGCATTTGATACGAATCTGTGTTCGACGAAAAGATTGCCGCGAGTGACAGTTTATCAACTGTAAAAATGTCTGGGTCTGGAAGAATCCAACTTGTCATGCTGATTTTGGATTCTAAAAAAATCTGTATTGCATGAGCAGCAAAGAGAGTCCAAGTTTTGCTACACGGACGGAGCATTTGTCATGCGGTATAGGCATCAGGAAGCCCTCACAAAATCTGTGATGCTAGGGCATGCATCACAGACATCAGGAGTCATGCAAAATGTGCATGACAAGCCTGGCAATCTTCCAGACCCAGACATTTTTACATTTGATACAGTTGGCTTTTGAAGTGTCTCTTCGGGAAGGGAAAGGAGCAGGACGAGATGGCCAGCAGCGTCGTCGTGCCAACGGGGGAAGGAAGTACTAGGACAAGCGGAGGAAATAAAGTCGACGCGGGAATAGATTGTACAGCAACGGCTGTCGATCTGGAAGAAGTGGCGGAACAAGGAGGTGGTAATTCTTCAGCGTTGGGTGGAACGACTGCTCTCACGACAGCCAAGGAGGACAAGTCTTCTTCTGCGACCTTGTCAACGACGGCGGAGTATGAATTGCAAAGGTATCGCACTAATAGAATTCTTGCAATACAAATTAGCTCAGCATGACAAATAGATTTTGTGATGCGGATTCAGCTCAAGAAAGAGATTTGTAATGCATCTAATGGAGCTCAAGAACGAACCAATTACTAGTACTACGAGTGCGATACTTTTGCAATTCATACGGAGCTCTACCAGCTATCCGCACCGGAGGAAGAATTGCAGGGAGGGGGCGACGAGGAGGCTTTGTAGGTGCTGCGGATTTGCAACTACAACTAGTACCTAGGGGAATCGACCAAAATAATTTTCATTGGAGAGCTGGAACTGGGTTGAAATCCATTATTTTCCAACTAACTTGCTGGTGGATCTTGTGGTGTGCACTGCTCGCACTTGTGCACTGTTCGCACCGCAGTTCATCAATACGAACGTACATAAAGCTTTGTTTCGATTATTCTTGTACAGACATTTGAATGAATATCACAACATAGACCGCTACTAACTTTATCATTTTTTATTTTCGCTCGCAGGGAGAGGCTGGGAATGCAGCACCACCGGCCGACGGGCGCGGCATATGTAATTTTCATCTGCTACATACTTTTTTGGTCAACATCATCTCCACAGAAACATTTTCCGCGCACAGAAAGCGCCGGCTTAGACCTCGATAGAACTTGTACAGAAAGGTTTGGAATTATTGAAAACCAAAAACATAAAAAAGCGTAGTTCCCCTTTTTGATGGATAATGGGACTACTTTTTCGTCGAGCTTTGTTCCCTCACTGCCCTGCAGCAGAAGGCATATTATTCGGACACCACAAGACGAGAGCGAGTTAAGACAATTCTACGCCTAGTGCTAGGTACTTACCAATACAGGCACAGAGAAGTCAAAACATCAAGCCTGGCCGAAACCAAAATCAAAGAAGATGCGGTAAAATCCCAAGTCACTTACTTCCGCGCGCGGCGCGCCTTGGCGCTGCTGGGTTGTCTTTGCCTCTGCCGAGTTTGTCAGAATGCGGCGCCACACGAGGAATTACCGAGGTCACTCGTCAAAGGCGGGGATTTTTACCGTTTTGGCCCTGTGGTCCAGCAACCTCGACTGCTGCTCTCCCGTCCATGCAGTGTCTCTCACCGTTGCAGGAAGAGACCACACTGCCAACTCTCTCGAGTCCGCGATCAAGACAGCAGAAAATTACCTGCAACAAAACTTCGCGTCCGACGAGTTTTTGCAGCGCTTACGTGGCACTGATGAACGGGGGACGAGATTACATGCAGCAGCAAATAGTGCTTCTAGCACCAATGCGGAACTCTACGTCGCAGCCGAGGACTTATCCGCATCGATCGACGCTTGGCGGAGGCTGGTGTTTGGAAGGGAAAACAGCAGTTCCGTTGGCAAGCAAAACAGAAGCGTGAACACCCCTGAAGATGACCCGCGTCAGCAACAAGTGTCGCTTCTGGAGAAGGTAGTTTCAAAAAGCGGGGATCATCAAGAAGCGCAGCAAGTAGTAAAAGGTCGCAAAAGCAAAGGCAGTGGTGTTGCAGCGGTAGGAACAACAACTTCTCCGGTGAAAAGAAAATCATCAAGCGGCCATAAAAAACAGCAAAACGAAGACGACAAGGAACAAAAGTCGGAAGGGCAGGCACACAAGTCGCACGGAGCTCCTGCAGTTGTATCAGGGTCTTCTGCACAGACGGGACAAAAAGGCAGCAGCGCTGTGCCAACTTCTTCACAGGAAGCAACCACGGTAATGAAGAAGGTTTCCTTCGGAACGGCCGCAACAGACTCCTCCGAGAAACAACGAGGCGCGCAGAAGAGCATGGAAATAAAGATGAAAACCTCGCCTCCAGTCACATCTTCCCCAGTTGCGAAAAAGAAGAAAACCATAATTTCCACCAAAGCTAGTCTAGCCGCGGACCTCTTGACGAAGAAACCCGCGCTGCCGGACGTGTTCCATCCGAAGAAAATGTCGGAGATGTTGGTGGAATATGCAATGCAAATATGTCTGGGTCTGGAAGAGTGCGATGCTTGTCATGCTGATTTTCCATTACCCCTGAGGTCTGGAGTGCAGGACTTAGCATGACAGATTCTGTCTCTGTGAGATCTCTATCATGCCTATCCTGCGTCAGAAACTGCGGCCCTCTCACCTTTGTCAAAATTGGGCAACTTTTGGTAATCATGCAGCACTGATTTTTCCATGATCCAGGCTCAGCATCACAAGTTGCAGCGTTCCAGACAGATTTGCATTTGATATGGAAACGGGGAAAAATAAATCACCCGCGCGAATGCAGCTCCGCGACCCGTTTTTGGACGACGGTGTAACAGCAACAGTATCTACTACTCCATCAGCTCCTGTTCTACTTTCGGGACCGAGCGCTGCGTCGGACCGGCATGGAGAATTCCAGTCTTCCGCGTCGTTGGTTGCGACAGTTTCGAACCAGGAGGCTCCTGCGGCCTCCGGTCCCAGCGACAAGAAAGTTGTCTCTTTTCCGAAAATCGATCCCAGCACAGATGTGATTCCGATTGACGGTCGTGTGAACACTAGCAACGGCGTAAACTACAAAAGCCCGGCTGTTGTTGAGAGCAGTAGTTCGGATCCTGAAAAGACGACCACAAGAACATCTTCCACGCCAGAACAAGCTGCAATAACTCCTACCAGTACTATCGTGCCAGCAACTACACTGCCCGCACCTCCACCGGCCGGCGTGGTTTTGCTGCAATCCAGCGCGGCACTGGTGAACAAGAAAGGAAGTTATTTCACTGGGGAGGTGCAGGAGAAGGACCAACACGGTAATATTTCTCAAGCGGACCACGAAGAACCCGACCTCACCGACATGCTCGGGTTGAGTTTTTTGCAGCTCAGCAAAATGTCGTTGTCCAGTGAAGAGTATGAAAGGCGAATACGTCTGGGTCTAGAAACTTGTGATGCTGGATTGGGAATGGTGGACACACTACACTACGCAGCCAAGCATGACAAGTTCTTGAGCTGCTATGTATTGCGAGTTCTGCATAGCAAACTGCGCTTTTGCATGACAGGCAAGCGGCTCTCCTCCTGCTCATGCATCACAGAGTTAGGAGTCATGCGAGACAAGCATGACAAACTTCCAGTCTTCCAGACGCAGACACATTTACAATGCATAAAGAGCAGACAAAGAACGAAAACGCGGAGACGAAAACGCTGATCCATCACGCAGCAGCATCGCTCTTAGAAGACGCGGGTCAGAAATTGAAAGCGGCCTGGTTGTTGAAGCTGAGCAAAAATGTTTCCCTCGCACCAAAAGTATTGAACAAGGTGGAAGTTTGTCATGCGGAACGAAGAACAACTGAACATTCCTCTACGAAAAGAACCGACCAAGCAGCAGTTTTCGACACCGCATTCGCACCGCTTTTGAAATCGATCGCGTCCTCTGCATCGGAAACATCGTCCCCAGGATATCCTGAGTAAAAACGTACCCACACCAGAGTTGTAATGCAGATTTGCAAAGACAGGAAGACTTGTAATGCGCATCCCCATGAAAGCCATTTCCAATCGTGTTTTGGAATTTGTGATGCTGTGAACAGGATGAGCAGATGAATCTGTGACGCGGCTGCACTTGCTAACCTGCACTGCACTGCAGAGCGCAACTTCTCATACTTGACTCACAACATCCCTAGGTTTGTGTTGCAAAATCCCCATCCTGACTCTGGTGTGGGTACGTTTTTACTCAGGATACAGGAGGTGCAGCAGCCGAAGAACAAATCGCGGTGGGGAAAATTTTGCTGCGCCAGATCCAACACTTCCGGAAACTCGTGGTCAAGGCGGCTGCGGAGAACCAGAAAAAATGCGTGGCGGAAGAGGCGTTCACCGTGCTACAAACGGTGGCGGGAATGGTCGGGAGGAAGTAGGGCGAAGCGGTGCCCTCGGCCGTCGTTCGTTTTGAAGTCTTCTTGACGCTGAAATTATTTTTTCCCATTTGGTCGTGTTGAAACTGAAAGTAAGTACACACTCGACGAGCAATCTACCAAAAGCGATCAGCATGTTCGTCTTGCAGCGCAACGTTGCAATAATTATCAGCCGCGCGGCCGTGGTCCGTGTTGGCAAATGTTCTGACACTACTTGCAATTTACATTTGGCACTACTCGCAATGTCCGTCTCCTGCGTGGCTTGCGTCGGTTCTTTGGAATGTCTTTTTTTTGTAACGAGAAGCGGTCGTATCGCTATCGGTTCTGTATCGTAGAACAGCAAAAGCTGTAAGTCGGTTGATACTAGCCATTCGTACAAAACTTTTTCGGAAAAATAACGAGGATTTTCGTTCAAGGAACCGACAACGACATCCGTAACATCGGATAGAGTCGTGGAACATCGTACAAAAGGGCACAGCGAACCATCGTACTACGTCGCGGTCGTGCAAAGAAGTAAGGATTTTTACAGACGATCGACCGCGTACATGTTCATCCGCTTGCCTTTGAATTCGAAATCCGCATGTGGACGACTCCCTTACTACCCAAATGTGATGTTGAACCCCATTTGATGTTCGGACCGTGACCATTTTCACTTTTTCCACTCGATTCCACCTTGTACTTGATTGTGCTGTGAAACTCAACCTAGGCAAACGAATCGGAAAAGTTTTTTCCAAAACCAACCCCCAAACTCGCAAAATGGCGAAGATGATGAAGATGATGAAGGCCGCCGAGCCGGCCCCGGCCATGAAGAAGATGATGAAGATGTCCATGAAGATGAAGATGATGTCCATGAAGAAGAAGTAAGTGGGTTTTATTTACAACCCGCTGCGGACGACACTCTTCAGTATGACGCCATTCTAGAGTGAGACGTCGGAGAAGCTAGCGCTCCTGGTTGTGGTGTGAATCCACAGCGGTTGAGCTGAAGCTAGCGATTGTAATACAGTAATCGTCTCAACTATTGAAAGAAAAAAGTTCGTCACGATCACTAAGGCGCATTTTTGCAATACAAAATTTTCTGTCATGCGTAACAATGCATCACAGCCAAACTTTACAAGGGATTTCCCTAGTGTTTCTGCAATACAAGGAAAAGCTGTGAAGATGCTAAATGAATTTGTAATGCAAAGCCTGCAAGTTAGTGACTGTGGCAAACTTTTTTCTCTCCATATCAACACGGCAAGAGAAGACACAGAATTCGAATCGCTGTAGCATCTACAAGATTTGAAACTCAGTTTTTTTTGCCCTCGAAGAGATTACGCTTTACATAAGAAAAAAAAAGAATGCTTTTTGCCTGCTCAGGCACAGTTGGTGCCGGATTTCGGTTGCGAGAGGTTTAGCGTCCTCTGTGTTCTGGAAGTTCGTGTTACGCATATACTCTTGCGAATTGCAGCCCTCTCTGCCACCCACAAACGTCGATCTTCTATGTCGCATGTGAGGAGAGGTCGCATGTGATGTGATTACACTGATGTGAGTTGAAAAAGATGTAACGCTGTCGCTGTCCTTGTCCCTCCTCTCGTGTTTCCTACCTGCTGCCGCTGCTGCTGTCCTTGCTGTACTTTTCCGATTTTAGCCTACGCGACCGATGCAGACCATGTCCATGATGAAGACCATTACCATCCGAGTATTTCACACAGCCGCAGACAAGACCGGGAGAACACGTCTAGCCTGGGGCCGAGTACAGGGCGGCGGCGAAGATGAGTCATTCGGGGACGTCTTCGTCCACAGCTTCGACGTCCTCGGAAAAGGGTGTGACTGGAGCGGATGCGGTACTACGCCCATGATAGAAGGCACGGTTAAGGAGACGGAGCGCGCTGGAAGGTACCGGCTCACTGCGGGCAAGATGATTCGCGACTCGTCTAGTGCAGGCGAAGCTGAAGCGGAGCCCATCGCCGAAAAAGTGAAGACCCTAGAGAGGAACATCGACGAAGTGCGGCAGTTCAATGCCGCCTGCCATGCGGAGTGGGCGAAGAACGCCTCGACTCTGTTCAAGATGACATCGAAGTGTCATGCAGAGAAAATTTTGTCATGCAGAGCTCCCAAAACTTGGAGACTTGTGTTGCTAGATTCCCAACTTGACTATGGGAGGGGGATGTTTTTGTTTAGGATAGAGGTTTTCTGTGTTCTGGAAGTTCGTGTTACGCATATACTCTTGCAGAGCAAAGAACAGTTTTTCTGCTTTTTGTCGGAGAGGAGAACGGTACTTTCGTACTCGCACGTCCTACCTCTGTAGTAACCTGTGTTTCTTTTTGAGGTTTTTACAGTATCGCCCAACCAGCTCTTTGAGTGGTGGAAATGCCAAGTGCAATCTTTATATCCGCGGGCCGCGTGACGTTTCATTCTAGTCCACTTGGGCGGCCACTACTAACTTCTAGATCCAAAAGGCAAGGGCCGCAGTGTTTTGGTAGGCGTTTATTCCGCAGTGCAATTTTCAAAGATGTTTTGGTAGTCGGTGGGGGCCACGCGGGTAGTAGCGGTTTAATATTTATATTTTCGCCAAATCGAAACAAAAGTTGAAAAGCCATGACCCCAACCAACGTTGTTCTCTCCGACCACATCCGCTCCCTCGCGGACGTGAGGCGGGAGGCGAAAATATCAACTGTAAAAATGTCTGGGTCTGGAAGATTCTGACACTTGTCATGCACGTTTTGCACGAGCCATGATGTCTGTGATGCATACCCTAGCAATGCAGATTTTCTGAGGGCTTCTTGATGCCTATTCCGCATGACAAATGCCTTCTCAGTGCAGCGAAAATTGCATTCCCTTTGGTACTCATGCAATACAGATTTTTTTTGGATTCCAAATGCAGCATCACAGGTTGCATTCTTCCAGACCCAGACATTTTTACATTTGATAGAAAAAGGCTTCCGGCGCGGTCTTCTGCTGGTGGGAGGAAGCGGACCGGGCGCAGCGATGGAAGAAGACGGGTGCTGCAACGGCGGAGCAGAAGAGCAGCGCCCGTACCAGTCGCTCGCGGGCGGTGGAAAAACAACACGCACGTCGTCGGGACCCATCTTCTAGTATGGGTTCCAGGTGGAGATCGAAGGGACAGGGAGCGACCGCTCACGGTAGTACAACTACAGAGCCGCGGCCGAATAATGCAACACTTGCAGAACAAGGACCAGCGGCCACAAGGAGTGCTGCGTTTTCTCATCTAGAAGTCGAGCAAAGCGTGTTAACTGCAGGATCGTCGCACGACGAAAGCTCGGCGTCTTATGCATTGCAAATATGTGAAGGTCTGGGTGTGCTGGAAGAAGTAGATTGCATGGCTTGTCATGCATAGTTTACTTGGCATGGACAAAAGGGTCGTTTAGACTACGGGTTTTAGTATCTTCACAAGTGTCTTAAGAAGGCTCGTCGCTGCCTAGCCTACACGAGACCTTTCGCTCTCGTACGATGACAATAAAAAGTGGGCGCGTGCAGCTCCTTATTTTGCTGGTCATGCAATACAGCTCTCTATTGTCGAGCTGATCTAGCATCACAGACCCAGCAGACATTTTTGCACCGGATACGTCTCTGAACGAAGCAATCCAGGAGCTGATCAGAAATGAGGAGCACAACGAGTCGGAACTTGTCATGCAGACCGAGGAAGAAGATAAACATAAACCTACTCATCTACCAAACAACATCTTCCTCGATGGCAATTGCAATACAAGTTCAACATCTTTCGCTCTCGTGGACCACGCTGGACAGCAAGACTTTTCCTCCTCGTACCAAATCGACAGCGCTCTGAACGAGTCCAGGATCGATTTTGCGCTGTTGAAAAAGACGATTGCCGAGGAGCGGGAGCGAAAGACGAAGTGTGGCGCGGCCAGTCAGGTACTAGTCCGACTTCCGGCGGACGGTGAAGAAAATCAGCGGGCCAGCACAAAGATGCCATCAGCTGCAACTACTTCGTCTAGTACAACGGCGGGTCGTGTAGCGGATGCAGCGACTGATGGTGGTACTGGCTTCAACGACGCCAGTGAAAACATGGAAAGCTTATTTCCAAAAAAGTTCATCTCGTCCGCGGTTGTTCACAGCACGGCGTTTGAACATGTTGGCTCGGGACCGCAGGAGCTCCGTGCGGAGGAAGGCAGACGGACAGGAAGAGAGGCTGCGCCTGTGCTGGTCCAGGGTATTCAGAAGAACATCAACGCAGTAGAACAACAAGGAGTGAAGATGAGAAGCGCGAATGCTTTATCGACTTCATCGTCGTCTTCGCAAGTGGCCAAAACAAGCGGCGAGACCTCCACCACGACGACAGGCGCGCTGAACAAAGTGTCTGCAACGAAATTGTCCCGGCGCAGAAGCAGTAGCTCTGCGGAGGAGCAGATAAATGCGACCCCATCTCCTGCAGCTTATTCGCAGCGCGGAATGCCACAACATGCGGCAAAGAATGCACAACAAATAACTTCTACACAGGGACAGGACTCTAGACCCGCCACTCTGAAAAACGAGACGGATCGGCAGCAGATTCTGGATATCCTGTGCAAAAGTATCGTACTCGTATTGCAGTCATGCATTAGCATTACAAATCTTTTTCTTGAGGTAAATCAGCACTACAAATTTTTTTTCTCATGCTGAGGAAATTTGTAATGCATTTATATACACGAGTACGATACTTTTGCAATTCATACTGGACACCCTCGGCGCTCTGAACTGGTCGGAAAAGCAGGCTGGCGCATCTGCCGGCACGACGAAAAGAGATCTAGTTCATCTTCCCGAGGAAAGTAAAAACAACAAAAAATTTTACAACCCCAACAACTACGACGCGGTCGTTGATCATTATAACCCGCTCAGGTGTTACAATCTCAAACGTTACAACAGAGTCTGAGATTTGTCTTGCATCATGGGCATGATCTAGCCAACTCTCATGGGGTTGCGCATGACAAGTTCCGGAGCTCCAAACCCCACTACAATCTGGGAAAATTTGTATTGCAAAAGGTGGAACGCTGTGCGAGTCTGTCATGCCCATCATGCAAGACAAACTCCAGACTCTATTGTAACGTTTGAGATTGTAACGTTTGAGCAAGTCATAATCATGATGACAGTTTTCTCAACCTGTCCCCCGCACGGCCGGCGATGAGGACGAACGGAGGGCGGCTTGTAGTACAGCATGATCGCCAGATGAATAACGGCACCTGGTTATCCTATGTAAAAATGTCCCCACACCATAGTCAATATGGGAAGTCTGCAACACAAATCCCCAAGTTTTTGGGGTTCTGCATGACAAAAGTTTCCATCTGCAGTGTAGTACTGGCTGGCAAGGAAAGCCGCACGACAAAGCCATTTTCTCGTCCTGTTTACAGCATTACAAATTCCAAAAGACGACTGGAAATGCCTCTCATGGAAGAGCGCATTACAAATCTTCCTGGCATTGCGCATTTGCATGACAACGGTGGGGTGGGGACGTTTTTACACAGGATACTGGTCCCCTCGCTACGAGGAAACGCCGACTTTGAAGCAACAGTGGGTTTTACCAGCGTATGAACAGCAGATACCGGCGGAACTAGTTTCATCCAGCGAGAGTCGTAACAGCATGTTGAACCATGACTGTCGTTGGCCGCAGGTTGGTCGGGCGAATGTGGATACTAAACAAGAAGTAGTCTCTCGTCATCTCGACGCTGGCCAACGGCGCGTTGCTGTCCAGGAGCAAGAGGAGGCGGAGGTAGACAAGGAGCGGCGGTTTCTTGGTCGGAATTTTGACGGTGTTGATAACTCCTATCAACAAGAAGAAGTGCTGCACTACGATAAGAAGAAGAGCCACTTCTTCCCTGCGGGGTGTAACAAAGGTGCGGCGGATCATCATGATGATGTTGATTCTCACCTTGGTCTACTCCCTGAAGATGTAGGTGGCTGCAATCTTGAAGATGTTCCACCCACCTGGCCCTCGTCCACCTCCGTAGTCTACTTCCGGAAGCATCGGCCCCAGCCGAAAATCGCGAATTTCCTGGCGACCAGTTTCGATTATGAGAATCTGCAGGGAGGTGGAGGAGATGCGGTTTTTGCGGGTAGTACTTCTAGGTTCTTGCCGGAAGAAGATATTAAAGATGAAATGTACAGGGGTCGTCCTGCCGGACCTCCGGGCTTCGACAACTACTACAGCGGACATGATCACGACGTGAACAAAAACAGGGTCGCAATTATGACCAGGGAAGTCGACCGGGGAGGGAGTTACAGTCAAGCAAATGAAGACCCTTTCACCTATGATTACCGTGAGGACCACATTAATGCAACGGAAATTATAGGAACTACTCGATCATCCCAAAAACTATCGCACTTTCACGATATTTTAGAGCGGCACGGGAGGCATAAGTAATCTATCACTGAGAAGCTGCACTGTCTCGGTAGTACTTAGTTCCGTATATGCAAACCACGCTAGTAGGGAAGATTTGACTTTGAACGGTTTTGGAAAAATTACGCGAATAAACAGTTCTTGCTTTTTCTTCTAGCCTTTCTGGAGACAGCTGGAGTTGCGCTGATCATGATGAAATTCTTCTAGCGGGGGCGGTTCTTGCAATTGATTTTTGAAGTTTGTGAGATGGTGTTCGCATTCGCAACAGAAAGTTCTAGTGCTCTTATGACAAAACAGACACACTGTGATCTCCTGTGATACTTCCTCCGTGAAGACAGCCATCCCTTCGGTAATATCAAAGTGGACCGGTTTATTTCTGTGGTCTTTCTGTTTCAGAGAATCTAATCTTTAGTCGCTACGACCTTAGTACTTATCACATCTGATTTTTCGGGTTTTCATTGGTGATAACCGCCCATAGAAAAAGGAGAAGATGACTACGCGCGCCGGCAAACTTGGTTCTTGTTCTGCGGTCCTCTTCCTACTCAGTGCCGCGACTGCGGTTCTGGGTCAGGGCGCCCCCGACTTTCAGACGGTTCTCGGCGGATTTTACACCGATCCCAACCACTACAAACCGGGCACGCTGTATGATGCAAGAAGAAAAACTGTGTCAGTGTAGATTTGTGTTGCAGATTACTCGAAAAACCGTAATTAGCGGCTAAGTTGGTACGGCCCACAGAACAAGAGCAAGCGAATGAAACTTTTTCCGCACGACTGCTAGCTCCTGCATTCTCCGACTTCCCGAGCTAAGTGCTGCAGGATTTCTCTCCTTCTGCTTTTTCCCTGGGGAAAAAACCGCGCGCGTCCGTACTTGAGATTTTGCGTTTTATTCACTCGATGACGATGATGCGCAAATGCAAAAACTGTGAGGCATAAGTTCCCTAATGGCGCGTGCCATTAGGGAACTTATGTTTTTGCATTTTCGAAAAACATAAGTTCCCTATTGGCACGTGCAACTAGGGAACTTATGGCTCGAGATTTTGGGTTTTTCTTTTTTTTCACTCCATCCTGCGAAAAGAAAACGCAAAAACTCTGAGGCATAAGTTCCCCAATGGCACGTGCCATTAGGGAACTTATGTTTTTGCATTTTCGAAAAACATAAGTTCCCTATTGGCACGTGCAACTAGGGAACTTATGGCTCGAGATTTTGGGTTTTTTTCACTCGATGATGCGCAAGTGGAAATGCAAAAACTCTGAAGCATAAGTTCCCTAATGGCGCGGGCCTTTAGGGAGCTTATGTTTTTGCATTTTCGAAAAGCATAGAAATAGATATCCTATTTGAGTGCGTAAATAGGAAGCTAGTCCTTTGATGAAGCTTTGGTTTTTTTCCGCAAAGGGAGCGCTTTGAAGCTTTGGCTTTTTTCCGCAAGAATAGAAAGGGAGCGCCTCGCCCTGGTGCAAGGGTTTTCATTTCTGCTCGTGTCATGGGGACCACGCACGGCGCGACGCAATAGCTTTCTTGTTTTGTGGCTCGGAAAGAGTTACCACTTTAGCCGCTTATTACGGTATGCCGAGTATGCGAGAGACGCTTACATTTGTCATGCTGGATAAGTAGTATGTGTTGCCACACGCTGTTTTTTTTGCATAGGTGCAGCTTTGCAGCCCCGTGCTTCCTACGCATGACAAGTTTTTTCTCTCCATACGCTGGAAGGTATCCGGTTGATGGGCTTTCCCGCCACGCCCGGTTCTAGCGAATTCGCCTTCACGGGGTCCGACGACTATCCAATGTAAAACGTCCCTACGAGGACCCCGGAGTTGTCATGCAGATTTGCAATTACAGGAACAGTTGTTATGCGCATCCCCATGAGCAGAGGCATTTCCAGTCGTGTTTCGGCACTTGGAATGCTCCAAATAGAATGAGGAAATGTGATTGTGATGCGGCTGTCCTTGATGAACTGCACTTCTGCAGTACATAGTACAGAGAAGAACTTGTTGAATCATGCGTGACTCGTCCCAAAACTTCTTCTGGACTTGTGTTGCCAAGTTAGTACGTAGTCTCCAACATCTTGACTATGGGGTCCTCGTGGGGACGTTTTATTTACACAGGATAACGACGGGGCGAAATTTTGGAAGGCGAGCGGCAAGATTTTGGACATATCAACTGTAAAAATGTCTGGGTCTGGAAGAATGTATGTTTGTCATGCTTGTCTGGCATGACTGTATAAATCTGTCATGCACGTTACCCAAGAGCTCTATTTTTCTGTGATGCAGAAACGCAGTTTGTCATGCAGAATAGGCAACACCTAGAAGCTCAGAAACTTGTCATGCTGAGCCAGCACTTGTGGCCTCATCATGAGACGCCACCCAGCATCACAAGTTTCCAGACCCAGACATTTTTACATTTGGTAGGACAGCGCGGAGTGGGAAACGAAGAAGCTGGTCATATCAACTGAAAATATGTCTGGTTCGGGAAGATTGCCAGGTTTGTCATGCAGGTTTCGGATCATGCCCCAGAAGGTCTGGAATACGGGTCTAGCATCACAAATCTACTTGAGAAGGCTTCTGAATGCCTAATCCGCATGACAGATTCCCTGTTTCGGTCACAAGAAATGGGCAACCTTTGCTGTCCATGCATGAAAGATTTTCGTGTGATGTGAAATGCGCATCACAAGTTTGCATCTTTTCAAACCCAGACATAATTTTGCAATGCATAGGTCAAACTGCAAACGAACTTCCATGAGAAGGGCGCGCCGGCCGATTATCACACAGAAAAAAGCAGGCAGGGCATATTTGTTTTGCGAAATTGAAATTATAGCAGAAAAATTTGTCATGGGCGAGCTTGTAGCGTGCGGTTTATGATATGCAATACAGATTTTTTTGCTTTTTAATTTTTGAATTACAAATCTGACCTGCCTTTTTTTTTCTGTGGGATACCGATTTTGCAGAGTTCAAGGGAACGTTTGACGGGGTCACCTATCAAAAGCAAAAATCCCCCCTCCCCATATCACAACGGAAATCTGTGATGCGGGACTTGTGTACACAAATCACATCTGTCTTGCAGTGAGGCACTGCAGGCAAAGCCCAAGCCTGTGCAGGGGTGCTTTGGCGTAGGTGCTTAGCATAGCAGAGGCCTTCCATGTATCCGTAACAGCATTGCGAATCGCCTGTATAAGTCGGCGGATTCTTTTGATCTACCCCCTTGCAAGAGAGACAGGGTTTGCGGTCACAAATCAGCATGACAACTTTTTAGGAGCATACATTTTCAGTATGGGGAGGGGGGATTTTTCCTCACAATATCACCGGAAGAATCACCTGGCAGGACGGCAATGCCTGGGTCCGGCAGAAGGAAGTGAGTTTGGACTTCGCGGGAGGGAGCAGTGGCGCGGGCTCGAGTACGGATGCTACTGCTGCTGCTGCTGCTGCAACTTTGGCTGAAAAGAAACAACATGACTCGATTGACAGTGTTGAGCAGAACTTTATCGCGAAAGAAAACGACAACTTGTAATGCAAGACAAAGAACTAGAACCCGATCAACAGCACGGAAAAGATACAAGGAGAACAACAGTATTAGTAATTACGACCGAAGACAATGTCTCTAGCGAGCGCGCTTCTCTACCCATCTCAGCGTGCTTTTCTTTGATTCGTACTCGAGCAGGACCCTAAACCTCATGCACGCCTTCCCAGTGCAGGATAGATGATGATGATGATGATACGAATCGTCGCGACGTACGACCATGAAGAATTGAATCTTCTTCCGACGCATATCATCTACATCAGGTCCGTTTCCCGAGGGCATGTTGGTGGGCGTTTGCTTAGCGTTGATTGTTGCCGGGTTTTTGTACTGGCGGCTGGAGAGGGGAAACAAGGCGCTGGATTAGAATTATGGTGCTCAATCAAAGATACTCACAACCGCGAATGAGCAGTCGTTTTATATCAGAGTGAAAATTACGATGCTGGTGTAGGAGCAATAATCGTATCCACTTCTGAGTCTCGCAGATTGATGCAGGTAGGGTATGTCGCGTAGCTCTCATCTGACCACGCAGTCGCTGTTTTGTTCATCGGAGATCATTTTCATCGATGCGCAGCACCCACTCTACACAGTTTCGGTTGCACAGCTGCGTGCTGCCATCGCAGTTATTATGTACTTTTCAATATCGGTTTGCCTTTGCCTTGCCAATTAAAAATATAAACCCTTCGTACAACTTGCTCGAATCGGCTTTCGGTCTTGCTCCCCGTCGCAGCTGCACTCGGTAGTTTCAAATACACAATCGTTGACAAAGTTGGAAAGCACGCCGTTGCATTTTTTCGTACTTTCACCACGTTTGAAAAAAGCGGCGATTCGTAAAAGGGTGTAACTAAGATCGTTTGATGAACCCTCGTGCAAACATTGAGAAAAATCGTTAGAGTCATCAAAAACGTCGAACCTGAAGGAAGAACCAATCGCATGAAAATTTTCTTTTCTATACGCTCGTCCCGCGCACCAAACTGAACCTCGCATGGTCCCCCCCTTTTGCTCTACTCGATGCTTTGACCCCGATCCATTTTCTCCACCTTGTTCCACGACCCTTGCTGACCACATTGAATTCATCTTTTGTTTCGCAAAACTATATCCGAATCTAGGCACAACAAAAAATCGGAAAAGTTTTTTCCAAAACAAACCCCCGAACTCCCAAAATGGCGAAGATGATGAAGATGATGAAGGCCGCCGAGCCGGCCCCGGCCATGAAGAAGATGATGAAGATGTCCATGAAGATGAAGATGATGTCCATGAAGAAGAAGTAAGTGGCCAACGGACGGGCTGCTCGCTTTTCTGGACGAAATGACATCAATCTAAAATATGTCATCAACATCTAGCGCTCCCGGTTGTAGTGTAAGTCTGCAGCGGTCGAGCGAATGCTAGAATGAAAACTTTTCCAATGGCACGACATTGACTCATTTATGTAGGCACGCTACAGAATGACGTTGTTGCAAGTGACCTGAAGAAAAGAACAAGAAAACTACTACGTCAGCACAGTGCTGTGTCAGCGCGCGGCAGCGTTGTAGTCCTGTGGAAGAACAACGACTCAGAGACTGGTGACAAACAAGCTCCTTGCCGCATTTTGTTCGTTTTGTTTCTTCAAGGAGGATCCCAAATTGAAATTTCATATCAGCGTGATTTTACTAGTAGCTGCGCGTCGGCGGCATCAGGTCTATAGCTGTTTCTTTTTTGGTCGAAGGATGGAAGATCTGCAACACTGCACACCGTTCAGAATCGATTCGTGCCGTTTGAGGCGAGCTCAAAAGGAGAAATTTTTACACACTGTGCGAAAAAAAATATCGCAATAAATGGTTCTTATTTTCGTAAATTCATTCGCGAATGTCGGACCGGGCTTTGGAGTGCAAACGCTTGTATGGCAGGCTTTGGAGTGCAAACGCTTGTATGGCAAAACATTTTCTGGTTGTATGCTTCAAGACTATAAGTAGATATTAGTACAAGATCTCACTAGGGCTCGCGGCGCTTTTCGGTTTGATCTCCGGCTTCGCTGGTTCCACCATCAAGTTCCTGTTGCCCTCATTTGTATCCGGCGGCGGCACAACCGCAAGAGCCTCAACATCTCCGTCGGGGGCGGATGAACAACAAGCCGGAAAAATTCCTACTCCAGCTAGCACTTCTGTGGCAGGACGACACGACCAAAAGGGGCAGGACGCGTTCCCGTTTTCCACCGAAGCCGCTGGGGAGACGACGACCGAAGTGAGAAGCCAAGCAAGTTCCTCCGCCACCACAGTCGGGGGTGCTGGAGGTTGTACAACTGCAGCTGGTGCTTCTCCGTCGTGCCCTGCTGAACAACACACGCCGGATCATCTTGTTCATGTTGACACGGAGAAGTCACCCTGCCCTCGGAACAACGGCCGAGATGATGATGCTGATGCGGCAGTGGTGACCCCACGACTGTTCTTCTCGCGCACGGCCGAGGACCACAGCGAGGACGAGTGTGCAGCAAGCCACAGTGCTGACGAGCAGGAAAGAGGATATCATAATGGCAGTTTAGTTACAACTTCCTCTACACGACCACCGCTGCCCCCACCGCCACCGTACGAATATGTCCAGGCTGCTGGCAGAACAAACCCAGGCTCCGGTGGAGCCGGGGCCGCGGGTGCTGGTACTAATACTACCGTAGAACTGCGACATCAAGGCGGTGGGCAAACACGCCCGGCCAGCAGCCACAGCGGCATTCAACACGACCGCGCAACGACCCAGCTGCCACGAACATCGACCTCGCCGAAGCAAAAACCGTCTGCAGCGCCGGCGCGGAACGACGGCCAGCTGGTGCACGACCACCCGGGCAGCACTTGTTCTGCGCACGGTCGTGCAGGCGCTCGACCTCCAAAGGGGAGAACAGGAGTAGGTGGAGGCGGAATTATTTTCACTGCGCGCAGAACAACAAGCGAAACTACAGGTGGAAACCAAGGAGGCAACCATGTTGGGGTCGCGCAACCACTGTTGAAGATGCCCGGAGGTGGTGGTGGTGGTGGTATTCTAGTTGCCGGCACGGCCTCCAGCAGTGCAGCCACCCATGATCCACAGCGAGGGCCTCGGGACCACGCCGGAGCGGTAGTACCAGAGGTATCGGAAGGAAAAATCCCCCCTCCCCATATCGAAAAGGGACGCCTCAGAGAATTTGTGATGCTGATTTGTGACCACAAATCGTGTCTGTCTTGCAAGAAAGCAACGGCATGGGCTCCGCGCCAGTATGCAGGCGGTCTGTAATGCTGTTGGTCCTACAGCATAGAGGTTCCTCATGCTAAGCGCCTAGGCCAAAACCTCTGCGCATGGGCATGATATGGGCTTGCAGTCTTCTACTGCAAGACAAATCCAGCATCAGAAATTTCGTTTTGATGTGGGGAGGGGGGGTGTTTCATTTTGATAAGAGGGGTCAACTTGCGAGCCATTCGATGCCGTGTGGGACCTCATATGCAAGAAAAAAACTGTGTAAGTGTAAATCTGTGATGCAGAAAATGCAAAACTGTTACATTTGTCACGCTTGACATGCATGATCGGCTCCCTTCCTAGGTGTTTTCCCTTCCTATCTGCGCATAACAAGTTTTTCCTGTCATGGCAGACAAACTTGTGATGCAGTTTTCCAAAAAGAGTTACACTAACACAGTTTTTTTCTTGGATACCTTATTCGGAAATACGATAGTGGACAACTGCTCTCCACCCTTTGTTCGTCCCTTCTTTCGAAGATTGATATGCGAAAGTGCAGCTTCAATCGCTGTTGCCGTTTTTTAGCCCTGTTGACTTGCATGACAAAGACCTCGTAGCTCAACACTGCGAAGAGGAGCAGCACTACAAATCGTTCCCGAGCAGAGGTTTGTGCTGCGGAAGCTACGTTTCAACATCTGCGCGATTGTTTTTAGTTTTTGTTGCAGCTTCTCAAGCTCATACATCGCATAAGAGTTGTGAGGGACCACGAGAGGGGGAGCTGCAGGTGTCCACTAGGATAAGAAGGATCCCGGAGCGCTACAGGGAGTCAGCGAGGCTTGTCGCGACAATTTCTACATCGTGCTGGAGGCCGTCAGGTTCGAGGAAGTTCCCAAGGCTGCTGCAACCTCCAGGGCGGATGAAAAGGAGAACTACAACGGGGAAAAATCTTCCCGCGTTTGCGTTTCGTTCGGGCTTCTCCGCTTTGCCTCGCCCCGGTTATAGGACCATCGGGACGTGGTTCTTCGCGCGGTGCTATCAAATGCAAGTATGTCTGGGTCTGGAAATAACTTGTAATGCCGAGTTGTGAATAGTGAATGCACAGCCAAGCATGAGAAATATTTGCGCGGCTTAGTGTTGCGCTTTCGGCATGACAAACTGCGTTTTGCGATGGCAAGCAAGAGGGTTTCTTCTTGGACACGCATCACACACTCTTCAGTCGTGTCAGACAAGGATGACAAACCTTGCATCCTTCCAGATGACCCAGACATATTTGCAATGCATAGGTGCAGCGGGTGCCGCACAACCTGCAGTTCGCCTCCGCCCGTTTGCGCGACGAGGAGGAGCTTGTGAGAACCGCTCTCGCAAACTTTGGCCCTGCTCTGGAGTTCGCGTCCGAGCGACTCCAAAGCCTCCGCCCCGTGGTCGCGTTGGCCATCGCCGGGCCCGCGCTTTTCCGGTACCACGGACACGCAAACGGTCCGTGCGTGCCCATCAGTTTCGCTGCCCCGCACCTGCGGGCGGACCGCGAGCTGGGCTTGGAGGCCGTGCAGCGGTGCGGTAGGGCGCTGCAGTTTCTCGACTTCGAATTGCGGGATGACGACGAGGTTTGCCAGATGGCGATCGCCGAGGATGCTGGTGCCTTCGCGTTTGCGTCCGACAGATTTCGGGAAGCGTATGAAGAAAGCCAGAAAACGGCGAGCATCTTGGCTTGGGCGGTCACGGGGGTTGCGTGCTTGCTCGGCGTCGCCGCGGTGACTCTGGCTCTTTATCAAAAGGAAAAATCCCCCCTCCCCATATCGAAAGGACATCCATCCGAAAATTTGTGATGCAGATTTGTGGCCACAAATCCTGTCTGTCTTGCAAGCAGCGGCATTCACGCTGTCCGCCACGTTATGCAGGCGATTTGTAATGCTGTAAGGCCTACAGGGTAGCCGTCTACCATGCTAGAGGCCTACACCAAAAGGCTCCTACCTAGGCTTAAGATCTGCGCGCAGTCCTCTACTGCAACACAAATCTGCTCTGTGTACTCAAATCCAGCAGCAGAAATTTCGTTTTGATATGGGGAGGGGGGATTTTTTCTTACAATACTCTTGTAGTGGTGTTTCATTTCCTGCTGGCGCGAGGACCCTGCAGTTGTTGTTGTTGGCGTACTAGAGCGACGAGAAATTATTGCGCGGAAGAGAACTACGATGATGAAAACGGCGCCTGTATAAGTTCTAGTTCCGGCGGCCAAGTAGAAGGACCAGCGGATGATAATTTGCTACTCGGACCACGAACAAAAGGCGCAGGTGCACCAGCAGCCGATCCAGCACTGCAAGAGTCTGGCAGTGCACCACCACCAGGGGCGGACCACGACAGTACAGGACGACCGGCCCCCGCTACAACAAGAACTACTACGGCAAGCACTATCCGCCCACCAGCCCCGGTTGCAGCCGCCGCCGGGAAAATACTAACGAAGATCCGATTTGATAAAAAACGCCGGCGGTTCGTTCGGGTGCACGGGTGCCTCCAAAGGCAGCAGAAGCAGACAAAAAAGGAGCGGAAGATTTTATTTCCGAATAGTACTTCATCTAAAGCGGTGACGGGTTGTAAAAGTAAAGATGCACTTGTTCCTCGTCCCGCCCGGCCCGCGCCACCGCAGCCGGTGTTTCGCACCGCCGAACACGCGCCCGCTCGGGTCCGGGTCTATGAGGCTCTGGAGCGAGGTTCCGGGGGGCCGGCGCGCGGACGCTGCTTCGAGATTATCAAATGCAAATATGTCTGGGTCTGGAAGGTTGGAAGACTTGTCATGCAGGTTTTCCACGACGCGTGAGGTCTGTCATACATGACCCAGCATGACAGATTCTCCCCGACCTCTATCATGCCTCGTCTGCATGAGAAACCCCCTCTCAGCCTGGTCAAAAGTGGACAGCTTTTGGTAATCACGCAACACAGATTTTTGCACTATCCAGAATTAGCATGACAAGTTGCCTTCTTCCAGACCCACACATATTTGCAATGCATAGAGATCCGGATGGCGCAAGACGATCCGGAAGTTTTGCCGGCGGAAACGCTGGCCGCGAAAAGGAGATTACTGAAGCAGGAGCAGAAGTGGCAGTATCAAATGTAAAAATGTCTGGGTCTGGAAGAGTGCATGTTTGTCATGCTTGTCTGGCATGATTCTCAAATCTGTCATGCACGTTACCCAAGAACGCCATTTTTCTGTCATGCAGAAACGCAGTTTGTCATGCAGAATAGGCAACTACACCTAGAAGCTCAAAACTTGTCATGCTGAAACAGCACTTGTGGCCTGCTCATGATATGCCACCCAGCATCACAAGTTTCCAGACCCAGACACTTTTGCAGTTGATAGGCAGGAAAGTCGAGCAAGAACTCCCGGTGCAGCCGCGAGGACCATCCTGTTATCCTGTGCAAAAGTATCGTATTCGTATTGCAATCATGCATTACAAATTTTCTTGTTAAGTCAAATCCGCATTACAAATTTTATTTCTAATGCTAAGGAAATTTGTAATGCATTTATACGAGTACGATACTTTTGCAATCCATACCTGTGGCAGCCGCACGAATTGGTGCAATTCCAGTCGGTATGGATTGCAAATCTGTCTGGGTCTGGAAAGTTGTGATGCTAAAATGCGCATGACGAAAACGCTCCCTCATGCAGGAGAGCATGACAAGTTATTCGCAGAACGCTTCCTCATACGCGCTCCGCATGAGAAACTGCGTTTTTGTATGACAAGCGAGGCTGTGACTTTTGTGGGTCATGCAATACAGATCTCACAGGAATGCAAGACCAGCATTACAAGTTCCAACTTTCCAGACCCAGACATTTTTGCATTTGATAGTCGGTGCGCCCGGGCCAGTACGCGCGTGCGCTCAGCCTGGTGGACCAGGATCAGGAAGCGCTGCAGGAGGCCTGGCAGCACCTCTGCCAGCTGCAAGGGGCCGTTTCCGTGGTCGACCACGGGGACGAGAGCTTCGTCGGCCACGTGGGCGGGGGCGAAGAGATTTATGGTTCCCAGTGGTCAGATATGAATTGCAAATATGTCTGGGTCTGGAAATCTGTGATGCTGAATTGAGCATGATTGAAGCGCTTTCAATGGCAGCCAGGCATGACAAGTTTTAGAGGCGCCTGCTGATGCCTACCACGCAACACAAATTGCGTTTTTGCATGACAAAGCAAGCTCCTCTTTTGCTGCTCATGCAACAGAGATTTTCCAGGAATGCAAGACACGCATCACAAGTTCCACTGTTCCAGACCCAGACATTTTTGCATTTGATATCAGAGCCGAGATCTATTTCTCGCGGAGGTGGTGTAATTGCTGTCGAGAACAGTGGTTGTAGTACTAGGACTAGCCCCCGCGGCTGCCGGGGGAACACGAAGAGCACTATCCTGAGTAAAAACGTCCCCACACCAGAGTCAAGGTGGAAAATCTGCTAGACAAATCTGTCAGCTTTTGCTGTTGCGCATGACAAGTTTGGCATCGTGGTGTAATCCTGTTTAGCTAGTTCAGAAGCATTACAGATGAAGCATATCATGCTGATTCTAGCATGACAAGTTCCCAAATACGAATAGAAAATGCTTCTTATGGGGCTCCGCATGACAAACGTTTTTGGCATGCAGATTTGCATTACAACTCTGGGGTGGGGACGTTTTTACAAATGATAAGCACTGCGTCTACTTCATCGACGATCAGGGACGATGTGGAAGTAGTGGGTGGCGATGACGAGCAGAGCAAGCAGCCTGTGTTTGTGGAAGAGAAGCGTACAGCTCCCGCTGCAGTGGATCCTGTAGGCAGAAGTAGTTGTACCTCTGAAATAATTCAAAACATTTAATTGGCCTAGGGGGTAAAGTCAATGAAAAAGAAAATGAAATAAAGCGCCCACCTCATATAGTCTGATAATCGTTTTCTTTTCACGATAGTTGTATATTTATTGTCATTCTCAATTTCTAGTAACGCGAAGAAGAAGTTTGCGCTATACGACCCCAAAGAATTCTTGACGGATCATAGATAGTTGTACCCCTAGTATTTGATAAGCTTCCCATGATCATGTTTTGACGTTTTGCTCCGCCATTCCAGTGATATACCAGTCGATTTGTAGTATAGAGTCAGTCCGAAGTAAAAGTAAATTCGCGTGCACGACCATTTGTAGTCGGTAATCAATCGTTGCGTTCGGGCCCGGGGGGGCGACAGCCCCCCCGCCCCCCCGGGCCCGGCGAACCCGCTTCCCATTTGCGAAGCAAGGAAGCGACGGCGGATGACCTTACGGGGGATCTAGATGGAACAAAGGGGCGCCCCCCAAAGTGGGGCAGTAGCATCGAGGGAAGGGCTTGCTAAGCTGGAACCGGGGTCGGCCGCGTGGGCGGCCAAAAGGTGCGCCAAAAACGCAGCCTCCCACCGGGGGAAGGTGCAAAAATGACGATTTTTGCGTCCATAGGCGCATTGGTATCCGAAAAATGCGAGTTTTTTTATGTCGCGAATCCCCCCGGTACGCTTGCGAAAAAGTAGCGAACTTGGGCCCTCCGTGGGTCCGCAGTAGCATCGTCTTTCGCAAGAAAAAATTGAAAAAATGAAAAAAAAATCGCCCATTTGTAATGGGCCTTGCGCTCAATCCGAAATTTGTCTTGCCGCCAAACACGGCGGCACGCTGAAAACTTAGTCAGCGTATAGTCGTGTTTAGAGGTGTAACGTTTTGCCATTTCCGGGACGGAGGCCTCCGCCTGATCAAGCGGAACAGCATCGCGTTTGAGGTGCAAAAGCGCCCTCCGCAAAAATGCAAAAAATGAACGAAAAAAAGCCGACACGAAAATGAGCAAAAATCACGCGCCCGCCATACCGTGCGGGGTAACATTAGGCGCGACGGTATGGCGCGCCAAAATTTTTGGATTCTCGCGCGACCGCCCCCGCGCAGCCCGTGCACCGCCCGACCCGCCCCTTGAGGGGGCGGCCGAACCCGAGCCCGGCCCTCGGCTCAAGAAGAAGGCTTTGCGCCTCCCGTTTTCGCGCGGCCGCCGAAATGCGCGCGTCGCGATTTTTGCTTTGCAACACGAAGAACGCAACGATTGATTACCGTATCGCCCGACCGGGCGCGGAATTCATATAGAGTCAGTCCGAAGTAAAAGTAAATTCGCGTGCACGACCTATGTGAGTAGTTTGTTTGTTAGTACATACACATGGCAGTAAACATAGTATGAGAGGACCATCATGGGAAGAGCTGCAAGACCGTGCATCGCACGAGACGAAGTGAGAACAATCTTTGCTGCATCAAGGAGCCGCTGCATTCTAGAAGGCTGTGTAAAATAGAGAAGAAGATGAACTACCAGTTGCTTTATCCCAGCCTCACGATAGTACTGTTCGCAAATGCCCTCGGTTTTATGCATCTGATAGTACGCCCCTATGTTTATCGGTACGACTTCTCGGTGATCAAGATGATCTACGGTGTGTTTAATAGGTACTTAACACGCCAGCTCCTTCAAGCTCATCATCGGTCGGGCCTGGAACTGGGTTCCTGCGACATCATTTCGGAAAATTTCTGTGTCGAGTCTGTCTCCTCGTGACATGATTCCTCAATCGGTTCATCGATAGTAGAGACTCGGTTCTGCAAAAACTCTTGTATTCAGCGACTCGGTTTGCCTTGTCACAACACGGATAGATGACGTCCTGTGGAATGTCTTGTATTTGTATTAGTTTGATGTTCAATAATGTCGGTGTGTTGATCTTCTGTAGCTCATGCATAGATAATTGTGATACTGCTTCTGGTCTCTATCGACGACTTCAATTCGCGTTGCAAAGCGTATAATTCGCGCGTTATAAAAAATCTGAATCGACGCAAACGCAGCGCGAAGGCTTTGCCGTTACCATATGGGAGGAACTCGGGGGTATGCAATCACTCGCAAAGTCGGGCATGTCCAATGCGGTTTTGCCGCCAGAGAGTGGATTTCGGAGAAGTTGGCTCATTTTTTGAAAAAGTAGAGAAATCTGCGCAGGCAGATCGGGGAGAAGGTTAAAAAAAGGACTTTTCCGGCTCCGCCCGATCTGATTCCGAAGAAAGAAGCCCGATGATTGGACGGCGCCCGATGCTATGGCGCGTTTGGTAGCAGAAATTGCGTCACGTGCAGGCCGCCGCGGCCGATCTGTATCCAAAAAAAAGAACAAGGAAAAACGCACTTTTTTACAGAATATAATGGGCCCAAAAAATCGACCGATTTTGTGCAGTGCCCAAAAGCCGATAGACATCCAAAATACAGCTTTTTTTGGAAAAATGCAACACCCGATCTGAAATGGCCGGTAAAAGACGGCTTTTGAATTTGTCACAGGCTTAATGCCGTCGTGATTGAAGGAAAAAAATCGCGTGTAGATCCTGCGGGGGTGTGTCACACGAGCACGATTCTCGTCCTCTCGGAGGTTCAAAGCGGAACCCCTTCCCCCGACTGGAAATGGCCGATTTGGGCGGCCTTAAAGGGCCGCCGAAAATGACAAAAATTGTGGAACTTTTTGAAATTTGCGTATTTCTGCTGGATAGCATGCCCTCGTGCATAAGATTATGCGCGGCGGAGTGCTGCTTGCCAAAAAACGCAGTCTTTTGCGCGCCCTTGCTTCCTGGTTAGAGGATGAGAGCGCGGCCCGAAGCGGGCTGCAGTGTTGGACCGCGGCCCTAACCAGGAAGTCAAGGGATGCGCGGTAGCCTTCGCACTGACTGGGGTGGTTCGCACGCTTTTGGTTACCAATATCGCCCTCCGGGCGCGACCTTCATACTGCTCTCTATCGACGACTTCAATTCGCGTTGCAAAGCGTATAATTCGCGCGTTATAAAAGATCTGAATGATCTCGTTCTCGACAGTCCACTCTTTTTACGCACAATATACTGTAACACTCATGTAAAATTTTCCCTCCGTTTATGGTCCTCTTGCATCGGGCCGCCCAGCATGTGGGCCCCCCTCGCCCGTTGGACTAAAATGAAATTGATGATTCAATATTTATTTTTACACACCTCCACGACCCTACAAACATTCATCCCTCACTTGATGAAGATGCGCTCTTGCTGCAGGTCGTGGCCAGTGGTTTCTTACTGATTGATATCAATTGCAAATATGTCTTGGTCTGGAAACTTGTGATGCAAGTCAGGGATCAATGCGCGCACTGCAATTTTCTGCCAAGCATGACAAGTTTTCCGTGGTTCTGAGTTGCGTACTCTGCATGAGAAACCTCGTTTTTGCATGTGAGGCGAGGGAAGCTCTTTGCGGCCACGCAATACAGAGCTCAGAGTCCTGCGAGACGCGCACGACAAGTCTCGCAACCTTCCAGAGCCAGACATTTTTGCATTTGATACTCCTCTCCTGCAGGCCGCGGCGCGACAGGCGGGAAATCTACCGCTTCTTTCCATGGCAAGGAGAAGTCGTGTCACTTAAAAAAAAATGTGAAGAAGTACAAGCTGGTCTTCTTCTATGGAGAGAAAAAAGCTTGTCATAGTCACTGGCTTGCAGTTTTTGCATGAGAAATTTTTTATGCATCACAGGTTTTTCTTGTATTGCACAACTACATAGAGATGAAATCCCATATAAAATTAGACTGTGATGCAATTTTACGCATGACAGAAATTTTTGTATTGCAAAAATGCGCATGAGTGATCGTGACGAACTTTTTTTGTTCCATATCTTCAGCAAGATGAACAGCATGACTTTCACGAAGATCATAACGAGGGCGACCCAAGTATTGTGAGTAAAAACGTCCCCACCCCATAGTCAAGTTGGTAAATCTGCTAGACAAAGCTCCAAGTTTTGGGAGTCGTGCATGACAAGTTTACATCTGTAGTGTAGTGCTGTTTAGCAAGGACAACCGCATCACAAAGACGCCTGCTGATCCTGTTTACAGCATTACAAATCCCAAAACACGATTACAGATTCCTCCCTTGCGGATGTGCATTACAGATTTTTCTGTAGATGCAAATCTGCATGACAACTCTGGGGTGGGGACGTTTTTACACAGGATACCAAGCCGTGTTCTTGCCGGCACCGTCGCGGAGTCGTCGGGGGCTATCCTACTACTTTTGGAGCAGGCGTGCATATGACAGTGCACAACTCCCCCTCGTGGTCCCCCTAATTTTCATAGCATGAACGGCAAATAAAATTAATACAAGCAGGAGCAAGAATTATGCCGGTGCTGCGTGACAAATTTGCACTGCAGTGTAGTTCTATTTGGGCCCTACCAGAAGATCTTGTCATGCATAATAGTGACAGGAGGGAAAGAACAAGCGTGGATTCATGGTATTCTGCGTGAGAAATGAGAACGACGGGGAGTTGTGCAGTGGCATAGTGCAGCAGCAATATTCGTGATTGCATTTTCTGCATTTGACGCTATGCAGTCTGTCGCTGGCTTGGCCATGACCGCTGCAGGAACCCGAAGAACTACTTCTACGAGCACCAGGACTATCGCGAGGAAAAATCCCCCCTTCCCATGTTGACAAGGTACGTTTTCGAAAATTTGTGTTGCTGATTTGTGACCACAAATCGCGTCTGTGTTGCAGGGAGGCACCTCCAGGGGCTCCGCGGAATCATGCAGGCGGTTTGTCATGCTGTTGGGCAGCCTACAGTGCGGGCGTTTTTCATGCTAAGCGCCTAGGCCACAGTCTGCCTCTCTGTCTGCTCAGGCTTGCTATAGGCCTGCAGTCCACCTCTCCAGCGAGACAAATCTGATTTGTGTACGCAAGTCCAGCGTCAGAAACTTCGTTTTGATATGGGGAGGGGGGGCGTTTCCTTTTGACATCCGCCGGAGTCCGGGCCGAGGAGGTGCGGAACGTTGCTGGGCATGATGAAAAAGTCGCGGAAGATGATGATGCTGAGGCGCTTATCCTGTGGAAAAACATCCCCACCCATAGTCAAGTTGGTAAATTTGCAACACAAATCTCCAAGCTTTGGGAGTTATGCATGACAAGTTTGGCCATGGCCTCGAAGTGTAATCCTGTTTAGCTAGTGCAGCAGCATCACAGTGGTCCTAGCATATCATGCGCATTGGAGCGCGACAAACTCCGGAACGCGACTAGAAAATGCCTCGCATGGAGCTCCGCATGAGAAATATTTTCAGCATGCAGATTTGCATGACAACTCTGGCGTGGGGACGTTTTTACAAATGATAGGGCTGCCCGTTGTATTTTTAAGCAGTCCCGTTCCGTCAGCACCGGATTTGTTCTTTTCGTCGACCTATCAAATGCAAAAATGTCTGGGTCTGGAAGAATACCAACTTGTGATGTGCATTTCAGAACACAGAAAAATCTCTCATGCATGGGTAGCAAAAGCTGCCCGCTTTCTGCCCCCAGAGTGGGGCGACATTTGTCATGCGGATTCGGCATTGCGAAAGCTTCTCGAAACCTGTAATGCTAGAGCTTTCATGCCAGACCTTCTGTGTCATGCAGAAACAGCATGACTCTTGCTCTTCCAGACCCAGACATTTTTACATTTGATACGACCAGAGGGAAAAGGAAAACAAGAAGAAGTAGCATGTCATCTTTCAGCCAAGAACAAGCTGAGCAGGCAAAGAGCGAAGAAGTCGTGGTGCCCGCCCACGGTGGTCAAGAAAATCTTGACATGGACGTCGTGAATGCGACCGGGTCCTCGCTATTTGAACTACGAGTACAAAGTGAAGATTATCAACACGGGGGCCCAGCAGGAGCTGGCCCAGCAGGAGCTGCGCAGCTGGCCCAGCAGCAGGAGCTGCTGCAGCAGGAGCAGCGCACCTGGCCGTTCGCATTATCTATTATTGCTGGCCCAAAAGAAGTTGCGCACCGTCTTTTTAAAAGCAAGGCTCGACTTTTACTTGTGTCCGCCACGGCACGGCAGAGGGAGTTCGAGGGCCCTAACAATCCCGCGGGCCTTTACGTGTATTTCAATGACACTCTGGCCTCTCCGAAGGAATGGGAAGAGTTGACGGTTGGCGCACTGAAGGCCTTCCTACCCACCGAACAACTCGGTCCTGGGTACCAAGTGTGTGCTCTGGGGTGTCATCGGGAGTTGCAGGAGAAAATGGAGGAGCGGAAGCAAGGGGAAAATGCTCCTGCCAGGGCAGATTGGAAAATGGAAAATGGGAAAATTGTCCTGCATCGGTCGGGCAGCCTTCCTGTATCGCGAATTGTGCGCAAACACATCGCAGCAGAAGATCTGCGGCTGAGCACTGCCGGCTTCGACTGCTATCAAAAGGAAAAATCCCCCCACCCCATATCGAAAACGAAATTTGTGATGCTGTATTTGAGTACACAAATCGACTGCTAGAAGGCTAAGCGCCGCAGTTGTGGCCTCGTTTGCAGGCAATTTGTCATGCTGTTTCCCATTTCCGGCTGCTTCCTGTCATGCTGAAGATGCAAGGCTGCCCCACGCCACCCAGCACTACAGCCCGTACCTTTTCCCTTCTAGCATGACAAAGCTGATCTGTGACTACAAATCTCATCTGCATCAAGAGCATTTCCGTTTTGATATGGGGAGGGGGGATTTTTCTTTTTGATAACTGCCATATTGGACATGGAATAGATTGGGCTGATGTTAGTATGTCGTTGCCACATACTGTGGCCGGTAGAACAATGAACTACTTGGCCAAGTGTGCCGAGGATTTATCAAGTGCGAATATGTCTGGGTCTGGAAGAATGCAACTTGCGATGCTCCTGCATTTGGATTCCAAATGCATTGCATGAGCAGCGCATGCAAATTTTTTGCTACCTACGCGGAGAGGGCATTTGTCATGCGAAATAGGCATCAAGAACCTCGCAAAAAATCTGTGATGCTAGGGCATGCATCACAGACGTCATGGCTCATGCAAAGCGTGCGTGACAAGTCTCAGAACCTCCCAGACCCATACATATTTGCATTCGATAGGAGTTGCAGGTGAGCAAGATAATTGAGTACGGCCGGCTGGCAAGCGCAAGCTTTAGCTCGATATCTCACCCCAGAAAAATCTCGGTCCTGTACGTGGTGCCGGCAGAAGATCCGCACGGAGGAGGAGGGAGTAGTGGCGACCGCAGCTCTATCGAAAGTAAAGAAAAACGTCCCAGCACCCCAGAGTTGTCATGCAAATGATCTGCAAGGAGCCTCAAATGTTTCTCATGTGAAGCGGCCACTATGACGAGATGAGTCATTTATTAATGCTGTGTCTGGCAGTTTGCGATGCCAGAATCAGGAGAATCGACGATCGATCCTCGACGCCGCGGCTGCACTAGCTACACACGATTAGGAGATTTCTTGCTCGCACAAACTTGTCATGCGCGACAGCCGAAAGTTGTTGACTTGTGTAGCAAATAAATCCCCATTCCGAATGTGCGGTGGTCGGGGGTTCGTTTTTACTGAGGATAAGCTTGATATCATCCTCAAGCTACATCGACGAGAACAATGGGGACCAGCACCCCAACACGGCGCGATCGTTTTTTGAGGGACAGACCCGACTCGAAGTGGTTTCTATGAACTGCAAAAGTATCGTACTCGTATAAATGCATTACAAATTTCCTCAGCATGAGAAATTAAATTTGTAATGCTGACTTACCTTAAGAGTAAGATTTGTAATGCAAGTTTTGCATTTGTACGAGTGCGATACTTTTGCACAGGACAGTTTCCGCCATGGAGCAACCGGATCAGCGGCTCCGCGTATCACATGCAAATATGTCTCGTCTGGGTCTGGAAGAGTGCAAGACTTCTCATGCAGGTTCAACATGACGCATGGGGTCTGGAATGCAGGATCTAGCATGACAGATTCTGTGAGATCTGTACCATGCCTATCCTGCATGACAAACTCACTCCCAACTTGGTCAAAAGTGGACAGGTTTTGGCACTCGTGCAACACAAATTTTTTCATGATCCAGATTTAGCATCACAAGCTACACCCTTCCAGACCCAGACACATTTGCATTTGATACCACGTGTATTTCAACGATACCCTGGCCTCTTATGGGGGTTTCAGGATCGAAATCGACAAAATCGAAAAACTTGTAATGCGTAAAATGTAGGGCGCGTTGTATAGTCTCCTGTATTGGGGAGCATGCAAATAAGACCGATAATTGCAAGCCTGTTTATAGGAAGACGATGTGCAGCTGCCAGATTAGCATGACAGTAGCAGTCTTCTTTGCCCAAACAGCATGACAGACCGGATTTTGGTGCTCCCGAAATTTATCATATGCCCCTTGGCTTTAAAAAATGGCATCGATTTTATGTATATACAAGTTAATTCGATTTTGTCGATTTCGATCCTGACGCTTCCATACCTCTCCGAAAGACTGGCAAGAGCTGACGGTCGGGGCGCTGAAAGCCTTTTTACCCGGGTACCTGACCGGCGTCGTTGGGTATCAGGTTTGCGTATTCTGAGTAAAAACGTCCCCACCCCAGAGGCGTCATGCAAATCTGCATGCTCAAAATGTTTCTCATGCGGAGCCCCATGACAAGCGTTTTCTAATCGTGTTTTGTAACTTGCAATGCTCCAATCAGCATAATAGGCTAGAGCTGTGATGCTGCTGAACAAGCTAAACAAGATTACACTACAAAAGCAAACTTGTCATGCGAAACAGCCAAAGCTGGTTGATTTGTGAGATTTCCCATCTCTGGTGTGGGGACGATTTGGCTCAGGATATTGCGCGCGGGGGTGTCATATCAAATGTAAAAATGTCTGGGTCTGGAAGAATGCAAGATTTGTGATGCAGGTTTTCCATGACCCATGAGGTCTGGAATGCGAGACCCAGCATGACAGATTCTTTGGGGTCTCTATCATGCCTTTCCTGCGTGAGAAACTCCCTCTCAACTTGGTCAAAAGCGGACAGCTTTTGGTACGCACGCAACGCAGATTTTTGCATTTAGCATGACAACTTGTAATCTTCCAGACCCAGACATTTTTACATTTGATATGTCATCCGCGCCTGCAGAGCCAGGTCGAAGAGAGGCACGCGAACTATGGATGTGTCAGGTTTGAAATCGTCAAAGTTGAAATAATAGTTTGTCATGCATAAAACGGATACCAGTTAGGCCTACAGTTTGTAGTCGGTGCATGACAAATTTTCCCGGTCCTGGAAGCGAGTCTCTCATGCGGTTGAGGGCAAAAGAGCTGCCGTCTGTCATGCTAGTCAGCAGTCCAACTTTTGACCCTTACCAGGACTATAATCTGCCTCCCGTGCGTCCTCTGCAATAGAGTCACTTTTTGTATCGCATTTTATGCATGACAAATCACTTCTGTAATGCATAAAATGCATGACCCGAGGCACGTGTGTTGCAGAGCAGGTAAGTGAGGCCGATTGCAAGCCTGTTCGGGGTTACAGCTCGAGCTGCTAAAGTAGCATGAGAAAATCGCTCTTCTTTGCCTAAACAGCATGACAAACTGGATCTAGGGACCACCGAAATTTGTCATGCGCCACTTGAAAACTGGATTCCAACTGGCATTCATTTTATGCATGACAAATTATTTCATTTTGGCTCAAGCGCTTGGTCACCCCGGGCAAAAACAAACGAGATAAAGTCCAAGATGGGCGTCGCTATAATCCGGGACTAGGGTCTGCAGCTACCGGCGGATCGATCCAGGGCAAGCACGGCGAAGGTTCTTAACCCTGCCCTTCGGGGGGGGGCGTGCCGCAGGTTTTGACAATCTCGTGACAGAGCGGTCCTGACGGAGCGCCCACTCACTCGACTCGATCCGATCTCTGCGAACTCTCGCAGAGGCTCGCTGTCCCTGTCGTCATGGTGCTCATCCTCGATCCGTAGCCAGTCGGGGACTGTCCACGCCTCCAACCCCGTCTCATCACCACACCATCGACGTTTAGCAGATGGTCGTCAACGACTCGGCGCTATGGCGAGTGCGATAACCCGCGGCACCCGACCGCTGAGAACGACGCGCTGTGCTTAGAGCGGCATCTCTCTCTACAATTACGTCCCGGCCTCAGCGGCGCCCTGCTCTCTGCACGACGTCCTCGTGCTTGCATTCATCCGCGCAAGAGCCTTCAGCCACCTGCGGCTACACGCGCGCGGGCACCACTATGTAACTACCAATTGACAGATGAACTGAGACAGGTGGTAGTAGCGCCTCGGCTGTCCCTGATATTTTGCCTTTGTTGGCGGGACCGCCTTTTCCTCTTTATCGCCCTCGGGGCGTCTGGCCTTTGCATCGTTTGTATTCTGCGGTCCTGCTGTGATTTTGTGTTGGACAAGACACTGATACAATGCGTCAAAGGCCGATGAGGCTGCCAGTTCTCTCGGCCCGCTCTCATCTGTCAAAACTTTTCCTGGTGCCCCGAGCCCCAGCATATCTGCGGCGATTATACTCTCTGGCGACACCTGACTGCGCGGCGTTAGGTGCATTAACCCGGACCTGCACCTCCTAATTTTACCGGACCTTTCTAAACCTCATCGCAGACTGTATTTGTGCCTGCGGTGGCCGTTGGGTTCCGAATAGAAAATTTTCGTATGCATGGAGTCAGCTGCAGGCTGCTGCTTCCTTATAGCAGTTTGCCTGGTAGGCTCCTGCACAGTCCGTGAGCGCAATGAGTTGGTACGTTGGCGAACGTTAAACGTACTCTGTTGGCAATAAGTTGGTTTGTTGGCGAAAAGTAAGGTTTGTTGGCGAACAATAAACGCATCCGTTGGCGCAATGTAAGGATCGTTGGCGAACGTTAAACGTACTCAGTGGGCGAAAAGTTGGACTTGTTGGCGAAAAGTATGGTTTGTTGGCGCAAAGTAAGGATCGTTGGCGAACGCTAAACGCATGTTGGCGAAGTGAGGACTGTGTGCGAAAGTAAGGAAAAGTTGGCGTAAGTGGGATCATGTGCCCGAGGATGATGGTGATGGCTTCGGTCCGCCTGACTCCACGACCTGGTGGCCGAACCATCTGCGGTGAGGTGCCCTTACAGGTTGTGTAGTGGTTTCGGTCGGTTTAGCATGACAAATCACTTCAACTTTGACGATTTCAATCCTGACAGTTCCATACGAACCCCGCAACGCTGGAGAAGAAGAACGCACTTGTATTGAAAGGAAAAACTCCCCCTCCCTATATTGAAGCGGTATGTTTCCGAAAATTTGTGTTGGTGATTTGAGGTCACAAATCACATTTGTCTTGCAAGAAAACAAGGGCAGAAACTTCCGCCCCATTATGGAAGCGATTTGTCATGCTGTTGGGTCTAAAGGGGAGCCGTTTGCAGCCATGCTGAACAACTAGACCCATACGCCCCTACCCAGCCTGGGGATCTGGCCGCAGTGCCATCCTGCAGCACAAAGCTGATTTGTGTACACAAATCCTGCATCAGAAATTCCGTTTTGATATGAGGCGGGGGGATTTTTCCTTTCGATAACTTGAAGATAAGGAGCTGGACCGGCGCGGCTTTGACTGCCGCCCGAGCGTCCGCTTAGGTAATGCTTTGGTCATATGCATTCTTGCAACTATAGTAACGTCTGGGTCTGGAAATAAAGTGCAGAGTAGTTCTTTGTGATGCAGGTTTATTTGCATGCCCCAGAAGCAGGTCGTGATCGTGTGGAATTATGCAGGGCCTAGCGTGACAGATGTTCTGTGACTTCTTTATCATGTTGCCTATAATACTGCATGACTACTACTGGGTCAAACATGGACAGCTCTAGGTTGTACTAGTCGCGCAACACAGTTTTTGTAGTGTGGCGCACAGGAAGATGCATGGCAAGTCACATGATCTTTGCAGACCGAGATGATATAGTATTTGCAATGCATGCTATCACAGGAAAAAATTGTCACAGTTCCACATTTGTCGGAATTTCAGCATCACAAAGTTGCCCTAGAAGGCAACGAAAACTTGTAATGCGCAGACCAGAAGGGAAGACGAAGACCCGCACGAAATGAGGCTGGCAAGCATTTTCTGCATCACAGAGGTTGTCTGTCTTGCTGGTCTTGCATCAGAGTGAGTAGCTGTGACACTTTTTCCTTGTGATACCTGGGTCACCGAGGTAGGCGAAATGGCCAAGTGTTCCGAGGATTTATGCTCTGCAAAAGTATCGTACTCGTAGTAATTGCTATTACGCATGACAAATCTCTTTCCCAAGGTAAAACAGCATTTTACAAATTTCAATTGTAAAAATGCTAAGTGAATTTGTAATGCAAGTCATACTAGTAGGATGCTTTTGCATTTCATAGGATTTGCAGGTGAGCAAGATAATTGAAGCCAGTTTGATGCTGGCATCAAAAGCGCAGCTGCACGGTACGAGTCGTGCGTCCTCTGCCACCAGTGGTAAAAAAGAAATAATGCCCGCCGAGCGGTTGTATGTGGTGCCGCGACAGGCCGGGTTGGAGCATCTTCTTCCGGAGGTGGCTACCACCTCCGCCCTGCTTGGAAAGCCGGCGCCTGAGACCCCCCCTCCGAAAACCGCCCGGGACCTCGTGGGTTCGCAGGTTGCGCTATCGCAAGAAAAAATGCCCCCTTCCCATACTGAAAAGACATACTTCTGAAAGTTTGTGATGCTGATTTGCGGACACAAATCGTCTCTGTATTGCAAGAAGGCAAAGCCAGAGACTCCGCCGGGTTGTGCGGGCAATTTGTAATGCTGTATGGCTTGCAGAGGATAAATTTAAATCTCCCTTGCTAGGCGCCAACACCAAAAAGGCCCAGCTCAGGCTTTGTATCTGCGTGCAGTTCTCCACTGCAAGACAAAGCGGATTTGTGTACACAAATCCGGCATCACAGATCTACAATCTGACATGGGGAGGGGGGATTTTTCATTTTGATATGCGCAGAAGTGGCAGCGCTTCCTGCAGGAGGAGTGGGTAAAGCAGTGGGTTTATCGAAAGGAAAAATCCCCCGACCCCATATGAAAACGAAACTTCTCATGCTGGATTTGGATACACAAATCGTGTTGCGGTAGAGGAATGCACGCAGATCCTAAGCCTAGGCAAGGGCCTGTCGGTGTAGGCGCCTAGCATGGTAGACGGCTACCCTGTAGGCCTTACAGCGTTACAGACTGCCTGCATTGCGTGGCGGAAAGCCTGCGCGTGCCTTTTTCCAAGACAGACCCGACACAAATCTGCCTCACAAATTTTCAGAAGGATGCGCTTTCAATATGGGGAGGGGGGATGTTTCCTTGCAATAGGGTTCCAACCAGATCTATCCCACGCAGAAACTGTTTCACTGTGATGACCTTGCAAGATGATCTGCATCACAAGTTTGTTACACATGACACAGAAAATTTGCCATGCGCGCTTCCAAAGGGAAAACACCGCTAAAGAGTCGAGGTCTTGCAGGTGTGGCAAGACAAATAGTTCTGTCTTCCATTCTATGCATCACAAGTTCACAGTGAAGCAGTCTTTTCTTGCGATAAGATCCGAATGGGAGGAGGGGGACGACGAGGTCGAGAGGGAGTATGGAACTGTCAGGATCGAAATTGACAAAATCAGAAAATTTGCGATGCACGAAATGCATGACGCGAAATACGTGTGTTGCAGAGCAGGCAAGTGAGGCCGATTGTAAGCCTGTTTGGGGTCATAGCTCGAGCTGCTAAGGCAGCATGAGAGAATCAGTTTTCTTTGCCTAAACGGCATTACAAACTGGATTTAGGCACCGCCAGAATTTGTGATGCGCCACGTAGAAACTGGGTTCGAACTGGAATCCATTTTATGCATGACAAATCATTTCGATTTTGTCAATTTCGCTTCTGACACTTCCATAGGGAGGAGCAACTCGTGCAGACGTGGTCGGGAGAGAATTTCTGCGACACCGGGGATGGGAGACCCAGCTGGACGGTCGAGGGCATTTACACGACGTACGACAGCAGTCGTGTAGGGGGCGCGGAGGACAAGTACGCGCCCCTCCCGCCACTGCAGGCGCTGCTGTGTCACGCCTTGTATCCGCCCCGCGTAAGCGGGCGGAGGCAACGGCCGGACAAGAATTTTGCCGAGGTACAGGGCATATTCTGTGCAAAAGTATCGCACTCGTAGTAATCGCAGTCATGCATAATTACAAATATCCTTCTTAACCTAAATCCGCATTACAAATTCCATTTTTCATACTGAGGGAATTTGTCATGCGATTTCTACTAGTACGATGCTTTTGCATTTGATAGGGCACCTCTGGCACGTCCCCTTTCCCGGGTCAGACCCACGGCACGGCCTTCCCGAACCTGTTGTTTCTAGATGGGGCCGACATGCTCTATGACGGGAACGACCAGGATATCACCAAAGCCTCCAATTCGCACAGAAAAGTTAGGGACGCGGCGTCCCCTATCAAACGCAAGAATGTCTGGGTCTGGAAGAATGCAAGATTTGTCATGCATATTTCTCATGACCCATGATTGTCTGTGATGTATGCCCTAGCATCACAGGTTTTTAGAACCCTTCCTAATGCACCTTTCGCATGAGAAACGCCCTGTTCGTGTAGCACAAATTGTACCCCTCTTGCTGGTCATGCATTACAAATTTTTTTAGAGTCCAAAAACAGCATGACAAGTTGCAATCTTCCAGACCCAGACATATTTGCATTTGATAGCCCCGAATATGAAGCCGCACCTCTTCGAATTTGTGGCGCGCAACCTTGTATCAAACGCAAAAATGTCTGGGTCTGGAAACTTGTGATGCTAAAAGTGAATGGTAGACGGACTGCAATACGCAGCTATGCATGACAAATTTTCTGGCTCCCATGTCTTACGTATTCCGCATGGCAAACTGCGTTTTTGCATGACAGGTACGAGGGCCTTTGCGTGCCTATGCAACACAGATTCTCAAGTCATGCCAGACAAGCATGACAAACTTGCATTCTTCCAGACCCAGACATTTTTACAGTTGATACCTCGAGCGGGCCAAAGACCAAAGCCGTCGCTTCAAATTCTGGCGGCAGCATATTACACTGAAAAATTACACCCCGCCCCCCCCCGAACTTGGGAGCATTTGTATTGCAAACCTTTCCGAATGAAACGCCCGCCCTCTTGCATCTATCAGCATCACAGATCTCCGATCGTGAATAGCAAAAATTTGTATTGCAAAAGATCCCAGCAAGAGCGGCGCTTGTCATGCAAGCGATGCGACACACACCTAGATCTTGCAGCAGAAAGGTTCACACTCCTTTCACGCATAGATAAAAAGTTCTTCATTTGAAAACCTTATGCATCACAAATTTTTGCAACTTTGGGGGTGGGGGCATTTTTCCCCGCGATAGAGCACGACCCCACGGACCTCCACACCGAGCGGCCGCTGCTCCAGGACGCGGAGGGGGAACAAACTGTGGGCGAGCAGATGTGTACTGTGAGGAAAAATCCCCCCTCCCCATATTGAACAGGTATGTTCCTAAAAATCTGTGATGCTGATTTGTGACCACAAAATCCTGTCTCTCTTGCAAGACGGCAAATCCAAAGAATCCGCCGCCTTATGAAGGCGGTTTGTGATGCTGTTTCACCAACATGGCAGGCCTCTGCTTTGCTAAGCGCGTACAACAAAACACCCCTACGCAGGCTAGAGCTTTGCCTGTGGTGCCTCACAGCAAGACAGGGCTGGTGTGTGTACACAAATCCAGCAACAGAAGTTTCCGTTTCAATATGGGGAGGGGGGATTTTTCACTTTGATAATGTGGGCCATCCGAGCCCGGGCGGGGGAGTACATGCACCGGGTTCGTTTCGCGCCAGTTGCGCCGGTCGCATATCGTATTTAAAGACGTCCCCACGACCCCATAGTTGTAGTGCAAATCTGCATGCTGAAAATGATGTTTCTCATGCGGAGCCCCATGAGAAGCATTGTCTAGTCGTGTTTTGGAATTTGTCATGCCAGAATCAGCACGATATACTAGCTCTGTGATGCTGCTGAACTAGTACCTCAAACAGCACTACACTACGAGTCCAAATTTGTCATGCAAAACAGACAAAACTTGTGGACTTGTCTAGCCGATTCTCCATCTTGACTATGGTCGTGTGGGGACAGTTTTACTCAGGATATCGCAACGGAGGAAGTCACTTGGAAGCTGGTCCGGTATAGGAACAGCTCAACAGCGGTAGTAAATGATCCAGAGTTTTTATCCTCTACCCCGCCGCTGCCACCGCAGCAAAATTACACCAGTCGCGGTCGTCCAAGTGGTGCAGCTGGCCACGACTCGAGTACTTCTGTTGTAAGTTCCCTGGTAGTGACCTACACGCGGGGGCACCGACTGCATGTCGTGAAAGGGGACGCACGGAAAAAACAGTACGGCCGCGCAAATGCGACCTTGTATATCTCGCTGGCGCTCGAGTTTCTGCTCCTTCCTGAGGACACGGCTATCAAATGTAAAAATGTCTGGGTCTGGAAACTTGTGATGCATGTCAGTGAACAGAAAGCGCCTTGTAATGCACCGCCAAGCATGACAGATTTTCTCGTGGCTCTCTGTTGCGTATTCCGCATGAGAAGCATCGTTTTTGCATGACAGACAAGAGGAGGTCTTCCGATGGCCCTACGCAATACAGAATTCACAGTCATGCCAAACTAGCATGAGAAATCTCGAAATCTTCCAGACCCAGAATTTTTGCAATCCATAACGACTAGGAGGGAGCGATCATCGGCCCTTTCGACCACTAGTACACCTACGGATAATTTGGACGCCAGCCTTAGCAGCACAACTGGAGGCCCTAGCAGCGGAGAAGTTGTAAGAGCCCCCTTGCCGTTAGAGATATGAGAGTGCTGCACAACTCCCCCTCGTCCTCCTCATTTGTCATGCAAAATACCAATGGATCCAAGGTTTGTTCTCCAGCACTGTTTGCATCACAAGCTCTGGCAAGGAATGCCCAAATAGAAGTACACTTTTGCGCGGCAAGTAATTTGTCATGCAAAACCTGCGTTCCTGCTCACGCTTGTATTGCTGCGTATGCCATATTACAAAAGAGGGGGACGAGGGGGAGTAGTTGTGCACTCTCATAAGAGAATAGCCGACTGTGGCTGGATCGGGTGTGGCTGGAGCGGCGTTTCGCGGACGTTGAGCGGGACAGGACGACAGAAGCATTATTTTGAGTAAAAACGTCCATACCCCAGAGGTGTCATGCAAATCTGCGTGCCAAAAAAGTTTCTCATGCGGAGACCGCCCATGAGATGCATTCTCTAGTCGTGTTTTGGAATTTGTGATGCGATAATCGGCGTGATGTGTTAGATCTGTGATGCTGCTGAGCTACCTAGTATGTAGTGAGGTCACCGAACGGTTCTAACCAGGGAGTTTTTTTGACAGCTCCCGTGAAAAACGACCGGCAGTTTTCAAGCGACCGGAAGTGTTTTTGCACATAAAAAACTTGCAATTATCAAGCGGCCGGGGCGTTTGCGGCAAAAAAGCCCGAGCGGATTCTATCGATTCGCACTGGATAAAACGACGCAGAGGAGCCGGCAAAAGGGGCGCCCTTCTGAGGCGCCCGCCGCCTTGGTTTCTGGCGATTTGGGGCGCCCAAAAAGGGGCGCGCAAAAAACGCGCCCAAAATCAGAACAGCGAAACAGCATGGCACGGCCGCGATTTCGGAGCATTTTGGGCGGCCGCGAAAGCGGCCGCCTTTTCGCCGGTTTTAGAGCCTGGGAAGCTTTGCAAAAAGCGCCGGCGTGAAAAATAAAAACGCGAAAAAGAAAAAGCGCCCCAGACGCGCAAAGCCAATCCGAATGCTATGGGCCCGATTTTTCTTCGCTTTTTGGGCGCCCCCCGTGGCACCCGGATCGGCCCCATAGCATGGGGGCTGGCCTTCGGAAAGGAATTTCGGGAATTTGCCAAAATTTGCGATGTTTATCAAGCGGCCGCCATACCGTGCGGCCTAACGTTACTCACGGCGGTATGGCGAGCCCAGAAAAAGCAAAGCCGCGGCCAAGGCGATGGCCGGCAAGAAAACGCCCACGACCTCACTACCTCCGCCCCGGCGGCTATATTTGGTAAAAAGGACTTCTACACTACGGGGACAGAGGACTTGTCATGCGAAACAACCACAGCTGGTTGATTTGTCGGCAGATTTCATCCCATCTTGACTCCGGTCGTGTGGGGACGTTTTTACTCAGGATAAGAAGAAGACAAAATTTTGACGCGCGTTTATCGAGAACAAAAATCCCCCCTCCCCATATCAAAACGGAAATCTGTGATGCAGATTTGTGGCCACAAATCAGCTTTGTGATGCTAGAAGGCAAAAGATGCGGACTGTAGTGCTACCTAGCATGGGAAAGTATTGCATCTCCAGCATGACACGAGGCAACTGGAAGTGGGAAACAGCATGACAAATTGCCTGCAATTCAGGCCACAACTGCGTCGCTTGGCCTTCTAGCAATACAAGTCGATTTGTGTACTCAAATACAGCATCACAAATTTCGTTTCCGATATGGGGAGGGGGGATTTTTCTTCTTGATAGCGTTGTCCCGCCACCGTGGCGGGTGCTGTTCTTGCAGCCGCGAGCCCTTTCCGCACGGGACGACCATATCAACTGCAAAAATGTCTGGGTCTGGAAGATTGGCAGATATGTCATGCTTGTCTGGCATGACCAAAAAGTTTGTGATGCGTGTCCAAGAAGAGACCCTTTTGCCTGTCATGCAAAAACGCAGCTTTTCATGCGAAAAACGGAACACAAAGAAGCGCAGATATTTCTCATGCTTGCCTGTGCATTTCAGAGCAACCACTATTTCCAACGCAACATTACAAGTTTCCAGACCCAGACACTTTTGCAGTTGATAGACCAGTTTCGGCAGCAAAATCTGGACCCCGATCGCAGCGCGGTGCTGGCCAAAAACTGGCCTCGCCGCTTTTGCCTGGGAGGCCGCCGGCCAGAGTGCCAGATTCGCAAGTATGCAGGGCGAGCCTATGACGTGGCGAGGAATCAGTTTCTGCTAGCGGGGGAGGGACGCGTGGTGGATATGACAACCGGGCAAACTCGTTGTATGCATTGCAAATATAATGTCTGGGTCTGGAAACTTGTGATGCAAATCTACGAATTGTGGGCGCGCCGCAATATGCAGCCCAGCTTGACAAGTTTTTGCGCTGCTGTGTGTTTCGTTTTTCGCATGAAAAACTGCGTTTTTGCATGACAGGCAGGAGGCCCTTTTCCTGCTCACGCATCACAGATCTAAGACTCATGCCAGACAAGCATGACAAGCTTGCATTCTTCCAGACCCAGACATTTTTGCAGTTGATGCGTTACCGTCCAGAGCAATATGACGCTCGCCGAGATTATGGCCAGCGTGCCGCTCCTTCCACCGGCTACCGTCCAGAGCAATATGACGTTCGCCGGGATGGCCAGCGTGCCGCTCCTTCCACCGGCCACCTTCCATCCCCCGGAAGAACGGGGGCCACGGTGACAAGATTTAATTTTCTCCGAGATAACGAACGTGACACAGGTACTAGTACGAGCTCGGAGAGGTCGTGGACAACAACATCAACGACCACCGTAGTTTATGCACTGCAAAAGTATCTTCGTGCTCGTACTAATTGCAAACATGCATGACAAATCGCCTTCCCGACCTGTAACAGCATTTTACAAATTTTATCTGTCATGCTAAAGGAAATTTGTAAATGCAATTACTATACTAGTGCGATGTTTTTGCACTTCATATGCTTCCGCCAGGAGGAGAAGACCCCGACGTTATCAAAGAGGAGAAGACCCCTGATTCCGATCAAGAGGAGAGGAGCTCCTCGCTATCAAAGTGAAAAAAGCCCCTCCCCATATTGAAACGGAGATTTCCACTGTTGCTGGATTTATTGTGTACACAAATGATCCGGGCTGTATTTTTGCAGCAAGCGCTTGCGGGCATTTCCTGAGCCTGATTAGGTATGCAAAGAGGGCTAGCACGCAGGCATGACAGACAGGTTTGCAGTAGGCAAAATTAGCGCATGTTGACAGCTTGGCGGTGGAATGCGCCACACGGGTCGTTCCATTTGCCTCATAAATACAAGACAAAGCTGATTTGCGGCCACAAAGCTGATTTGCGGCCACAAATCCGCCTCGAAAATCTCCATTGTGAGCATGGGGATGGGGGATTTTTTCTCACGATTTTGTCCTGTTGCGCCCTTTTGTCACGATGCCGGCATTCGACTCGGAGCGGTATTATGAAATGCAAAAATGTTTGCGAATCTGGAACAAAGCAAGTTGTCATGCTAAATCTGAATCATGTAAAAATCTGTGTTGCATGATTACAACCAAAAGCTGATGTCCACTTTTGACCTAATCGAAAGGCAGTTTATTCTCATGCAGGATTATAGGCATGATATTTTTGATAGAACTCTCACAGAATCTGTCATGCTCTACTGTCCTACATACCAGACCTCATGGGTGGTCATGTAAAATCTGCATGACAAGTCTGGCACTTCTCTTCCAGACCCAGACATTTTTGCATTTGATAGGTATGGGCCGTCCTCCTCGTCCTCCTCGTTTCCGCTCTGGCAATCGGGGGCGTGCTGGTTTGCCTCTACTGTAGGGCGTGCTGCTTTGCCACCACTGGTGAAAGAGCAGCGGGGCAGGAGCTGCGACCGGGGCTACAAGGAAGAAGTCCTGTTGGAAGTAGTTCCCCCGCTACTCGAGAAGACCTTCACGGCGCAGGTGGAGCAGCTGCGCCCCCGGCTGCGGGCAGGATAGTCAATTCATCGGAGACCACTGCAGCGGCACCAGTAGGAGCAAAAAAGAAGGGCGCGGCCGTGGGAAAGGAAATTCTAGGACGTCGGGGGGTTGATGATGATGACCAGCGGCAGAAAAATATCCTGAGTAAAAACGTCCCCACCCCATAGTCAAGGTGGGGATTTCGCAACACAAACCTGGAAGTTTTGGGACTCACGCATCACAAATAGCAGTCCCTAGTGTAGTGCAGGTTAGCAAGGACACACGCATCACAAATCCATCTGCTTATCCTGCTTACAGCATTACAAATGCCAAAACACGACTAGAAACGCCTCTCATGGAGATACGCATTACAAATGTTCCTGCCATTGCAAATCTGCATCACAACTCTGGTGTGGGGACGTTTTTCCTCAGGATACAGAAAAAGGAGTACCGCCGGAAGGTGGCGGAGAGGATTTTCCGCACGCCGTATTACCGTGAAAAATGCCCCCACCCCCAAAGTTGCAATAATTTGTGATGCGAAGTTTCCAAATGAAAACTTTTTGTCATGCTCATGCATGAGAGGAATATGAATCTAATCTTTGTGATGCAGAGCCTAGGCGTATATAGCATTGCTTGCATGATGAAAAGCCCCGCTCTTGCTCGGGTCTGTTGCAATACAAATTTTCGCTATTCACGATTGGAAATCTGTGATGCTGCTAGATGCAAGAGGGCGAGTGTTTCTCTTGGAAAGGTTTGCAATACAAATGTTCTCAAGTTGGGGTTGGGGGCGTTTTTCATTGTGATACGCCGGGCGAGCGCCAGCAGCGACAAGAGGAAAAGCGGGCGCAAACCATGCAGGCCGCCCTGCACCGAATAGCGCGTGAAAATTATCAGAAGGAAAAATCCCTCCTCTCCATGTCGAGACGAAGTTTCTGATGCTGGATCTCCGTACACAAATGCGCACTGTCTTTCAAGACGGCATCGCAGCCAGATCCTCAGCCTAGGCAGGGGCGTGTGGGTCTAGTTGCTTAGCATTGCAAACGGCTGTCCTCTAGGCCCAGCAGCATGCCAAATCGCTTCCATAATGGCGCGGAGGCCTCTGCGCTTGTCTTCTCGCAAGACAGACGTGATCTGTGGTCTCAAATCAGCAAGACAAATTTTTGGAAGCGTGCTTGTTCGATATGGGGAAGAGGGATTGTTCCACTCAATAAAAGTCCGAACCTGATCCACCGCTTCAACAAGGAGCAGCGCCGAGTATGGAATGCAAATATGTCTGGGTCTGGAAGGTTGCAACTTGTGATGCTGTCTTTGGAAGGTAGAAAAAAATCTGTATTGCATGACCAGCAAGAGGAGTGCAGTTTGTGCTACGCGGAGTGGGCGTTTCTCATGCGGAATACGCATCAGAAGACCCGTTAAAAAATCTGTGATGCTAGGTCATGCATTGCAGGCATCACGGGTTATGCAAAATATGCGTGACAATGACAAAACTGGCAATCTTCCAGACCCAGATACTTTTGCACTTGATACCGGGTGCACAAAAGCAACTATCCGGGGGGCGGCATGCATGTGCAAGCAGATGTGGAACGGGGGGCGGCGGCGGCCCAGACATCACCAGACACGACAGCGAAAAGGGTAGTAGGTGCGGCGCGACCGATATCCTGAGCAAAAATGTCCCCACACCAGAGTCAAGATGGTAAATCTGCTAGACAAATCAACCAGCTTTGGTTGTTTCGCATGACAATTTTTCCCTCGTAGTAGGGTGCTGTTTGAGGTAGTTCAGCAGCGTCACAGATCTAGTGCATCATGCTGATTGGAGCATAACAAACTCCAAGACACGACTAGAGAATGCTTCTTATGGGGCTCCGCATGCGAAACATTTCCAGCATGCGACTTTGCATTACAGCTATGGGGACGTTTTTGAATACGATAACCGAGGAGCCCCGTACTGGACCGCGACCAGTGGCTATCCAAGAAAAAAACGTTGGTACTGTAAATTTGTAATGCGCAGCGTGCAAATTGATTGCGCCTGTCATGCTGAGCCTGCATAGTAGGGCCCATTCAAGGGCGTCTCGCGTAGTATCTGCGCATGACAGGTTTTGCTCTCATGCCACACAGATTTGTAATGCTGTTCCTCCAAAAAAGTTACACCTACAGTCTTTTCTTCTTGGATAGTGGCTACTGATGCAAGAAACTGAGGTATGCAGAGAAAAAAGCGTTACAGTTACACACATAGTCTATGCAGACCAAGCAACAGAGACACGGTCTGTCATGCGCAAAATGCTTTCGAGTCTCATTTCATACGTGGTTTCCCTTGTGCTCTCCTTCTCTGCATGGCAAGTTTTCTCTCTCCTGCAGAAAAAGTTTGTGTTGCTGAATCGACAACAAATGTGTACTTAACTGTAACACTTTTTTCGTGCGATATGAGGCCGCGCCGCCCCGGTGGGGGACCCCGCTGAGAAATTATCGACCACACCACGCTGGTGTTCCTGTTGCGCCACTATCAAATGCAAAAGTGTCTGGGTCTGGAAACTTGTGATGCTGGGTGGCGTCTCATGATGAGGCCACAAATGCTGGCTCAGCATGACAAGTTTCTGAGCTTCTAGGTGCTGCCTATTCTGCATGACAAACTGCGTTTCTGCATCACAGAAAAGCGGAGCTCTTGGGTAACGTGCATGCCAGATTTAAGAGTCACGCCAGACAAGCACGACAAACATGCATTCTTCCAGACCCAGACATTTTTGCACTTGATAGCCACACATGCAGCGCCATCAAATGCCGCTGCAGGGTCAACATCAAAGTCAGCTCCTGCGTACCCGCGGTGAGAATTTGGTCGTGGTGGATACGATATCAAGTGCGCCGGACGCGTTGGTGGTCGACGCGCTTGGTGGCGGGGGGGTATTAGATGGCATGTTGGAGAACAAGTACGAGCAGAACCCCAACTATGGAAGCGTCAGAATCGAAATCGTCAAAGTTGAAATAGTTTGTCATGCATAAAATGCAACCCACAAAATGAAAATGCCTGTCTTGCAGAGTAGGCAAGGGAGGCAGATCGTAAGCCTGTTCTTGCGGGGTAGAAATAGAGTTGCTGAAGTAGCATGACAAAAGGCATCTTCCTTAGTACCCAAACAGCATCACCAACTGGATTTCGGTTCTACCCAAATTTGTCATTCGCCACTTGAAATAAACTAGGCGCCAACTCCTGGTATCCGTTTTATGCATGGCAAACTATTTCAACTTTGACGATTTCGATCCTGACACTCCCATACCAACCGGACATTTGTCGAGCTTGAGGACGGCACAATAACGGGCGCAGCGGACATATCCAGGAAAAAAAGTGTGTAAGTGTAACTTTCTTTGAGAAACAGCATCACAAATTTGCTCTACATGACAGAGAAAAGCTGTCATGCGTGGCTCTATGAAAAGAGGACTTCATGGCTGTCTGGCATGACAGGTGTAACTCTGTTGCATGTTCTGCAATACAAATTCACACTTACACAGTTTTTTTCTTGCATAGGACAAGGATCTCCAGAACAAGGATCTCCAGGACTTCCTGCGCGACGAGATGGGGTTGGGGGTTGATGTCACCGTATCAAATGTAAAAGTCCCTGGATGTCTGGAAGAGTCATGCTGTTTTTGCATGACACAGAAGGTCGTCTAGCATGGAAGCTCTAGCATCACAGGGTTCGAGAAGCTTCCGCAATGCCGAACCCGCATGAGAAATCCCCCATTTATTTGGTGACAGAAAGTCGGCAGCTTTTGCTACGTATGCATGAGAGATTTTTCTGTGTTCTAAAATGCGCATCACAAGTTCGGACACTTCCAGACATCCAGACACTTTTGCATTTCATACACCGTGGCGGGAAGAACGAACGAGATCATGAAGACCACGACGCACAAGAGTAGAAGTACAACTTCAACTTCATCTTCCAATCGGCGGCCGCTGCAGGAAACCGCCGCTGCAGGTTTGGGATTGGAAAGCAAAGATGACGCTTTTGGCGTTTCCATGGGACCCAAAGCGAAGGCGAATTTTTCAATACCTGTGGTATCCCATTTGAAAACGTTTGAACACGTCGTGTCAAACGACACCAGAGTTGTTTTCAGATTCAGTTCTTGTGCATCAGAGATCCAGAATTTATCAGACCACGACCCTCACGCATGACGATTTATCAATTTATTTCGAGCGAGCATTTGTAAACTGCTAGTGCAAGAAGTGCAGGTTATTAACTGGGGAGGAGTACACCAGCCGCATTGTGCAAATCCATCTGCTTTTTAACCTTAGTATTATCCTGACTACAGCATAATTTACAAGTGACAAAACACGACTAGAAATATTGCCTCCTATGGGAACAATGCGGATATTTGTGTTTCTGTAGAAGCTAAAATAAAAATGAAAATCTGCATGGCAACAACTGTGAGGACTTCGCGAGAATGCGTGGGGTCTCCCTCCTTTGCCCGAAGAGGTTTGAGAAGTGAAAGCCGGCCGAGTTCTCACTCCCTTCCTCGAAGGAAGCTGTTCGGAAAGCGCAGTGAAAAATCGTCGAGCTTTCGTTCCGTTTCTCGAAGCTCTTCGGGAAAGGAAACGGAGCCTCAACGAGTTTCCCGAAAAACTATCGGGAACGAAATGGAATCTCGCTGACTTTTCACTTCGGGCGAAAACTCCGCGAGCTTTCCTTTCGCTTACCGAGGGGCTTCGGGCTCCCGAAGACCTTCGACGGTCTCAAGTGATAAGTCAGCGACTTTCAAATCAACCTTCCCGAAGATATGAAAGTCAGTGCCTGAAGCTCTTCGGGCTCCCACGCACCTTCTTCGGGAGCTTTAGAAGCACCTTCTGTGATGTTCGGGAGCGCGAATAGAAATGGTCGGGGCTTTTCACTTTTTCCACACACAGACGGAGCGCGCAACGTCGCTGACTTTCACTCTGGCTGCCCCCGAAGGTAAAAAGCGGGCACCTCGAGACCCGCTCGCCCCACCACAGCTCGCGGGCGAAGTCATTCTTGCTGCCACCCCTCGAAAGCCTTCGAAAAAGCTCTCCGGCCTTCTAAAAAAAAGCCTCCGGTGCGGCGAAATGGTCCTTCAGCTATGAAAGTGCACAACTCCCCCTGCCCCTCATTTGCATGGCCATGGGATGAACAGCAATACAAACACCAGCACACGTGGAGCCTATGCATGACAAATTTATGCACCTCGTGTAGAAGTGCTTGTTGGGCTTCGAAAATTTGTCATGCAAACAGTGCCACAGAGATTTTGCATTGCAAATGAGAAGAGGGAGAGTTGTGCACTCTCATATCAACCCCGGAGACTTGACAAAAGTGGTGTTTTGTGATGTAGAGGAGGCTGCTGTTGTCGTAGCTGCCAGTGGCCTCGGCACGCTGGTCAAAATGTCTTCCCGCGTCACCAGTCGCGAAGACGGTGCTGCTCCGCCTTTATCAAATGCAAATATGTCTGGGTCTGGAAACTTGTGATGCTGGTTGAGAAAGACGAGGACGCCTCAATTGACTTGCAAGCATGACAAGTTTTGGAGGTGCTACAGTCTTGGCTTTTCTGCATGACAAACTGAGCTTCTGCATGACAGGAAAGTGAAGATTTTGGGTAATGTGCATGACAGACTTGAGAGTCATGTCAGACAAGCATGACAAACCTCCATTCTTCCAGACCCAGACATTTTTGCAGTGCATAGCCTTGCTGATTATACAACTGTTGTGCCCCCGCCAGGGGTTGATGCGTTGTGCCAGCGCCGTTTGGCGTCGTCTGCAAGTGCGTTTGGTTCGCGACACTAAGCTGGGGCGACATCGATGACAGGAGTGGTTGCTGTTGCTGCTGCTGCAATTGCGGTTGCATATTAATACTTCAAGTCGAGTGTGTGACGAGGATTTTGCTTCGAAGTCGAGTGTGTTGACGCAGATCTATTCGATTCCGAATTTGCTTCGATGAGATAAGTATAAATAAAAGCCTACATGCTGATGAATTCAGCAGGACGAAAGTGATTGGGCTTACGTTCAGGCTCTTTCCTACCTCCTACGAGAATTAGGCGATCTTGTGAAGAGGTCGCGCTCGACGTGCTGTTGTGGTGCTGATTCTAAAAGAACTGGAGTGACAAAGAAAAATGGGAACAGAATGAGGTGTATAAGCTAAAAGAAAAATGAAAATCTGCATGGCAACAACTGTGGGGTCGTCGCTACTTTGCTCGACCACACCCGCCCGCCCTTGTCTCGGTCGCCTGGGTATGACAGGCGCGCAGATCCTAGCTGCCAGACATATGACGTTTCGCAACTGCTCGAACTCGCCAACGCATGCGCCGTCGTTGCGCGCCGTTGTTGTGGCGCCCTCGTGCGGCTCTGAATGCAGTTGGTATCGGTTTCACCTCAGCCCCTTGTGTGGTGTTGGCTGTGACTCCGCCTGCGGGGAAAATCAACACTCGCTCCTCGCGGACCTCCGCCTCCCTCACACGCGCGCATAACATCCGCGGCTCGCGGACCCCGCACATACGAGCGTGCGTGCAAAGGCTCGCACGAAATCGACGGCATGGGAGGCAGCCTGCTGCCGCAGCTGCTTGCCCATGATCTGCCCTGCGGGGGGGCTCGCGGCTGGCGCTGTCGCGTCCCCATGTGCATACTGCCTTGACGTGTCGCGGATACCAAGCGCAAATGCGGATAAAGAGGGCGGATAGCTGTAGCTAGCGCTTCGCCCATATCAGCCGCTTTATCGAGTCTCGTCGAGGGTGGAAATTAACTCGTAACCACCCACCCAAGCCGATGGCTTAACTCGCAAGCAACCAGATGGCGTTACGTTTCTGGGAGATCCGGGATCCGGGGACGAGCGGGGGGTGGGCGGGCGACGCGGACAGGCCAACCAGGCCAACTTCCCATCCACCCGGCCGGGTGGATGGGAAGTTGGCCTGCAACTTCTGGTGGGAGGTTTGTTACCCCACTCTATAAGCTAAAATAAGAATGAAAATCTGCATGGCAACAACTGTGGGGTCGTCGTGGGGACGTTTTTACACAGGATGCGTGGGAGTGGGCGGCGCTGCTGCAGTGAGTACTTCTAAGAATGCCAAGAACGCTCCTAACCACGAGGGAGGTCCGCCGGCCGTTCGCGGGAGTAAGGAAGATACTAGCAGTGCTGGCGCCTCTTCTTCTTCGGCTTTTCCAGGGTTGAGTTCATACTCACAGCAGCAGAAATTCGATTCTGCCGAAGTAGATCCTGTCGCGCCTGAAGTTGATGTACTACACGGCATGAAGATCATCAGGAGCCCTAGTGCACTTCCGGAAGGTATGCAAGAAAAAAGTGTGTAAGTGTAAGTCTGTGATGCAGAAAATGCAAAACAGTTACACTTGTCATGCTGGACATGCATCAGAAGCTCTTTTTGTACGTGTTTTTACGTACTAGCCGCGCATAACAGGAGGCTCTCTCTGTCATGCAGAGAAAACTGATGCTATTCCACCGAGAAAGTGACACTAACACAGTTTTTTTCTTGGATAGAAGGGAGCAGAGGGATATTGACCCGCCCCCCACCATATCATGTGCAAAAATGTCGGGGTCTGGAAGGTTGCAGCTTGTGATGCTGTCTTTGGATTCCAAAAGAATCTGTATTGCATGACTAGCAAAAGGCGTCCAGTTTATTGTGCTACACGGGGAGAGCATTTCTCATGCGGAATAAGCATCAGAAAGCCTTCTAAAGATCTGGGATGCTAGGGCATGCATTACAGACATCATGGGTCATGCAAAATGAAAATATGCAAAAATACGCCCCCTCCTCGGGGGGGGTATAAATTCGGGCGCAATGACAAAAAGAGGCGGAACGCAGCGAGGAGAGTTGCCTCGCTGACGTTACCGACCCCAAAAAGATCCGTAGCGTAGACGTGCGCACATTGCGCGAGAGATCCAGTAAGCGTATTGGATGTCCCCCCTCTATTAGATTGTCGTCAAGGATAGTAGCCGATAGCTTTACTGCATTGCCGCCTTCGCGATATTTTTTAGCGGACCCCGCACAAGATCCCTCATGCGCTTCCCACTTAGTAAGAGTAACACTATGACTAACATTGCAAACACATAGACTCCCCTCGCTTCGGCACACCTCATCTGCCTAGTCGCCCCTAGGCAGGTGCAGGAATTTTCTGTGTGGGCTTTTTCTGATTAATTATTCCGACAGGGGCTGCGTCTTTTTTTTCTGCCTTGCCAGCAGAGTATGTATGAAAGGGGGGGGCTGACGGAAGTGGAGCGAGACCTTGGTGCTGGAGCAGGGGACAAGAGTGGAAATGGTACAAACAAAACAAAAGCACCAATATACCCGCGCCATCTGCTTAACTGTGTGAATTATTGTGTCGGCCCGGTCCTGTTTAGTCGCAGGTCGGTGTCCGTGAGATCAGAATTCACATGTTAAGTAACGCACACCGGCTCCTAGATAAAAAAAAATGATGAATTTATATGCGAATGGGGCCCAATCAAAAAAAAAAATATGCATGACAAACCTGGCGATTTTCCAGACCCAGACATTTTTGCAGTTGATACGCCATCGCACCGGCCGCCCGCCCTGGCAGCACATGATTACTCCACGTCCGCCTTTTCGCCGCCGGCGACTGCCGAGGAATGGGAAAGGCTACAGATGCTTCGCGGGTACCAAGAGTATTGAACCGATTCAGTTTGAAATAGGCTCTTGCTTGTTGGTGCCGCTGGTACCGTGCCACTGCGCGCGGCACTAGCGACGCTCCTACAGGTTATTTCAAGAATAGTTCTACATGATCTTTTTGCTTGATTGTATATTTTCTTACTACACGACCCGTTTACGGTTTTTTATGTTGACGCGAAGATAAGAAGCAATTCACGATTGTCACGTGACGAGTACTAGTTGTAAGGTTATAATTACTGAAAAAAAAAACATTGTTCTTGTACTTCACTTCAATTTTGTGATGCGCAACATCCAAAGTGATTGCAGCTGTGATGCTGGGCATAATGCATTGACATTGTGCTGCGTCAAGCCATTGCACATTTTTGTAGGCCGATGTTGAAAAATAAAGAAGAACAAGTTATTTTATTCCAGCATTACAACGATACTGGTCGCAATTCCGATTATTTTTCCCCTCGGTCGTTCTCTGGCTCATTTGATGTAAACGTGTGGCAGAGCAACAGCAAGAAGCACCTTTTCGTGTTCTCACAACTACATCTCTGATAATTCAGTGCGAGCAGTCGATTATTCGGGCGCTGCGACCCGCAAAAAATCATCGAGGAACGACGTCGGTATCATTGGTTTTTTCCTGCGTGCTGATATGCACACACAGTATGAATATTTTCTTTGACATCTACTTCTGTCATCAAAAGAATGATCGACCTTATCCACATCCTCCGCCCTGCTTGTGCAGCTGGCTTCCGCGGCCGCCCATAGAGAGTTTCATTGTTGTCGGTCAAAGAACAAGTAGTACAGAAGTTGTCGTCGAAAATCGATGGATCATTTGAGATGATCATGTTGATGACGTCGTCTCTTGCGAAGATTTATTTCGGTCTCACCTGCTAAAACTTCTCTCGGATCATCGAAGATCTTCACAGGTGATAGATGTTGCGTCAATTATTATCCTGTGTGGCCCTTTTCAGGAACTACCCACCTGTAGTCGATGCTCGTGCAGCTATTTGTAAACTATATATCCCCCACGAAATTATAATGAACTCGAACTCGAAGCGGGACTACAGTTTCTCATGCCAGTTTGTGGCTCTGGTTCTGGAAAAATAAGAATCTGTGATGGAGGTTTTGTTTCAGTACTTACTACGGTAGTAATTTTTACCCCCGATCATTATGGACACCACTTTCAGAACATCAAAGACGTGAACAATCGTTGACCCCGGTAAAAATTCGGAAGTGCTCGGTCCTGCTCTTTCTGACATTCCCTTTATTCCTTACTCTTATCGACACTAACTTACTACCGCACTTGCTTAGCACCGAGAGAATGTTAGTCGCGGTGTAGAAGATGCGGATCCTAGTGGTATTCTCCCAATGTTGGTAGATTAATTGCGGAAGTTGTGGGAAATCGAAATCCAAATCTTTAGCAACAGTACAACTAGAACCATATCCCCCACCTATGGATCCTACTAAGCGTGGCTACAAAAACGCGCTGGACGCGTCCTACACTGGCGGTACGTCCCAGCTATCGTGGGGAAATTTGAAACTGTCGCAGTCTCACCTTGTGATGCGGAGCGTGGTCCTTGAGACAGTTTTTTGTCATGCTTGTTCTCGACAGGTATAAGAATGAAATGGACACTTTAAAATAAGTACTAAGTACCTGTTTTATTCATCTCTTGCATCTGACGCTGAAGGAAATGAATAATAAAATCTGTAATGCTGAACCTGCATAAGGTTTGAGACTGAGGCAGTTTTTTCGTACGATGTCCGCCCCTGTTCGATTTCAAAGCGTATTCCAACAAGACGGCACATATCAACTGCAAAAGTATCGTACTCGTATAAATGCATTACAAATTTCCGCAGCATGAGAAATAAAATTTGTAATGCGGATTTGCGTTCAGAAAAAAATTTGTAATGCATGATTGCAATACGAGCACGATAGTACTTTAGCACAGGATACCACACCCAGTCGGGTACAGGTCGTCGTCGCAAAGCGGGACCACAAGAAATTCGAACAAAACTTCGCCCGAGTTGTATCCTGATTAAAAACTACGTCCCCACGACCCCAGAGTCAAGTTGTCAAATCTGCTACACAAATCAGCCAGCTTTGGTTGTTTCGCATGACAAGTTTGGGTTCGTAGTGTAGTAGTCCTTTTTAGCTGGTGGAGCCGCATGACAAATTGGCTACCTGATCCTGATTCCAGCATGACAAGAAAATACCAGATAGCACCACAGTAGAAAATGGCTGTCATTGGGCTCTGCATGAGAAACATTTTCAGCATGCAGATTTGCATTACAACTATGGGGAGGTGGGGACGTTTTTGCATAGGATAAGTTGCAGCAGGGGCAGAATTTGATTCCCGGCGAGCAGCAACGCATGGATCATGCCGGTGCATTTTTTGGGGACGGCAGCGTGCAGCAAGGGCCAGCATCAGCAAGTGTCGTTCCGCCGCCACCGCCACTACCGAAAAATTTGGGCAGTCCGAAGAACGCATCTTCAAACCGTCGCCCAGCGCCCATCAGGACGGAGGACTCCGGAACAACAAACGTTGCAGCGACAAGTGGTAACTACAATAATGACTTTTCTTCACCAAAGAATGTCAAAAATGTGGACGGGCTAGTACATGGTGGAAATCAAATATGCAAGAAAAAAACTGTGTAAAAATGCAGAACATGCGACAGAGTATACACCTGTCATGCCAGACAGCCATGAAGTCCGCTTTTCATGTGTGTTTTCCCTTAGAGGCCACGCATGACCACAGGTTTTTTCTGTTATGTAGATCAAATTTGTGATGCTGGCAGCCAAAGAAAGCTAGACTGACACAGTTTTTTTCTTGGATATCAAAACCAAAAGCACCAGACGACGCCGTCGAGTGGCAATAAAATCCGCGAAGCCAGTAGCATGCGGGAGTACGCTATCCTGAGTAAAAACGTCCCCACCCCAGAGTTGTCATGCAAAAACACTTGCTCAAAATGTTTCTCATGCGGGGCCCTATGACAGGTATTTTCTAGTCGTGTTTTGGAATTTGTAATGCTCCAATCAGCATGGTAGGCTAGATTTGTGATGCTTCTGAACGAGGTAAACAGGATTACAGTACGAGGCCGAACTTGTTATGCGCAACGCCCTAAGCTTGTAGATTTGTCTAGCAGATTGACTATGGGGTGGGGACGTTTTTCCTCAGAATATACGCAGCACCTTTGTCACCGGAGTTTCGGAAACCGAAAACAAGCGGTACAACTTATCCTGAGCAAGAACGTCCCCACCCCAGAGTTGTCATGCAGATTTGCAATGACAGGAACATTTGTAATGCGCATCTACATCAGAGGCATTTCCAATCGTGTTTTGGCATTTGTAATCCTGTAAACAGGATGAGGAGATGAGTTTGTCATGCGACTGTCCTTCCTAACCTGCACTACACTACAAAGACGAACTTGTCATGCATGGCTTCCAAAACTCCTCGATTTGTGTTGCAGAGTTCACAACTTGACTATGTGGTGGGGACGTTTTTACTCAGGATACAAGTACGCCCAAATCTACAAGCAACGCCGCTAACATGCTGAATGCGAGGCTCGAGTCCACAACCAGCTACAGTCGGCAGGGCAGCAGCAGCGAATTCCGGCAGGTGCGCATGCGCACGCCCAGTCACGGGTATCCAAGAAAAAAACTGCGTAAGTGTAAATTAGTGTTGCAGAAAATGCAAAACTGTTACACTTGTCATGCTGGACATGCATCAGAGGCAATTTTCGTGCGTGTTTTCACGTACTAGCTACGCATGACAGGAGGTTTTCTGTGTCATGCAGAGGAAACTTGTGATGCTATTCCTCCAAGAAACTTACACTTACACAGTTTTTTTCCTGGATAACGGGGAAGTGGTGGTTAATAGAAGTGCTTCTGGTGGAGGAGGTGCAGCGGCCACGACACAGGAGCTGCATCTTCAAACGGAATTTATTTCATCGCAAGGAACTAGTACGACGCCAGCGAATTATAATTTTTGGCCCAGCTGGGTCTGGCAGTACGCCGCGAACAGCTTTCAGGACGGACGAACTAGTATGGAATGCAAATATCTGGTCATCAAGAACATCTTCCGGCGGGTGGTCTGCAACCAGGGAGCCGACATTTGTCATGCTGTTTTTGCATTTGCAGGAAGGGGTGGAATTTATCACGCAGAGAGTATCCGGATCATTCGTCAATAAGCTTTTTCATCGATCGATCCTTAGACCCCCGTCTGAGATGAAGTAGTGCTCATGGATCTTCGGGACGAGACAAGATGAAACGCACATCCTTTATTTCTCACTATACAACAAGACGGATTTTTCATTTTATCATCCACTCCATATCAACTCATTCTCAACAGCATCACAAGTTTGCGCAGTGGTCTTTCATCGCAGAGGACCACCACCCAACCATTTTTGCAAAAATGCATAGGGGCAAGCAACACAACTTCTAAGGGCCCGTCACATTTCAAATATCTCGACGGCGTCCCAGCGGGAACTACAAGTGCTGGTGCCCAGCAGCAAAGAGGATTTGCGGGTGGAAGTAGGAGACCCTATAAAGATTACATCGACGACGAGCTGTCTTCTAGAGGATTCTACTCTCGTTTCCTCCACGAGAAGTGCGGCCTGACGCCGAAACTGCTCCTCGCAGTGCTTGCGGGCTTGGCCCTCGGCGCGGTGCTGGTGATTGTCACGTTTTTGCTGTTCGCCGGAGATGGAATATCAAACAAAAAAAGTTCCTCACGATCGTCACTCATGCGCATTTTTGTAATGCAAAACTTTCTGTCATGCTAAAAAATGCATCACAGCCAAACTTTACAGGGGATTTGCCTAGTGCTTCTGCAATACAAGGAAGAGTTGTTATTCTAAAAAAGTTTGTAATGCAAAACCTGCATTAGTTAGTGACTGTGAAAAACTTTTTTCCCTCCATATGGAAAAACGAGCAGTGAGGAGGGCAATCCTTCAAATATCCTGAGTAAAAATGTCCCCACACCAGAGTTGTCATGCAAATGCGCAATGAGAGGAAAATTTTTAATGCGCGTCTCCATGAGAGGCATCGCATTTCCAATCGTGTTTTTGACTTTGTAATGCTGTAGGCACGATGGGAAGCTGGGTTTCTCATCCGGCTTCCCTTGCTGACCAGCACTACACTGCAGATGGAAGCTTGTCATGCGCAGCTCTCAAAACTTGGAGGTTTGTGTTGCAGATTTACCAACTTGACGTATGGGGTGGGGACGTTTTTACACAGGATATCAGAGACCGGGACGAGGAACCCCGGCTCGCAGCAGGAACCTGCTATGTCCCTGTCCGAAGTGCAACGATCCATAACAAATGCTCTAGTGATATCAAATGCAAAAGTGTCTGGGTCTGGAAGGTTGCAACTTGTAATGCTACTTCTGGATCGTGCAAAAATCTGTGTTGCATGAATGCCAAAAGCTGTCCACTTTTGACCCAGTTGAGAGGAAGTTTCTCATGCAGGAAAGGCATGATACGGATCTCACAGAATCTGTCATGCTAGGTCCTGCATTCCAGACGACGTGGATCATGGAAAATCTGCATGACAAACCTAGCAATGTTCCAGACCCAGACATTTTTGCTTTTGATAAGTGAACGGCGTGCCCCATTTCAACGCCGGCGACCCCTGTACTACGGTGACGATCTACCAGAGCGAGCAGGAAACCCTACTCACGAAGCAAATCCCCACCAACGTGCGAATAAGGTTGACGGAAACTATGCAATGCAGAAGCATCGTACTAGTATAAATTGCATTACAAATTATAGCCCAGCACTACAAATTAAATTTGTAATGCTGATTTACCTTATGAAAGAGATGCAATTACTACGAGTACGATACTTTTGCACGGGATAGAAACCAACCTGCAGCAAATGATGCAGTCGTTTGATACGACAAGGAGTTCGAGTACTGAGTGTATCAATACGCATTGCAAATATGTCTCGTTCCTCTGGAAGATTAAAACTTGTCATGCTAAATCTGAATGATGCAAATATCTGTGGTGCGTGAGTACCAAAATCCGTCCGCCTTTGACCAAATTGAGAGGGAGTTTCTCATTCAGGAAAGGCATGATAGAGACCGGAAGAAATCTGTCATGCTGGGTCTCGCATTCCAGACCTAATGGCTCATGCAAAACGTGCATGACAAGTCTCAGAATCTTTCCGACCCGGACATATTTGCAATTCATAATCAACGCGGCGTGGCAAATCAGATACGCGTTCGACGATGTGCTGGCGATGCAAGACCTAGCTGCGCAGGTGGAGGACAACAACGCACAATTAGCCGGAAGTAGTTCGTCATCTGGAGCAGGTACTTCTTCGGCACCCGCTTCCTCAGCCGTGAAAGAAACAAAATCCGTATCGCAAGGAAGAATTCCCCCCTGGCCCGTATTGACGAGGTAGGTTTTCGAAAATTTGTGTTGCTGATTTGTGACGACCACAAATCGCGTCTGTCTTGCAAGACGCCATTTATTCCACCGGCTCCGCCGCATTATTCTTGCAGGCGGTTTGTCATGCTGTTGGGCCTGCAGCGCGGACGTTTTTCATGCTAAGCGCCTAGGTCACAGCCTCGCTGCTCAGGCTTGGTATGGGTCTGCAGTCCGCTCCATCAAGACGAATCTGACTTGTGTACGCAAATCCAGCTACTTCGGAGACTTTGTTTTGATAGATATCTATGGGGAGGGGGATTTTTCCTTTTGATAATCCGTGGCCGAAATTCAGACGGAAATTACCCGCGAGTTGACGGGTATTTCGGCAGAACCGTATTACAGTGAAAAGTGCCCCCCACCCCCAAAGTGGCAAAAATTTGTGATGCGAAGTTTCCAAATGAAAATTTTTTGTCATGCATGAAAGGAATATGAATCTTTCTGATGCAGATTCTCGTGGTGTTTCGCATCGCTCGCATGACAAGCACCGCTCTTGCTGGGATCTTTTGCAATACAAATTTTTGCTATTCACCATCGGAAATCTGTGATGCTGATACACGCAAGAGGGCGAATGTTTCATTTGGAAAGGTTTGCAATGCAAATGCTTTCAAGTTCGGGGGTGGGGGCATTTTTCATTGTGATAAACCGGACGCCAAGCAAAAAACGCAGCTCGCGTTGAACCTGCACCGGAAATTTCTGAGTAGCTACCAATTGCCCCTTATGCATTGCAAATATGTCTGGGTCTGGGAGAGTGCAACTTGTGATGCTCATTTGGATGCTGAAAAAATCTGTATTGCATGAGCAGCAAGAGGAGTCAAATTTGGCTACGCGGAGGGGGCGTTTGTCATGCGGGATGCGCGTCGATAAACGGTAAAAAGTCTGTAGTGCTAGGGCATACATCACAGACATCATGGATCATGGAAAATGTGCATGACAAAGTTGTCCTCTACCAGATGCAGACACATTTGCATTTGATACCCCTCGACATCGAGATTATCGTGAAAAATGCGGAGCTGAAGTTGAACAGCTACTACCGAGTTTTGCCGATCGACTCCCAGAATTCAGAAACGGCGTTGGTCGATAACTTCGGAACCGAAGTGTTGCAGATGCTTTTGGAGCAGGAGTTTGAAAGAATTCTAGCTTTACCTTCCAGCTCCGGAGGGAGTGGCGGGGGCGTTTCGGGGACGCAGGTCGTGCCAACAGCTGCAGCAACAACGACAGCGTCAGCCTCCTCTTCGAATGGTGGCAGCGCAGGGACCTCAACTTCGCAAGCAGCAGCTGCTGGTCCAGCAACAGCTATCCCATGTAAAAACGTCCCCACCCCATAGTTGTCATGCAAATCTGCATGGTAAAAATGTTTCTCATGCGGAGCCCTATGAGAAGCGTTTTCTCTTCGTGTTTTGACATTTGTGATGCTTGAATCAGCATGCTAGGCTAGATCTGTGATGCTGCTGGGGCTATTATAAATAGGATTATACTACGAGGCCAAACTTGTCATGCGCAGCAACCAAAGCTGGTGGATTTGTCTAGCAGAATTCCCATCTTGGCAGCTCTGATGTGGGGACGTTTTTACATAGGATAACAGTACCGTCCGCCACGAATCCCGCGTCTGACCGGGGAAAAGTGGTGTTGCCTTACCAACTGCAAATATGTCTGGGTCTGGAAGAGTGTAAACTTGTCATGCTGTCTTTGGATTCCAAAAAAATCTGTATTGCGTAAGGAGCAAGAGGAGTCCAGTTTATGCTACGCGGCGGGGGTATTCCTCATGCGGTATAGGCATCAGGACGCCCTCGCAAAATCTGGGATGCTAGGTTATGCATTACAGGCATCATCGGCCATGCAAAATGTGCATGACAAGTGTTCATCCAACCTTTCAGACCCAGACATTTTTGCATTTGATATGCCTCCCACTCCAACCACGACCACGAGCGCGCCGACTCAGTTCGCCACGAATTATCAAAATGAAAAATCCCCCCTCCCCATATCGAAAGGGAAGTCTGTGATGCTGTATTTGCGTACACAAATCAGCTTTGTCGTGCAGTAGAGCACTACAGGCAGATGCAAAGCCTGGAACGGGGTGGCTTGAGGTAGTCACTTAGCATGGCAGATGTCTGCCCCATTGGCGCGGCAGCATTACAAATCGCCTGCGAAATGCGGCGGAAGCTCTGGCTTTGCCCTCTTGCAAGACAGACTCGATCTGTGGCCACAAATCAGCATCACAAATTTTGAAACGCGCACCGTTTCGATATGGGGAGGGGGGATTTTTCCTCACAATACGAATTCCAATCTGTTCACCCCCGTCAGCCTCACCTCCGGCGCGTTGCAAATTGTGACCGACCGCGTGATGGGGGGCATTTCTACGGCGTCGTATGATACGGGAAGGAAAATCTTCCAGGGCAATGTTCTAGCCGCGAACAACGGCGGTTTTGCATCGGTTCGGATGTACAAAGCAATGAATTTTGACAAAGCCGCGGGCTACAAGGGGTTGTACGTGAAAGCGCGGCGGGCGGACGACATTACGAACGACGGCACAAATCGGGAAATCACCCTGGAAATGATCGCCGACGTGAGCGGTGTGGGGCAGTACGTGATGGAGTTTAAACCGAATTTTTCGGACACTTCCGCGACTTTCCTCTTTCCCTTTGACGGCTCCTGGGCGCAGGAGGCTTTCAGCTGGCGGCGGAGTGGGAAGCGGGCGGTCTTGTTTGACCCGACAAAAATCGGGATGCTGGGGTTTATGGCGATCAAGCCGAAGATTCTCGGGGAGTTCGCCGTGTACATAGAGGAGCTGGGTGGTTATTTCTGATGCCAAATTTTTATTTTTATGAGAAGCATAATGCCCGATCTCAGCCTCAGGTTCCTCGTTTTTGTAAACAGGAGTGACAGGAGCGACAGAACAGGAGTAAGTTGCAGACATAGAAGAAGAAGATGTGCAGCAGGAGTGTGGGTTTGCAATCTTCTCGACGAGGAGAAGCATGATAGATAAGGCGGCCGGACTATACAGTGTCGGTGTCGCCGAAGCAAGAGAACAAAAAGTCTACACAAGTACTCACCGCACATCAGCCACAGCGCGATCATGAAGCTGATTTTATTTCTGTTGTTCATCCCACCTCTCGTTTGACTGACCTGCGAAAGATAAGAAACGCAGCGAGCTCCTTCGAAGCGGGGGCACCGAAGCGGCACCAGCTGCCAGTATTCGGTACATATACCTCCCTGTTCGACACAAGCTAGGTGCAAGAACTTGTTCTGTTGCACTCAGACGAAAAAGAGCACATCATGCACAGTCCCCGTACGTCGAAGAACTTGATAAAAACGAAGGTTGTGAGTGAAAATAAGTCACTGATTATAAAAGCAGAAAAGTACAGCTGAAGAATTCGACATTTCATGAACGCAGCTGAAGTACGTAAAACTGAACGACAGCATTTGCATGTTTTTTTCGTATTAATTGTTGTTGTCGGGTGCTCACAGTAGTTGTAGTGCAACCACCTCCGCTGGAAGGGTAAGTAAGTACCTGCTCCGATAGTTTCATACGTCAGTCCGATTTTTAAAGATATAAGCCCATTTCATGCTCTCACAGGCATTTCTGCACGGCCCCACGTTCGTTCGCTACTTTCCCTTCGTCCCCTTGATATTTACCCCCGTGTCGGAGGAAAGTGCCACCACCTTCGCAAGCTTGACCTGTACTTGTTTAGTAGGCAGATAGGTTTTCATTTACCAGAATCGTCTTCATCAACATCTCCTCCTCGCTTTCAATGCTACCCAAGACTCAGCAGCAAATAGACTTTTTTTTTGTGCCAAGCGGTTCGTTGAGGTTGAGAACGACGACGGTGATGTAGAAGAAGAAGAAGAAGAAGTCACTTCCATAGCTTTATTAGATCCCAAAAATGTTCGCCGCCACCTACCAGCAGTTGGAGCAACAGAACAAGAACGCCGGCGGAATAAATAATACTAGCCTAAATCTGCACGGCATCGTAAGGAAAAATCCCCCCTCCCCACACAGAAAAGGCATACTTTCGGAAATTTGTGATGCTTGCTTGTGCTCACAAATCGTGTCTGTCTTGCAAGAAGGCAAACCCAGAAGCCCCCTCCCGCATTATGCCTGCGGTTTGTGATGCTGAAGGCGTACCGCATGGACTTTTTTCATGCCGAGCGCCTTGGCCAAAACCTCTCCCACTCAGGCTTGCTATGGGCCTGCAGTCCTCTCCAGCAAGACAGATTTGATTTGACTACTCAAGTCCAGCGTCACAAGTGTCCATTTGGATATGGGGAGGGGGGATTTTTCCTTTTGATACACGGCGTGAACAAGTCCGAGCGGTTACTGTTGCCCAATGTCGTGGAAGAAGGTCTCCGGTCCAACGGGTTCACCTCTGCTTTCTCCGCTCCGGTGCACGAGGATGCGCACGACGAGTACAAAAGGGCGCCTGCGCACCACAACACGGTCATCCACGGGACGGAGAGGGCGCGGCATGTGGTTGACGACCCTGTGAACAAGATGCAGAAGAACACGTGCAGCGTGCGGCCAGCCGAAGCGGGCCACGGGGTCGTGCAACAGCTTGGGCCCCCCACTTCGCACCAGAAACAGTGCAGCAACACCGTCGAAGCCGACAGCTACACCATCCATTTAGATCCTTTAGGAGTGACCAACGACGGGCCTTCTACTTCGAGGGATAATAATACCAGCTCGAATTATTTTTACAGCAGCCGGTGGAATTATTCATACGGCAGCGGCGGGACCACGGGTAGCACGTCCATCGCCTCGCTGCTGCAGCAAGCTTTTGACACGGTCCAACTTCTGTTACCAACGTACGCCACGCAGGAAAACCTTAAATGGGTCGCGAGGATAGTGTTCTTGGTCGTCTTGATTCTCTACTTGCTCCCCATGACGTTTGGCTTGGTCGGATTACTCTTCTCCGGCTTTTCGCTCTCGGCGGTGCAGTATGCATTGCAAAAATGTCTGGGTCTGGAAGAATGCAACTTGTAATGCTAGCCTTACATTCCTGGGAAATCTGTATTGCATAACCGACAAAAGCCGCAGCCATTTTTGTCATGCAAAAACGTAGTTTCTCATGCGGATTGCCTATGAGATAGCGCTCCGGAAAGTTGTCGTGCTGGGCTGCATTCGGAAGTGTTTCCATCATGCACATTTTAGCATCACAAGTTTCCAGACCCAGACATTTTTGCATTTCATATGCGGAATCCGTACACGGAGGAGTACAACAAAAAAATCGTCGCCACCGAGCAACAGGCGATGGACCCCAACGAGATTGCGGGGCCAGAGCAAGTATGAATTGCAAAAGTATCGTACTCGTATAAATGCATGACAAATTCCCTCAGCATGAGAAATCGAATTTGTAATGCGGATTTGCCTTGAGAAAAAAATTTGTAATGCTAACGCATGATTGCAATTCAATGGAATTACAATTACTACGAGTGCGATACTTTTGCACGGAATAGCAAGACAAATCTGCGACATCAATTTCCGAAAACAACAACAACCCAGAAGGACTCTCCGACCGCACAACTTCCCCGGTGAATGACACGACGCTGTGGTATTGGGACAGTCGGCTGCTGTTCCTCTACGTAATTCCCATTTCCTTTGGCGTCTACGCGTATTTCCGCAACAAAGACAACCAGAACGGGGACGTGGTTACGGCTTGCAAATTAATATGTCTGGGTCAGGAAGATAATCGCAAGTTTGTCATGCTCGGCTAGCATGATGACATTCATGCGCATAATTTTTTACACAAAAGCAGCTCGAATTTCAATTTCGTGTCATTCTAGAAGGCAGTTTCTTGTCATGCAGAATAAGTATTACACAATACCTAGCAACTGAGATGAAGCTTGTCATGCTGAGCTGGCGCTTGTGGTGTGCTCATGGTTCGCCACGCAGCATCACAAGCTTCCAGACTCCGACATTTTTGCAAAGCATAACAATGCAGCAACAATTGCTCGGCGATGACGGGAGGAGACGGAACAGTCACACGAGCGCCGGGGCGGCAGGAGGGAGCAACGGCTTCGGAGATGCGGATGAACACGCGGAGTATGAGCCGCTTCCGTAAATTCTTGGTCGCGTGCGTCCTCCAGTGGTTCATGTACATACAACTTTACGAGGAACCTATTGTGCAGTTGTTCGAGAAGATGAATGATTCTTCATTTGGCGCAACAAGCAAGACAAAAGAACTTGCAGATTTTTGTCTAGGAAGGCGCAGTAGCAGTTATGAGGTTGAGGCAAGGTATTATATATTGAAGCACCTACCTCGTCGAGGACCTGCTTCCTACACAAAAATTTCGACGCAAAAGTAGTATAAAAACCACTAGTATAATTCTTCAAGAATCCATCACCGCACGGAGTCAGTCTCTCTTTCTACTTGAAGCTGTGATAAAGCAAAGTCTTTTCATCTCGTTGGACTGGAGTCGAACTGGATGTGGGCAGCAGGGTCAACAGCACTTTGTTCACTAGAATGTGAAAAGGAAAAAAGACTACAGTTGTGTCTTGTCAGCAAAGGACTTTCTTGTGTTCAACGATTGAACAAAAATCAAGTGTGTTCTTCAACAAGGGAGCCGAAGATCACCACTTAGCTGTTCAGGACCAGCACAGGAGCCTTCATTTCTTTTTGAGCGGCCGATATAGAAGTAGATCACAGAAGATGACACACGACCCTTTGGACCAGTAGAGGATCCCCTCTCTTTAGCGCAGAGAGGTGATCCTCTTTTTCTCTCAAGCTTAATCTCTTTGACCAGTTGGTCTTTTTCTCTTGGCTTAGAAAGTCCAAGAGAAAAAGAACCTGGTCAAAGACTCTAACTCTAACGTGGTAACCGGGGGCACATACTGCTTTAGAGACCTTTTTTTTTTTTTTTAAAGCCAAGAGGTAACCGGGACCTTTTTTTTTTTTTGTCTAACCGCTAACCGGGGGCACATACTGCCAAAACGCTGGCTCCGGTGCCCGGAACTCATCATCGCACCCACACGCGCACACAGGCGGCGACGCTTGCGCACTACAGCCTCTAAAAAGGCACCAAACAGCCACACTGGGCGCCAAAGTACTAAAGACATCACTCAACCCGATAGGCAGACCCACACTGGGGCTCATAACAGGAGCCAGACAGCACACATAGGCATGGGGCACCTCCTGAAAGGGATCTGCAGATGGCGTGGGCGATCAAGTCCACGAAAAAGAAAGCACCCGAAGGTGCTAACCTTTCCTGTGCAATAGATCACAGATGTGCAAGTAGATCACCCTTTGGACCAGTAGAGGATCCCCTCTCGACGTACTCACCTCTGGTGCGGGCCCTATCAAATGCAAAAGTGTCTGGGTCTGGAAGGTTGGAACTTGTGATGCGCATTTCAAAACACAGAAAAATCTCTCATGCATAGGTAGCTAAAGCTGCCCACTTTCTGTCAGCAAAATAGGGGACTTGTCATGCGGATTCGGCATTGCGGAAGCTTGTCGAAATCTGTGATGCTAGAGCTTCCATGCCAGACCTTCTGTGTCATGCAAAAACAGCATGACTCAGACATTTTTGCATTTGAGAGGCCCTTGCCCACGCCGATGTTTGAAAACATGAGAATCCCGCCCGAGGACGAGCACGTGCAATACTGTACAACCGACCCGGAGTATCACGAGAAAAAAGTGTTACAGTTACACATTGTGTTGCAGGCCAAGCAAGACAGACAAGCTCTGTCATGCCAGATATGCGTAGGAGCCTCGTTTCACAGGTGTTTTCCCGTAGGATATCTGCATTACAAGTCTTCTCTCTCATGCAGAGAAATTTGTGTTGCTGAATTCACTACAAATGTGTAACTGTAACACTTTTTTCGTGGGATACGGAGTACCACGAGAAAAAAGTGTTACAGTTACACATCTGTTGGAGTTTGTGCATCACAAATTTATTTCTCTGTGTGGCAGAGAAAACTTGTAATGCGAAGATCATAAGGGGAAACAGGAAGGAAACGAGGCTCCCAAGCATTTCCTGCATCAGAAAGGTTGTCTCTGTTGCCGGTGTTGCAACACAATGTGTAACTGTAACGCTTTTTTCCTGTGATACGGAGGTGGTGCAGGAGGTGTTCAATCTCGGGAATTCCGATATTGTGAGGAAAAATCTCCCCTGCCCATATCGAAAAGGAAATTTGGGATGCTGATTTGTGGCCACTAATCAGCTTTGTCTTGTTCGCTACAAGGCAAACGGCACCCATGTGCTGGCGCATTGTGCAATGAGTCTGTGGTGCGTTATTTTCGCATACGTCAGACTTGTTGCTCATGCGCAGCTGGTGCTAGCCGGATGCGTTTTTTTCCAGTCGGCTTAGAATAAGTGTGACGCACGACCCTTTGGACCAGTAGAGGATCCCCTCTCGACGTGCTGGTCCTGGGCACGTCGAGAACGACTCTTCTCGACGTGCTGACTTCGAGGTGATCGGCTGGTCCTGGGCACGTGATCTGAATGCGGACGCCGACGAACCATCATCATCGACAATTTCGCTCTCTTCCTCTTCATCTGAAGTCGAAAATTCACCAAGATCAAGATAGGGGATCGTTGTTCTTACTTCGCGTTCTGCGCAAGAGCAGAATGTGCCACGGTGCTCCTGCGCAAGCGCAGGAGAGATAAACAGATCTAGATTTGCATACAACCTGATGGTCGTGCAACAGGTTCTTCGATGTTGACGACCTTTTTCTTTATACAGGTTCACCGTCTTACTCCTACAAGAGTGATAGGTACCTCCAAGATCCATCTCATGCTCGCGATTTTTGGTTCGAAAAGTTTTGTTTGCAGCTTTGGAACATCAACAATGAATTAATTACTGTGATAGTTGGTGGCCCTGGCCGCGCGACTAGTCTTCACACTTTTCCGCTTGTAGTTATAGCGGTCTGGAGCAGATCTTACTAACTCAATTTTGATGACAGCTGGTGCGCATCAAGCACTGCAGCCGCAGCTTTTTTTTTGTCCTTTGCCTTTCAGAGTCACGATTATTTTCTTTTTTTGTGCAGGCGACCTAATTACCCCTTTTTTTGTGTTGACTCAAGCTACTTCTTACCACACCAGAACTAGGCACGGAGTAAGTAAGTAGTTTTGTCGTCTTCTGTCAACATCTCCTTGATGATTACAACGACGACCGTAGAAGTCGGGCCTAGAGTAGTCGTACTAGCGACAAGGACAACAGGTCATAATTCTTTATCCATTTCCAAGAAATTATAGACGATTAAAGAAGAAAGATGGAGGAAGGGTTCGACTTTTTGACTTCCTGGGCCGAGGAAGTCCACGACCAGCAATGCAATGACCCGTCCACGCTGAAAAAGCCCTGGGACAGCAATCTCGTCCGCGTTTCCCACGAGTTTCACCGGTTTCCGCCAGATGTGTCCATCGGCGGCATCTACAACAACGGATTCGCGACCAGTTCGCAGACGCACGGACAGCTGGCGAGCACGATTGCGAAAAACCACCGGTATGGGATTTTCGGGCACACGAGGACGGCCTGGATGACGGACGACCACATCCTGTACTTGTGGAACTACGCCCGCATGACATCAAGTTCATCCTCCAGCTCCTCGTCTTCCAGTGCCATAGTCCCCATGCTCCTGAACAACCACGCCCCGCCGGCGACGTCGTCAAATGGCGCTGCCTTGCCGAATGGAACAACCTCCCGACCGGGGGCTTTATTCGCGCCCAACGGCAGCGGCGCCCGTGGTGTCGTTGGGGGGCAGCCGCAAGAAATGTATGCGACGTCGGACCCGGTGCTGGGGACGGTGAACATCGTGCCGGCGGATTCCATCATTTTGTCCGTCGCGATGGTGCAGCCGAGAGAAAACGCCTTTGGGAACAGAATACACTTTCTGATCGTGGTGGTCACGCAGCAGAACGTGCATCTGTTGGGCGTTGTGATCAGGGACAGCAGGCTGCACACGGTCAACCTCCCGGGCTACAGCTGGTACTTGTGAAGGAGTTTGTTGTATTTCTTCTGCTGCAGTAGAACTACCACTACATAGAACTGCTAGGAGGTTCTTGATATTGCTATCAATTTTTCGTGCTTGTATAAAATCCACCTCTTGCAGCTCGTCAAGAACGTCAGTCTTTTCGTTTTCCGCACAGCTGCTCGCTTGCCTGCGATTGATGCTCCGCTCGGAACGTGATCTGCAACATGCATGCGAAAACTTTATTATTTCATGCTTCTGACTCTGAGTTCTGACTGTAGGAAAACGAAAATCAAAATGATAATGAAAATCTAAATCTAAAACCAAATCTCGCATGACAGTTCTACCAACGGGCACCCCTTTTCGGCGGTCCACAGTACCGAGGACGGGCGGATTTTGCTGTCCAGTCTGCGCTACATTTACGAGCTATCAAATGCAAAAATGTCTGGGTCTGGAAACTTGTAATGCTAAAAATGAATGATAGACGCACCGAAATACGCAGCTATGCATGACAAATTTCTTGGCTGCCATGTCTTACGGATTGCGCATAGAAAACTGCGTTTTTGCATGACAGGTAAGAGGGCTTTTTCGTGCCTATGCAACACAGATTCCCGAGTCATGCCAGACAGGCACGACAAACTTGCATTCTTCCAGACCCAGACATTTTTACATTTGATACGAGCTGGAGTACGACAACGTATCAAAAAGAAAAATCCCGCCTCCCCATATCGAAAAGGAGATTTGTGATGCTGATTTGTGACCACAAGTCGACTTGTATTGCTAGAAGGCCAAAAGACGCAGCTGTTCCTTCGTTTGCATGCAATTTGTCATGCTGTTTCCCGTTTCCAGTTGCTTCCTGTCATGCTGAAGACGCAAAGCTTTCCCACGCCAGCCAGCACTAAAATTTGCATCTCTTCCCGTCTAGCATGACAACGCGATTTGTGATCACAAATCATGCTAGACAAATCTTTCTTTGAGTATGGGGTGGAGGGATTTTTCCTTTCGATACAATGACGCCAACGTTTCAATGCAGAACTACTCTGCCACGGCCTCCTCCCTGCTGTCGTCTGCCGCGAGCTCCTATGAAATGCAAAAATGTCTGGGTCTGGAAGAATGCAACTTGTGATGCTGTATTTGGATTCCAAAAAAATCGGTATTGCGTGTTGAGTGGCAAACGGAATGCAATTTTTGCTACGCTGAGAAGGCATTTGTCATGCGGAATAGGCATCAAGAAGCCCTCAAAAAATCTGTACTGCTAGGGTATGCATCACAGACATCATGGCTCATGCAAAACGTGCATGACAAGTGTCAGAATCTTCCAGAACCAGACATTTTTACAGTTGATAGCTCCTTGCTCGGTTCGGCGTTCGGGGGCTCAAGTTCGTTTTGCCGGCTAAACTGCATCACCGGTGGCGTTTTCAGCAACTTTCTGTTCAACCGGTCGAGCAAAGCGACGATAAAACAGTTTGCGGTCGCGCAAGCAAACTTCTTCGTCACAGTAGACGAGGACCAAGTGCTGACCGTCTACGGCTGCGGGAACGAGCAGGACGACAGTAGTGCGACACCCAGCATGCCAGCAAATGGCGACAGGCCGATCTCCGCAGCGCAGTCACTGGCCGGCCAACAAACCACAAGCAGGACGAACCCGTGGTCTCGGAAGGAGCAGTGGACCTTGCTGGATCTGGAAAACCAGCTGCAACGGAAGATGCAGTTCCACGCGCTTCAATCGCGGGAGTTTATCCAGTTGCATGTGTCCAACAGCAGTTCGAGTAACGGAGTTCTACACATTTTCCTGCTCACCAGCGCCTACGAAAGGATACATCTGCGATACGTGACGCACGCATTTTTACACGGATCATTCGGGTCCGCGTCCTCATTGGGTCTCGGCGGAGCCGGACCGTTGGCAGGCCGCGGATTGGAACTCTTGCAGTATTCAACGCTGAATCCACAAGCGTCCTTCCCGAGGGGGTATGACGGACCGCCAGGTATTTTTATATAAACACTTAATTTGAATTTATTTTTCACTTGTTTTTGTTTGATGATAATACAACAAAGACGCGGGTGACGGAAGATGTGGTCGTGGTCCGCAACATCGAACTAGAAATTATTCAAAAGTGCAAAAATAATCGTCGATGATATTACAGGCTTCGATATGCAATGTAAATTTCCCGTGCATGTACAAAATGCATGACAAATTTCACTAACTTGCAGTGTCCAGCAACCTGTCATGCTAGACTAGGACTGAAGACAAGTTTTCTCATGCAGAGACTGCATTTGTACGCGTACGGGAAATTTACTGTGGATATTCGACCGTGGCCTGGATCAAGCGACAATGAAGCGACAGCCCGGCCTGGGCGCCATGTCGGCGGTATCCCACAGAAAAAAGCGGGCAGGTCAGATTTGTAATGCAAAAATAAATACACAGGAAAATCAAAATCTGTCATGGGCGAGGCCATAGCATGCTGTTGAGGGCATGCAATACAATTTTTTTTATCTATTTATTTTTGCATTACAAATATGACCTGCCAGCTTTTTTCTGCGTGATAGGCGGGCAGAAGTCTCCCCGGCGTGTACCGGAACGGCATTTTATCCAGCACAATTAACTATGTCTGGCGTTCTGGGAGGGTGATGACTGATTTGTCATGCACCTTGTTTTGCTGGTAACCAGCTAAAAAAAATCATGTGGTTCTGAATGCACAGGATAGCATCACAGGTTCTTTTATGCAGGCCTCGAGAAATAAGCGCCAATTCTTTTGAATGAGAAATAGCTCGCTGTTCAGGTGACAGCTGCCCACGCAAGACTGACACAGTCAGCATGACAAGTTTTTGTATTCTTCCAGAAAAGTACCAGACACGTGGTTCGCATTTCATACGTTTGGGCACTGTGCAACCAGGACGGCGAAGTCTGCGTACTGCATTTTGTGTTTTTTTATCATGCGAAGTCGGTTGAAGGTTTTTTCTTGTCATGCAGAAAGGATACCTAGACCACCTACATCGTATTCTGTAAATTGCATAGCCCTGGTTTTTTTTTGTCATGCGCCGATGTGTCGAAGTAGTAGTAGTGTTGATGCCAGTTAACGATTTTACGACTGTGTTCAACAGTAAATTGATATTTATTAGTTTTTTTACCTTCCCCCGGATCCTAATTCAACAGTTCTCCGTTCGTGTGCAGACTGCCACCGCAATCGGGGAGCGCGAAGAGGAAATTGTAGGCAACCAGAAGTACAGTAACACCTACAACCTGTTGCAGCAAACCAGAGATTATAATGGCAGCACCACAAGCAGCACGGGCCAGTTGCCCCCGGGCACGCAGCAATTTTCCTCCCCCATCGGCGTCGAAACCGGCATAACCATCGTAGAAGAAGGCGGGCTGGAGTTCCACAAAACGTGGGACGGGACCGAGATCCCCTTTATGAAGACCGAGCGAGAGGGCGATCTGGGCCTGTTCCGCCCCACCAGGACCTTCGCGCTGATGACGAACAAGGGAATATATGTACAGCTTTACTTAATACTGTATTCACTTGCTGGTAATTTTCATCTTTTTCATCATGCCGACTGTGTGTCTGAATCTGAAGTGCTGCATGTTTTATTTGTGCACATACATAGATACCACAGACCACGAGCGGAAATAGAATATACCAAACTGAAAATACTCACTCCACAAGGTCCTTTCCCTGACGTATTCGCAACGCGAGGCTTCCCGGAACATACCGCCCCAGACTGCTCGCGAGTGTTGCCAGTGCTTGGCCAACGGGGAGCAAACGAAGTGGCAGTGGCGCATGGACGACTTGGATTTCACGGAGGACGGACTTCTTGTGAACAACGGCAAATGGCTGGACGGGCTCGGTTTGTTCCTGTCCTCTTGCATCGGCGAGACCAACCTGTGGCGGCGGCAGATGGTTCAGTTGGTGGACCAAGACACGGGGTTTCCGCCCGCGAAGGTAAAAAACCAAATCATTTATTCCACCTCCGGGAGGACCAGTGGCTCCTCGTCGTCCTCAAGTAGTACGACTAGCCGACTAAAAATGAACCCCTTCGCGAGCCGAAACGCGTACTACCGCGTCGGGCTGTCGACGCACCAGGACCAAACGAAAGAGTTGATCACAAGGCTGACGTATGCATCGCAAATATGTCTGGGTCTGGAAGGATCCAAACTTGTCATGCTATCTTTGGATTCTCAAAGAATCTGTAGTGTATTGCTATGACCAGCAAGAGGAGCAGCCCAGATTGTGCAAAACGCGGAGAGGGCACTTGTCATGCGGAATAGGCACCATCCGGAAGCCTACTTCCAAAAATCTGTGATGCTAAGTCATGCACTATAGGCATCGTGCGTCTTGCAAAATATGCATGACAATCTTCCAGACCCAGACATATTTGCAGTTGATATGACGCACGCGCTCCAGTTCGCCAAACAGGGGATCGTGCGGTGCATATCGTGAGGAAAAATCCCCCCTCCCCATATCGAAACAAAGTTTCTGATGCTGGATTTGCGTACACAAATCAGATTTGTCTTGCAGAAAGTGCTTGGCTGCATTTTCTGAGCCTGTTTGGGTATGCAGAAGCCTAGCAATTGCGCATGGCAAACAGGTTCGCAGTAGTCGAAAGCGCATGACAGACTTGCTCTGGAATGCGTAAAATGGCTACTATGACCCTATAAATATGCAAGACAAAGACGATTTGTGACCACAAATCAGCATCACAAATTTCCGTTTTGATATGGCGAGGGTGGATTTTTCATTTTGATAGTGCAGGCAGGCCGTGACCAGCGGGATGGCAGTGGACCAAGGCACTGGCAGTATAGAAGTAGACCAGGCGAGCGCGAACGGCACGGGTTCGGATATGAACTGCAAAAGTATCGTACTGGTATGAATTGCAATACAAGAAATCATCTCAGCATTACAAATTAAATTTGTAATGCGGATTTACCTTAACAGCCTAGATTTGTAATGCATGACTGCAGTTAGTACGAGTCCGATACTTTTGCACTGCATATCGGACGTTCCGATGCAGCGGGAGCGGGATTTCTCGGTCGATCCCCTGGATGAGGAATTGATGTTCCAAGAACATGTGTTCATGCAGAGCTCTATCACACAGAAAAAAACTGGCAGGTCATATTTGTAATGCGAAAATAAATAGACAAAGAAAAACTGTATTGCATATCCTAAATAGCATGCTATGAGGCCGCCCATGACAGATTTTTCTGTGTATTTATTTTTGCATTACAGACATGCCCTGCCAGCTTCTTTCTGTGGGATAAACTCCGACTACAATCCGATAACCCCACCGGGGGTGGATCCGATGACCACCTACGCGACCACGCTGGACGCGCCGACCATCAAGGCGGAAATCGGATACGATGGGCAGTACCAGTACAATTGCGTGAACGAATATGCAAGAAAAATAAAACTGTGTAAGTGTAAGTTTGTGAAGCGGAAAATGCAAAACCGTTTACACTTGTCATGCCGGAAGTGCGTCATAGCCACACTTCGTGCGTGTTTTTACGTACTAGCTGCGCATGACAGGTTTTTTATGTTAAATGCGATCTACGAATTATTGGTGATGGTACTTACTCATCCTACACAGTCACACTTACACAGTTTTTTTCTTGGATAAAGAAAACAGCAGTTTCAACCGGCGAAAGGAGAAAACTGCGTTCCGCAACAGCTACTACAGCTCGAAGCTGAAACTGCAGTACTTCTTTCACACACAGTATGGATGTGTCAGGATCGAAATCGACAAAATCGAAAAATTTGTGATGCGTAAAGTGTAGGGCGCTGAAGGCCTGTATTGCGGAGCAGGCACATGAGACCGATCGTAAGCCTGGCTAGGGGTATGCAACGTGCTGCCAGAGTAGCATGACAGGAGCAGTCTTCTTTGCCTGAACCGCATGACAAACTGGATTTAGGTACCGCCAAAATTTGTCATGCGACACTTGAAAACTGGGCTCCAACTGCTAATCGATTTTATGCATCACAAATTTTTCGATTTTGTCGATTTCGATCCTGACATTCCCATACGCAGAACTACCGAAGGGTGCAGTCTGTCCTGGTAACTGCGGACCGGACTCTCGAACTGCTTCGTTTTTTCAGCTACGTCAACGAGCACCCGACCTTGCTGAATTGTCTGGACAATGTTCTTATCAAATGTAAAAATGTCTGGGTCTGGAAGAATGCAACTTGTGATGCTAACTTTGGATTCTAAAATTTTTTGTATTGCATGACCAGCAAGAGGTGCCTAGTTTGTGCTACGCGGGGAGGGCATTTGTCATGCGGGATAGGCATCAGGAAGGCCTCTAGAAATATGTGATGCTAGATCATGCATTACAGACATCAAGAGTCATGCAAAATATGCATGGCAAACCTGGCAACCTTCCAGACCCAGACATTTTTACATTTGATAGTTCTGAGCAATGAGAACGTCCGGAATTTTCACCGAAGTAAAAATCCTGGCGCGATGAATTCTTCCTCCATGGTGGAGGCGGGCAGAACCGTGGCAAGCAAGAAAGCAACGCGTTTCTATTATTGCGAGGAAAAATCCCCCCTCCCCATATCAAAACGGAAATCTGTGATGCAGATTTGTGGCCACGAATCAGCTTTGTGATGCTAGAAGGCAAAAGATGCGGACTGTAGTGCTGTCTAGCGTGGAAAAGCCTTGCAGCTCCAGGATGACAGGAGGCAGCTGGAAGTGGGAAACAGCATGACAGACCACCTGCAATTTAGGCCGCAGCTTCGTCTCTTGGCCTTCTAGCAATACAAGTCGATTTGTGTACTCAAATACAGCATCACAAATTCGCGCATCTTCCGTTTTCGATATGGGGAGGGGGGATTTTTCCTTTTGATATCTATCCCTCGGCGTCGTCCTCGTCTTCGTCATCCTCTGATTACAATGGCGAGAACAATAAATCCCGGTTCCAGCAGCTGTTCGAGTTTCTGACCTCGAAGAACCGGAAGCCCCACTACCAGTTGGAAGTGGATTTTGTCCTGGAGAATTTGGTACTCGACCCGCAACCCGTGCTGATCTGGATGAGCTACATCATCGTCTACTACCCGCGACAGTGCGCCGACCTGGCGAAACAAGTCCCGAAACTGTTCTCCATGGTGGACTGGCAGTCGCCGGGTGTGAGCGAAGCCTGGGCGGCTAGTCGCAAGGTGCCGTTGCCTGGTGCCGGTGGTGGGAGCAGCCCCGCCAACGGAATGGAAGTGGACTCAAGTACACATACATAGATACAAGAGTTCTTTGTTTCGTGTTTTATTCATCTCTGGTGGCGGGTGCTTGTTGAGGCGGTTCTTGTATGTAGGGTCTAGTGCCTCTACTGGTCGACGTGCCAGTTGTATAATCATAGCAGGTCTTTCTACTTCATCATGAGTTGTGAAGATCATTCTGTTTGTTCCATGGCAGGAGCGGTCCTCCTCCTCCTCCCCCGAGGAGCCTGTTTGCATATTACCAACCTCATACTAGTACTTTTCGCACACGACAGGTCCTATTAACAACACGAGCAGGAGAACGACCGATTTTGCCCACCGACATCAAGCAGGCAGAACGTCCGCACAGCAACAGTTGCTGGACTCCAACCAGGTATCGAATGCAAATATCCCTGGATCATGTCCGGAAGGCTGCAAGGTTTGTCATGCTAGCCTGGCATGACTCTGAGCGCTGTATTGCGTAGGGCCATCGATGAAACAGCCTTTCATCCCGTCTGGCATGCAAAAACGCAGAAGTTTCTCATGCACAATAGGCAGCACAGAAGCACGAAAAATCTTGTCATGCTTGGCGGTGCATTACAGTGCACTTATTCTCGACTGCCTTGCATTACAAGTTCTTTCCAGACATCATCCAGGGGTATTTGCAATGCATACCAGGTTTTAGTAGCCAATTCCGCGGAGGAGAAAGAGGCAGAGTGGCTGGAGCAGGTGGAAATCGAGGGGCTTTGTCTATGCACTGGGAATACGTCTACTTGGTCTGGAAACTTGCAAGAGTTCTTGTCATGCTGGTCTGGCATGACTCGGAACTCTGTATTGCGTGGCCGCGAAGACGAGCCACCCTTGCCTGTCATGCAAAAACGCAGTTTCTCATGCGGAGTACGCAAGAACCCAGAGCCACGGAAAAACTTGTCATGCTGGGCAGCGCATTATCAGGGTGCTCATTCTTCCCTTCCTTGCATCACAAGTTCCAGAGGACCCAGACATATTTGCAATGCATAGTGTCGGTGGATCCACAATATCGACGTGGTGCACTGTTTATCCTGTGCAAAAGTATCGTACTCGTAGTAATCGCAAACATGCATTACAAATCTTGTTCCCAAGGCAAATCAGCATTACAAATTTCATTTCTCATGCTGAGGAAACTTGTGATGCATTTATACGAGTACGATACTTTTGCACAGCATACTGTTCCAACGACATTTTGAAAACGCTCGCGGAGAACTTGAAACGAGTGACGAGCAGGTGCGGGGCAGTGCAGAGCTTGGACCTGGTTTTCGCCAATTGTTTAGTGGACCAAATCGGCAAGCTGGTGGACGCAGAAACCGGGTCGGTCTTTCTATCCCCAAAGCGAGCGAAGATGGACGGGAAGAGGATGCACGGCAATCCTACTGTATCCTATGTAAAAACACTCTCACCCCAGCGTCAAGCTAGGGATCTCGCAACACAAGTCGAGAAGTTTTGGGAGTCAAGCATGACAAGTTCCTCTCTGGATTGTAGTGCAGTTTAGCAAGAGCAGCCGTGGATCACGAAGCCGTCTACTCATCCTGTTCCTGTTTATAGCATTACAAAGTCCAAAACATCAAGATGGGAAATGCCTCTCATGGGGATGCGCATTACACATCTTCCTGTGACTGCAAATCTGCATGACAGCCATGGGGTGGGGACGTTTTTACATGGGATATACTGCGGGCAAGCTGAAAGACAGCTCCATGATGCTCCAGCGGGTGTATTTCTTGATGGACAGCTATCTCGCAGCCCTGCTTCCCGGGTCTGCGCCCGTAGCGGGTCCGAGTGTCGTGACGGCGCTTGCGATAGTACAGCAGCAGCAGCAGCAGCAGCAATATCAAAATGCGAGCAACGCTGCGTCCTCGTTCAATGAGACGCTAATTGAGGAGCTTCTATCAAATGCAAAAGCGTCTGGGTCTGGAAGAGTGCAAAATTTCTCATGCATATTTCTCATGTCCATGATGCCTGTGATGCTTGACCTAGCATCGCAGACTTTTAGAGGGCCTCCTGATGCACCTTCCGCATGAGAAACGCCCTGTCCGTGTAGCAAAAACTGCGCCCCTCTTGCTGGTCATGCAATACAAATTTTTTTGGAGTCCAGAAACAGCATGACAATCTTCCAGACCCAGACACTTTTGCAATTGATAGCTTTGGACCAAGTGCAATTCGACTCTAATTTCTTCCTCGACTGTCGGGTCGTCGGGACCACAACAAGCTGCCTCCTCCTCCTCCTCGCGCGCGCATCTTCTCCCGCAGCAAACGCAGCGGCAAATGCAGGACCAGCGGCGGGAGCAGCGACATCTTACCATCATTCGCTACTGCATCTACGACTTTTTGCTACAGGAGATCACGTCCATCGAGTTTTTGCTGAAGAAGTTCGCAACCCGAGCCACGGAGGAAATCTACCATTACCTGGAATCGAGATATCTGGACTACAAGGCCAATGCACTAGACGTGGGGAGAATACGTAATGTCTTTGTTTTAGAAGATCAACATTCATTACTAGCAGGTCAGGTGCTGCTCTGGCATGTTTTGAACCCAGCACTTTTGTTTGACGTCACACAGGAGCGGCACGTGAGGGAAAATAATGATTCTCAATCATGGAAATCATTGAAATCGAAATTCTGCAAATGGGAGTACTCGTCACGTAAGTAGTTGTACATTATAAAAAACCACTCCTACACCAGGTCCCCGCATGCTGCTGGAGTGTATGTGGCGTTACTACGAGCTGATTGGTGACCAGAAGGCGGCGAGTCAGTTGCTCCTCGAGTTGGCGATGTCGACGGGAAGTGCAGCTAGTGGGCCTCGTTCTCAGAGTGATTTTTCCAACGCACGAGGAACGTCAACAAGTGCAGGAGGTCTTCTACCGCCAGAAGACCCGTTTCACCTGAGTCTGTTCGAAAAACAGCAGTATTTGCTGAAGGCTGTGCAGATGGCAGACCATAACTCCGGAGCGGCCGTATTGTGAGGAAAAATCTCCCCTCCAGCCCATATCGAAAAGAAAATTTGTGATGCTGATTTGTGACCACAAATCAGGTCTGTCTTGCGTAGAAGGCAACTACCGGCGCCCATGTGGCGCATTGTGCAGCGAGTCTGTCATACGTTTTTGCCTATGTCAGACTTGTTTCTCATGCTCAGCTGGTAGCCGGATGCATAGTACAACGCAAATGGGCTTATAATATGGCGCCAAGCTGCCCTTGCGGCAATACAAAGTTCATTTGTGATGTACACGAATCCAGCAACACAAATCGTCTTTTGAATATGCTGGGGTCGTGGGGGCTTTTTTGACTTTGATAGGGCGCCGACCAACTTCTAGCCGCGAAATCGCGAAGTACAACAACCGTGCCGCAGTTGCACCCATATCAACTGTAAAAATGTCTGGGTCTGGAAGAATGCAACTTGTGATGCTGCGTTTCGATGACTAAAAAATTTGTGTTGCATGAGCAGCAAACAGAGTCTAATTTTTGCTACGCGGAGAGGGCATTTGTCATGCGGAATGGGCATTAAAAATACCTCAAAAAACCTGTGATGCTAGGGCATGCATTACAGGCATCATGGGTCATGAGAAATATGCATGACAAATCTTGCATTCTTCCAGACCCAGACATTTTTACATTTGATAACCCAGAAGCTTTGGATGCGTTGCGGAGGCAACTTTGGTCGACGGAAGCCGTGCAAATGCCCCTGATCGATGAATTGGTTCGCTTGAATCCAAACTCCTATCAAATGCAAATATGTGGTCTGGGTCTGGAAGGATGCAAGGTTTGTCATGCACATTTTGCATGCGTCCTGATCGATCTGTGATGCATGCCCTGGCATCACAGATTTTGTGAGGGCTTTCTGATGCCTACACCGCATGAGAAATGCCCTCCCCGTGTAGCACAAACTGGACTCCTCCTGCTGGTGATGCAATACAGATTTTTTTGGAATCCAAAGGCAGCATCACAGGTTACCACCTTCCAGACCCAGACATATTTGCAATGCATAACTCCAGGCTGAACGCGAATCTGGCGTTCAACCAACCTTTCCAGCAGATGTTGAAGCGCAACCTGTCGACACAGTCCCGCGCGAAAATCAGCCACTACCTGAAGCAACAAACGCTGACGAACCAGGTGGGCTGCGACATCGAAGCCCTGCTGGAAATTGCCCACGACCTGCAGCTATCATCGATACAAAAGTTGTAATGTCACACTCGTACTAAGAATCTTCAAAATTATCGCAACCACGCATGACAGATCTCTTCTCTAAAGGTAAATCAGCATTACTTCCTTTAAGATCCTGAGTAAAAATTTGCGAGGCCGCGGTAGTATTGCTAGTACAACGATATTAGTTACTTTTGCACTGCATAGCGGTTCCCGCACCTGCTGATTTCCCAGACCAACGACAGCTACTCCGCCAAACCGATTATCGAATTTGACAACGACCGGCAGTTCGCGTACTACTGCCTGCTCTATTTCCCGAACCCGAGTTGCATCTACGGGGAGATTCCCTTACCGTTTTCCTTTTTTCAACGGGGCGTGTCCAGTCCCTGCAGCGACCTCCAGTCGGGCGAAACCAGGTCCCAGCTGATTCGAAACATGCGGGCGTTCCTAGAGCTCACCATAGGCGACGGCCGGAGTTCGAGTTCCTCTGCTGCTGCTGCGCAGAGCGGGTCCTCGAGCGCGAGCTACCTGCGGAGGAACGACGGCCTGGCGAATAACGTGTTAGTGCTTTTGGAATGCGTGAACTGCGTGCTGCACAGCGACTACTTCCACCACTGCTTCCTAGGTTGTAACAGGCATATTAAAACAAGTAGCAAGGAACAAGACGAGGTGGACCCGAGCACGACCAGCGCGTTCTGGGTGTACGAGCTCTTCATCGACTCGCTCGGGTTTGACGACATTTGGCTGATTCGTACTTACACCGGGTTTATCGAGCAGGCGGAGGAGATCGGCCCCGACTTTTTTGACTTTCTGTCCCGCCTGAAGTTCCCCGGGTTTGGGGAGATTACGGAGGCGCCAGAGCAGGCGGCGAGCGGACCTATGTTGCTGTCGAACACGAACCCCGCCCGGAAGCTGTTGTGGAGCGCGCTCGGCCTGGTGCTGAAAGACCACGAGGGGCGCGAAATCAAGCGTCACATGACCAAACTAACCCTGGCGATTGCCTCCTCCTGGCTCGGGAAAGCACAGAAACACTGCCACAGCCGCCCACTGTTCGCGCCCTTCCGGCAGAATTTTCCGGAATTCATGGACGACCTGAACCGGCTGCATGCGGTTTTCGACCGTCAGGCGCACCAGGATCACGCTGGACATATGATGCAGGACGACGACGACTACGAGGAGATGCGGGGACAGCAAGAACAACCCGTTTTGCAGCAGCAGCAGTTTCATAGTATCGACCCAGAGGCGCAGCAGTTCGCTCTATCAACTGTAAAAATGTCTCAGTCTGGAAGATTCTGGGGCTTGTCGCGCATGCTTTGCATGACCCAGGATTGTGTGTGATGCATGCCCTACCATCACAGACTTTTAGAACCCTTCCTGATGCCTACTCCGCACGACAAAGACCCTTCCGGGGTGGCACAAGAAACTAGGCTTCTCTTACTGGTCACGCAATACAGATCTTTTGAGAGTCCAAAGTTAGCATCACAAGTTGCAACCTTCCAGACCCAGACACTTTTGCACTTGATACGCTCGAGAAATTCACAAATTGAAGCACGACGCAGGCAGACTGGTTGAGCGCGCGGAATACTATGAGTGATGTGAATAGGTTAGTAGATTCTTGTATTGGTGCAGCATCATGGGTAAGTAAGTACTTCTTACAACTGTCCAGAGTCAATCGCTTGGTTCTTCTCTTACGTTGAGCTTGAGTGTTTTGATTTGGTACAAGTAGGTACTTACGTAGTAGTTTTACCGCCACCCTTTTGGTGGTGTGGAACTTCTGCAGCTCTTCGCAGAGGTTTTCATAGGGTAAAAGGTAGTGGTCCGGCTATCAAACAAACCGCCCCCTCCGCGCGGAGGGGCCTGTTTCTTTCTGGGCCGCCAGCGGCGGAAGAAGAAACCGAAAATAAGAAATCGACCCCTCCGCGCGGAGGGGTCGACTTCTTATTTTCGGAACGGCGCGCGCCGAAGAATTTTTTTGTTGTTGCATCCAGCACTGGCCTCGGAAACAAGTCGTGGGCCACGCCTCCGCGCGGAGGCGAGGATTTCTTGTTTTCCCAGTGCGGAGCAAGAGCAACGACAACGGCGGGCCATTCCTGAGGAGGTGGGCGCCGCGGTTGTCTGGTTCCTTCCTTATGGGGCATAGTGCGCGCGCATTGGCGCCGTGTGGCTGCGCTCCTTAAGGCGCATGTAGCGTGGTGCGTGCGTTGTTACGGGCCTTTTGTCCGAGGGTAGCGCCTGTCGTGCAGGCGCCGCTGCATGGGATTCCGCTCCTGATCTCGGTGGCGACTCGCGAGGGGCTAAGGGTATGAGCATGCATGGGACACCGGCGCCACGACAAAGCCAACCAACGGGCCGGGTCTTTGTTTGAGGCGCGCCACGTTTCGCCCTACCTTTTTTCGTTGTGTTGTTTCTGGAAAATCAAAACTCATAGTCATGCGGCAACTTTTTGCGCCCGGCGGTGTAGGGGCCGACCTTCGTTGGAGTGAACTCTGCAGTAGTGGCGCCCGGCTTTCTTACAAACTGCCGGACGCCTTGTGCGATCGATCGGCGACGCACGACTCTCCCCTGCCCTCGCCAAGGCAGCCGCAGTTTCTCTGGCGCCGGGCAATCTGCTTAAATTATTGAAGTATCTGCTTCTACTACCTGATACACAGTAGGTACTTACGTAGTAGTTTTACCGCCACCCTTTTGGTGGTGTGGAAATTGTGCAGCTCTTCGCAGAGGTTTTCATACAGATGAGCAAACAGTACATAGTCTTTTACTTCTACCTCGCAGCGCCGCGAGCACAGGCGTGATCTATTTGTGTTTGGTACTAACTTCTTCATCCGGTTCGGGGTTGTTGTACTTAAGCGCCTATAGGTAGAAGTACTTCCTTCCATACTCTCACCAATTTTTTTTCTCACCACAAAAACCAATGACCATGTACTGTAGTTGTGCCATGGTCTTGTTTCTAGACAAATCACCACAAAAATCAATGAATGCAGACGAGTGTTGAGTCCTCCCTCTCATTTCCAAGAAGAGCGGTCGACAGAATAACGACAGGAATGGCGGGCTACTTATCGCTTTCATCACAAGGAACTCCGAGTCCGACGAGCGCGTTGCAAGCAAGAGAAAGGGCAGAAATTTTCTGCATCGACTTCATTTTGAGATTACAGCGAAGCACAGAGACAGAACTTCATGAGACAGCTGAGCATCCGGCCACTGTTGTTCTAGGCTCAACAAAACGGTAGCTACTGCGTATAAGTAAAAACTTATCTACTTCCCCTGTAGTTGGCAGCGCAACTAACGTCGCAGTGATACAAGGAAAATCAAAATACTTGTACCTAATATCGAAAGACCACGATCTTCGGTTCTTCTTGCGTTGCCCTGATGTTGCTTCGTATCCGTGCGCGCGGCTCGTGGTACTTACTACCGACTCCGTAGCGGAAGTAGAAAAATGTACAAAGCTCCTATCGGTTTGTTGTTTGAGCGTTTCGCTTTCGGTTGATCCTCAGTGCAGGTAAGGACTCATATCGTCATCGTGTCTCTGCTGTGTGGTCTATGAGCGTCATACATTGTGTCTCCGTAGCAAGAAGACCTGATGGTGTTCACAGCGTATAATTTTTCGTTACACTTTGTGTACCGTCTATCGGTGAACGTGGTTGTAAATGAAAATCGTGCAGCAGCGTCCTGCTGGTCGGTGGTCGTACTAGAAGTCGTGCGTCTTTTCTATCGTTCACGCACCGTGCGTCTTTTCTATCGTTCACGCAACTTCGCTTTGTAATTATTCCGTATTTGAAGTAGTACTTCACGTCCTCGGTTTGTATTTCAGGATGCACATCATTGAGTAAAGCTAAAGTCGTTGCAGCAGGCGCATTACTAGCTTTGTCTGTGTCCTCGTCCGCCACTTCGTCCATCTTACGCCTTTCGTTCGTGATGAAGACAAAGAATGAATAAGTACAACTTACTCACAATTCCAATACCCCCAAGTAACAGGAGAAACAGTAACAGCATCCCAAGAATCGATAACTACAACCACCTCCCACTTCCCTCAATCGAAAACTTCTATCAGACGAGAAAAAATCACCGTGAAAGAAAACGAAATCTGCTTCGAAGAGCAAGAACAGCACTTCTAAACTTTCAGTTTGGAGGACAAAAGACTTCTCTCCCACCACCACCCAGGGCGGGCTACACTCGACGAACTTCCATCCATCTCGAAGGACAGAAAGGGTACTAGAAAGAAGCAAAAAAAGAATGGCTCCGAGCATGAAATCTCTCTTGAAGAAGATGGCCGCCTTCGTGGTGGTCGGCACGCAGCTATCAAAAGGAAAAATCCCCCCTCCCCGTATCAAAACGAAGTTTCTGATGCAGGATTTGCGTACACAGATCAGATCTGTCTTGCTGGAGAGGAGTGCAGGCCCATACTGAGCCTAAGTAGAGAGGCTCTGGCCTAGGCGTCTAGCATGAGAAACGCCCGCGCTGTAGGCCGATCAGCATCACAAACCGCCTGCACAATGCTGCGGAGGTTGTGGAGTTGCCTTGTTGCAAGACAGACGCGATTCGTGGTCACAAATCAGCAACGCAAATTTTCGGAAACGTGCCGTGTCAATATGGGCAGGCGGGATTTTTCCTCGCGATAGCAGCTGTCGCCGCTCCCGACCGTCGACGGCGTGGAGGTGTTGCTGCTGGACAAGATGTATGCCTTGCAAATATGTCTGGGTCTGGAAACTTGTGATGCTGGGTGGCGTATCATGACGAGGCCACAAGTGCTGGCGCAGCATGACAAGTTTCTGAGCTACTAGGTGTTGCCTTTTCTGCATCAGAAACTGCGTTTCTGCATGACAGAAAAGTGGGGCTCTTGTGTAATGTGCATGACAGATTTAAGAGTCATGCCAGACAAGCATGACAAACATGCATTCTTCCAGACCCAGACATATTTGCACTCGACAAGATGCGCAAGAAGAAGACGGCCAAGAAAGTGGAACTACAACGCGCAGGAGCGGTATGGAAGCGTCAGGATTGAAATCGTCAAAGTTGAAATAATTTCTCACGCATAAATAATCGCAAGGCATGAAGTGCCTCTCTTGCAGGGATGGCAAGTGTTGGGGCCGACTGTCAGCCTGTCTGGGGTCTGTGATAGAGCTTCTAAAGTAGCATGACAAAAGACGCCTTCTGTCCCTAAACAGCGTGACAAACTGGATTTAGACGATGCCGAAAGTTGTAGTGCACCGCTTACAACTTGGCCGTCCAACTCGTATCGATTTTATGCATTACAAGTTATTTCAACTTTGTCGATTTCAGTCCTGACACATCCATAAGCGGAAAAGGGGACGGCCGGGTGGAACCCTATCAGTGCCGTTGGGAACGCCATTAATGGCGCTACTTGCCTGACTGCCCCTAGTTGCCTGGACCTGTACCAGCAACAATGCTGTATGTGCAAGTACAACTCCGCGTGCCCCGCCATTATCGCAGAATACGGAAACAAGATGGGGGATCCGAACCAGAAGCCTTACTGCAGATCTTGCGGTTGCGCATGTCCCTGATTGATTTTCGGTGCGCTGGTGGTATCCTGAGAAAAAACGGCCCCATCCCAGAGTTGTCATGTGCTTTAACTTGGTCTTTTCCAGTACATAAACACCCCAGAGTTGTCATGCAGATCTGCAAGCATTTTTTTATAATGCGCATCCCCAGGAGAGGCATTACCCATCGTTTTTTGGAACTTGTAATTCTGTGAACAGGATAAGGAGATGGATTTGCTATGCAGATTACCTTGCTAAAAAACTGCATTACACTACAGCCTGCATCTTGTCATGCGTGGCTCCCAAAACTTTAAGGGCTTGCGTTGCAAAATAATCCCCACCTTGAGGACTCTGGTGTGGGGACAAGACATTTTTAGTCAGGATAGCTGGTACGGAAGGCCGGACAACCATTTGTATTTGATTTCCTTCGCAAGCGCGGTGTTCTTCAAGATGTAGATGATGATCATGATTATCATATCAAAAGGAAATATCCCCCCTCCCCATATCGGAAACGGAAGACGCGTGAATTTGTGATGCTGTATTTGAGTACACAAATCGACTTGCGATGCTAGAAGGCCAAGAGACGAAGCTGCGGCCTACATTGCAGGTAATCTGTCATGCTGTTTCCCACTTCCAGCTGCCTCCTCCTCCTGTCATCCTGGACCTGCAAGGCTTTCCCACACTAGGCAGCACTACAGTCCGCATCTTTTGCCTTCTAGCATCACAAAGCTGACTTGTGACCACAAATTTGCATCGCAGATTTCCGTTTTGATATGGGGAGGGGGGATTTTTCCTCGCAATATATCACCCTCACCTTGAAGAACGCCAGGTACTACTAGGTAGCCTTCCCAAGAAATAAACAAGTATCTGCTCGTATCAAATGTAAAAATGTCTGTGTCTGGAAACTTGGAACTTGTGATGCTAACTCTGGACTCTAAAAAAATCTGTATTGCATGACCAGCAATAAGAGCCACATTTGTGCTACGCGAGGAGGGCATTTGTCATGCAGAAATGACATCAGGAACATTCCAAAAATCTATGATGCTGGGTCATGCATTACAAGCATCATGGGTCTTCATGCCAGACAAGCATGACAAGCCTTCCATTCTTCCAGACCCAGACATTTTTACATGTGATAGCTCGTACGGATGTTCTCGCGATGTTGTATAAAAAGAATTTTCGTACATTTATTTTTAAAATCAAAGTTTTCATCAGCAGTAAGAAATTAAAAGAGGCTGCAGAAGAGGAGGGCGAGCCTCGACGCACGTGAGTTAGATTTAGATGGCTACGGCCAGCATTGTTACGCCGATTCTTGCTTGTAAACGACCCCTAGAACAAATATATAGTAAAGATTCGGGAAAAATTTTACCGAAGAACATCGCGCGATTGTACTAATAGAAGTGCGAATGGGGGGATCTGCCGAGTTAGTGTCAGTCGATTTTGGACTTACACGAACTCGCCAGTCGGGCGCCCGACTGGCGAGTTCGTGTAAGTCGAAAAAAAAAAGATTGCAGACTCTTTTCTGCGTTGCTCTTCCTCCCTTGTCGACGAGCTGCTCCAGTTTCTCGGCGTTGCTCCTCTTGCTTTGCTACAAAAGTCGTGTCCAAAAAGCACAACTATGAGGCCGCGCGCAAAATCGGAGCTCCCCCGTCCACCGCACCAAAGATGGCAAATCCAGAAAATATGGGCGCGGGGTGGTAGTGCGATTGTACTTTTTTCTCTTCTTAGTGGAGCAGAAGCTTTTCTTGGTGTGGTTAGCACCAAGATGACTTTTTAGAAACCACATCAGGAGGAAATACATCAAGCACCACCGAAAGAGAGCGGAGTCATAAGTGAAAAACTGCGATCCGCAAGCGCGCCACAAAAGGAATGGGCGCGAAAAAATCTGAATACTAAAGCCCCGCCACGCAATGTCAAAGAAGCCAACAGCAATTGGCCAGGGGCGCAAGCAAGCTGCTGCTGCGCTCTATTGTTTTTTCTGTCGTAGAGAACGACCCGCCTCCATAGAGAGGACAAGTTTCTAGAGAAGCTTACAAAAAGCGGCCCGATTGAAAAAGGGGCCGCGGGCTGCGAAAAAGTAAGGGTGTCTGGGATCTACTTGGGAGCGAGTCTGTTGCTTTACTGCGTGCGCGCAGCGTGTTTCTGTTGCGAAGTAGTTGCGCTACGACTGCTCTCCGAAAAGAGGCTTTCTGGTCGTTTTAGCGAGAATAGTGGCAGACATCAGCAGAAGCAGAGGGCTATTTTGCTTTGTGGCAAGCACTGCAAAACGAGCCAGAGACCACCTGACTGCGCTCTTTTGGGAAAAACTGCACGAAGTAGAAAAAGCGCCACAGCGCGGGCGATATGTGTTTCGCTTGGTATTAAATAGCATCTACTCGAAGCGAAACCGCGCCCGGCGCTGTAATCTCACAGAAAGAAAATAATGGCGCAAAATGCGCCGTAGCATCGGCGTTCAATTTCGGAAACAGGATTCGCGATAAAAAGCCCCTCGATTTCGAGAAGGGGGGCGTAGGGGGGTAAGGTCGGTCAGGATCCGGATTTGGGGGGGCTTCTCGGTATCGAGAAGGGGGTCGATTAATCGTACAGGCTCGTAAAGATTCGGGAAAAATTTTACCGAAGAACATCACGCGATTGTACTAATAGAAGTGCGGGGGCTGTAAAGATCCTAAACTGTAAGAAAAAAAATGCCCTAGACGAACAAGCGCACTTATTTCCCATTTTTTCCAAAATCTCTTCGCAAAGAAAAAATTCAAAGTGGTATCCTATCCCCACGGTTACTTATTTCCCCGTTTCACAACTTCATAGACACGACCAGTACTAACACCTTTACACTAGACAAAAAAACAGTCACCAGCCCCGGAAAAATATATTGCCACTAAGAGGAAGAGGAAGTTTAACGTCTACACGAGCACATCGTTCTTCGATCGTGCATGAAGACAAAGACGAAGGCCGCTAGAAATGCTACAAAAACCACGCACCGTTGTGGCAAAGGAGGTAGCGACCAAGAACAAAACGACTTCCACTTGCTTAGAGGACAACGTTTTTACGACTCATATTTTCAAGTACACATACCGACGACCACCAAAGTGTGGACGGGGCCTGCGCGCGGTGCGTTTTTGAGAATTTTTGCGCCGCTTTGCAATGGTTTTGGTCAACATTCGACGGAAGTTTAGATCTGTCATACGGTAGTGCTACTAGGCCTTCTGCTCTCGTCTCGGTTGTGGTCGTGTATAGTATTTCGGTCATCATAGATGTTGATGATTCATCGTCTTTTCATCGTTCTACGCTGCTGCTACAGCCGCGCTATAAAGCAAGTCGTGCGAATTATGTATTTTTGACCCATTTGTTTATGAATATTCGTGCGCCGGGTAGGAAGGAAGTTCCGATGCTACAAGAACTCGGAGGTTCGCGCCCTTTCGTAGCACCTTGACGACCTCCAAAATCTGCAAGTTGCATCGTGAAACAAGAAACACGTCGTGGTCGGTTTTTAGTATGCTAGCGACCGTCGGTCTCGGTACGTCTACGTACTGTAGTGTCTCGTGCGTCGTCACGTTGCCTCGTGCATCTTCTTCGTCGTGCCACCAATTAGTGTCATCTATTGTAGCCGTGGTCTGCTAAAAATGCAGCTCGCAAACACTGGGCTATCTAGTGAACATATTAAAGAAGAACGACCACTATAATTGTCGATCACCACACTCCGCAAAAACAAAAAACAGCATCCCACTAAGAACAAACTACCACCCAAGAAGTTCTTGCCACTTTATTTCCTTAATCGGAAAAACAACACGACGAGAAACAACTTCCTCTCGACAACAAAGAGCCCTCGCTTTCAAACTTGTATCGCTTTTCGGAAATTTTACACGCGTAAAGAGCAAAAAGCAAAAACAGCAAAATGGCTCCCAGCATGAAATTATGCATTGCAAAACTATCGTACTAGTAGAACAAATAGGATGACAAAATTGGTCAAGAAGAAAAGTGGAATTTGTAATGCTGATTTCCTAAGATAGGACATTTTTGTCATGCATCACTGCAATCACTATCACTACGTGTACGATACTTTTGCAATGCATAGAAATCCCTGTTGAAGAAGATGGCCGCCTTCGTGGTGGTCGGCACGCAGCTATCAAAAGGAAAAATCCCTCCTTACCATATCAAAACGAAGTTTCTGATGCAGGATTCGCGTACACAGATCAGATCTGTCTTGCTGGAGAGGAGTGCAGGCCCATACTGAGCCTAAGTAGGGAGGCTTTGGCCTAGGTGTCTAGCATGAGAAACGCCTGCACTGTAGGCCCATCAGCATCACAAACCGCCTGCACAATGCTGCGGAGCTTGTGGAGTTGTCTTGTTGCAAGACAGACGCGTTCACAAATCAGCAACACAAATTTATTTCGGAAACGTGCCGTGTCAATATGGGGAGGCGGGATTTTTCCTCGCGATAGCAGCTGTCGCCGCTGCCTACCGTGGACGGCGTGGAGGTGTTGTTGCTGGACAAGATGCGCAAGAAGAAGACGTATCAAAAGTGCAAAAACGTCTGGGTCTGGAAGAGGGTAAACTTGTCATGCTTGCAGGTTTTCCATGGCCCATGAGGTTTGGAATGCGGTACCTAGCATGACAGACTCTACTGCGAGGTCACTTGCATGCCTATAAAATCCTGCATGGGAAGAACAAACTACCTGCCAACTTGGTCCAAAGTGGACAGCTTTTATTGGCGCTCATGCAACAGAGATTTTTGCATGGTTCAGATTTAGCATGACAAGTAATGCAATCTTCCAGACATCCGGGGATATTTGCAATCCATAAGACGAGCATGAAAACGGCGAGCAAGGTCACGGAACAAGGCGTGGGCGACCTATTCAGCGCGGGTCTCAATGCAATGCAAGCTCATTGCGCGCTTTCGGCAGATTGTCTGGAGCTGTATCAGCGGGAGTGCTGTGGCTGCAAATACGCGTCGAATTGCCCCCAAATTGAGGCGCATTACAAGACAGTGTCGAACGGTGCGGCCCCGGTGTGCAGGTCCTGCGGTTGCGCGCGTTAAGTGATTAGTGTGCGGCTGGTCGTTGTCGTGTCTAACTGACTGACACACGCAAGGACAGCACGTACGTTGTTGTCGATTAATAAATACTCAGAACGAGATTTGAACGGGAACAACACGAGTTCTTGCACGACGCCATGATTTTCAAATTCGCCAGATGCCTACTTTTTACCAAAGCGATTCATTTTTGTCAGAACAAATTTATTATACAAGCGCGAAGTTTTTTATCAATTTCTACAAGGCCTGCATCTATCTTCGAGGGTCATTTTTGTCAGTACATTTTGAAAGAGAACTACAACAACCAGATCGATTCGAACAAGATACCGAATAATTATTAAAAACTCGTTAAAAAAAAGCATCTCTACTAAAAAAATAGGAATATACAAACGCTAACACATCGCACTGCTTTAAGGTTTCAGCACAACAAGAGCCGAATACTTATCATTACAAGCACTTTTCTCTTCTGTCTACATCTAGAACTACTGCAAGAAAATAAATCTTCATAAGCGAGTAACATGGAAAACGTGGCATCCCCGCGTCGACCATGTTTTGTCTCGACGTTTCACACGTGATATTGATACTATTCACACACACGCAAGACGAACGTCACAAGCGTTGGGTCTTCTTGCACCATCCCCATATACAACAAGACTTCAAGCTCGTAGTTCCAGCAATGTTTATTTTCTCTCTCAAGTACTTACACAATCGAAAGAGGTATCAAATGCAAAAATGTCTGGGTCTGGAAGAATGCAGGTTTGTCATGCTTGTCTGGCATGACTCGAGAATCTGTGTTGCATAGGCAGTAAGCAGCCCTCTTACCTGTCATGCAAACACGCAGTTTGCCATGCGGAATACGGAAGACATGGCAGCCAAAAAATTTGTCATGCATAGTTGCGTATTGCAGTGCGTCTATCATTCACTTTGAACACTACAAGTTTATTCCGGACCCAGACATATTTGCAATCCATAAGAGGTAGAGGACATTAATTTTCAGAGCCGTCGCGTAGTAGTTTGTCGTTGACATCGTCATCGCATGGTCGTTCTCAACATAGCATCGCCTTCGACGCTGAAGGGGTGCTTATCCTATCGCAGACACGGATGAGGCGTTGCGGTTACCAGCACAGCGGAGCGCGAAATAATATTGTAGGATAAAGGCAGCCACACCTCCGCGATATAGTAATCATGAAATGTTGGGAACAAGAAGCCATGTAGAAGTTGACAAGAGCGAACTTCTACTGGGGTCGTCCTTGTGCAGCTGACGAGCATATCCTGCTCGACACAAGAAAGCAAGGCCGGACGATATCGTAAGGAAAAAAGCCCCCACCCCCAAACTTAAAAGCATTTGTATTGCAAACCTTTCCAAATGAAACATTCGCCCTCTTGCATCTATCAGCATCACAAATTTCCCATGCTGAATAGCGAAAATTTGTGATGCAAAGGAGCCCAACAGCAGGCGAATCCCTGATGCAAAAGATACCTTGCGCACCTAGATTCTGCATCAGAAATGCTTGCGCTCCTTTCATGCATGACAAAAAGTTTTCATTTGGAAACTTCGCATCACAAATTTTTGCAATTTCAGGGGCGGGGGGCATTTTTCACTGTGATAGACGAAAAGCATTGAAGAACGTGCGCGCTTCTTGAATTGTTGTACCTTTTACTACCAACGGAAGAAGACAAAAAATAAGACCACTTCTGCTCGTCGGCGTCCCTCTGCTGCAAAATCGACGCACGCAGTTAACCGTGACAAATTATTTTCTGTTCGTTCTTTTTTTCCCCCTCTGTTTATTTTGGTATCGCATAATCGATCCTTTCTGGCTGCAAAATAAGTACCGGAGAACGTCGAGAGCCGCACTTATCTGTTTCTTTATTTTCTGACGTGAGTCCCTTCTGTACAACAACTGATGGCTTCTTTATTTTCATTTCTCATGCACGTCGCGACGCTGTTTTGCTTTTGTGGACGTCTTTCATCTCGACGTGTTTATTTTCCTATTCATTCACGAAGAAGATTCTGAGTGACGACGAGGGAGAACTACGCAGCGTGGTACCAAAGTGCAGCTGCGAGGAGTGTTTCTTCCTCTAAGACTGAAAGTCGGTGTCTCTGATCTAGCAGGAAGAACGACCCGCCATATACTGCTTACACTCTTGCTCATCATGCGGCTGCCCTTGAGTCATAAGCTTTTAGAAGTGCTGCTGCAACAACTGCAGCTACGAGATGACCGTTCTTGAAAAGGTTCTATAGGCGGCCTCGTTAGAAGGTGGTCTTCATTTTGCTCATCGAATCGGAAAATCTTTGTTCTTTAGGGACGTAGTTTAAGTATAGTAGAGAGACCTATAGTACTGGCGGCAACTTGGGCCAAGAGCTATAGGCAAAGATGGGCAAAAGCTATAGGGACGACTTTTTTTTGGCAATCAGCACGCTCCTGCAACCAAAAGTTGGCTCAGACTTGGGCCAAAGTTGGCTCAAAGGTCTAGCCCTAAGCACTTCTTGAGTGTTTTTGTGCCGTTCAGCCGCATGCTATTGTTATTTTTTTTGTGAATTCGGGCTCTAGACGTTTTGCAAAGCGCCATCACGAACCAGGGGCGCACGAGGATCAAAAGTTGGCCCAAAGATGGAGCTCAGCTCTAGAGCTTTTTTCACAAAATCCAGCAACTTTTCCAGTTTTCCCAGTAGCCCTGTCGCGACGTAAGAAAAAGATCCGCTTTTTCGCTTGCAAAATGCCTGCGCGCCTTTCACTTCTCCTGGAGGAGCCAGCTTCGGGACCAGAAGCTCGGGAAGCTGCTCCAGCATCCTTTCAAGAGCGCGGCTTTATTTGGTTTTTCCCGAAAACCCCAGATCCGGTAGAAGCCAGACGCCGCCGCCTCCGTTCCAAACTTTTTTTGGCTTTTTCCGGAATGGCCAAACGCGTACACGGGCGCGGCAGAAGCCTGCTACAAATGCGGCCTGCCATGTTTTTCCTTCGGCGCAAAGCCAAAAGCTTTTCGGAGGTTTGCAGACTGGCCAGGCTTGTCGGAAAAGTAAAGACAAGAGGGGCGCGCTCTGCTTGCACCCAGGCGGCTTAGTATTTTCCCAAATCAGCTGCGGGGCAGAACCCGTTCGGAAGAAGCTGCAAGGGCCGCTTTTTACTTGTAAGTAGACAGGCCGCTTTGTCCTTACAGCGTAGCTGCTTTCCCTTTTCTTTCGCTCTTCTGCCAGAGAAACCCCAGCCCGATAGCAGTGAAAGTCGCCTCCTCTGTCTCAGTTACAGAAAAGGCCTGTAGTATCTGCTTTTCCAAAGGCGGGCAGATCCTGACCAAGCCAAGCAAGGGCGCCGCTTTCAAACTTCGAGAGAGGAAGCCTGTTATTGCTTGTTGCTCAAGCCAGAACCGAAATACTCCAAAGGCGCAGCTTTCCGGATCCGCAAGAAAGTAGGAAAGCCTGCCATGCGCCCCGACGGCTAGCGCTGGCCTTTTCTCGAGCATTTCCAAAAGCAAGTGCCCCATGCCATGGCCAAAGGAAACACGTAAACAAGGAAAACATAAGCAAAGCGGCTGCAACATTCTCTGGGCTGTTCTCCAAATCGCTTGCGCTTCGCATGCTGCTCGCGGCAACCTCAGGCGTGAACAAGCGAAACAAGCCGCGGCCCCGTTGGTTTTTGAAAAACGGCGCGCGGTTTTTCTTTGGGCCAGGCAAGGCGGGAGCCGGAATTGCCAACCTCCCCATCATTTTTCTTTCCTATCCCCTGAGCGAAATCTGCTTGCTTTCACCTGGCAGGACCAGCTAGAACTATCGCACACAGCGACCACGGGCGCCCTTGTTTCTTTTCGGCCCGTCATCCGATAAGGGTAGCCGAAAGAAGCTGAAGCAGCTGGCGACGTTCCGAGGTAACCAGCCGGAAAAGAAAGAGCCGGGACGAGAAATGTGCCCGCTGGTTCACTGAACCGACTGGCCGCCAGCGGGGCGAAATAAAAAGCCAAAAGCGCAACCAACAAAGGAAAGGCCTGCTCCTTCCTGCCATTTTGCGGCGGCAGCGGCGCGGCTTGCTGCCTCTCGGCCTTTTCAAGTGTTGTTCTTTTTGCTTTTTCGGCCAAACAGGCTTATAGCGCAGCACTTTTCTTCGTCCGCGTTGCCTGCCCCTCCTATTTTCTGTAGCCCAGTTATTGCCCTCGTGCGTTTCTTTTGCCCACTTATACCCACCGCCTTGAGCCCTGTTGTTCTATTTGTATGCGTAAATTCCCGCGCCGTTGTGCCTCCACGGCGGCGCGAGTGAGGTATAGTATTGCTAAGGTCGGTCGTCGTCGTGGTCCGCTGCTGCTGCTGTTGCACTCAGTACTGGTTGTACTACTTCTCATTTATTTTCCTCCACGTGGAGCTCGTCGGCGTGTTAGCACACCTACTCCAATGAATTTATTTCTCGATCTTCTTGTATCTTTCAAGGGAGTTGTGTTATAGAGTGATATGAAATTGAAATAATACAAATAAACTAACATTTAAACAACAAGATGCGGCATACGCATATCTACAATTGAAGATGTTGAATGCGCACAGTTCTACTTCCCGGGGTCGGGGGCCAGCTGCTCCTACGCCTGGCTCATCATTTGCGCAGTCGTCGAAAAGCGATCACCACCAGCACCAGGTTCCGGAGGAGGCGAGCAGGACAAGAGCGAATGCGAAAGGAGGAACTTCTATAGTACAACCGAAGCACAACTACCTCTCATCTTCCGATCGAACATCACAGCAGCCATTGAGTTACGCATTGCAAATATTTCTGGGTCTGGAAGGATGCGAACTTGTGATGCGCATTTCACAACACACGCAAAACTCTCACGCATGGGCAGCAATAAAAGGTGCCCACTACCACTTCCTGTCACTTAAAAGGGGGATTTTTTGTCATGCGACTGTGGCATTGCGGAAGGTTCTCGATATCTGTGATGCTAGGGCCTCCATGACAGACCTTTTGCGTCATGCAAAAACAGCATGGGAAAAATCTGCATTCTTCCAGACCCAGACACATTTGCATTGGATACGAGTAGCACGAGTGCTGCACCCTCCACAACGACGCCGCAGATTGACCCGTTAGGACAGTTTGTGCAGAGCATCAAGTCGGGCATCGCTACCTTGGTGCACAGCGAAGCCGTGCAGAACTTTGTGTCCGTTGCGCAAGACGTGTCCAACACCACCAATATCGTGGATGTGCAACTCGTTCGCGGGTATGAAGAAGTGCGGAAGGAGTGGCTCTTGGCGGTGCCCAGCAGCACAAGTCACGCACCCAATGCAGCAGCTGCTGCAGCGCCGACCCTTTTTCTATTGGGTAAGCAGTACGAAAACGCTCCGGACCAGAAGCAATGGGAAAACTTCAAGAAGGACTTCAACCGGCTGTACCGGTGCACTTACCGGAAAAACTTTCACAAGCCGCTGGAACGGACCTACACCAATGATTCCATTGTCACCATCGACACCGACGCCGGGTGGGGCTGCATGATCCGTGTGGGGCAGATGCTTCTGGCGAACTTGCTGAAGCGGCAGCTCTATCAAATGTAAAAATGTCTGGGTCTGGAAGAATTCATGTTTGTCATGCTTGTCTGGCATGACTCTTACATCGATCTGTCATGCACATTACCCAAGAGCTCCGTTTTTCTGTGATGCAGAAGCGCAGTTTATCATGCAGAATAGGCAACACCTAGGAGCTCAGAAACTTGTCATGCTGAGCCAGCATCTGTAGCCTCATCATGAGACGCCACCCAGCATTACAAGTTTCCAGACCCAGACACTTTTACTTTTGATAAGCTCGAGCAAAGGTCGGCCACGGAACAGAATGTGCGGGAGTCAGTGGATGCGTTGAAGATTTTGCGCTTCTTTCTCGACCGACCGGACGCGAAGTTCGGCCTGCAGTCGTTTCTGCTGCTGAAGGACGCTGGCGATTGGCTTGGGCCGACCAGCATTGCCACAACCATCGAGAAAATGGTGAACCACGATGGCGTATGCTTTGCAAATCTGTCTGGGTTTGTAAGGATGTAACTTGTGATGCTGTTTTTGGATTCTAAAAATATCTGTGTTGCATGAGCAGCAAGAGGAGTCAGTTCTTGGCACGCGGAGAGGGCATTTCTCCTGCGTAACTAGCATGAAGTAAGAAGCTCCCAAAAAATCTGTCATGCTAACACCAGCATCACAGACTCCACGGGTGATGCAAAATGTGCATGACAAGCCCCGACTCTTCCAGACCCAGATAGTATATTTGCAGTGCATATGGCGGTGGTCCGGGCAGTGCCGGGCACCAGCACCACGCTTTTCTCCACAGCACTCGACCCATGACGGCGTCCCTGATGAGCGGCAGTTACGAGAAGATGGCGGAGTCTTTTGCGGTCTACGTCGATTACGATGGGTACATCTATTTGGACGAGATCCGAAGACTTTGTATGACCCGCTCAAACGTTACAATCTCAAACGTGACAATAGAATCTGGATTTTGTAGTATTGCATGATGAGCATGACAGACCCGCACAGCGTTCCACTTTCTGCAATACAAATTTCGCTAGATCTTCTTAGTGCGGTTTGGGACTCCAGAACTTGTCATGCGCAATGCTGTGGGAGTCAGTGGGCTAGGTCGTGCACCTTTTGCATCACAGATTTCCATCTTCTATTGTAACGTTTGAGATTGTAATACCTGAGCAGGTTATACTTTGCCCGGAGCTCTTCTACCAAGGCGCGGTCGACCGTGACAAAAAGGCGGAACAAGAACGGGCGGCACACCGCGGCGAAGTCGTAGACGAGGACGACGGGCAGCACGGCAAAGAAGGCAGTGCTGACAGCAAGAAACCGAAAATAAACAAGGGGCTGCTCCTGCTTCTTCCGTTTCAACACGGAACCGAGCAGTACATGCCGGCGATACAGCAGGCGCAAGTGTCCTACTACCTGAAAATTCCGTACACGATGGGCATCCTTTCGGGGAAGCCGCGGAATATTGCAAGGAAAAGTCCCCCCTCCCCATATTGAAAACATGTCGCTTCGAAAATTTGTGATGCAGACTTGTGACCACAAATCCGGTCTGTCTTGCCAGAAGGCAAATCCAGAGAGTCCGCCACGATATGCGGGCGGTTTGTAATGCTGCAAGGCCTACAGGGCAGACGTCTGCCATGCTAGGCCCCTACACCAAAAGGACCCCCCTTGGGCTTGCGATCTGCGTGCAATGCTTTCCTGCAAGACAGATGTGATTTGTGTACACAAATCCCGCGCCACAGATTTCCGTTTTGATATGGGGAGGGGGGATTTTTCATTTTGATACGGAAGGCGCACTATTTTGTGGGCTGTCTGAACGAGGACCGACTGCTGTATCTAGACTATCCCACAGAAAAAGACAGGCAGGTCATATTTGTAATGCAAAAATGGATACGCAAGAAAACCTGTATTGCGAATCCAAAACAGCACGCTATGGGGCCGCCCATGAGAGATTTTTCCTGTGTAATTTATTTTTGCATTACAAACATGCCCTGCCTGCTTTTTTCCCTGGGATATAAACCCGCACGTGGTTCAGGAGGCCGCCCTGAACCTGAAACAAAGCTCCGCCGCCGCTTGCAAGAAGCAAAACAGCATGATACAAGCAAGCGGCGCAATATCAACTTCTTCCCCCTTCGAAAACAACGACACTTGGCCCCGTCGACAGAAGGACAAAACTTTGCTTTCTCACGCGACGTATGCACTGCAAAAATGTCTGGGTCTGGAAGGTTGGAACTTGTCATGCCAAATCTGAATCATGCAAAAATCTGTGTTGCATGATTACCAAATGCTGTCCACTTTTGATCAAGTTGAGAGGCCGTTTCTCATGCAGGATAGGCATGATAGATAGTGATCTCACGGAATCTGTCATGCTAGGTCCTTCATTACAGAAGATCATATGGGTCATGGAAAACCCGCATGACAAGTCGAGCAAAGTTCCAGACCCAGACACTTTTGCAATCCATACGACGTTCCACCCTGCGTCGCGAGCGGCAGGAGGAACTGCAGCGGGTAGTTGTTCTCACGCAGAGCGGAAAAGGAGCTCCTCCTCCAGCGGCGCGACAAGCAGCTCAACTTCGGCGGGGCCGCCGACTACTTCCTGCGCTTTTGCAGCTGGGTCAGTTGTGCCCTCAAAGCTGCCTCCCGGTGGCGGGAGTGGTTGTACTACTAGCCTGCCTAGTACAACGAACCCGGCGGCGCCGAGCACTTCCGTAACTGCCGGGACGAGTGCCTCGAATTTTTTATCCGTGTTCCAAAGTTCGGCAACCTCCATTGCGGCCAAGGGCAGTCGGTTGCTGCGGCATCTGTCCTCGGAAACCTCGGCTGCGAGCTTGGAGAGCAGCAGCGGTGCAGTACTGTGAGGAAAAATCCCCCCTCCCCATACCAACCCGGGACACTTCTGAAAATTTGTGATGCTGATTTGTGACCAAAAATCGTCTCTGTATTGCAAGAAGGCAAATCGAAAAACCCCGCCGCGTAGTTCTGCAGGAAATCTGTAATGCTGCATGGCCTACAGAGGATGCGACAGCCTTGCTAGGCGCCTACACCAAAACGCCCCTACTCAGGCTCTGCATCTGCCTGCAGTCCTCTACTGCAAGACAAAGCCGATTTGAGTACACAAATTCCGCAGCACAGATTTCCATTTCGATATGGGGTGGGGGGATGTTTCCTTTTGATATGCAGCAGCTCACCTCGTCCAGAGAAGCTTCACCAAGGAATCCGCGAGCGTCAGTGCTACCAGTAGGGCCAGTATCAAACAAAAAAAGTTCGTCACGATCACTCATGCGCATTTTTGCAATACAAAACTTTCTGTCATGCGTAAAAATGCATCACAGCCGAACTTCATAGGGGATTTCCCTAGTGTTTCTGCAATACAAGAAAAATTTGTGATGCTAAACAAACCCTGCAAGTTAGTGACTGTGACAAACTTTTTTCTCTCCATAGCCAGTGCTGGTGACATGAGGAAAACAAACGAACCACAAGGGTCTACTAGTGCGACGAACATCGTGGAAGCGGAACCAATTCTGGTCGACGAAGACACGTATCAAATGCAAAAATGTCTGGGTCTGGAACAAAGCAACTTGTCATGCTGTTTTTGGACTCTCAAAAAATTTGTATTGCATGACCAGCAAGAAGAGTCTAGTTTGGGCTACGCGGGGAGGGCATTTGTCATGCGGAATAGGCATCACGAAGCCCTCAAAAAGTCTGTGATGCTAGGGCATGCATCACAGACATCATGGCCCATGCAAAACGTGCATGACAAGTCTCAAAATCTTCCAGTCCCAGACATTTTTGCATTTCATAACACGAGCCCATTGGCAAGAACCGCCTCGGAGGGCGGAAACGCGGCAGCGTCCTCCGCGAGGCACGGCGGTGGAACAAGTGGGGGGTTCCTCAGTTTGTACAAGAACAGCACGGGGGGAGGTCTAGCAAGCTCGTCAGGTCCTACTTCCCGCGTCGGGCAAGCGCAAGCGCAGGAAGAACTGCAGGCAGCTACACACACTAGCATGCCGCAAGGGCAAGAACACAGGCAGGAGCTGCGCCAGCAGTTTGTTTCTACCACATCTTCATCAAAAGCAAAACCTCCGACGCCCTCGTCCGCTTCAACCTCCTTTCCCGGTTCGTCGCTGCCCACCGTGCGCTCCTTTCAAGTGGAGGTGGAGAGGCACCTCCACGTTTTACCGCTGACGGAGATGAACAGCAGCCTCTGTTTACGCATTGCAAATATGTCTGGGTCTGGAAGGGTGTAACTTGTGATGCTGCGTCTGGATTCCAAAAAAAACTGTATTGCATGAGCAGCAAGGGGAATGCAATTTTTGCTACGCGGAGAGGGCATTTTGTCATGCGGAATAGGCATCAAGAAGCCGTCAAAAAATCTGTGATGCTAGGGCGTGCATCACAGACGTCGCGGCTCATACAGAACGTGCATGACAAGTCTCAGAATCTTCCAGACCCAGACACTTTTGCAACCCATACTGTTTGACTTTTTTCGTGCAAAGCGAGGCGGAGCTGATGGACTTGTGTGAGAATTGGCTCGGCGGGGATGGCGCTGGAACGAACAGCGATTACAACGACCCCCATCTTCATCAACAGCAAAGGATGTTGAATAAAAACTCATGGGTCACGGTGGAGAAAAAAAAGCCCGAGGGTTTGACGCAGCTGATGAAAACCTCGCACAACTCTTTCATGCTGGACTCCCAGCACTCGTCCATGCTGTCGAGCCAACAAACCATGTCTGACTCCTTTCTGGATGACGACCGCAGCCGGTCGCGGACCCACGGACTGATGAGCGCGGGCGGAAACAACTTCGATATGAAAGCGAGCTGGGGCGGGTCCAGCGTCCAGTCCGTGGAGCAATCGCCCGCTGCGGGAGGCGGGTCTTCGTCCTTCCACGAAATACACAGTCACAACCTGTATGCAGTGAAAAAAGTCGTGCTACAGTTACACGTTGAAGAGCTGCAGGCCAAGCAAGAGAGACAACCTCTGTCATGCCGGATAGGTGGCATAGGAGCCTTGTTTTTCCATCAGTAATACGTGTTTTCCCTTAGTAGAACTTGCATTGCAAGTTTTCTCTCTCAGGCACAGAAAAGTTGTGATGCTGAAACTCTAGCAGATGTGTAACTGTAACACACTTTTTTTTCTGGATAGTACGAGTAACGGTTTCACGAGTATCGGAACATCAGCAGGAGTTACCGGCGCGGTAGAAAAGCTTTCTTTATTGGGGTCGAAAGAGGAAAAATCTGCGTATTTGCAGCAGCACCAAGGGAACGGCAATCGCAGCAGTTCCAGCAGTGGATCCAATTTGTCGGTCAAGTTGGTGGTCGAGGAAGAGTCCTTTGCGAATCACAGCCATGTGGGCACTAGTAGTGGTGGTACATCAACTACTAGGGTAGAAGCGGTAGACCCTTCTTCATCAGGCGGTGCGACTACACCTGGGATGATTGGTCATCAATCTCTTCTACACGGCGCACCAAATCAGGATCGGAAGAAAAAGAAACGCGCTTTGACGCGTGAAGGCGCGATTTTGGAGACGTTCGAAGTGTTGTCGCCGAGCATCGTGTATGCACTGCAAATATGTCTGGATCTGGAAACCCAAACCTGCGATGCTTAATTGAGCATGGTTGAAGCGCTTGCAATGGCAGCCAAGCATGGTAAGTTTTTGAGACGCCTGCTGATGCCTAGCACGCATCACAAATTGCGTTTTTGCATGACAAAGGAAGCTCCTCTTTTGCTGCTTATACAAAAGAGATTTTCCAGGAATGCAAGACACGCGTCACAAGTTCCACTGTTCCAGAGGACCCAGACATATTTGTATTTGATATCGTGTCCGGTGCCAGTAGCACCCGGGGGGCCGCAGCAGCGGCCAGGAGTGGCAACAACTACAACCGGGCGGCCGCCGCCCCGAACAATCGCAGTTATAGTATTAATGCAGGCGGGACCACCTTCGCGGGGGCTCCGGCTCCGCCTCCGGCCGGGTTTAGCAACGTCGTGCCTGCAGCTGCGCGGGGGGGAACAACCGGCTCAAGTACAACTTCTAGTTGTCCACCTGGAGGAGCTGAAGGAGAACAAGGTCCGTCCTCCTCCGGCGCCAACAATGTGATGCTTGCGAACAATGCTCATCTGCAAGGACATAGCCAGACCAATAATACAACAAATGGCGGAGGTGGGGGCCCAACAGCCGGGCGTGGGCAACATCTACCGCCGGCGCCCACTGCGAGCAACCTGATCCGCGTAAACCCCCCGGCGACGGCACTGCAGAAGGCAACCGCGAAATCGCAGCCGTCCTCGCCCAGCAGAATGATACACAAGCGCAGCCACAACGATTTGCAAACGCAGCTCGAGAAATCGCTGCAGCAGCGGAAGTATTCATTGCAAAAGTATATTGCACCAGTACAAGTTGCGTCACAAATATATGATTTTGGCAGGAAGAAGAGTGGAATCTCAATCTGTGATGCTGGTGCAGGTTAGGAGAAAGATTTGTCTTGCGTGACTGCAATTATACGAGTACGATGCTTCTGCATTTGATACAAGCCTGAGTAAGGACGACGACTCGCTGGTGGTGATTGCGAAAAACAACCAAGTTCACCGGTTAGACAACAGTACGGAGGAGATGATTGGGATGATATCCCCCGTCGTGAGTCCGCCGTTCGTGAAGGTAGATCTGCCTACTTTGCAAGAGCCTGTGATGCCCGGGTCTGCCGAAGACGACTTTGAGTCCGTGGACATCATATGCATTGCAAATATGTCTGGGTCTGGAAGGTTAGAACTTGTGATGCTCACTTTGGATTCTGAAAAAATCTGTATTGCATGACCAGCAAGAGGAGCCCAGTTTGTGCTACGCGGGGAGGTCATTTGTCATGCGGGATAGGCATCAGGAAGGCCTCTAAAAATATGTGATGCAAGATCATGCTTTACACACGTCCTGCTGAGTCATGCAAAATATGCATGACAAACCTGGTAACCTTCCAGACCCAGACGTTTTTGCAATTGAAACATCATCGGTGATTCCGCGCACGAGTTCGCTTTGACGGGCTTTTCGCCCGTTGGCAGCTCCCCGGAGGATGATATGAATGGTGTCGGAGGAGGAGGGGGGACCACTAGGGCTTTGTCGTCGAACCATGTAGTAGATGTTGCAGCTGCGGCGAGCGGTAGTAAAAAGACCATCGCGCCGCTGTCCTTAGAAATTATACCAAGATCCTCTTCAGCTGCGGCCCGCGCGAGCTCGCAAGAGTGGGATTTGCTGGAGAGCAAGACCCCAACGGGGTTGCAACTGGTGGACCACGAGGACATGCATCTTGGGACGGCGGCGAGACCTACCGGCGCATCTGCAGCCGGTGTTAGTATCAACAATGCGAGTGGTCGAGGAACCACGACCTCCAAGGCCGCATTGCAGTTTCGCAACTCGCGGTCCGAGATTATCGCGCGAGACGCGGGGATTAACAGTGCGGGGGCGGTGCTAAGTTTGGAAGAGCATGTAGAGATTCTGGAGGAGGACGGGTGAGCAGCGGCACAGAAATATAAACATGTTGGCTATTGTTTGACCACAAATGTCAAAGCCGCGCAGAGGTGATGAAGATTACTAGAGTTGTCCACCTGGTCCTGGTAGGTTGTCAGCTCGACGTCCAGGAGGGAAACGGTAGAAATACGTAAGTAGGACCGTGCTGTCGTGAATTTTCAAAGATGTTGATGTAGTTACTTTTTTGTGTAGAAGCAGGAGCACGGTCGTGAAGATGGTCGCACGAAGCACATTTCCACAGGCCGCTCCTATTATTGCTGCGTCGGTCTAATATCAAACTGCTGTATGCAAGAAAATAGCACCAGCTGGGGTGCAGCTGACCACTCAGTGTCGTGTGAAATACTTCTAAAATATGCAGATTTATTTTCCACTTGTAACTTTTTTTGTTGATCGTTCCGCTTGATTTTATCGAAGCGGCTTTGATGAATTCTTCTCTACGATCTTTTTCCACGAGGGCATGCGCAGGTGCCTGCAGGGTGCTGACGAAAGAACATCAAGAAAGAGACCCTGCTTCTGAAGAAGATGCAACCGAGGACACCAGAGCACGTTAATTTCTTTACTCCTGGATCATGCCCCGGTTTTGATGAATTCTCATTTAAAACTCCGATTGAAATTAAGATTTCTTTGCTAATTGCTCTGCGGCATCAGCTCTGGTATGTGTTGTAAAGCCTTTCTGGTTGGACGCTTCGGTGATGTGACTACAAGAGAAATAGGATCCACTTCATTGTGTGTTTTTCTGAGAAATGTTGAGATCTTCCTGACAGCTCTCTCTAGTGAACTTGCAAATCAGTGCGCTCAGTTCGCGTAAGCGCAGCAAGGATCTTAGTGTAGATCCACGAAAGCAACAAAAGGAAGGAGGACCATGAAGAAGAAGTGATCAAGGGAATTGTGTAGAAAATGATCCAGAGACGTTCAAAACTTGCACAGGCACTACTTGAAGACCAATCCAGCGACAAAAACTGTGCACAGTTTTCTCGAAATTAGAGCCCCCGCTTGTTCTTCTGTAAAACACTTCTATTTTCATCTTCATCATTATACTCCAGCGACCGCCTTATCGTTTTTGTACTGGTAATGTTATTCCTATTCTCATTGAATGAATCACAGAGCACGATAGAAGTAAAACGAACTGACCAAGCACGTCGGAATAGTATTTGTTTTCTTCTCTAAAAATCTGCTTCATAGAAATCTCCTCCTCGACGACGTGTGCTTCAAAAGCAAGTAGAAAATGCAATCAGCTACGGGAGGCACAATGATCTCAACAACGTCCTCCGCAGACGTTGCCACCGCAGCTGCTTTCAGCTCCGTCGGTGCAGCTGCCGGGACGATGGTCAAGGGGAACAAGGTGAAAACTGTGAAAAAATCAATGAAAAAAACCCCTTTGTCGAAGAAGGGAAAGAAAATGAAGAAAGCCGGTGGGGCAAGCAAGAAGCCTGCCTCGTCGGTAGTACTCACGAAGCAGGGAGACGCACAAGCGAAAACAGCTCCTGCTGCAAGTAAGAAACCGTCACAGGATGAATCCGTATCACAGACAAATGGTGGAGTAGCAGCACAGCTCGACGGGGAAGGAACGCCAGCGCCAACGACCAAATCGAGAAACGCGAAGCAGCGAGCGCGGAAGAAGAGTAGTAAAAATAAGGTGCTAAATTGGAAGCCGGTGAGCCTACCGAATGAATTTCGAGCTACTTGGGACGAAAGTGGGAAGGTGAATTACGGTGAGATGTTCGGAGTAACGGTGGAAGAGTTGGACGCAGGTGACTACGAGATTTTCGGTCTAGATAAGAAAACGCAAACCTCTACTACCTCCGGCATACAAGCTGGCGATATTACGGCAGCAGGGAAGAACAAGAAGACGACTACTAAAGTCATGAAGAAGAAGGGAGCTGCTGGTCCTGCGACAAACAAGAACTCCGCTGTAGTCACAACCTCGTCGACCTGCTCTTCCGATGTAATTAGTGCTGCTGAACCTGCAGCTGCGACGAAGGCGGAGAACGAGAAGCATAAAAATCTGAAGCGTGCGCGAACCGACCACTCAGAACCTGGTGGTGCTGGTGCTTCGCTGGGTGGAAGCAAAAAGTCTACCTCTGCTCTTTCTACTGGGGACGAAGATCAACATGTCAGGGCAGAAGAAAAAGTGGCAGCTGAATTATCGGATCGTGATGCACCAAGGTCTGCTTCGCAACTGAAGAAAGGAAAAGAGAATAGTACGAAGAGTAAGAGAAGCGAGAAGAAGGAACAGCAGACGTCTGCAGCACCTGTAAAACGTATTGCAGAAGTGGCAAAGTGTACTAGCAACAAGCAAGAGAGCCAGCAAATAAAGGGTGATAAATCGTCCTCACCGACCACATCAACGAAAAGTAAGGGTCGCGGCGACGAAACTTCTACAGCCACCTCCTGTCCGCCGGAGTCCGAAATCGCGAAAATCGAGAAAAATTGGAACCCGGACAACAGTCTCCCCTTCCCCCTCCACCCTGCTCTTCTGCAAGGGTTAGCGCACAAGAAGTTCTACCGGCCCTCCGCGATCCAGCAGGCCTGTCTGGTGCCGGCGCTCGCCGGGAAGGATATCGTCGGCGTTGCGGAAACGGGCAGCGGAAAAACGCTGGCCTTCGGGTTGCCCGTACTGCAAAAGTGTTTGGAGATGAAAGAAACAAAAAATCATGGGACAACTAGTGGAAGCAGGAGTAATAAAGATGAACTCGGAGGACGACTCCAGGACCTGCAAGTAGGTGAAGAAACCACGACGACGGCAACTACAGCAGCAAGTTCTAGTACCTGCTGTCCTGCACGAGAGCAGTCATCCAATTCCCCTCTCGTCGGCTTGATTATTGTCCCGACGCGGGAACTTGCGCAGCAGGTGAAAAAGCACTTGGACGACGTCGTGCAGAAGTTTGCCGCCCTGCCAGGCAGCGCGGTACTGCCAGCATCAACATCATCTCAGCATCACGAGTATAAACAGCAGGTGTTCACGGTCTGTCTCGTGGGCGGGCTGACCCCGATCAAACAGCTGCGTTTACTGGAGAAACAACCCCAGATCATCGTCGGCACACCGGGGCGAATTGCGCAGTTGGCCGGGTTGGTCACGGTGTCGAAGAAAAACACGAATGAGGACGCGATCTCGGATATCAAATGCAAAAATGTCTGGGTCTGGAAGATTCTGAGATTACTATCTAAACTGCAGCAGCTGGTCAAAAATGCAGGCGAGGGGTATGTTCGGGGGTATGTTCGGGGGTGTGTCAGGGGTATGCAAATGCTCCTCAATCACGAGCGGACTGCAATTTTTTGCCGAAAAACCAACAGGTGGGGTATAAACATACCCCAGACACACCCCAGACACACCCCAGACATACCCCAGACAGACCCCCGAACATACCCCAGGCAAAAAGTCCGAACATACCCCAGACACACCCCGGACAAACCCCGCGCAGACTTTCGGACACACCCCGGGCAGACTTTCGGACACACCCCGGCCAAACTTTCGGACTTTGCCATGTGAGGTTTGGAGCCGAAGCCCAGTCTGTCACGCGAGACCGTGCGGCCAAGGGGCGAAAGCCCTAGGCCAGCGCGGGGACTCGGTCCCCGCGTCATGGCCTAGGGGCCAGCTGTAAGCGCTTCCCGGACACCGTGCGGCCAAGGGGCGAAAGTCCTAGGCCAGCGCGGGGACTCGGCCCCCGCGCCATGGCCTAGGGGCCAGCTGTTGGCGTTTCCCGGGCATGGTGTGGCCAAGGGGCGAAAACCCTAGGCCAGCGCGGGGACTCGGTCCCCGCGTCATGGCCTAGGGGCCAGCTGTGAGCGCTTCCCGGACACCGTGCGGCCAAGGGGCGAAAGTCCTAGGCCAGCGCGGGGACTCGGTCCCCACGTCATGGCCTAGGGGCCAGCTGTTGGCGTGTCCCGGGCACGGTGTGGCCAAGGGGCGAAAGCCCTAGGCCAGCGCGGGGACTCGGTCCCCGCGTCATGGCCTAGGGGCCAGCTGTGGCTGTGCGCGCGCTTCCCGGACACCGTTCGGCCAAGGGGCGAAAGCCCTAGGCCAGCGCGGGGACTCGGTGGGCCCCCGCGTCATAGCCTAGGGGCCAGCTGGGAGCGCCTCCCGGACACCGTGCGGCCAAAGGGCGAAAGTCCTAGGCCAGCGCGGGGACTCGGTCCCCGCGTCATGGTCTAGGGGCCAGCTGTTGGCGTTTCCATCCCGGGCGAGGTGTGGCCAAGGGGCGAAAGCCCTAGGCCAGCGCGGGGACTCGGTCCCCGCGTCATGGACTAGGGGCCAGCTGTCGGCGCTTCCCGGACACCGTGCGGCCAAGGGGCGAAAGCCCTAAGCCAGCGCCGGGACTCGGTCTCCGCGTCGTGGCCTAGGGGCCAGCTGAGCGCGCTTCCCGGACAACGTGTAGCCAAGGGGCGAAAGCCCTAGGCCAGCGCGGGGGCTCGGTGGGGCCCCGCGTCATGGACTAGGGGCCAGCTGTGCGCGCTTCCCGGACACCGCGCGCGCGGCCAAGGGCGGGGCAAAGCGAACCCTTAGGGCAGCGCGGGGACTCGGCCCCCGCGCCATGGCCTAGGGGCTGGCTCGCAGCACTTCCCGCGACGCCGTGCGGCAAAAGGGCGAAAACCCTGCCTAGGCCAGCGCACGCGGGGACCCTCTCTGCCCCCGCGCCATTGCCTAGGGGCCAGCTGTAAGCGCTTCCCGGACGCCGTGCTGCCAAGGGGCGAAAGCCCTAGGCCAGCGCGGGGACTCGGTCCCCGCGCCATGGCCTAGGGGCCAGCTGCAGGCGCTCCCCGGCGACACCGTGCGGCCAAGTTAGGGGCGAAAGCCCCAGGCCAGCGCGGGGACTGCTCGCTCGGTCCCCGTGTCATGGCCTAGGGGCCAGCTTTGGGCGCTTCGTTCCCGGACAACGAACGTGCGGCCAAGGGGGCTAGCTACGAACACTCCCCGGACACCACACCGCGCGGCCGAGGATGGAAGGGGCAGAGAAAAGCCCCAGGGCAGTGCGGGGACTCTGTCGCCGCGTCATGACCTGGGGGCCGGCTCCCGGCCCGGCACGCGCCAGTTAGTTTCTTTTTTTCTTTTATCTTTGCGCGCGGCAGGCTAATGAATCTAGTGCGCGCAAGCAAGGGGGCCGCGTCCGCAGGCCCGTCGCGGGTCAGTGAATGCAAGGCGCACCGAGATACCTAGCTGCAGGCGACCTGCCTGGCCAGTGCCACCGCGCAGACAAATGTAATGCCGGAAGGTCGCCGCACGGGGACTCTGTCCCCGTGCTCGGACCTTGTTTGTCATGCATGTTTTGCATGACCCAGGATGTCCGTAATGCACGACCTAGCATCACAGATTTTTAGAGAACTCCCTGATGCCCACTCCGCATGACAAACGCTCTCCCCGCGTAGCACAAACTAGACGCCTCTTGCTGGTCATGCAATGCAGATTTTTTTAGAGTCCAAAGTTAGCATCACAAGTTCACATCTTTCCAGACCCAGACATTTTTGCATTTGATCTCGGAGCAGTCACAGTGGCTGGTGGAAAACTTCAAGCAGGTGCAATTTCTATCGTAAGGAAATATCCCCCCTCCCCATATCAAAAACGAAGCCACAGAAATAAATTTGCAATGCTAAATTGTGACCACAAATCGTCTCTGTCATGCAAGAAGGCAACTGCACAGGCTCCGCCGCATTATCGAGGCAGTCGGTGATGCTGTTGTGCCTAAAGCGTGGACAACGTTTGTAATGCAAGGCGCCGACATAGGCGCCTATGAATGTCGGCGCCTTGCTTCCCAGGGTTGTCATGTGCCTGCAGTCCACTACCGCAAGACAAGTCTGATTTGTTTACGCAAGTCCAGCATCACAAATTTCCTGGCCGATATGGGGTGGGGGGATTTTTCCTTTCGATAATTTCTGATCCTGGACGAGGCCGACCGGTTGGTAGAGCAGGGCCATTTTCGCGATTTGACCAAGATCTTGGACTTTTTGTACAAGGAAAAAAAGGTGGACTTCATTTTGAACCACAGCGACGCAGCAGGGAAAAATGATGCGAAGAGACAGAAGAAAGAAGATGACACTATTAACCCGAACGACATCGAGCTCGGGGCCCGACGAAAGGCGGAGAAACTCCCGAGGCTGCAGACGTTGGTCTTTTCCGCCACATATGCATTGCAAAAGTATCGTACTAGTACAAATGGCATGACAAATTTGCCCAGCATGAGAAACGGAATTTGTCATGCTGATTTGCCTTGGGGCGGAGATTTGTAATGCATGACTGCAATTACTACGAGTGCGATACTTTTGCACAGGATACCACCTTGGCGGATGTGGAGCCGCTGATGGAAAAGGTCCGGTTCTGCGCCGGCGCGTCGAATGCGTCGAAAATGAACAAACCCGTTGTGATCGACCTGTCGCAGCAGAAGACGAGATTGCTGGCTGCCGCAAGTGCTGCAACAATAACTAAGAGCGGCAGCGTTTTTCCGGAAAAACTGCGGTTCGAAAGACTCAGTTTTACCAAAGATGAGGACCGGGATTGCTTGCTGTGTTACTACGTGCTGCAGCAGATCGCCATGCTGCAGCAAAATAGTAGGTCAGGAGCTCCTGCTGATGTTCGTGGAGCAGCACCGAGAACATCAGCATCGAATAGCGAAGACGCAACAACTATAGATTGCAAAAATGTCTGGGTCTGGAAGAGTGCATGTTTGTCATGCTTGTCTGGCATGACTCTTAAATCTGTCATGTACGTTACCCAAGAAAAGCCCCATTTTTCTGTCATGCAAAAACGCACTCTGTCATGCAGAATAGGCAACACCTACAAGCTCAGAAACGTGTCATGCTGAGCCAGCACTTGTGTACCTTGCTCATGATACGCCAACCAGCATCACAAGTTTCCAGACCCAGACACTTTTACATTTGATAACAACACCAGCTTCTGTCACGACCCCGAAAATGATCGTGTTCACGAACGCGATTTCCATGGTATCAAATGTAAAAATGTCTGGGTCTGGAAGATTGCCAGGTTTGTCATGCACATTTTGCATGACTTCTGATGTCTGTGATGCATGCCCTAGCATCACAGATTTTGTGAGGGCTTCCTGATGCCTATACCGCATGACAAATGCTCTTTCCGTGTAGCAAAACTTGGACTCTCTTTGCTGCTCATGCAATACAGATTTTTTTAGAATCCAAGATCAGCATGACAAGCTGGATTCTTCCAGACCCAGACACTTTTACATTTGATACATGGTTTACCGGCTCTATTCCCTTTTTGGCCTTCTCCTCGGGAGCGACGCGGGGAAGTCGAAACTCGCGGCGATTGTGCCGCAGAAGGGTAGTACTAGGCGAAACAATGGTCTTCATGGTGGGAAAAAGAATTTTTATGCGGGAAATTCAAAAAGGTCCGCGAACGAGTACCCATTAAATTGCGACGTTTTCGCCTTGCACAGCAACATGTCCCAGAAGGAAAGGCTCAACAAAATGGACAAGTTCCGAAACAGCGGGGTTGTACTAGATCTTCATGGGGTGTCCTCGTCCAGAACTTGTGAAGTAGAAGATGGAAAAGAGCAGCAACAAATGCAAAGTCCACCGAAGGACGCGGCCATTCTGATTTGCACCGACTTGGCGGCCCGCGGGCTGGACGTCCCAGATGTGAACTACGTGGTGCATTATCAGGTAGATAATTAAACAACTGACTGTTTATGTGATTTTGATATTGATTCTGTGATGCAAAAGTCTCTATTACAAGAAAAAAGTTGGCCTTCTATGCAATCTATCATGATGACAAAGCTTTGAGTAAACAGAAGAACCGTTTCTCAAACATTCGCAGTAAGTGACCGACAGAGCTGAAGCAATCGTGCCGGTGGGGGTGTGTAGTTGTCATTCTGATGTAATTTGTCGTGTACTATTTTTACGTGCGTGACAGTAACTTGTCGGAGTGGTTTGCACCACAGCTCCGCCATTGCGCGTTCATTGTGCAGCGCATGCGGGACATTGCTTTACTTTCCTTAGATGTCTGACGACAGGTTTTTTGCACCAGCAGCTGGTGCATATTTCTTGACTATTATTCGCACGACAAATCTAGTCGCTCCTTATCCAAATGCGACGTGACAAACACAACTAAAGTGATGAATGCAAAAAGTGCCGCGCCATCCATTTTCGTCGAGTCGCCATTAGCTTGGCCTCGCTGACAACAACTCAAAGGCATCCTGATTTGTGGCAGAATTATACTAGTTTATTCGGATATAGAAGACGCGCGGAACAACTTGCCGTACAACGTCGTTGAAAAGGCCGTTATTTTCATTTGCATTTCCGACTCGCCTAGCGCTCAACGTGCCTGCTTGCCTATTCGGCGCGAAATTAAAACGACCATGACCGAATAATTTTCTTCCTCCAACAAAACAACAGGCTCCGCGTTCCTCCGAGATTTTCATTCATCGCACGGGCCGGACCGCCCGCGCCGGCAAAGCCGGTACGGCGTTGATCATGCGTGCACCTGGCGACGTGCAGAAATACGACGAGTTAGTAGCGCAGAAGAACCTTTTTGGCGAGAAGGGAGACGAACTAATCTTGGAACTGGCGGTTCCGCAGGCCAAGAAGCTCCAGTCGCTGCGGCAACTGTTGGAAAATTGTTCGAACTTGGAGAAGCAATTGCACGAGGTGTCCAAAAAGCACAAAGAAAAGGAGTGGTTCAAGCGGCACAGCTATCAACTGTAAAAAAGTCTGGGTCTGGAAACATGTAAACTTCTGATGCGCATTTGAGACCAGAAAAAAATCTGTCATGCATGGACCGCAAAAGTTGCTCATTTCTTGTCACCAAAAGAGGGAACTTGTCATGCGGATTAGGCATCGCCTAACCTGCTCAAAACCTGTGTTGCTAGGACTTGCATGCGAGACCTTCTGTGACATGCACAAGCAGCATCACACTCTTCCAGACCCAGACATATTTGCATTTGATAACAGCAAGGAGTGCGAGCTGGACTTTTCCGACCTTTCGGACTCGGAGGACGGAGATTTTGGCGGCGGTCACGACGGAGATTTTGGGGGTGTGAAGAAGGAAAACAAGGAAAAACTAGCGCAATTGTACAACCAGGTGAAACAAAAATTGCAAAGCGTTTTGAAGTTGGGATGACATGAACTTACTTAATACCTTCTAACCAACGTGGACGATATTCGAATATGATGCGATGAATTACTGAAGAAAGTGATGCAAGTGCGCGAAGAAGTGAAGAAAAGAAAAACGACATACTAGTGTGGAAGAATTTCACGTACAACTAGCATGTGCGTGAGCTTCTAACCTCATGTGCTGACTTGGACCCTCTGCGACGATTTATGCAGTTCGTGTTATCGTAGTCGTAGACGTAGTCGTGCCTCCTCCCCCGCCACGTGCATGTTGTGGTCCTGTGATACCCAAGTTTGGCTCGCTACTCTTTCTTCGTTGACAAAGATTCTGCTTCCTGTATTGCATCCCCGTGGATCATTCGTTGTCGTGTCGGCTCAGAAATGTATAGTACTGGAACACCAAGAACTACGAACTGGTTCTTTCCGTGCCTTCGTTCACACCGTGCAAAACCTGAACTCGTACATATTTCATTCTCTTCGTCTTCGTTGCAATCTCTGTACGCGTTTTTCGTCCACCAAGCTGGTCTGGCCGCTGGACAACTCACGAACAAGACCTCTACTCTGGTTTTTTGGTAGAGACCCGTGTCTACTTCAACTTCAGTAAAGACTATTTGGTAAAATATTTATAAAATCAATCCAGGAACACCCCTGCTTTTCTTCGAAAAGAGTTAGGAAAACCTAGTCCTGCAGAAAATTCCAAGATAGCACAAAGGCCGCTCTTCTTCCCAACAGAGTACTTATCGTAAATCTTCAAGTAATTTCCGCGGCTGTGAAAAAAAAATGAAGAAGGCACTTGTGTTCTCGGTTGCCGCCTCCGCCGCGGCGATCCAGGCGCCCACGCACCAGTGGATCGGGAAAGAAGACGGGGGAAACTTCTTGGAAGTTGACGCTGGGGCGAAGAAGGTGGGCGCGGGTGGGAAGAAGGAGATGAAGCCGGCCGAAGACATTCGAACGGCAGCAACTACACTGTTTGTGAAAACGCCGCCCATTTGCAAAAAAGTACGAAAAGACGGAAACGCACCAGAGAAGGCGTACGCGCCATGCGGATCCAATCCTTGTTGCAGATCACAAACAATCGAATGGGCTGACGAGACCTGCGTTTGGGGTGCCTGCCTCGCCCAGTAAGAGTTTGACTTTGCAATACCAGCAGGTATAGGCTTTTTGTTGTTCACTTAAGCTGCTACCGAGCTAAGAAAAGTTTCGCACCGGGTACTGTTTCGCAGTTATTTAAGTATTTTCTAGCGTTGCCGAGTCCGATACCGATTCCATATCCAAAGCTTTTTATTGATTTCATTGATCACCTTGTATTCGAATCTACCTGATGGAGGTATTCATTTTCGCTTAATCTCTCATCCCTTCCCTCGAACAAACTCAGTCAAAAACTTACCTGCTTTGGGAACGAACCCGCTCGACGCACCTGATGGTATGATTTTCTTCACTGCTACGTCGACCTCCATCTATGCCTATCGCCCTCAGCATTTGCGCGTCGTTTCGCGCTAACGCAGTTGCCCGCCTCACATCCGTACTAATATTTGTAACCTCCTCCACAACATTTTTGAATGTGTACATGCCCCCAGAGTCTCCGCTGTAATGACATGCCCCCGTAGCTCCCTCGCCTCTGCTACGCGAATACAATTCCAAAGATGGGCATAAGGAATCCAGATCGATAATTACACTCCACCTTCTTATAGTCATCCTCCCTCCCGATGGAACAAGAGAAAACCGTTAGCAACCCCCAGCGCTGCCCATCCCACACCCTGTCGAACAGGACTGCTATTGAAACGTTTTCGTGCCTCCACTGAAATCTTTCCTCAACTCGCCTTTCATACCACGACGCAAAGTATATTTCTTTGTTGACAATGGTCGCGTTTTGGCACTTATATTTTTGTTCGTTTTCGTGTTCGAGAGAGAAAGACGAAGTGAGGGACCGTGATAAGATTACTATCGGCGAGTAGTTGTCTATAATAGCAAGCACACAGTGAATGTGAATGATCATACTTTTTTTTTGAAGGCAACGAGATCATCCGCGTCACAAAGCAAAACGATCTGACTTCTGAAGAGGATATGAAGAAAGACCAAGATCAGCGCACTGCGAAGATGAACTTCCTAGCACTATTACCTCTTGCGGAGGCAAGATCATCGGTTGTTTTTTTGTCACGGACGTGTATTTAACACGAGCTTCACAATCGACCTTATCCCAATCTCGATCAGCGCTGCATGATTCTCGTGCAAAACCCTCGCAATTCAAAGATACGAAAGCTCCGCACTTTGCCAAACTTTTTCCGAAGATCGTCTTGTAGAATTTTATTTCGAGGCTTTAATACAATAGTACATAGGTTTCGTACAACAGCATATGATGCCTCTTCAACGGTTCCAGTTGAACCGCTCTCGGGCTCTAGAACAGTGGAGGACTTACACAAAAGTGTTTTGTGCATGTAAATGATTTGAGGAAGTCGAAGTTTCCGGCACAGATAAAGAAAAATAATCGTACTAGACTCCTTGACCTTGTTCTTTCTCATCTGGTTGACGAAGGACGAAGGCGGCAAAAAAAAAAATGAACCGAACCGGCATGGGACCTAAAGCTTTGGCCGCCCGCTCATGATGTGTTAGAATCTCAACTGTTACGATGAAATGCAGCGCGGGACCACTACCGTTTTGGAGACAGGAGCATTTGTAGAGCATTTTCCACACCGCTCTGAATAAAATTGACGAAGCTCGCCGTTCTCTAGTACTACGGCGTGAAGCACACCGGCACCGTAGCGCCATGACCTCTCCCAAAAATTCTACCCGGAAGTCTACCACGACGAAATGGGTCCAGGAAATCAACTGGTCCATGCTGGCCACGTGGGTCACGCTTTTCACCACGGTGCTTTTCAACCTGCAGTTTCAGTTCATCTACCGCAATATGCAGCAGGGGCCACTTTTCAACACCTTACTGACGGAGTACTCCGACCCGGTGATACTCGACGCGCTCGACCTTCTGGAAGATTTCCAAAAGGCGTCGGCCGGGGCGGTCGCCAAGGGTGCCGGGGTGGGGCTCGGGGGATCGGGACTCAGTGAGAAAGGGGCGAACAGTATCCAAGGAAAAAGCTGTATTTAGTGTAGCTGTCTTGTTCAGGTGACAGCATGACAAATTCGTTCTGCATGACCACAGAGAAATCCTGTCATGCACAGCTTGTATGTGAAAACATAAACATCTTTGAAAAAAAAAAAAACAGGACAGTGTGGGTGGCATGAGAAGTGTAACTGCTTATACATTTTCTGCATCACAGACTTACACTTACAGAGTTTTCTTCTTGCATAAACAGCTTCGGGACGGAAAACTGGCAATACGCCTACGACTTATGCGCAGAAAAAAGTGTTTTTACAGTTACGCATTGTATTGCGGGCCAAGCATGACAGAATTTTTCTGTCATGCACAAAATGCTTGCGCGCCTCGTTTCTTCTGTGTTTTCCCTTATTATCTCTCTTGTGCATTCCACGGCATTCAGAGAAAGTCTGTGTTGCTGAACTTACAACAAATGCGTCACTGTAACTGTATACACTTTTTTCTGGCCGCGATAAGATTTCCTGGAATTGCAGTACATAAACCACTACGCATTGGTGCAAATAGGTCTGGGTCTGGGAAGTAATGGAGATCTTGTCAGGCGTGCCTTGCATGTTTTTTGCTGAAGAACCACTACCGCTAGTACCGCATCAAAAGGTTTCCAGACCCAGATCGGTATTTGCACTGCATAATCACCCCCGAGGACGGGAGATCGACCACGCAAGACGAAGGTTGATCTCCTGGTACAGCAAGGTACAGAAGTTGAAGTTGTAAATAAATGCTATTCATTTTAATAGTCACTCAGCAACTTCTCATGCGGGCAATGAAGCAGCTTTGCGTTGGTATTTTGTCATGCCAAAAAGTTTGCGAGTGTTTATGTTCTGTTGATGATGTCAGTATCAAAACAGGTACGGCTTTTCTTCGAGTTTGATCTGCTGTCCTCGTCTTACCTGGGCGTCATCCCGGGGGAACGGCGGACGCAGTTTTTTCTCTCCATCGTGGAGCCTCTGGACACCCTCTCCCGCGCGATCGACTTACGGCCGCCAAACCCAGTCTTCGAATTTTTTCGCGAGCAGTACAACTTACCGAAGCGCGACATCGAGCTGGATTGGACCCGCGTACCGGCTTATGCAAAGAAAAAACTGTTTCACTGTGATGATTTTGCAAGATCTGCATCACAAGTTTGTTACACACGACACTGAAATTTTGTCATGCGCACTTCCCAAGGGAAAACACGGTGGAAAATCCAATGCCTTGCATGTATAGCAAGACAAATAGTTTTGTGCTTCATTTTCTGCATCACAGGTTCACAGTGAAGCAGTTTTTTCTCAGGATACGGCGTATGCAAAGAAGAAGAAGACGTTACAGTTCATCGACGTCCACATGATTGTGTTGTAGAAGATGAAAGCAATATTGCAAAGAAGTCCTGTCATGCGGAGAATGCATTATATGTTTATGCAAGTTTCTCTTGTCCTCCCGCAGAAGACCAAATTTGTGTTGCTGAATATGCAAACAGAATGTTTAACTGTAACAGCTTTTTTTTCCTTGGACGCCGCGAGTCTACAATTTAAGAAGCAAGAACACGACGCGAAAAGGAGAAGTAGCAAAGCCCGGGGAGCAGAACAGGAGGGGGGAAAGGGCAAGGAAAATCTCGTCTCACCCGCGGGTGGTCCTGCTGGAGCCGCGTCCGGGAAAAGTACTAGGGTAGCTTCGGATGTAAACGAAGATGCAGGGAATTTGGAGAAAGATCCGGTAAGAAGTACAGTAGACGGCGCATCCTGGGCGCCCGCTGGAGCACGACCGGTAGATGTTGAACCGGACCAACAAGGTCGGGGCGAGGGTAGTAGCGGTGCTCACGCAGAGCTGTGAATCGAAGATGAAGAATTTCTCGGCGCAAAAAGAAAAACAAGCTAAGTAGAGCACCATCTTCCATCGCGGCGGCAAAAGCAATTCGACGGTGGCCCAGGTTGAAATGGTTTATTTCAGGCGGGCCTTTCTTGCACTTAGTTGTAAGTACCACCCTCGGCCACTCCGGGCCAACTCCGACGTCGACATTGTTTACTGTTGCTTCGTCGGACGACGAGTCCTTGTACATCAAAGAAACCTCCATCTACACCTGAAACAACTCCGCCAGCAACGCGTGGTCGACCAAATAAGCTGCATTTTTTGTGCAATGAAAGAAGATTGTTCCATGTGTACTTCTTGATGATGCAATGTTTCATGCCGGGTCTATTCCCAGCAGGGCATAGAAATCAGGCCGTCTATTTGAATTCATCTCCGCAGAACAACTCCATCTCTGCGCTTCCGCGGAAGAAATACTAAAATGAATTGCAGCTGTTGTAGTCCTTCTTCGCGGCCGCGCAACCTTTTGGAAAAAGCGAACTACGCCCGGAAATAAATGAATGAGAGCGCAACAAGATGATGAGAAAAAACTCGTTCTTATTCCCCGTGTTGTGGGAAAGGACCCGGAAAGTGTTGCGTCAGGAGGCCGCACTGTGCGGCGGCGAGGGGCAGAAGTATTGTTGGCTTGTTCCCGCCTTCAATAGCGGATTTCCGTACAGCTATCCATTTCTAGACAAGATTGGGATCATGATCTATGCCTATGGCTCTGTCCTCCTTGCCATCCGAATAAGAATTGCAGTACTTTCTCTTTCAGTGGCGATGGAGGAGCGAGGTACATCAAGCACGGATCAACTACTCTTCAAAGATGATCCAGCACTTCTGAGGCACTATGCCGGATGAACGATCTCATTTAGCACTACGTACCACGACACTCCTCCCTCGTCCACTGTACCTATTTAGACACTACGAGGAAAGTAGGAGGTACTTCTAAATAGCCGACAGAAGTACATAGATCTGCACGTCATAGCTCTGTTTCGTGCACCATTATGGTTTGCATGACCAGAGAAGAACACAGACATGATATTCGGGGACTCACCGGAGGAAAAAGTTCTGTTGGCGGTGTATTCAACGGTCGCCCGAGAAAATTAGTGAATAGGAGTAAAAACCATCCAAGACAGCGAAATTGGTGCGTTTATTCCGTTGCAGATAGTGAAGAAGCAAGAGTTCATTTTTTCCTAGAAATTCTTGAGAAAAATGAAGAGGCCGATATGGAAGATTCATGTTTAGCAAGACGCAACAAGAAGTGAGTGTAGTATACTATAAATAAAAGTAACATCGAGGAAATAAAACAGCAAGAAGGCATTTTTCATGTGGTCATCATGTGATGGCATTTGTGTACAAAAGCAACAATATCATCTACGAACATCACCAAGTGTGGCTGTGGGCGCGGGCGACGCGAATTTTCTGAAGATCACGACAATACCTTGGGACAAGAACATTGTACTGCTGGTGGTGGAGGTGTCCTCTAGTACTCAGCATGACAGCGGTCGTCCTGCAACTTCTACACGAAGAACCACGACATAGTATTCCACCGCTACCAGTGACCGGCCGTGTTTTGGGTAGAAGTCAGTCGCAAGGGGGGCAGCAACTCATTCCAGCAGAGGAATCGACGCCGAGGACTTTGTCATCTTCGAGGACTACACGACCATATAGTACTACAGAAGTTCTTGTTCCAGCTCCTGGGCTAGAAGTACTTGCTGCCCCGCACAGTTGTCCGCACCGCGCAGACACTCGCGAAGCGAACAACCCGCGTCATCAAGGACTAGAATTGGCAGGGTCGACGTTTGTGTCACCACCAAGAACACCAGCTCGCGCTTTTCAATCGTCACCTTCAAAGAATAAACCTAGTACCGCGGATCATAATCATTTTCACCTTGAAACATCGACCGGGCAGAAGGAGCCCACAGTCGTTTCTGGAACGAAAACTACTGGTGTACCCGTACCGAATAAAGAGCAAGAATTTGTAGTTCCCGCGACCAGCAGCAGCACCAGCAGCGAGAGCAGCAGGAGAGCATCTTTGCCGGAGCAAAGGAAACTACAGATCTTCGGTATGAACAATAAAAGTAGTGCGCCCCCTGATGGTCGTGAAACAAAGTCGGGAGTAGAGCACCTTCCAAAGTTGGGCTCCCGAGCCCTTGTTGGTTCCGCTACTGCGAAAAATGAACCGCAAAATAACTTTTTGCAAAGCAGGACGGGTCCTCGGGATCAAGATCAACCACTCGCTGGTGAGACATCAAACCCAGCACCATCAACCTCCTCTTCCTGCCCCCTTTTCGCGCCCTCCAGTAGACTCGGCGACGAGCACTTCGCCAGCTGGGCGGCGAGACCGCCCGCGGGAGCAGCCTTGAGGACTTTTGGCGGAGCTGCAGGAGCATCGTCGTCGAGTAGTGGAGCCGCGTCTCTTACTACAACGTCTTTCCCCGCCGCCCATGGTAAAATCTCTGGGCTTGAAACGACGCCAAATATTATAGATACACCGGCGTCGAACAAGCAGGAAACAAAAGTGAGAAGTTCGTTTGCACCTGACCAGCATCTGGACTTCCGGTTTGGGAAGACGGTGGAGGAGTTGCGGGCGAAAATTTTTGCCGCCTCACAAGTGATATCAACTGCAAAAATGTCTGGGTCTGGAAGATTGCAACTTGTCATGCTGTTTTTGGACTCTAGAAAAATTTGTATTGCGTGACCAGCAAGAGGGGTGCAGTTTGTGCTACACGGACAGGGCATTTCTCATGCGGAAGGTGCAGCAGGAAGGGTTCTAAAAACCTGTGATGCTAGGTTATGCATTACAGGCATCAATGGTCATGAGAAATATGCATGACAAATCTGGCATTCTTCCAGACCCAGATATTTTTGCATTTGATAAGTGACGAACAGTTCCTGCACGACAGTGTCAGCAGAAGATCAAAACCAGAACCACGACTCAGCTGAGATCAACAGCCCACAGGACGAGAACAATATTAACTACACCAGCAGCAACCTAAAGTCCATTACTTTCGCCTTCAACACGAGCTTCGACCCCGGCTGGCTCGATTTGGTCAAAAATTTTGAGTACATTGACTTGAACCACCTGCAGAACCAGGACAACGCAGACACTTTCCAAGACTTAGGGCAGGAAAAAGTTGTGTTGTACTTTAGCGTTTTATATCTAGTGCGATTTGATGTCATCAGGGTCATGCAGCTATCCGGCGCAAAAATGCAAAAAGTGACCGGAATTTTTCGTAGCGCTTGTGCTTAGCGCTAGCATATGCAAAGGTATGACGTGACGTTTTGTCTTGCAAGGATGTTCTTGCGTGCTGCGGGAAATGAACCGCTAAAAGAGAAAAGCAGTGGTAAAAACTACACTTTTTCTGTTTCATAACAGCTGAAAGACGAACACTTGCTGCAGGTGTTAGACCAAAACCCCACCCTGAAAGAGTTGCAGCTGTACTGGAATCCACAGCTGACCGACAAGTCGCTGAGCCAAATCGCGGTGAAATGCCGGCAGCTGGAGCGGCTTTCGATCGCGGGCTGCGTATTGGCGACGGACGTTACGGCGGTAGAGATTTCGAAGCATTTAGGAGGTACTAGCGCCGGTCAGGGAACTACAAGCAGCGCCTCGACCAGGATGGTACCACCAGCGAAAATGCCGTCTGTGACGGGTGGCGCAGCTGCTCCTGGTGCTACAATTGCTAGTACCTCGTCGTCCCCGATGAGCCAAAACAGCAGTCGTGCAGGATTAATACAGCCACAACTCGCAGCACCTCCACATTTGAGGCACTTGGACCTGACCCGGTGTCCGAAGATTTCGAGTGCCGGGGTGCGAAAAATTCTGCGCCGCTGCAAGACGTATCAAGTGCAAAAATGTCTGGGTCTGGAAAGTTGTCATGCTAAAAGTGCTGGATAATAGCCGGACTGCAATTATACGCAGCCAGGCATGACAAATTTTTGAGCTGCTATGTGTTGCGTATTCCGCATGAGAAATAACAACGTTTTTACGTGACAGATAGGAGAGCCTTGTTTTCCGATGCTCCTATGCATCACAGATTCTCGAGTCATGTCAGACGTGCATGACAAATGTAAGAATCTTCCAGACGGACCCAGACACTTTTGCATTTGATAAAACGCTCGAGGTCTTGCGGGTGTACGCGAACGCGCACCTGCTGCCGGACGCTTTTCCGCTGTATCAAATACAAAAATGTCTGGGTCTGGAAGGATGTACCCTGTGATGCGCATTTCGGAACACACAAAAATCTCTCATGCATAGGTAGCAAAAGCTGCTCGCTTTCTGCCACCAAAATGGGCGATTTGTCATGCGGGTTCGGCATTGCGGAAGCTTCTCGAAACCTGTGATGCTAGAGCTTCCATGTCAGACCTTCTGCGTCATGCAGAAACAGCATGACTTTTCCAGACCCACACACTTTTACATTTGATACGCTGGAAAACGTGCCGAATTTGGAGCTTTTAGACGTCTGTGGCACGCAGATCTCAGACGACAATCTGGCCACCGTGGGGAGGAAGTTGAAGGTATAGTGCTGATTTGTAAAAATAGTCATGCTCATGTGTGATGCCATGTTCTGTTGATCCTGCGTATTAGTACCACGCACAGCAGCACCAGCTCTCTGCCTCCTATTCGAAGATCTATCATCAACTATACTAGTATAAACCACTTCACAACAGGTGCTCAACCTCTCTTGGTGCGTGCACATCACGGATAGCGGCGTGAAAGCTTTGTGCGACAATGTTGAGAGTCTGGAAGAGTTGATATCCTGTGCAAAAGTTGTATCGTGCTCGTACTAATTGCGTTTATGCATTACAAATCTTTTTGCTAAGGCAAATCCGCATTACAAATTCAATTTATAATGCTAAGTCAATTTGTAATGCAATTTATACCAGTACGATACTTTTGCAGTGCATAGTTGAGCGTTTTCGGCAATTTGAACCTGACCGACCGCGCCGTGGACTATTTGGGCAGCAAGTTTCGCGATACGCTGACAACGCTAGACATCAATGGCTGCATATCCACAGTAAATTTCCTGTACATGTACAAATGCGAATTCTGCATGACAAAGCTTTCTTATAATTCTGCTCAGCATGACAAGCGGCATGCTCCACGTTGGTGAAATTTGTGATGCATTTTGTACATGTACAGGAAATTTGTATTGCATACTGCACTAACGTGAAACACCGGACGCCCGAGTACTTGCTGACTAAATTGCCGCATCTCCGGGTTTTCCAAGTACACTCGTGATGGATGCTGGAAAGGTCTTGTTGGAGTTAAAATTGACGACTTCTACCTAGGAATTACTAATACTTATTGGAGATAACAAAAACGACCCCCCCCCTTCGGTCGTGCCGCAGGCCGTTGGCCGTTTTCGTGTCGTCCTCTCGGAAGTGCTATCCTGAGTAAAAACGTACCCACACCAGAGTTGTAACGCAGATTTGCAAAGACAGGAAGACTTGTAATGCGCATCCCCATGAGAGCCCTTTCCAATCGTGTTTTGGAATTTGTGATGCTGTGAGCAGGATGAGCAGATGAATCTGTGATGCGGCTGCACTTGCTAACCTGCACTACACTGCAGAGCGGAACTTGTCATGCGTGACTCACAAAACTCCTAGGTTTGTGTTGCAAAATCCCCATCCTGACTCTGGTGTGGGTACGTTTTTCCTCGGGATAAGTGCTGCTGCTTGCTTACAACAAGGAGTTGTAGTTCTTCGAGGGGACTACAGACCACACAAGTAAGTACTTACATCGAAAATAAACGAGTTAGTGTAACAAGAAATGAAAGAACTTCAATTTTTACGTATGAAGAAGAAGAAGTATTTTGGCACGAGGACCACCACGACCTTTCGAACCATCAAACAGGCGACAGCGACAGTGCAAGTTGGAAAAGAAGTGGCACTCCGATCTGATACGATTCATCAATACAGCACGCTTGCCGATCTTCATCTGTAAGCGAAAAGTAATTCTCAAAGTTGCGCCGTTTATTTTTCCACTTGCAGAGTTGTAGGTGCTGTGGACGTCGCGCCGCTCGCGTTCTTTCGGAAAAAAAGTATGGCCGCATTCATATAGAAAACCAGAAGTCCTCCGCCCTTTCAGGTTGTTCGTGCGCGGCACTAGTACACAGGAGTTGCAGCTGTAGTTTTATGTACCATTGCCTGTGTAGAAGTGGGTCCTTTGTCAAGACCACGACTTTATTTTCAGATTCTTTATAGTGATAAAGCTCGTAAACTCTGGTGCTGGGCTGCTTCAACTGCGGTCGTCGGTAGAAACAGAAATGCACGAGTTCCACCACACTCGATTACTAGTAGGAGGATAGGCTCTTTATTGCACATCGTGATCTTCACTACCACTAGCAGCGATTTTATCTTCGTCTTTTATTCGTTTTTCGTTTCGTCATCGTCCTCTCTGGGCAGGTTCGTGTCGTGCCCGGTTTCCACGGAAGACGTTTCTGTTCGTGAGATGCACAACTTTTAGATCGCGGCGTTAACGATCACGTATTTATGCTGCGCAGTACTAAGTAAAGTAGCTCTACTACTAAAGCGCCTACAACTCGCGCGTTAAAGTTTGAAACACCTCTGCTGGCACGTGAAAAGTATTGAAAGCTGGTTTTGCGAAAGCAGTGATAAAGTGTAAGTTGTGCCGACCAGCATTAAATGGCTCCTGTGCAGCACGGTCGTGGAAAGAAAAGGAAACGAAGAAGATGTCCCACCTGCTCAGCTACCTGAAAGGCCTGCGACAAGCCCACCCGACGTGGACGGCCGAGAAAATCGTGAAGAAGTGCGAGCGGGAGCTGAAACTGATGGTGCGGAGTGGTTGTCCTGGTGCTTCGAGGAACCCATCTACATCTTCACGGGCAAGTTCTCTACCTGTGGTCCCTACGTCATCCCCTACTCCACGTAGTACCGAGCTATACCACGTAGCAGCGAGGAAAGACGGGAAGAGTTTTATTCCCAGAGATAAAGGAAAAGTAGAATCACTACAGGAAGAGGAAAGGGAACAAAGTAATAGCATGGCAGATCTTGACGACGACGACATCAGGGCTAGTACCGCTAGGGAAAATAGTACAGCCTGCTCCGCTACACGTTCAGAGGCGCGACCTGCTGGTGGCACTACTACTAACACTCCGCGGCAGCGGCAGCAGCAGCGGCATGCACATGATTGCCCCACGAAGGAAGGTGGACGAGACGAGTCGTGCTTTTATCTTTTCAAATACCTGAAACACTGCTCGGACTTCGGCGACCCCCGCGTGCGGGAGGCGCGCGGGATATGGATGTGTCAGGTTTGAAATCGTCAAAGTTGAAATAGTTTGTCATGCATAAAATGGATGCGAGTCAGAAGCCCACTTATCAAGCGGCGCATGACAAATTTTCATAGAACCGGAGTCCAGTTTGTCATGCTGTTTGGTCACAGAAGACTGCTTTTGTCATGCTACTTTAGCAGCTCTATTTCAAACCCTGAACAGGCTCACAATCGGCCTCACTTGCCTACTCTGCAAGACAGGCACTTTGTGGGTTGCATTTTATGCATCACAAACTATTTCAACTTTGACGATTTCAATCCTGACGCTTCCATACGGGATCATTTTGGATGACACCCTGGAAAACATCGTCTGCTACCTATCAAGATGACAAGTCTGCACAGCGCCACCCTTTACTTTGTTTTAGTATGCATGGCTTCAAGCGGATGAACAAGCGAATACAACAATAAAGAAATAGAAAATTTTTTTCGTGCTCGCTACATATTCCCAGTGGAGTTGCTACTCGACACCAGCGTTTTCAGCGTTGAAAGCTTGAAGGACTCTGGCGCTTATTTTCACTTTGATTCTGCCCGTTTGACTTTTTCCACGTGTACGGCGAGGGGCGCTGCGTTATCACACAGAAAAAAGCTGGCAGGGCATATTTGTAATGCAAAAATGAATACACAAAAGGATCTGTATTGCATATCCGAAACAGCATGCTATGGGGCCACCCATGACAAATTTTCTTGTGTATTTATTTTTGCATTACAAAGAAGTATGCCCTGCCCGCTTTTTTCTGTGTGATATGCGTTGGGCGGGACTTGGAGACAGTCTTCCGGGCGGGTGCAGCAGGAGCAGCAGCAACTGACATGATTGAGCCAACAAGTACAATAGCGAAGAGTCGTACTCGTTTCCACCGCCCGACCGAGCTACAAGAAGTTGGGACCACCTCAGCCACAACGAAGGAAAATACTGGTACGTCTGACGATAGTGATTTAAGTGTAATGGTAGAGCACAATGGTGTAGTGCCGCGAGCAGATGATGACCACAAACCTGGAGCTGGTTCATCGTGCTCGCAGAAGCCAAAGATGATGACGCCGGACTTGTTGTCCACCTCCACGTGGTGTCGTGCGAGTCCCGGTCGTGCCGGCATTACGTTACGAAAAAGTTCTGTCGCGCCGGCAGCTGCTCGTGTTGAGCATCTTGGCAGTTTCGAAAAGAAGTATGACGGGTGCCTGATCAAGGTTGTCAACGTATTGCAAGGAAAAACTTCTCCTCCCCACATTGAGAGGAGCTTATGTTTCCGAAAATTTGTGTTGCTGATTTGTGGCCACAAATCGCATTTGTCTGGCAAGAAGACAAGGGCAGAAGCTGGCGCCGCCTTATGGAAGCGATTTGCCATGCTCTTGGGCCTAGAGGGCAGCCGTTTGCAATGCTGAGCAACTAGACCCAAACGCCCCGACCTAGGCTGGGGATCTGGCCGCAATGCCTTCCCGCAATACAAAGCGCATTTGTGATGTACACAAATCCCCCCGTATTTCACCCCCAGGGGGTTGCGGACCTGGCAAAACCGATGAGTTCGGGCTGCTGACTGTTCCACCTCTTCCGAGAGCGATCATGTTACGCCTCACGCCTCACAAATCCAGCGTCAGAAATCCCGTCTCGATATGGGGAGGGGGGATTTTTCCTTACGATGCAACGTCGGCGGGCGTCGGGGCAATTCCCGGATCGACGGCCACAAGGCCAGTTTACTCATATCCACCAACAACACGATTGACGCGGGGCGGGCCGAGGTGTTTCGTTCGGGCGGAGGACGAGGACCCCGGCAACGTTCTTGCGCCGACGAGGTCCGTCCACGTTCTGCTTCCATGAAAACGGGGCTCTGCAGCTCCGGAGCTGGGGTCGTGGAAGTAGGAACCTATAATCCTGAACGCAGGAGGTCGTGCAAAAAAGGAGATGCTTATCATACTGGTTCTCCTACTCCTGCTGGAGCAAGAAAACCAGAAGGCGAAGTAGACGCGCTCGAGCCCAAAGTAGAAGAACTACCTGAAGCGGAATCGAGACGTTGCACGACTTCTTACCTTGACTTGTTCGAAGAGGCGCTCGAGCCTTACCTGATGCGGAAACACACGACCCGCGGAAGAACGTCGAGTTTCAAAGACGGTTATTTATTCGAGCAGACCTCCCGGCCTGAGGACGAGACCGAGAGGAAGATGATGATCGAGGGGAATAAGAATTACTATTGCAGTCGAGAACAACCAGAAGCCGCCGCGGACCACGATGATTCGTTGACGACGACCGCGTGCCTGGACGAAATTTTTCCTCCGGGCTGGACCTTTCTTTTCGAGCTCTATGCATTGCAAAAGTAACGCACTCGTAGAAATGCATTACAAATTTCCTCAGCATGAGGAAGAAATTTCTAATGCTGATTTACCTATAAGAACAAGATTTGTAATGCATGATTGCAATCCGAGTGCGATACTTTTCTTTGCACAGGATAAGCTGCTGCATCCAGCGATGTCCGCCACGGTGATTCCGATAGAAGAGACGCAGCTGGTTTTTCTCGGGGCGCGCCGGCACGCAGACTTTGAATTGGTCTGCCCCCGGCGGTGGATGCAGCAGGACTGGTTTGGAACATTTGGTGTTATTCCGGGGAAAATAAATCATGTCGAAAACCACACGACGGGTGGATCTGGAGCTTTCGAGGTCCGCCCGAGCCGCCCGATGTTCTCGTTTCCAACACCGCAGCAATTCCCGGAATTTACCAGCCTCCGCCAGGCCTACGAGTTTTGTCACACCCTTTCCTGGCGGGAGGAGGGTCTGGTGTACCGCTTTGGTAACAGGTTCTGGAAGCTGCGAAACCCAAAATTCGTGTTCTTGCGGGAGGTCAAAAGTGGCGAGGTCCTCGTGTCGTGCGACGAAAGTACAAGAAGTGCGACGTCGGTGGTGCCACTTGCGGTAACATGTACTCCTCCTGGAGGTTCTTCTTGTGGGGAGGACGAAAACGTCTACTCTTTTTCTGATATGACGACCAAAGTGGCAACACTAGGAGCCACAGCACGACCGACAAACTATAATTACGCAAGCAATCCCCTATGAACGAACAAAATACAAAAGTAGAACATTGGAAAATCTACATATCTCGACGAACCGATCAAAAATTTTCGTTCAACTACTCATCAATTTTGGTTCAGCTACTGATTAATTTTTGCCATATGACCGAAAATTTCTTGCACATGATCAAAAAATAAAACGCACATGATCGAAAAATTTTGAGTCATGACCGAAATAGATGATGGTTCTGAGTGCAGATATTTTTGGTTCTAGGTACTTGCTCTTTTGGAAAACCGACCTCTTCATCCTGGACACCGCGACCTCGCACCGATGAACCACAACTATTCAGATTTGTGTGTGTGGGTCACAAATCTGAATAGTTGTGGTTTACAGCAAAACCACAACTTTTGACGGGAAACCACAACTATTCGAGTACTCCAAGGTGTTTGAGAATTGCGGAAGCGCTTTCCGCAACAAAATCGGAAGTGAAAAGAGATGAGGAAACGCATCGGACGGCATGCAGTGGCGGGGCGGAAGGTTATGTTTTTTTTCATTTTGTTTGCAAAGAAGACGGCTACTTCTGCTAAGACGGTTCCATTGCGATCAGACTCAAGCCTAGGCGAAGGCAATGGCAAACAAAGGTGATCATGCTTTCTGATTCTGCCTTGTTTGTTTCATTATCATTTCAATATCAATGCAAAAACAATACAGAACGTCGACGTTGGAGGTGGTTGCAGTTCATGGAGATGTACGTTGAGAGGAAGCGATGCGAAAGAAAAGCAGTTCATGGAGGTGGAGTTGAACTTGGACGCGGTCGAGACTGGAGGCGCTTCGGAGGTGATCCGCCTGTTGATGCTGTAGCACCGCAACTTCGCCATCGCCGCGATGATTCAAGCCCTGACGTAGCGGGCGGCGTGAAGATGTTGCGTTGTGATACTGAGATGTCAGATGTAGACAGAAATGTGAGAAAGAGAAAAAAGATTAAGATAAACACGAAGATAGAGATAATGATAAAGAGTCAGAGTAACTATTTCGGTATTAAGTTTAAGAAGCAGTGTGTGGAGTGAGTGCGAAAGTGCAAGCGATGTCTGAAACACTTAAAGTCTCGCCGTCCCCTGTGATAGTAGTGTGCTAGTGTCATTCTCATTCCGAGTAAAACTCTGCCTGTGAAGAAGAAGGCGCAGTTGCTGCCGAAAGAGTAAGAGTCGGTCACAACAAAATCAAAACAACAGTAATGCAAACGCAATGCTCCAAGTGCGTGCAAGTGCGCGACTGTCGTTTGAGTATGGGCATGAAGAGGACTATGAGTAATGAGTGAGAGCACAAGAAATGCGCCTGAGTCTGAACGTCGCGGATTTGTATTTTGATTTGTTTAGAATTAGAATTAGACAACTGCGCGCAGTAGTGTTCGAGTCGGAACCTGCTCTGTGCGGTTTTTGCGCTCTCGTGTTTTGGATCGATATCGAAGTCGATTTGTGGCGTTGTGCATTTCGAAATCGAATTCGAGTTGAGTTTGTGTCTCCATTTGTGAAAGAGAAAGTGACCCTGCGATGCACACGTGCCTCCCATTGCCGGGGTGATTTTGATCCGCTTCTTCATCTTCTTTTTCATTTTCATCATCATCTTGTTCTTCTTCCGCTACTACTACAACTACTTCTACATGTGCTTGTGCATCTACTTCTACATCTAATACTATTACAAATGGTCAACGACAATGTCAAGGCCAAGGTCATACCCATTCCCATTGCTATCGGTCCGATAGCGTTAGCGTTAGCGATTGCTATCGGTACGAAAACTAACGAGAACGTGGACGACCAAAAGTAAATATGATTACGAGTATGACTACCACTATGGGATGATAACTATCACTGTGCTGCGTCTACCTCTGCAGCTGCGCCTGCAGTTTCAGTTGCGATTGCAACTTCATTGCCTGTTTTCATTTTCAGGAAAACAATAATAGTGAAGAGTCAAGTCGTTGTCGTAGTCGTTGTGGTGCACTTTGTGTTATTGGTCCGAGTTTGTGGCTGTGCCCGTGCGATTGCGATTCCGCCAGATTTATTTTTTTGCACAAACGCTTTCGTTGCCACCGATGGCGGCGCCATCCTCTTCATCTTCCGCAGCTGGTCCTGCAGTTGAGCCCGCAGTAGCAATTGAACCTCCGCCCCCACCTCAGCAAACGTGCCCGATCGCAACTGCCGTCGCCAACGCGGTGAACATGGACGACGTAGTGTCCCTTTTGGAGGATGCTGAGAGTCGCTTCAGCGACCGCGGAAAGCAGGCGACTTCGCGGGAATTGAATGAGCCAGTGCTAATCCACGAGCAGAATAGAGTGCACAACAACAGCGCAGTAGGCCGCAAAGGCTGGTGTCGACTTCCCCCGAAAAAAGCCAACCTGAGCAAAATGTACCAAAAGATGCACAATGAACCAGCAGGGCGAAATCCTAACCAGGAGAAGCTGCGGAAGTTTGCAGTTGCGGAATTACGGGCGCGGTTTGACGTTCCTGTGCATTTTGACCGTCTTCTCGTCGCGGCTTTGAGGAAGAAGAAAGAACTCGAAGAAGATGAGGCGGAGCGACTAGATCCGGAAAACCTTGGCGCACCAAAAGCGAAGAGAGTAAAGGTACTGGGTAGTAGCTGTTGATATTCATACTTGCGTGTAGTTGTACTTGTAGATGTAGATGAAGATGCACTCATGATCTGGATCTCCGATTCTTATGCTCGTCATTGCAACGTCGATGCCCTCCTTACCGGATCCGGTGCTGTATGCTAATATCAGAACTCTTCAACGTCTACATCAGGTAAATAACTTCGTCGACGAGTGGGGGAACTTTTCTCTCGCGAAGCTTTCTAGCCTGAAAACTAAAGCGGAAAAATACGAGTACATCGGCTACATCTTGGCGACGTCCAGCGCAACCTCGGCGAAAAAGGTGCGAGTGCGAGATTCGCCTTTCACTACTTCTCCTACACTAGCAGTGGCCGCGGCTCCACTCCGTCGGTCTCGGTTTGTGCTTCAGCTGTAGCGCCAACATCTTCTACTTCTAGCCGCAGTTGCGTTTTCTTTTTCATTTCCTTTTTTACTATCAGATATGCATGGTCTAGGTCTTGTGCACGAAGAAGCCCTACACCAGCCTTCAGACTGCTAGGGTTTACCTGGGTGCATTTGAAAAGAGTGGTACTGTTGGCATGTGGGAATTGTCATGGTGGTTGTAGCAGAAGTAGTTGTAGATGAAGTTGCAGTTGCAGACGCACAAGAAAATGAAAAAGCACAACGCGCGGTCCTAGGATCGTCGCCGCCTTTATCATTATCCGGGAATAGCTTCACAACAAACAACTACGACAGATCCAGTTACTGCAGAACCTTTTCCAAATGGAGCAGCTGTTCAGCAACAAGACGCGGTACCTTGGGTTGGATAAAGTAGCACTTTCTGGCGGAGTTGTTAACGTCGCTGACAACGTGATGACCCTGCGATCCGGTCCGGGAAGCGCGCCGGTGATGGGCCCACTACTGGGCATCAACAAAGACAAAAGAATCCAGTACACGTACGAGAAGTTGCCTTCTCCGCAAAAGCGGCGCGCACTACTGACGCTGAAGGGCAACCTGGAGTACGAGGACGCGCGGGAGAACAAGGTGGTAGCAACGAAAAAACAACTGAACTATCAGGACGGGCTCCGGATGTTGGCGCAGCGGTTGGAGGATAAAATTCTGCGGGTGTTGAATTTACGGGACCGCTCGGACGTGGAAGCAATGGCGGGTATTTTTACATCTCTACTGGACGTTGTTGCACTTGCAGTCGCAGTTGCGGGTGTGAAAATGAACGTGAAACAAAAATGATTCCGCCACTCGTGTGGCGCTTGCAGCTTTCCATGCGGTTGAGCTAGGGCGTTTGTTGCATGACAGAAAACTTGCAATACCAATTCCAATGCGTATGCGAATGCCTATGCAAATGCAAATGCAAAACCGAAATAAACACGCAAACTTAAATCTTAATCAGACCTCGACATCAAGCGCCAGGAGGTCGTCATGGAGATTGCAAACGACCTGGACGTCGTCCAGTTTTGGAACGCCCAGGTGAATGACAATTTGGTGAACAGGGTCGAGATGAAGCTTTCGTCGGCCGCGTACAAGCGGGCAATCGACGATGGTGCCGCGGCGGCGTCTTTGAGCTGTGCTGCTAAAACACCCCGACCAATACTGGTGATCCGTGTCGCCCCCGACAGCACGCCGTTCAAAAACGGTTCGTCTTTCACGTTGGAGGCGATTATCTACAAGTGCTGCCCGGTCACGAAGCAGATCCATCTCAAGCACATCGTGCCGTCGGCGAAGTCGCACAGTGGAGGTGCGTACACCACCATCGCCGACATCTATGAACTCCTCGCTACTGTTTGCCCTTTGCCGGGCTGCACCACGGCGGCGTGGGAATCCGACCCACTGTGCATCATGGTGTGCACGAGTGACGCTGCTGCCGACGTGCTGGCCGGCTTTCGCAGTCTCCGCCGGATGAACTACGTGCTCCAGCTGAAACGCCAAGAGCAGATCAAAAATAAAAAGAGGAAAAAATACGTGGAGTTTCATTTTTGTCAACAGGTGTGTCAACTCCACCAATATCACATATTGACCGGCGAAATCGTCGAACAGATAAAACACGACTTCCCCTCCTTCCTGGAAGGTATCAACAGCATCCAGAGGTCGATGCACCTCTGGGGACCAAAAGATAAAAACGCGCACAACTACGTCAACATCCCGAAGGCGGCGACGCACCGGTGGATGACCTTGTACCCGACGCTCGAATGTTTAGCGGCAAACAGAATCGCGATCACCAGAAACATCGAACAAATCGACGCGATGAAGCGTGAGGAGGGGGAAATGAGGGAGACGTGCAAAAAAGCGAAGCTGCACGTCGCCGACGAAAGGTTCTGGCGAGTAGTAACGGCTGCGCGCTGTGTGATGCAGGTCGTACACGAGGCCTCCGTTAAAGTACAGAACGACCCGGACGTTGTCATGAGCGACGCGACTTTGCCGAGCATGTTCCCGCACCGACCGCGCGCGAAGACCGTGGACGAAATCCTGGACTTGATCCGCCAGCGGATGTATCTCGGTGATGGCGATCCCCTGCAGGCCCGCCTGCTCTTGTACCTCGCAGTGAGACTTCCGTCGCGGGAGATCCAGTTCCACTGCTATCCCTGGATGTTGACGCCCCTCTTCTCGCCGGACGAAAACCAGCGCAAGGTCCACGCGGAAATGTTGCTCGCAACCGAGCCGGATAACAGAGACTCGTTCATCAACTTGCTCTGCACGGGAGTGTACCAAGAGTCGCTCCAGAAGATGGTTAACGGTGAGGTGATGCCGCCGGAGTTGTTCGCCGTGCTGGGGCCGGTTTACGTGGCGATGATTCCCCAAACGCAGTTCACCGAAAGTTTACACTCTTCGACGGCGATAGAGAAAAAGGTGGCGCCGAATATCGGCGTTGTGCGTGCTGGACTTCGTGTTGCTCGCAATCGGGGTGACCACATCCAGTACGAGGAGTTTAAGGAGCTGCAGGAACAGTGGAAGTCGCGGTTCGACATGCGGCGGAAATCTGCGAAGGAGTACGACAAGACGGAGCTGGAGGAGCTGGTTAGTTACGACACAGAATTTTTGCATCCGTGGCTCTCAAAGTTGTATGATGTTTTCGACGAGTACTTGTTGAGCAACCCGTTGTTTCCGGAAAAAGTAGAAACGGCGCAGCTACAGAAGATAATCTCCGGCCCCATACCGCCGAACAACAAGCTCGTCGTCCCGCCGGTGGTGCTGCGACACCTTGCAGAATACTCCACTCCGCTACCGATTTGGAAGCCGGGGCGGCCGGTCAACCTCTTCAAGGAGAAAGCAGTTTATGTCGGATTCCTCATCTGGCGGGAACCGGAAAAGAACCAGTTCATTACGGTGCCGGACGTGTACTACTGCGTTTCGCAAGAAGGAAAGCTGAAAGGGCACGTATTGCGGTGCCGGCAGATTCTCCAACCGGACTTTGACGAGGGCATGACGTTCAGGAGAAACTTCGAGCAAAAACACCAGCCCGATTATCCGAAAGGAAGAACGCAGTGGTGGTGCTGCAGTCCGTACGACCGCGTCCGCACGTTGTCGCAGTGGGTACTGGACCCGAAGCCCAGCAGGGAGCGTTACTTGTTTCGCTTCAAGATCGCGTGCGTGACGGGTTGCAGGTGGTGGGAGGACAAGCACACGGTGCTGAAAAGCGGCATCCTCTTCAGCATTCGGGACGACGAGTGGCTTTCCACGACCCTGTCTTACTCCAAGCTGTTTGTGCCGGCGGCGGAGAAAGCGCGATCAGAGGAGGTGATCGTGCAGGGACCCAATGCGAAGGTCGCGGTGCGAACCACGCGCGAGGTGTCGTGGTTCGGGTTTGACCAACGCAAAGCGGTGCCGGAAAAAACGATGTCCGACGCGATCGACCCTGTGTACTTCATCTTCCGACCGGAGAAGTCCAACTGGGTCGCTACGATTCCGCTAAAGAGATCTACGGGTGAAGCGTCGGCGGAGCGGAAGTCGTACTCTGCTACCACCGCCGGGCATCTGCAGAGTCAGGACTTAGTGATGGCCGCGCGGCACGAGTGCGTTAAGCTGGTCTGTGGTCACTTGAAGGAGCCCCAGCCAGTGCCAGACCAGGACCAGGAGGATGAAGCCTACGCGGAGCTGTCGAAGTACATCGACGCCACCAAAGACGTGGACTTCTATGAGTCGCTGGGCGTTGACAAAGAGCAGTACAGCGACAACTCCGACTCCGAGCCGGAGTAAAACACTTCTTCCCGTAGCAGTAACATCTTCGCCGCGTCCGCAGTGTCGTATCTTCCTCATCTTCGCCTCGACGAAGAGCACAGACCAGTAGGCACGTGCCGTCGAAAACATCAAACAACAACAAGAGTCACGGAGGTGCATGTTTTTATTTGTATACTTTACTTCGGAGCGGGTGCAGGTAAGAATAGTCTCACCGCAGTGGAAGCTGCGCACTTTTTGATAATTATGTATCACATGCTGCTGTAAGTTAAAACTAATCAGAAAGTTAAAGTTTCGATACACACTACTAAAACACGACGCGAGTGCGTCCATAGGAATGTAAAAATGCACAGCTTTTTATGGTCTTCGCATACGCGTGCACGTGCGTGCGCGCGCGCAAGACGAATTACTTCGAATGCAATAGGTCAACACGCATCTTCGTTGTTTTGTTTCAGCCAAAAATTGACATTGAGGGGAAAGACGCAGTCTAGTCTTCGCCGTAGCATAGAACTTTATTTGTATGATAGCGTGCACAGCAAGAGCAGTACGAGATGAGCACTTTTTTCAGGTTACACCAGGCTGCGAGCGAGGACGCCCGACTCTGGCATCGCTGGTGCCGACAGAAAAACAAGCGCGATCGCGATAGCAAGTGACTGCGATAATTATGATTCTATTTGAAAGTAGTGTAATTCTTGCATCCCGTACAGATTAGCGCAGCAGTATACGAGACAGAAAGAGCTGAGACGAGCTTAACAATTTGAGTATCTGTGTAGGCGGTTGGGTGATAGAAGTTACGCACAACGTGCGTGTACGCAAGTAGCTTGTAAATGCCCCAGCGATAGAGAAATTGAAAGATGTACCCAGTTCCCCCTGCCCTTGTAAATCCCGAAATCACCAAAAAGATCTGGCTATTTTCCCACCCGATACAGAATTGACGCGTAGTAGTTTCTAGTGCGACGGCCCGCAGTTTCTTATCACATCGTAGAGGAAAGTTGTACGTAGGCACTACCCCAGAACACACGAAGCCCACGAATTTTGTACCCGAAGATCATTGTAAAACGTCCGTCAAGACACGAAAATCATGTACCGAAATGCAGAAAATTCAGAGGTCGACTCTCATATTTGAAATGAAGAAGCAGCCGCGAAGAGCCTTCAGATCCTGAGAATGACGCGAGATTTTGACCGAGCCTTGTGAGGTCTGAGCCGAAAATGCACAAGAAAATGAGAAGACGACGACCAAAAATTCTTGCTCAATTAGAAGATCATCATCGGTTCGCGGCGCTGTAAATAGCGCTCTCGGTCTTGAAATTTTGTCTCACATGTCGACGATTTTCCTTCAAAATACGACGTTCCAAAAGTTGGGATTTCTGGTTCCTAGAGATTCAACTGTGATTTTTCATCAAAAACCCAGAAATGTAGAAAAAGTCCTAGGACTTTTTCTACATTTCGCACTTTTTCATGATTTTTGCAAGGTCAAAGTCTAGGAACCAGAAATCCCAACTTTTGGAGCGTCCATTTTTACTTCTGAATTTTGTGATTTCTATCCAATTTGCGTCATCTATCCAACCAAAAAACACAGTTGTACAGGGAGAAAACTTAAGGCTGAGTTGAAAAAAAAACCGCGTTTTGAAGATGAGTTCGTCCGAATCTCTGCTGCATTTCCTCGATGAGGAAGAGGCCGTTCTGGCTCTCGAGGCCCTGCCCACCGCGATCGAGAAGGCCAAAACCGGTGCCCCGGACGACGTCATCGCGCTGTGCGACGCCATGAAAAAGGTCCTTCCGACGAAGGAAGAGGTCGCCGCGGTGCTCAAGGCGTGGCGCGCCGGAAAACTGACCAAGGTAATCATATATAGCTTTTACGAAGTGAAAAAATAGGAACGTTTCTACTTTTTTATAAAACATCTTGATCATACGAAGCAACATCACGGCTTGTATAATAGGAGTGTTTTTGTTTTTTTATGAAAAGCAGAACATAGAAAGGTCGTATCTCACTAACAAATCAATACTTGAAAACTGTGTCAATCACCTCTACAGGCCGACATGATGCAGTTCTGTCAGAGATTCGTCGATAGACGATTTAAACAGGGAGCGACGTTACTCCTCTCGGTGCTCAACCGTTTTGGACAATCGAAACTCAACCCCCTCCGCTCCTTGGCGCACATGCACAAGCTGTTGGGGTACATGGAATCCGGTGAATACGTCGTCGTCCGCGGTATATTCCGTAGTTTAGAACAAGCAAAGATTTTACTATATATCGCAGCTTAGAGCAAGAAAAATTTTTACTTTTTTCCTAGCGCGCTGTGCCGCGGAGCCGTCTTTCGTAGAATAAAAGCGGACCACTTCCCCCCCCCCGTTCGTGTACAATGCCCACCCTCCCACTCGAAAATAGGTAGCATCAACGTCATTTGCAGTGCTGCGGCTTACTTTCTTGCCAAGTGGGAACTGCACGCCTTTCGCTTGCGTGCAAACAGGTCCGACACATGGCCACACTACTACCCAAACGAAAGGAAGAACTACCTCGCGCAAAAAAAAGCGCTGAAAAAGCGGGTGAGTGAGGCCTTGTGCACTTTGTTGCACCGCTACCCGCCCGGGTATGCAAAGGCAGTAGTGCAAGCAATTAGCAACCCCGACAACAAGCCCTGGTACGAATGCCCGCACATCCCTGCCTGCCTCGCTGCTACACACCCTAGCGAAGTCGCCCCCGGAGAACGCGCAATGATTTTTCGCTCCTGGGCCAATGACAAGTTCAAGTTGCGGCGCGCATTTAACGCGCCGATAATCAAGCACAACAGCCGACCCCTGGCTGAGATGAGGGACGAAGATGAGGATTCAGACTGGGACTCATCACCTCCTATTTGTGTTGTTGAGTGCCGACAACCAGAACATCATCTACGATTCAAAAAAGATATTATCGCCATTGCCGTCGATCCCACGGCCCCGGATGGTAAGCTGTCCCTCGCCGCGGAGCAGGAAGTTTTCTACGAAGTGATTTCCGGGTATCACTCCACCCGGGCCGCCCAGGAGCTCGTGAAGCGCGAGGACGGTTCCAACAAGTTCGAGCGGATGCGCATGCGGTATTTCTTACTACTGGTTTCTGTTTTACATACAAGTACAAATTCACTCGCGCCACAAGTCGTATCTCGCAGCCGCATCTCCATGTGCACAAGATTGAAGTTTTCAGAAATAGTTTAAGATCGCAGTCGAAGAAGATTTTGTATGTTTTCACTCCGTGGAAAGAATGCTCGTGTCTTTTTCTCTTCAGAAATTCCGCTCATGAGGCCGAAACCTGAAGACGAACTGCAGCACACTAAAGCATGACCACGAGTACAACCACGACGTATACACAACTATAACGAAATCGAAAGCAAAAGCTTTGGTGAAACGGAGCCACACATTTCATCTCAGGTACACCATCTACAGCTCCGAGTTCGCCAAGTACGAGGACTTATGCAGAATCTTTATCAGGCTCTGCAACGAGAGTAACTCGACTTTGACAACCACACATGTTGAAAAACTGTTGGTTGTTTTTCCCCAAGTATTAGACCCGCCCAGTTGGGTATTTTATGTTTTTACTGATGGCTCTGGTGATACAGATACTCATACTGATAGTCGTCGTGATAGAGATGATGATGGCGCTTACGGTGGCGATGCGTCTTGCGTCATTTTCTAAATTTAAAAAGAAGAAGATCGTGATCGTGGGTGTCAGTGTCACTACTTCTTGTCACAGCTTCACCTTCTCCGCAGCCTCGACCTGGTATGCATAGTCTCGCTGGAGATAATGCATCAAGGTGGTCAAGCAAGCATGGCCTGAGAGCTGCATGATTGTTGTCAAAGCAGTGCCGGACCTATGTAGGTGTCCGATTAGACTCCTTCGCGGAGTATGGCTCGTCACTAGGTGCGGCGGACACGACCTCTTTCCTTCGGGAGTGAAGGTCATTCGCGCAGTTCGGACCTTCTTTTCGAATGCCTCATACGCAAAGCTGAAAACTCGGTCCTTTGCCGCTTTGCCCTGTGCCCGAAGAGTTTGAAGTCGCTCGACGATAAAGTCCTTCGTGGCTTTAACGGGCTGGATGGGGACCCACTTCAATGTGCCGCGCCCGCCGCTGTTCTGCGCTAATTTAGTATTGCCGATGCGGATCTGCGTTGTTTGGATGTCCTCCAGGTTGAGGCACCTCACATCCATTCCACGCCGCCCGGTTAGGCAGGCAAGAATCCACGCGAACCGGTACTGCTTACCGGCTTCGGTTTTCCTGCCGGTGCTTTTCTCCAAGTGCAGCCCAAATCTGCGGCAGTCCGGCATGGTCATGGACCCACTCCGCTCCTCCGCGTCGACAATGTTGTTCTTTCTGGTTTTAGGAGCTTTGCTCTTCTGCGCCCCCAATCGCGCCTTGCTTTTTGATGTCACCTTAGGACGCGCCTTCATTGCTACTTTCTTTGTTCCGCTGCGTGCGGGCTTTGTACGTCGCTTTCCCTTTGGCATGATCGCTTCGTGACAGAGGATGGTGGAGGGGACGTTCTGTGATGTGTTTTAAATTTATTTCATGACACAGAGACGCCTTTTTTTTTCACATATTGAGCTCGCAGCGACATGAAGATGTTTCTCAAAACAACATGACAGCTGCACCGGGAATGGGTCAAACACAACAAGGAAAACGCCGACGCCCGTGTGGACCTGTACGAGTTCTTCAGCGTATAATATCTACCATCATTGTTTATGTTTTTTTTTTCCTACACCAGATTAGCACTAGTGTGAGCCTGGGTATATTGTTGGAAGTACTCAGATCGTTATCGTAGTCGTTTTTATATTTAAATTTAAATTTAAATTTATTACAACTTCATGTTCATGCTCATGCTCATGGTCATGCTCATCTACAATTACTCGCAGGCCAACGTCGACAACATTGCGAACAAAAGCGAAGTGGAAATTTACCTGCAGTGCTGGAGAGAGTTCGCCTCCGGTGGCACCCACGAGTGGGCCGAGGTCTGCAGGAACAAAGGTGTCGAGGACGACGAGTCGAAGTACCCCAACCTCTACCGGTACGACATAACTACTTGATGCGATGAAATGACTACCAAGACAGAGCAATTCTGTGTGGACAAAACTAGAAAGTAAATTCGACGGTAGTGGAAGTGGAAGTGTTATGTCTAGCGGAAGTGTCATGTCTAGCTTTAACTTTCTGGTCGCTGTCGGATGAGTTGTTCAGTTTTAGTTGCAAGAGAAAAGACTTATACTTAATCTCAAACTATTTCTATCAATATTCCAGGACGAAGGTCCTCGATAGTGGTCTGAAGTACCAGCTCCCGGTCATCAAGGACGGCACGTTGTACTGCGTCATGAGCTTGGTCTTGGGCGAGAACAAGATCGGGTTGTCGAAGAAGCAGGTCAAGCTGCTGATGCACCTGTGCCAGTTGAACATGTCGCGCCGCTTGGACTGTGCCGATGAAAGAAACAAGATGGTTTTGCACTTGATCGTTGAGACCGCCCGCAACGCCGCGCGGGACATCGATCACGAAGGGCAAGTGGGTGCGACCGTGTCGGTATAAGAATACTACTTGCGATTTTGAGTCGATCGCCATGTCTACTTAGCGTCCTCATGCATGGAGCGTTTTTATCTATCACAATTATAGACCAGACGATGACCAAGACCACCACCATGATATTACTATTTGAATTGGCATTTGCGTATTTATATTTTTATCTATCACAGACCATCGAGAGCAAGAACGACCTCGTGACGGCGATGCGCCCCGTGGATGCCGGATTGTTGTGCGACCAGCCGTGGTTGTTTTTGGCGGAGGACATTCAGTTGGAAAAGCGGCGCAAGATCGTGTTGAATGACATTTTGCGGGTCATCAAATTCGACATGAAGATGTTCGGCTGCGACAACTGCGGTGTGTGGACGGTCGTCCAAAAGAGCATCCCCGTCCGTATTGATTTGTTTTTTGACGTTCATGTTCATGAGTAGCACTTTGTGTTTTTAGATTTAGTTTGCGCAATTCATGAAGTCTGATTTCGCAAGACGACATGTGCATGAAACAACGTAAAAAAACAGAGCCGATCGCCAATTTGGCCCCCAAGCACCACGTGATCGTGGACAGCAACCACTTTGATGAGCCCCAGCGTGGCGTCATCGAGAAGTCCGTGGCCGGCCCGCAGGTCGCCAAGAAGAAGCAGCAGATGCAGTCCGTGACCGAAGAGCAGATCCAGTGGGACAAGGATATTAAGGAGGAGATGCGGTCCGCAATCAAGGCGTCCATCGCGGCCGAGAAGGCCCGGCACCAGTCGGCCAAGAAGATCGACAAGACGGATCAGCTGCAGCTGGTGGAAGCTTCCGGTAAGGGAAAGGAAAAGTTTGTCTCCAAGATGGAGCGCCGGCAGAAGTGGTATAGTGATCGCATCGACACGCTGACCTCGGAGTTGAAAAGCGCGGAGGAAGAGAAGTTTTTCTTGACTACCCTCCTGCAGCGGAAGCTGTCGGTACTGAGTTTCACACTTGATTATGAGATGATGATGATAGGTCGAAAATCTGTGTTCTAGATCTAAACCATGAGATATTCATATTGCTTTTTTAAAGAATAAGAAAGATCAGTTGTTCCTGCAGCTTCAACTTCAACTTCGAAACGCAAACGTATCTTCAGATCCCGGCCGAAATCATCTCGATCGATGTGCCCCACTACGCCTGGGAAGACACGGACATGGACTTTGAGCACGACAACACCATGGTGGTGTCGGTGGAGGATATCGAGAAGATGGCCGTGGTCCCGGGTCGCTTTCCGGTCGAGATCGAGTGGGGTCCGAACCGCGTGGTGATGGACGACTTGGAGTACGACAACGACCCCGGTCAGTACTGCGACTTCATGTCGGACATCGTGTTGGAGTGGAAGCCGGCCAGGTCGATTTCGACCCCGGTCACGTTCAGGGGAAGGGAGCTCGATGCGGGGGGATATGTCATCAAGTACAAGATGCCCTGCTACACGCCCCCCCCGAAGGACGATGATGAGCCCTCCCAGTCCGCCTCCGACGACACCAAGGGTAAGAAGAAGAAGTCCAAGAAGAAGAAGTTGTCCAAGAAGAACCAGGCTGCGTTCAAGTTGATCGAGAGCGGCAACTTTGGTTTCGGCCAGGACAACAAAGCGGCGTCCCAGGACTTCAATGCGGCCTACGAAGAGATGTCGGAGGAGGTGTTCGAGGAGGAGTTGAACAAGGACCGCACGTCGTCCTCCGCGGCTGCGTCGTCCTCCGCCAACACCAACATGCAGACCGGCGGTTCTAGCTCTTCTTCGTCGAAGCCGAACGTCAACGTGAAGGGCAAGGCGAACCCGAAGGCCAAGTCGATGAAGAGCATGAAGTCCATGAAGTCCGCCAAGCGCGAGAAGCTGCTGCCGTCCGACGACGAGGGTGAGGACGACAATGCCACCTCGTCGAAGCACAAGGGAAAGCGATCCCGTGGTGACAGTCTGATCGATGAGGACGACTTGTAATGTTAATGTAACTTTACTAGTACTACTTGATTATGTTGATGAGAAGGTGATCTTCAACTTTTTCAGAAATTAATGCATGCTGATGAACGCTGCAACTGCAAAAAAATCTACTGCTACTTCTACTTACTCTTACACAAAACTGATGCTACTAAATGGACTAGATGTGCGGTATTTTTCTTGCGTGAAGCATGTGTTTGTCTTCATGCGACACAACGCGAAATTTTGTCTATGTCTTCGCGCGCACGATTTTCGAGTCACTGCTTTCGCATTCCGCAAAGTCAGCGACGAGAAGCTACTACGACGGCGAAGTTTGGCAAGATAAATTATGGAATTACTACAACAACAACAGGACAGCTCGAAAGCCAGTAGATCTTCGGTCGCTGTCTTAGTCATGTCATATTCAACGACCTATACTAATATCTAAGAAAGAGCCTCTGCTATTTCTTGCGCCTTCCGGAGCGTTGTTGATTGTGCCTTGACTTAGACCTGTGCCGAGTTCTAAAGCTATCTCCCATGCTTGACTCGAAGCCAGGCGCAACTTCGCATTGGCTACATGATACGCTCTCACCGCGGTGCTATGATTTCCTAGTCTTTTTTGTTGTGCAAATAGCTTCGGTCTTGCAACTTTTACTTTCGTACTTGTTGATGTTGTCTTTCAACATCATCAAGAACAATATAAGTATTATGAATTTCGTATAGAAGTTGAAATCAACAAGTACTGATAGAGCTGGGCACGTAAAATTTAGATCTTTCTTTTTTTGTTTCGCACTACCTATCGGAATATCAATTTGTTTTCTATCAAGAAATACTTCATCTCTTTGTGCTCAGCTCGACCTTTATCCTGCTCTATCGTCGACGCCACTCTAGATCATGTCTAGTGATGGTGTTGGCAAAATAACTAGAACTTCACTTTATTGCTGCTTGTCTGTGTCGACGACGTAGATGTTTCGCAGCAAAAACGTTTTTACGGAACGGTCACTGTATCATCTGCAAACGATTTCGTAAATCTCTGCAGAGGTGGAGCTGCGCACGCGCAACCACCACGGCGGGCAAGAGTTTGAGTCAGCAGAAATTTTTCGTGACTTGTCTATCCGATATATGGGAAAATAAAATGGCACTTTCAATATATCAATATGAATATCTATATTCGAAGTTTGTTTTAATTTTATTTTTATTGTTACTTCTACATTATGTTCTTGTTAATGATAATGATATCACATTCACTGTTCTAAACCTCTACGGAGGCGATTCCACTGTCGATGCATTTTTATGCGGTGCCGAAGTGCGCTGCATAGCCAACCAATCCGAAGCTGTCGGACTAAACGTGTATGTAAAAATCTTTTTTACTTTCACCTAGGTCTTGGCAGTTTCAAACACTTGTTTTCAGGAGAAGTTGAGGAAGATCGATTGTTGATTTGTGCGTAGAAACGGCGCTGCACCAGAGGAAACCGCGGACACAGAGAGAGCGCGCTTGCACTTGTTACGACTGAGCTTCCACATCAAAGAAACTTTTGTTGATTCAACTTTCTCGATTCATCGCTGACGATGAGAACAACTTCTTTCCCATAGACACTAGCGGATGCGCGTCCGCACCTTCGCGTTGGTCTCGCCCAGTATCGTAGAAGTTGTATCATATAGATATACGTGCGTGGCGCACATCCACATGATAAAGCTCTCGGTTGTTGTTTTCCTAATGACATGCAAGTATTGCAATTTCGGTCAATTGTCCTCAAAAAGGTCAAAAGTTGTGGTTTTGCTGTAAACCACAACTATTCAGATTTGTGACCCACACACACAAATCTGAATAGTTGTGGTTCATCGGTGCGAGGTCGCGGTGTCCAGGATGAAGAGGTCGGAACGTCCAGAATGAAGAGGTCGGTTTCCAAAAATATCTGTACTCAGAACCAAAAATATTTGTACCTAGAACCATCATTTTTTTTCGGTCATGATCAAAATTTTTCGATCATGTGCAAAATATTTTTTGATCATGTGCAAGAAATTTTCGGTCATATGGCAAAAATTGATGAGCAGTTGAACGAAAATTTTTCATCGGTTCGTCGAGATATGTAGATTTTCCAATGTTCTACTTTTGTATTTTGTTCGTTCATACAATCCCCGTCCCGGCGCACCAACAGGCGAAACAGCTTTTTCTGCCAATGTTTTATCCACGATGAATCTGCGTGAGCCCCCCGATATCCCAGCAAAGTACATCGAAGCGGTCAACCAGAAAACCAAGACCGCACGTATGACCCGGTCAGACGTTACAATCTCAAACGTTACAATAGAAGCTGGATTTTGTATTGCATGATGAGAATGACAGATTCGGCCAGCATTCCTCTTTCTGCAATACAAATTTTGCCAGATTGTAGTGCGGTTTGGGACTCCGGAACTTGTCATGCGCAATCCTATGGGACGCGGACGTGGCTAGATAATGCACTTCTTGCATCACAGATTTCCATATTCTATTGTAACGCTTGAGATTGTAAGCCTGAGCAGGTTTTTATAGCACGGCAGCGACAGGTGGCAAGAAGTCTGCTTTCCCTTATCCCGATGAAAAAAGCTAGGATGCTTCTACTGTGATACGTGTCTGTGTGTGAAAATACATATATAATGGTGGTCTGAAAGTCTCTAGTAGAAGTGATGTGGGACGGCAAGACCATTCGCGTGGAAGATTTTTAAGTACAAGCGTCAGCTTGTTTGTTTGTTATGTGCGCCCTCACACGACACATTTTTATTTGAATGTGACGTGGTAGTTTTTTCCATTGTGATAGTCTTCGCGCTCGACGAAGACTGGCGGGGCGTTGCCGCCTATCAAGCGGAAAGAAAACATGGTCCCTGTTATTTCCCCAGCCGACCTGTCATGCAAGTTTGCAGGCTTAGTACGTAGAAAGTGCGGCATGGGCTGGCACATCGACGGCATTCTTGTCTAGGCTTGGCTGTGAAGAATTCGTCTTCAGCCACCTTGCACAACATAATATTTTCTGGCATGTTGGCGAAGCGACTTTGATTTGTTCTGCATCATGTAAACCAGGTTGCTTTTCTTGCTACCCACAAGAAAACTCTGTTGCGGCATATAATTGCACAGATTTCATTTTCTCCTTTTGTCTAGTACTTTGGGGCGAGGACCACGTTTTTGCAGAGGATGTCGTGCGGTTCCCCCAGATCGGTCCGGCGCTTCAGGATTTGGGTCTTGGGGACCACAGTATGTAGTTGTCTATTGCTTGGCGGATCCTCAGAGGTTTTTATTGTGGCTGGCGCGCGGCTGTGCCGGAACTCGCCATGATGCGGGAGGTTGTTTATATCACTTGGTCAAGGGGGAAGGCGTAGGACCTTTCGCGCGGGTTGTGCTTACAGGGCGCGCGCTAGTGCGCTAGTAGAGTGGCTTCCTTCTGTGTGAAGGCTTTCCTTTTTCGGGTATTCACATACACTGCTCCTGCTCGAGTAACAGATGTTCGTGCTTCGCGCATTGGTCGGCAAGGTATGGGCTACGTGCGCTCGGCACGGCGATTCAGGGACCCGGAGATAACGAGGTGTAGGCGCTGTTGGAAGCGAGGTTGTTCTGCCACTGGGTATGCTGTGCGGGTTGGATTCGGTCGGTTGCCTGTCTTCCCTTGGGGGCAAGTGGGGCTGGGGCTGGCGCTGTTCCCCCCATTCAACCACCGGAGGTGGGGTTCTGGGGGGTCTTGCCCTTGGGGCCAGGTGGTGGTGGAGTGGGTCGCTCCCCGCTATGGAAGCTAGGCCCGGCCTGCTACGCCCAGCCCCTTCAGGCTCGATCCAACGGGCCGCTTGGGTGTTGGCTCTGTCTGAATAACACTCGGAAGGAACGCAGCGAAAATATTTTCTCCTTTTCTCTCATATGGGGCGGGGACCACGTTACGTTTTTACGGAGGATGCCGTCCGCTTCCCCCAGAAAGGTCCAACGCTGCAGAAATTGCGACGGCAACTTATCGAACTAGTGAAAACTGCCTCTACAACCCCCAGAACTTCTTTGAAGACGCTTGTATTGAAAAAGGTCCCAACAATAATTCCGATAGATCAAACAACGCCCATCTCGCACCTTTTTCCAGAAACACGACAAATAATTCGCCCTGCAGAACAGCTAAAATTTGCGTTGCAAAATTGCATTTAGGACGACATAGTGTTGATGCAGCTTCCGACGCCTCGCCTCTCGGTCTCAATCAGAAAGATGTGCAGTTGTCCTTTCATGAGCTAGGCAAGAAGAAGAAGAACTTCCCACATTTGAAAATACTTTGCACTTCCTCGGTTGGGTGGCAGTTTATTTCATTTTGATACACGTGGAATTTCTGGAAAGGGCGGGCAAGCTGGGCAGTTGCGCGATGTCGTCGGGTCGAAATGTTCCTCTGACACTGACTGACATTTCGCGTTTGTTGTCGGTGCGGTTAGGAGGCGGGGGCTCCCATTCAGGTTTAGCAGCGCGACATTTCTTTTACAACGACGACAGAGCTTTAGGAGCGGAAGATGAAGTAACAAGAGCCCCCTTTGGAGGGCCGCAAGAACCGGTTGAGGGACGACAGGTTGATGTAGCAAAGACCGGCACAGCATCAACATCAGAATCGCATGCCGGCGGCGTGGTCGGCTCTACAACGACTACATCAGATGGCGCAATAAAAGCCCATGAAACTACTTGTGTCGACCACTTTAACGCCATACGGTTTCAGAACCAGTGCGGAAAATTGCTGCAGAAATATTTTGCTCGTGCGTGTTGAGACTAAAGACAAAATCTGTGCAGAAGCAAGTCGTAGCAAAACGCGGACATAATTTTTAAAAAAGAAGAATAGAAACGCTCAGGCTGACCAACAAAATGGTAAGATGTGTAAAATTTTGAAAGAACAGATCATCATGGAAGCCTCGCCGTTGCGAGCGCGTCGTCTGTGTCCCGATTTTTGACATAGCTGACAAAGTAATGTGTCCCCGTCCTCTGTAAAGACTTTTGGATGATCGTGTTCGTATTTCCACTAGTGACGCTACTTCAGCGTGTTCTCGGATCTTATCGGTTCGTCTGCTTGTTCCACTGTCAAGAGAAATGTGTTTTCGTCAGCACCACGTGTCGGTTCCTGTTGTGTTGCCGCCTCTTCATCTGACAGATCGGTGCGCTCCTGCGTCTATAATCTACTTGCCGCTTTCTACTTTAGAAGGACAACAGAATCACCTCTACTGCGCTCGTATGTTCATGATTCGGTCTCGTCCTTGTGATCGGTATCGTTATATATCATACAGCGTTCGTGATGAATTAGTCGTCGTGCCTTCAGTTGAAATAAACAAGAACATCGCTCATTTGTATCGTGCAACTAGAAGATAGGAGTCGTGCCAGTGCCTATGAAATTTTCTGAATACTGCATCGATCGGTGATATCGTGCCAACATTGATGTCGGTCTTTGACTTCATTACGTGCAACCGGTTGTTCGTGTCAACATCTTGCTCGTGTTTTATTTGATACCCCGTCCTCGTCGTGCAACACCCGTCTCGCATCGTCCCTTCCGAGTCACCGGATAGTAACCACGCGTGCAAGTTGAAACTGTTTTGTACTTTTAATATCGCACTTCTTTCACGTGCGACGATTTCACTCATCCCTCGGGATGCAGCAGCGCAGGAGCTGCAAAAGAATCGAGGATGCGATCATGATCCATTTCGACAGGTGTAGTAAGTAAGTACTTACCAGTGGTATCAATCATTTTTGGCTCTGTGCTCCTCCAAACCCCCCGGAGGAGAATGAGCCTGAAATAGATTCTGTGCGTACTTACGACTATTCTGGTAAGAGAAACTCTAGGACTCAAGCCCCATTCTATCAAAGGAACAACCCCCAAAATACTTAAAATCCTTTTTACAACGCAAGCATCACTACTTTAACTTCTAGGCAAGAGCAAGAGCTGCCAGATTTCGGTCTGGAGTATTTACTGAGGTGGTCGGATCTTGACGCTGCGCACAAGAACTCTTGTTTCTGCTAGTAGTATGTAATGTAATGTTTGTTATTCGATTTTTTTTGCACCCCTCTTATAGAGAAATAAACCCCAAAGCTTTTTATCCATCACTAAAAGAGAACCAGAACATGTTTACTGCTACCGCCGGACGATTCTCCGGTCCGGGGTGAAAAGAAGTTCCGCACGGGACGTCGACTTGCTTTTCACTGGACGTGGAGTTGTCACTTCCTACTTTATTTTCAGATTCGTCGTGCGAACCGAATCGGCGAGCACCTCGGCGAGAGCCACCTCCGCGAGGACAGTACAACTCCATTTCGGAGTCGGTGGCAGAACAAAATCAAAATAGTGATACCGACCAGGCCAGCGCCAGGGTGGAAGCGTAGTACTACGTGAAAAAAGAATACTATGCGGGTGAAAGTGAACAAGGCGGTTGTAAACAACGGGCGGAACAAGCTGCAGAGGCCCAGCAGCTCCACTGCCTCGGTTCAGTTGCCCAATTCCAACAAAAATAAAAAGGTGGCCAGGAGCAGGGCGGACATCAAGGTGGAGGATGAGGCCGTTGCAGCCCCACCGCGAGGACCAGACGAAGTCGTGGGAATTAGCCCCGATGTAGTTGCGCCGCACAATGCCATATGCATTGCAAACTATGTATCTGGGTCTGGAAAGAGAACATGCAAGCTTGTAAAACTTCTAAAAATGCAGTGGACGCTGGATCATGGATCATGAACTTGATCGTTTTCTCTATCGTTGCACGGCAATCAGAATAATTCAAACAGAAAACTCGTGATGTTCTGGCATGAGCGCCAAAAGTAGGTGCCAGTAAGGTCGTTTTCGGCGCGAGAAATTCGCTGTTTGCTTAAGGCAAACGGCGAATTTCTGACGCGGGTGGTGCAAAAGGTGCATGGCAATAAACAAGTGCAATCTTCGTTCCAGACCTAGAGATATTTGCATTTGATACGCCACGTCGTCTGTGCTCCAGAGCAGAGTAGTGGCGGAGCGGGAGTCCGTGACGTTCCCTGACGGAATAGCAGCGTGGCACAAGGTATTCCAGGAAGAGATTGTCTGAGTCTTCAGCCTTTGCATGGGACGACTCAGCAGCGTCGCAAACTCGCGAACAAGCAAGATCATACCAAAATGAATCTCTTGCTTCGTACACCAAAGAAGTACTTGATCATACCAAAGTGATGCTTCATACAGCAATAGAAAGTCAAAATATTAATATAGATGTCTAAAATTGACTTTCTTGCAGCTGCTCTTGGTTGCACGTCGAGCATGACAAAAAACTGCATCGAGGAACTTCCAGATTGTGACGCGTTGAGTAAACTGAGACAGTTTTTTCTTGCGATACCACGAAGATCCGCAGTACTACAAGCTGGATAGCCTCTGCACCGACGACAACACCGAAGCATCCTATTTTCTGGATACGGGAATTAACCCAGACGACCCCGGGGATCCCAAGTTGGAGTGCTATATGCGACGGTCGAAATGCAGGTGCTTATCTTCCAGAAAAAACGCTGCAGTTAGTCGTGTGCAAAAATTACTTATTTGTTTTTCGAGGATAGAACAGGAGCATCCGAAAATTTGTGCATTCAGCTACAAAAACGAAGCCATGTAGTCGTGCACGGCTCCTTCATGATGTACTGGAAAACCCATACGGAACTGGTTTATGGTGCGTTTCCAGCACGGCTAGAGTTACTTAGTTTTGCATCTACTTCTGCAGCACACACTAAAACAGTAGTTTTTCTACTCCTGCATAATGCTTGGGCAAGAGCTACCTCTACCCGTACGATGTTGTCAACAGGTGGGCGCACCCTATTATCCCGATGAAAAATCCCCCACCCTGTAAAATTCAAAAGGAGACTTCTGATGCTGGCTTGTATACAAAGAAACAGCATCTTGGTGTAGGTAGCACCGGACTGCAGGAAAAAGGCCGAGCATCCCAAATCGCACGGGGTGCGAAATGTCCGTGCGGAACAAGTAGTGCAAGTGCTATAAGTCGCGCGAGTTGTTGTAAGTGGTGCAAAACAGCCTCAAGTTGCTACTTGATGTTCTTTGCTTTTGGGTATGTAGCAGCGTAGCTAATGAGGCAGGCGTCTCTGGCAAAGGCGCGACCGCGCCGCAGATTAAACACAGCAAGCTCCGGCTTTATTCCGTGCAAGTACTACTTTTCTGCAAGGAAAATAAGGGCACTGGTGACTTCTTTCGCAGGTGTCGTTTTTGAAGATGGGAAGGGGAGGCTTTTGCTAATGATACCCGCTGGCGTCACAGACGACGAAATGAATACTCTGGACGACGGCATTACTCCACGGGAATGCTTACTCTTTTCCACCGGAGGCAATGTTGCCGATATGCTTGCCGGGATGTTGTACGACAGTGAAGCCAAGGTGTGCTACTACCTCGGGAGTCATTACAGTCATCTACCGAGTACCACCTACTACAACACAAAATATTTTCAAGCGTTCGGTCACGATCTCGTGAAGGTGAAAACTTCGGGCGTAGACGAAGCTGGTGTTGTCCAGTGGAAAAATTTGCCGCCCGGTTTGTGGGGTACCGACTTCGCCTATGGATTGCAAAAATGTCTGGGTCTGGAAGATTGTGAGGCTTGTCATGCACGAGCATGCTTTGCATGGGCCATGATGTCTGCGATGCATGCCCTAGCATAACAGATTTTCATTTTTTGAGGGCCTCTTGATGCCTATTCCGCATAACAAGTTCCCTCTCTGCGTAGCAGAAATTAGAATCCTTTTGCTGCTCTGTCTTGCAATACTACAGATTCCTTCAGAATCCAAAGACAGCATCACATGTTCCATTCTTTCCAGACCCAGACACTTTTGCATTTGATATCGCCTACTTTAAGGAAACCACAAATGCAGAAGGGACCACAACGGAGGAACCTCTTCAGGGAGGAGAGGACACATTTTGTGTGGCACAGGATGCGGACGGGAAGACGTACGAAAGCTGGATAATGTACACCAATTATCGCACAAAAAAAAGGTGGTAGGTCAGAACTCCTAGCTTATAATCTGTAACGCGGAAACAGACACACATGCAAATAGTCTGGTGTCACGGGCTTGCTCATAGTATGCTGTCCCAGGTATCACGCAAGAGCGATTTTCATTAATTGATAGATTTATGTTCTTGCATGACATACAGCATGAACATCAAGATCAACATCATGTTCATGGCGTGAACGGACCTGCCAGCTTTTTCCTCTGGGATACCAAAGTCGTAGACAAAGAAAACCACATTCAATGCAAAGCGCTTCTAGAGAAGATGTGCGAAAAGTTCGACTCCGTAGACAAATGCAACAGTATCGTAAGGAAAAATCCCCCGCCCTCCCAATATCGAAAAGGCATGCTTTTGGAAATTTCTGATGCTGATTTGTGGTCACCAATGCCAGTCTTTTGTGTCTTGGTAGAAGGCAACTCCAACGGCTGCGCTGCATTATGCAAGCGGTTTGTGATGCTGCTGGGCCTGGGGCAACAGCGTCGACGTTTGCCATGGTTGTCGCCTACGTCAAGACCTGTCTACCCAGGCTTGGCATATGCCTGCAGTCCTCTACTGCAAGACAAGTGGGATTTGTGTACTGAAATCCAGCATCAGAAACCTCCTCTTTTTGATATGGGGAGGGGGGATTTTTCCTTTTGATAAACAGCGACGCGTCCGCGGAAACCTGTGTCTGGACGAAAAAGGAGGGGGCCGACGCTGAGACTTGCTTCGATTGCAATGATTTGAGCGGAGATAAATTCGGGTGCCCAGGTATCCTAAGCAAAAACGTCCCCATCCCATAGCAACACAAGTCTCCAAGTTTTGGGCGCTGTGCATGACAAGTTTCCCTCTGCAGTGTAGTGCTGGTTGGCAAGGGAACAAGCCGCATGAGAATAAAGCCACTTTCTTATCCTGTTTACAGCACTACAAATTCCAAAACACGATTGGAAATGCCTTTCATGTAGCTGCGCATTACAAATGTTCCTGTCAGGACGCATTTGCGTGACAACTCGGGGGTGGGGACGTTTTTACCGAGGATACCAGGAATCTCCGCCGGAAAATGTGAATTCGACGCCGAAACCAGTCTTTGCCGGCCACTTTTGGTGACCACTTCGTACTACAGTGAAAAATGTCCCCATCCCATATAGAAAAGGAAACTTGTGATGCTGATCTGTGGCCACATCCACAAATCACTTTTGTCTTGCCTACAGGGTAAAAATGGGAACCATGTGGCGTATTCGACGGCCGGTCTGTCATGCGCTTTCAACTACAACAAATCTGTTTGCCATGCGTAATTGCTAGCCTTCTGCATACACAAACAGGCCTAGAGGATACCGCCAAGCACTTTCTGCAAGACAAATGTGATTTGTGTACAGCATCAGAAACTTCCTTCTGATATGGGGAGGGGGATCTTTCCTTTTGATACTTCGAGCAGCACCACCACGACGCCTGCTCCCGAGGGCATGTATCCACTGGAAATGTTTCTGGGTCTGGATGAAGAACGCAAGTCGAAGTTTGTCATGCTTGTCTGGCATGACTCTTAATTCTGTGTTGCATGAGCAGGAAAAAAGCCGCCCCTTGCCTGTCATGCAAAATAAACGCAGCTTTCCCTTCAAGAAGCGAAACACACAGCACCTCATATTAAACTTGTCATGATGCTTGGCTGCGTATAATGATTGCAGTGCGCCCCCTGCCAAATTCACAGATTTGCATCCCAACTTCCCAGACCCAGACATATTTGCAATTGATAGCATGAGCATGACCACGATTTACATCATCGCCGTGTCGGCCGTCGGCGCCATCCTGATCGGCGTGGTGTTGGTCATTCTCTGTTTGTGTATCCCACAGAAAAAAGCTGGAAGGGCATATTTGTAATGCCAACACAAATACACAGAAAAATCTGCCATGGGCGGCCTCATAGCATGCTATTTAGGATATGCAATACAAATTTTTTTGTCTATTTCTTTTCGCATTACAAATATGACCTCCCAGTTTTTTTCTGTGTGATATTGTGCTGCGGCGGCAAGAAGAAGGGGGACCCCGACAGCAAAGCCAGCCAGGACGACAAGTCAAAAGCGGCCGCGGAGGCTGCGGGTGGCGGCGCCCGGCAAACGCGGGCGGCGTCACAGAAGCTATCAAATGTAAAAATGTCTGGGTCTGGAAGAATGCATGTTTGTCATGCTTGTCTGGCATGACTCTTAAATCTGTCATGCACAACATCCAAGAGCCCCATTTCTCTGTCATGCAGAAACGCAGTTTGTCATGCAGAATAGGCAACACCTAGAGGCTCAGAAACTGTTCATGCTGAGCCAGCATTTGCGGCCTCATCATGAGACGCTACCCAGCATCACAAGTTTCCAGACCCAGACATTTTTGCACAGGATAGAAGCTGCCTACGGGCAACACCGGCCCATCGCTATCAAAAGGAAAAATCCCCCCTCCCCATATCCAAACGAAGTATCTGATGCTGGATTTCCTTACACAAATCAGAGCTGTCTTGCAGTAGAGGACTGCAGGTGTGTGCCGTGCCTTAGTGCAGAGCTTTGGACGTGGACGCTTAGCATCGCAAATGTCTATGCTGTAGCCCAAGCAGCATCACAAACCGTCCGCTTAGTGCGGCGGAGACTGTAGAATTGCATTCTTGCAAGACAAACAAATTTGTGGTCACAAATCAGCATTACAAAGAAGTACCTTTTTGATATGGGGAGGGGATATTTTTCCTTACGATAAGCGCAGCCGCCAGCCCTAGACAAGGCGGGGAGTTTTGGCGCGAACAACAGTTTTTCCAACGCCGGCGGGGGTGATATGGCATTCTCAAATGTTACATTCTCAACTGTTGCAACATGAATCTGTAATGCAAGAGTGGCAAAATCGAAAGGGGGAAGATCATTGCACCTTTTGCATTATACAAATTCCGCACAGATCAACATTTAGGTGCTGTTTAGCCCTTCGCAAATTTGTCATGCGAAGCAGCCTGATTGTGTGGGTGATCATCTTGCTTTTGCATTACAAATTCATCATGTAACAGTTGAGAATGTAACAATTGAGAACTCCATAGGCGACGCTTTTCGCGGAGGGAGTGCAGTGGACAACTCGAAGCCCAGTGGTATGAAAGTGGAGTCTTGAGCGTTGCATTGACTGCTGTTACATCAGGTTATTGTCATGGTGCAAGAAATATTAGACCAAAAGTTAAGGTGGTGAATATATAAATCTGGTCGTGACATCAAACACCCTGCGCGCCTTGCATTCCAGATTTGGGACGGATTTGATATTGTTCCATGCTATTTGGCGTACCAACGTAAGTAGACTTGTCATGCGAAGTAGCTTGATCATGTGGAGGCTCGTGGTAAAAAAGATTTTGCATGCTGGTCGTGAAAAATCATGTAACAGCTCTACAGTGTAACGCTTGTGAAGAACTCCATAGGTGGCGGCCCGGCGTCTACCTTTGCCGCACGGGTGAGCATGGCGCAGACGCATTTATCACATGCAAATATCGATCTGAGTCTGGAAGGATGCGAGCTTGTCATGCAAACTCTGGAGCACATGCACGCATGTAGTTGAAATTGATGAAGAAATCTCTCATGCATAAACAACAAAAGTCGCCCATTTATTGTCACCGAAAGCGGGGCTTCGTGATGCGAGTTCGGCATCGGCACCGAGACGCCTTGTGCTTCGCCAATTCTGTATTGGTCTGGAGCTTGCATGCAAGACCAAGACCTCTTGGGGCACAGAAAAACAGCATGACACACCTGCTCAATTGTCCATGCCCAGACGTATTTGCAATGCATATCATTGAGCAGCATGTCTTTTCAAGGAGTTTCGTTTGATGATGATTCTTGGTATAGTACACATATTACCATGTTGGCACGACAACAGTTTTGTTTTATGAAAAATACAACAACTTCTCTTCCGAAAATTTTATTTTTTTACATCAGGTACAACTACAAATGCACAGTTTTGAGTTTATTAACAGTAACATAACACAAATAATTTTCATGTTTTTCAAAGTTTTCAATTTTCAAATCCTTTGTTTTCAGTTACTTTATTTCTTACACTTGTTTTACTTCTTTTACATTTACATTTTCACAATTTTTTTTCGCATGGGCAGTATTTTTTTTTTCAAAAGACACACTTCTCTCCATCAACAATCTAGAAAGCCTTGTACGTACCCCGTGCAGGGTGAAAAATTCCAGTTCAGAATCCTACGCACAGTTTCTTTCCCGCGATAGAACAATTCGCCAATAGAAGGTCACCCCTGCGCACCCCACAGGAGCACTTCTTTTGGCAACGCCACCTAGGAATTGCATTGAGGACTAGAAATTAATTATCCAAAACAAAAACGTCGCAAGCGCAACATCCTAGAAATGTAGTACCTCAACACTATGCTGTGCCAAAATTAAAAGACCTAGAGCTAGACACCCAGTTGTAACAAGAAGTTCGAAAGGAACGCAGCAAATCGAAGGAACGAGTAAGACTACAACAGCACCAAAAGGTCCATCTTCTTGCATTCACCCCGTCGTGCGGAGGAAGGATTTTTCTTCAGAAGAAGCAAGTAAGTTGCACCAGTTTTGTAGCAGAATGTTTTGTTTTTCGGGTGAAGACGAGCAATGTCGAATGTCAAAGCTATGTCTATATGCTAAATTTTATCTGCAACCTGAAAATTTCAATTTCCATCCGAGGGCAGTTCATCTAAAGTGTTGCGAAAGCTCCTCCGAAACGTTATGAATGTAGTAGAGGACCCTCTGAGGCTGAACAGCTGTAAGTAGTTTTGCCCACCGTCCTATATACTTCTCCGCTCACATCACCGCCCGCGGCAGATGACTAGACGTCGCTTTTTCAAAAGCGTCCTCGTCCTGGCCACTTGGGTAAGTACTAAAAAATGAAGTGTGTGGCCACCCGCGAGGCGAAGATATTAGACAAAAGATGCTGAGTCTCGCCGTGGTCCTCTCGAGGACACCGCCGAGTAACTACATGTCTAATATACTACTTTTACGAATATTAAGATGCTACCAAGCTGCGGATATGATACTAGGCTACGTAGACGTACTTGGCTTCTATTCTTTCATGTTGCTGCCTTCACTTTTGTAGTTCTTTTCAAAATATTAAAGCAATGTTAGACAGTTGAATAAGAGTACTTTCTTTTCGAAGCAAGAATCGAAGTAGACCGGCCAGAAAAACGAAAGACCTGACTCATCTACCATTCAGAGCTGCTACTCCTCCTCTGCAGGGAAGTAGAATTACGCAGTATCTCTAACTAGCACCTTCACAGCACGAAAAATGCAAACAAAAAATGTGAACAATAGCACCTATTCTACCTCTACAACATACCTAGCAGCACGGGGAACGACGACCCAGGTAGATCTCTCCCAAGGAGGTAGTACTACTACGTGAAGAAGGTTGTCTTGACAACAATATTACTAAAACGGCCCTAGTAATTATTTCGTTAAGCAGTAGTTCTAGTTCTGGTTGATGTCAACATGGCGGTCGCTGTCGACGAGGAGCCCGCACCCACGAAGAGAGCACCATGCAGAATGCATTTTCTGCATTACAAATACCTCGACGAAGAATGGCTCTGCCGCACCAGCAACGCAGGACCAAATAAACTAGTTCTTGCTTCGAAGAAAGTATGTTTTAGAAAATTGCTTATCTTGATATGCGCAGTCGCCGGTGTAGATACGGAGCTGCACGACCAGAGGAGTTTCTTCTGGCGCGCCGATGACCACTGCGTCCATGTTTGGGTTCTTTTTAAACGCTTCTAGTGCTGGCACGATCTCCCGTAAGTGCCGCTCGTCCTTGAGATTATTCATCTTTCGTGCTGGTGGTCTTCAAATGTGCCTTGCAACAGGTCGGTGGCACCATTTTATTTTACGTCGGCCCTTCGCCGTGACCTCCAACATGCAACATCTGTGATGCCCCACATGCAGTTGCCGGTGGAGAAAAGAAACGGAAACAAAATCTTGACCCACTTCTGCCTCGGTTTCGTTCGTAAATAAACTTAATGCGCAGTACAAGTCGTGTGGTCTGCCTCTGCGTCTGCCAACTCTAACTGGAAGTATTTTTTTCAGTGGTTACGGCCGTATAAACTACAAAATTGAAATTCCTTTTCGTGCGCCGCGTTTTCGTTCGTCTCGTCGGTTTTCGTCCGTACCTATTTCGTCCAACCACCTACGACGTGTGTTGCTGTAGTAGCTTTTTTGCGAAACATTCGTGAAGTAAAATGCTCGCACAGTTGACTGGGTCTTCTGCTGTACTACGTTCTTCACTTTAAAGATGACGCGGTCAACTTTTTTCCAGTGCTTACGCAACCGCAGGACAATTGTCATTGCTCCCCTCACCCAGATATTCATATTATCGTACCAAGCTTTGACTGTGTAGTCAAGTTGGTGTGGTCTTCTATTTTCCCTCGATGATTGATACGCTACGTAGTACTTTAACTGCTTCAAAAATTATCTTGCGTGAGCGTTTCTGCTCCATGTGAAGGCTGGCGATTTCTATAATACGTATAACTTTTCCTGAATTATGCTCGACCTTAACCCGAATCGCAGTGCACAGTAGAATTTTCCTCCCGCGTGTGCACGAGCAGGCACGAGGACGTGTGCAAGACCTTGTTCGGGGGATAACGTAGAAGAAGAAAGTGGGTACGACCGAAAGAGTTTCTACTACTGCCGCAGGAATAGAAAAAAATGGGCACCACCGGCAGTCAGCCAACCCCGGAGCAAGGTGAACAAACGGTGGTCCCTCCGGACGAGCCCAAGCAGGAGCAGTACGTGGCTAACTGGTACACGCTATGCGGCGCGGAAAATTCAACAGTGGAGCTGGACTACTTTCTGGATGGCAGCGGCGCGATCGGGACGTCGTCGGCCACGGGGTGCTATCTGCGCTTATCAAATGTAAAAATGTCTGGGTCTGGAAGATTGGAACTTGTGATGCTAACTTTGGACTCTAAAAAAATCTGTATTGCATGACCAGCAAGAGGAGTCTAGTTTGTGCTACGGGGCGGGGAGGGCGTTTGTCATGCGGAGTAGGCATCAGGAAGCCCTCTAAAAATCTGTGACGCTAGGGCGTGCATTACAGACGTCCTGGGTCATGCAAAACATGCATGACAAGTCTCAGAATCTTCCAGACCCAGACACTTTTGCATTTGATAGCGCTGGGTCGGCTGCAAATGCTTCGGCAGTGCGTACTCGCTTTCTCTCGCGCAGATGCTAGCATTGCAGCAGCAGGCTTCTGGAGGTGGCGGCGCGACTGGTACTGCGACGTCTTTTCTGCAAGAAAGGGTCGACGTGCAGAGGGCCCATTACTACATCAGCGGAAAAACGACAAAAAGGGCACGACAAACGAGATTGAAGGACTCTTCGATGGCCGCTTCTACTAGTGCGGGCTTTGTTCCGGACCAGATGGAAAGAAAAGAAAGAACCAGTCAACACCTTTACGACCAGCTTGCAGCGCTCGAGACGGGCGGCCGCACCGCGGCTGAGAGTGGGAGCGGCGCGAAGGATGATGGTTCCCCCACCAAGGTGGACGAGGACGTGGTGAACACGGGGGCGGACGGTTGGGTGCCACAGGAGTGCTTGGCATATTGCACGAACTCCGATGGGAACCTAAACTGCGCCGGACTCACTTACGACCTGAGCATATCAACTGCAAATTCGAATATATATGTCTGGGCCTGGAACAGAGCAGAGGTTTGTGATCCAAGCAGCCCGCATGACTTATACATAGTCCAGTTCGCTCCAGCTACAGTGACCTACTCAAACTTCAACTTTGATTTCACATTGCAAAATATAGTCATACCTGATGAAAGTATTGTGAGCTGCTCTGCCTCTGGCATCGATCAGCGTCGCAAGTTTGGATATTGGAGAGGCCGCTTCTCGTAGTGCCATCTCGCATGATGCATGTCAAAAAGAACTGTCGTTTTCGGAAGGCGCTGACTCAAGGGCATATTTTTGCTGGTCTCAAGCAATGCTTAGAGTCTTTTGACCTATGGTCGAGGAGAACAAGGAAATAAAAGCTCGGACCCTTCACCATCCAGAGTTGTTCCCGACATATTTTTTTACAGTGCATAGGAAACTCAGGTATGTTACTTCATCAACTTTTCTCCGGTGCAAGGCGTGTCGTGGCCCTTACCGGAGAGTAGGGAGCAGAACCGGGCGAACCTGGAACTGCACATGCCACCACAGCAAGGGAAAAGCCAAGAAGAGGTGGAGAAGACCACGATAACCATTTATCAGAAATCGATGGACTTCGCCGCGGTACCCGGGGTAAAACTTTCGTGGCAGCAGCTCGCTGACAGGATGCACACCGACCTTACGCCTCTTAGACCCGAGGAATGGCTGCGGAAATCTTTCTGCGTGGCAAAGAAAAGCCTGGACGACGGCGCGGAGCCGTCTTTTAAGGACTTATGGGAGTGCACACATGATTTGTCTCCCTGCGCTCATTTTTATAACTTGCATAGCATGTTGTAGTTCACCTGCAACAGATACAGAAGCGACAGCAATGCCGCCGCTCGCGCATGACAGATTTGGACGGCGATTGTAGTGCTCTCTCGGGCCTCCGTCTCCGTCTCGAAACGTCGTGCCATCGACATACGTAGTACTGGCTGAAAATTATGACGCAAAGCCAAAAGGTGGCATTCGGCGTGCAGTTGCATGATGAGACGCATGAGATGAAATGAGAACATCTTCGAGGGGGATCGAAGTACTAGTTGTGCACTCTCATAGCCGTTCATCACCTACGTGAAGATCCGAGAGCCAGAGAGCAATACGCAGTGCCAGGCCCTGTTGACTCCCACGACAAGCAGCCCGACCACGACAACCACTACTACGACTAGCAAAGAAGGCACTTCTTCAAGTGGTGCAAGCGGTTCCGGCGCGCAGGGCGAGGGAGAGGACCAAACTACACCGGGAGATGCAGACGGTGGAGGCGAGTCTGGGCACCCTATTGACGGCGAAGACGGAGACCAAGCAGGGCAGCAAGGAAACACGACCACGTCCGCGCCGGCTGGCGGAGACGGGAAGGGCACAGAGGGAGAAGACGACGTCAACACTATCCCGCGTGCAAAAACGTCGTGGTAAGTACCCAGAAGGAGCCCATAGTCAAGATGGGAACTCTGGCGCAACTCTGCATATTACGGCAAATCCAGAACTTCTGCTGGGACTTATACATGACAAGTTTGGCTATGCAGTGCGGTTGTGCGTACTGCTAGTCTCCGATCGATGCGTCGGAAATCCACTCTCATGTCCTGACTGACGCATGACAGGTCTCCTATTAACACGACTAGCAAATAAAGTTGTCTCTTATGCGGAGCTGCCTGATAGAGATAGATGTTCTGGGCATGATGCAGATTGGCATGATAAGTAGCTCCGGGGTAAATATTTTTAAGGGCGACGTTTTTCCGCAGGATAGCCACCTTGTGGGCGGTGTTGGTGGTGCTATCCGTGTTCTGCGTGATTGCCTTATCAAAAGGAAAAATCCACCCCCCTCCCCATATCGAAAAGGTATGTTTCCGAAAATTTGTGTTGCTGATTTGAGACCACAAATCACGTCTGTCTCGCACGAAGACAAGTGCAAAGGCGGCCGCGCCATTATGGAAGCGATTTGGCATGCTGTTGGGCCTAGGGAGCAGACATTTGTAACATTACTAGACCCAAACGCCCCTACCTAGGCTGCGGATCTGGCAGCGATGTCTTACTGCAAGACAGCGCGCATTTGTGTACGGAAGTCCAGCATCAGAAACTTCGGCTCTATATGGGGAGGGGGGATTTTTCCCCACAATATCCCTTGGCGATCGCCTTCGCCATCATTTTTTGCGTGACGAATAACAGTATGCAATGGAAATATAATGTCTGCTGGTTCCTCTGCTGGAAGGATGCAAATCTACTATGACATGCTATTTCATCGTTGTAAAAGACCACGCATCTTCAAAAATCTGTATCGCTTGAGCGCCAATCTTCAAAGCTGTCGACTCTTTCCTGCACACCTTCACCTCTCATAGCGATAATTTTGTCATGTGGTACAGGCATGGCGAGTCAAATAATTGCTTTGTCTGCATTTATTTTCCGTGCGGTTCACCCAAAGAAAAAGATGCACATGATCATATAAAATGCGCACTTCTCATTCAGATCCAGTCCCAGGCATTATATTTGCAGTGGATAAAAAGCGACGAGGAAGGCCAAAGCACCAGCAGGCCACAGGACCAAATTCCGCCCCCGCAACCCGGCAAGCGGGCGTCTGTGCGCGCGTCGACGAACTTACCCGGGCACTTGGGCATCGTCGATGGAACAAGAAGCAGCAAGAAAGCTGGCCCAAGAGGTGCCCGAGTGAGCACCACCAGCAGTGGAGATCGCGCCAGTACAACCGGCAGCCGAGCCTCCGCCAAAGCCGACATAGGCCCCCTCGTGAAAAGCGCCACCGCGAGCTTCAGCACCCCGAGAAAAGACGACGAAGGTATGTGCGAGAAAAGCGTCCCCGCGACCCCGAAGTCAAGATCGGAAGCTTTGCAGTAGTACACAAATCAACAAGCTGTCGGTGTTGCGCATGACAAATTTGGGCGTAATTTATCTAGTAAAGCCGCATCACGACTGTTGCATGACAAACTACCACACGACTGCATTTAGAAAATGCTCCTCATGGGCGGGCTGCGCATGAGAATGGTCGTAGGCTTGCGTGACAAATCTGTGGTGGGGACGTTTGTGCACAGGATAGAAGGGGCGGCCACCTCGACGTTTTATCAAATGCAAATTTGCCCCCGTCCGGGTCTGGTGGAAGAGTGACCTTGTTTGTCATGCACTTCTGGAGCAGATGCAGAAACAGATAGATGGAGACGGACTGTCGTGCACGCAAAGCATCACAGGTTCTCTTATTTTCTGCTCCAGATCAACATTTACCATCACAAGTTGAAGAGACTGTTCCTGACCCAGACACGTTTGTTACAATGCATACGTTTGCGGAGAGAATCACAATCAGTCAACAGCGCGCGAGCGTGCGGGCCAGCTCGCGGGGCAGCCAGGTCAATCTACAAGGCGACTATCAAATGTAAAAGTGTCTGGGTCTGGAAGAATGCAGACTTGTCATGCAGGTTTTCCATGACCCATGAGGTCTGGTATGTAGGACATAGCATGACAGATTCTGTGAGAGTTCTATCATGGGTATCCTGCATGAGAAACTGCCTCTCGATGAGGTCAAAAGTGGCGAGCTTTTGGTAATCATGCAACACAGATTTTTGAATGATTCAGATTTAGCATGACAAGTTAGATTCTTCCAGACCCAGACATTTTTGCATTTGATAGCGACATATACCACGCAACAGATCCCGATCCTGGCCGCCCGAGTCAAAGCAAGCGGCTACCGATATTGTGAGGAAAAATCCCTCCTCCCCATATTGAAAGCGCATTCGTCTGAAAATTTGTGATGCAGATTTGTGGCCACAAATCCTATCTGTGTTGCAAGAAAGCGAACTCAGAGAGTCCGCCGCATTATGCAGGCGGGTTTGTGATGCTGTTGGGCTTTACAGCCCAGACATTTTTGATGCTAGGCGCCTACGCCAAAAACCTCGCGAATCAGGCCCGGCATATGCCTGCAGTCCTCTACTGCAAGACAGATCTGATTTGTGTGCGGAAAATCAGCATGAGAAACTTCGTTTTGATATAGGGAGGGGGGTTTTATCGTTTTGATAGCCGAAGAAACCGGGGCTCTCTGCTCTGGCTGCCCGCGCTGAGAAGTTGTGAAAAGTTGTAGCCGCAGTAGACAGATTCAGAATTGCAGTTTAGTACTGGTGCTCCGGCTGCAGTGCTCTACCCTCAATTCTAATTTTGCGATTTTGCGTTGCAATTATATCGTTTGAAAATAACCCCCTACCAAGCTATAGCCAGAACTAAATTAAGTATGTTCTCGTCTGCTATTAACTCTCGTTTTTTGAGTGAATTCCCCCCAACCATTCCCCTTTGTAAATCCCTCTTCATTTGTAGTTGACCGTAATTGTGCGCTCGTACTTTCACAACAGTAGGTACGCTACGCCCTGCACCGACCTGCTGCTCCGCTGTGTGAGAAGTACAACTACCGGGGCTAAGGGGGCCGAACAAAAATTGGGGACGAGGGCCTGCATGTTGAAACACCCCGTCCTTGCTGTTCTCTTTGACACCAATAAAGGTCGGGGCGTGAAGATGTTTCTCGATTTTTCCTTCCAGCCTGCTTGTAAGTACGTGAACCTACGACTGAGTTTTTTTCCTCCTCGTCTAACAACCATATACCATACGTGATGTGCCGATTATGATTATCGAATAATGATACGTGAGAGCTACTACTGCGCTTTCTCGGTTGCTGTTTTCGTTGCGTCCTCGTTGAAAAAAAGAAAACGTACAACAAAATAGTGAACCAAGCTGTTGTACTTACCTACGATACATCGTCGTCGCTGTCTGTTGTACTGCTTGACCGCCCTCGGTCTTCGTACTGGTTTCTTTCGACAGACCTAATTTTTATTTCGCCTGCTTTTATTCGTTTTCCGTTTCGTCCACCTCAAGCACTTCTCGGTGTTGTACCCAGGTAAAAGTAACCCTTTTATCATCTCGACGGAGCAACAAGGAGCGGGCCCGTGCTGTCAACTCTTTCGGTGGTGAGGACTGGTCTTCGTGTGATGAAAGCGGATCGTTGCGTATTCGTTATCGTGCGTACTCTTCTTCGTACAGGATGATTTTAGCAGGCTGCGGCCGCAGCCTGCTAAAGCCGTGAGGTCGTCGTGCAGTGCCGTGAGGCACATCTGTCTTGCGTGCGCAAACGTTCACCGGAAATTCCTCTATATAGAATGACTATAATATACCCATGCAACTATGTTGACAATTCTAACAGAGACATGTACATGCTGAGTAGAAAAAACCCGTCCCATACTAAACAGATGTATCATTTTCGCTTTGTGCTTCCCCCTTTTGCCCCTTCATGAAACAAGTAAGAGAGAGGACGCAGTAAGCTACTTATTTTATTTCTTATGCGGAACAACGTCGACAATTTTGCGCTTGCCCCTAATATGTAAGCTTAATTGACTTTGACGCTCCTTCATTCGGGGTTTCGAACGCCATGTACTGGGTTCCTCTAGGCAGCACCTAACCCCACCTCTGTCGCAGCTTTTCCGAAATAATGTTTGACGAAAGAAAGCAGCGTCATGACCAAGACAGATTCTGACTCGGGCTAGCGCTACTGAAGAACCGTTCTCACGAGCAGACGTCCGCACATTGTTAAGACCACCACCTGACGATGAACATGAGAATTTATTGTTCATTCTCGTCAGCAGGACAACCGAGACTCGGAGAAGCATGGGGAAGCCTTGCGTGATTTTCTTGTTCTCGGCCATCGTCGGCAACTACAGGATGAAGCAGGACGAGCAGATGAATAAAAAAAGGACGACCACTCTTTCTCTAGCGTGACCCGTGGTCAGCCAGACCGAAGAATCTTCGCCGGAACTTCCACAGCGGAGGGAGTCCTCAGTAAAAACTGCGGTGGAAAAATTCTAGGTTGAGGTGCGCTTTTACTCAGGATAGTAAGTACATCACAATGGGTAACTACGCGTCGCAGGTCGACGAGTGCAGATCGGATGGCCTCTTTTGTGGCAGCGGATTTGGACGGTCCTGCACTTGGTATGAGTGCTTCGACGCGGCGCGCGTCGACTCTCCAGGAGACGAGAAATTTCCCTGTACACACCGTCATGAAGACAACAATTACTACCGCTGGAATGAATGCGAAATTCTGTCCAGAGTGTTTCTGGAGGGTACAGAAACAACAGAGCATAAACTTACGGACCTCGTGAACAAGTGGAAAGATTGGTATAATGACCCCGAGTTTACAGTCAGCGGTACCAGCGCCAGTGCGGCCGCGGCATCATCATCATCATCATCATCGTCGTCGTCGTCGTTTCTGGACAAGTCGACGCAGGAGATCTCTAACGCGGCACAGGCAAAACAGCTTCGCAGCACGGCCTCGCGGATGTCCTTCCACGAATCTGACACGAATCCGGTGAACGGCGGAAATGAGATAACTTTTGCTCAGGCACTGCGGTACTGCCAGATAGAGTGCGACGCAAAGTATGATGAAGCTACTGGCTCCGCATCTCAGAATAGATGCGCCGGCTTTCAGCTGAAGCTCCCGGGACATAATCCAACTTTCGACAATACAGAGTGTGTCTTTTTCGGGGGAGAACTGCCACCGAGCGATTCGGAGATTCTCTCTTCGTGGCAATCTATCGCAAATGGGAAGTACAGCGTGACGACCAATGACTATTTTACCGACAGCATCAATGTATACCAAGACGTTGCACACCTCTCGTCCAACCCATCTGCTACGGTTCCGTTCGTGAACACCGGGCCGCAATTATGCAGGTGAAAATGACAGAGACAGCACTTACACCTCCCGAGAATGAATACGATCCTGCGTGCAAAAATATTGCTGCAGCTGCGCAAGAAGATGATAGATAGAACAGCACTGAATTTTTAATACGAGAAAAATCGATACACTAAATTGTATCTTGCGCGCGGCGGGCCTGATTTTTTTTCAGATGCTAGTTTGGGTGAACACAGAATGCAGCAATTTCTTACTGCTACATTCAAACGACTTTTCACTGCGCCCCGCTACAATGATTTCTCGCTCGTACTCTAATTGTTCTCGCGTCTGAGATGAAGCAACAGGCGTCGTGGCTTGACGAGGAAATAACTCTGCGCAGCGAGAAAAACCCATAAAAATAGTTTTTGGACATGGCAGCTGTTGTTCTTGCTCGCGAGGAGATCAGTGTCTGGGGAGGTGGGAAGTTGTACTAGTCTTTTCAAAGTCATAATCCAGCCCGGTGCTGTACGCATTTGTGCGGTTTGCAGACGACTCGAAGAGCTTGTATTTGCAGCGGAAGAGAGAACTCTCACTGGACAAGACCGCGGACGGCCACTGGAACTGCGGCGGCCCGACCATCATGGGCAACCAGCTGGCGCTCGACCAGATGAGCCCGGGGAGTGCGCCACCTGAGTGCTGGGGTACCGGCACCAGTCACTTTGATCCTCTGTCCACCTGTGACAGCGCCAACGCAGAGCACTGCAAGGCCGTAGCAAACTCGGAAATCTACGTGCCGTGTGGGGACGCGAATGCAGAAACTTCGTGCGCAGCAGACGAAAAGTATGTGGAACAGTGTAAAGAAGGAAGCCGAAGTAACTCCATCAACGACAGCAACTTCTGCGGTACTGGCCAGACTTGGGACCACAATGTTTCTTGTATCATCCAGAAAGAAGCTAGCATATCGAGTGATGTCTAGATGATTGTTGTATACCGTACAAGAAAGGACAACAAAACAAAGCCGGGCGGTATGGAAAAAAGGCCCATGTTCTTGCGGCAACGCTGTTTGTAGTTGACCTACACGACAGAACGACGTTTGATTTCATAGTTCTTTGCGAAGAACTTTTTTATTAGCAAATTTATTGATAAAAAAGTTACTTACAGTTACACCCGTGGTATGTTTGCTTTTTTCGTCGGTATTCCTTGTTGCAAAGACTACTTCGTCCAGGTCCGAACCATCAGCGCCGCCCGCGGAGCGCTGACCCCGGGCATGGAAATAGCCCTGGACGAGGACGAAGGCGCTGGTGGTGGCCTCCACTATTACATCTCCGTGCCGCTCGCTCTCGCCGGCACTTACCCAGCCAACTATGATTCTTGTTTCCTAGCACACGATGATGACACTACGCCCCAGGCCACGTTTAAGATTTTCGTGACGATGACAGACGCGGCGCAGAACGTTGGAGGCGTAGGAGTGCAGCTCTGGGGTGAAGTGCGCTCGGAAGGCGCCTCAAATGAGGTGCCACTTTCGCAGCAAAATTCTTTCTGCGTCCGTATGACAAACCCAGCAGATGGCTTACTAGTAGGAGGGACTGCGAAGGAGTATTCGTGGATTCCCGCGAGTACATCTTGGGCGTCGGCCGAGCCCGGCCTCTTTTTCGTTCTACCAAACCCGGGGGTCTACACACTAACCATCTTTTTGCGGGAACCTGGGCTATGCAGTGCAACTAGGTTGTCTGGGTCTGAGACTACATCATTGCCAGGTGCGCGAGGAGCGAATACTATCTTATGTCGCTGACAAGCATTCTTGAAGGGCGCTCAAAATGATAAACCTGTAGTGCAGCTTTCGCGTGCAGTCCAAACTGTTACCATTTACCTTTACTTGGTCCACCATCCAAAAGATGCATGACAATAAACAAGTATGAGTATCAGCGTCGTCAGAATAATACTATTGCAGACCCAGACATGGTTGCACTGTATAGCGGTCGCAGCTAAGAACGTTGACCCTTGGAGGAAACGCGGCGTACTTTCTGGAGCCTAATGACGTGAGCGAAAACCCCGTCACGGCGACGTGGCCCACGACCAGTCTATGACACAGAAAAATATTAGAGCTGACAGGTGTACAGGATCGTAATAAAACCATTCCATTTTTCCATGCATAGAAGAAAATCGGAGCGGACGCTCCTGCTGATGCAGGAAGATTCAAAAACTTGTAGTTTTCCGCTTGTACTGCTACTGGAGAGTTTTCCATGTTCATGCATGTGAACATTATGTATGAGGCCAAGAGGCGGAGTTTCATTCTTGATGGAATCCGCCTTCTTCTATTGGCCGCACGCGCATGCGGATCAAGACAAGGCATGCACGCAGGAGGTTTTGGACCATCTTACCTTCCGATTAAAAACATAAGCATGTTGCAATGTGCTGCTAGAACAAGTTGTACAACAGTATTAGATTATTCAAACAGCGACTGTGTCAACACAGCAGCGAAAAAGAAGATGATAGAACAAAGTGAACAAGATAGCTTTGGACGATCATTGCAGCTGCCAGCAATAAGAGTTTCTTGTTGATAAAAAACCAGCTCCACCACCGATGCGAACTCGTGCGGGGCTTTTGTGGAGCAACAAGGTGCAGATGGCATCAATCTCGAGCAGGAGTGCGAAGTGAACCTCTGTGGGGTACTCTTTCAAAACCCAGACAAAAGGGTCAACCCCAGCAAGTTATTTTTGTCGGAGGACAAGAAATCGACGGAAAAAGACCGCGTCTCCACGTGTTGCGAACCGACTTCGCATGATACTTGCCCCACCACCACTACCACGCCCGCCCCCGTCCAGACCTGCTATGGACAGAAAAAAGTTTGGCACAGTTACTTACTATTTTGCAGGTTTTGATGCATTCAGAAAACTTTCTAGCGCCGCACCTTTGTCTTATATTGCAGAAACACGAATAGGAAGAAAATCACGTAAGTGAAGATGCATGACGATGCATGATTTTTCTATTGCAAGATCACCGATCGATGAGTGATCTTCGTGGCGAACTTTTTTTGTTCGATACCAGCAGCGAATTTGACAGTGGAGCTGCCGAAGATGCGAAAATCGAGAAGTTGTGCTGGAACCACAGGTGTAGTACCTTCAACCCACATGCACCACTCTCCGCCGGAGGACAAGATCACTTGGACGAGCAAGCAAAAATCGCTAGTTGTTGTTCGGACTGTGCTCAAGACGATGTCGATGAAAATTGTGGGACTGCTAATGCTGTGATTGGGGGACAGCACATGGTTCAACACGCGTGCGAGACACACGGCTGCAACGTGGACGCAATCCAGTGGGGCGTCATCCTCCCCGATCGCTCGGAGGAGAGTATACTGGAGCATTGCTGCACGCAGTGTGCCGAAGAAGGATCAATGACGTGCGGGGAAGTTGAAGACGGGATAAGCAACAGCGCTGACAAGATTTCAGAGCTGTGCTCGTCAAACCAATGTGACGGTCCTGACGGGAATGGGGTAGTAAACAATGTCAACCGGACTGCAATACTCCCCGACCCCAGCTCGGACCAGAGCAAACTCGAACACTGTTGCGTGGGCTGTCCGACGGAATCAAGCAGCACGGAACCGCCCACAACTCCGACCCCTCCGATGTCAGTCTGTACCGAAAAGAACAACAAAGAGGACTGCAACGCCGCGACGTCTGAAGAGGACCACTGTGTGTGGACGCAGAAGAAGCAACTTGGAAGCGACGGCTCGTCCTGGGAGGACGTAGGGGGCGGCGCGGCCGAACTCAGCTGTGTAGACTGCAGTGAAATGGATGGCAAGACGGCAGAAGAGTGCCATTCTTTCTCCAGCGACAAGTGCGTGTGGGAGCCGCGCAGCAGCCTTTGCACTGCACCGGAGAAGGAGGAGACCACGCCGGAGCCTTCTTCTAGTAGTAGTTCCACCACGACGACAACCACGGTGACCAGCACGACGACCACGCTTATCAAATGCAAAAACGTTTGGGTCTGGAAGAATGCAAGTTTGTAATGCTTGTCTGGCATGACTCGAAAATCTGTGTTGCATGGGCACGAAAAGGCCCTCTTACCTGTCATGCGAAAACGCAGTTTGCCATTCGGAATACATAAGACATGGGAGCCAAAAAAATTATCATGCATAGCTGCGTATTGCAGTAGCAGTGCGTCTACCAATCAGTTTTAGCATTACAAGTTTCCAGACCTAGACATATTTGCAATGCATAACGCTAACGCAGATAGAAACGAACACCACTGGTCCGCCGGTCAACGCGACCACGGGCCCGCTGCTCCCGCTGCCCACCGACCTGGATGCCGACCTGGATACGGGGGGAATCTATCCTGAGTAAAAACGTACCCACACCATAGTCAAGTTGGGGAATCGGCTAGACAAATCCACAAGTTTTGGCTGTTTTGCATGACAAATTTGGATTCGTAGTGTAGTGCTGTTTGAGCTAGCTCAGCAGCATCACAGATCTAGCATACCATCGTGATTGGAGCATGACAAATTGCAAAACACGATTGGAGAATACTTCTCATGGGGCTCCGCATGAGAAACATTTTCAGCATGCAGATTTGCATTACAACTCTGGTGTGGGTACGTTTTTACTCAGGATAGAATCCTGGTTCTCATCATCGCCGTCATTGCCGGCGCGCTCCTCCTATCAAATGCAAATGAATATGTCTGGGTCTGGAAAGATGCGAACATGTGATGCTGTTTTTGGATTCTAAAAAGATCTGTGTTGCATGAGCAGCAATAGAGGAGTTAGTTCTTGGCACGCGGAGAGGGCACTTCTCATGCGTAACTAGCATCAAGAAGCTCTCAAAAAATCTGTCATGCTAGCACCAGCAGCACGATCACAGACCTTACGGGTGATGCAAAATGTGCATGAAAAGACCCAGAGCAACATATTTGCAGTGCATACCTGCTTCTCCTGGGCGGCCTCGCGTTTTTCTGCCTCTGCTCGGGAGACTATCAGAATGAAAAATCTCCCCTCCCCATATCAAAATGAAGTTTCTGATGCTGGATTTGCGTACACAAATCCTATTTGTCTTGCTGGCGAGGACTGCAGGCCCATACTAAGCCTGAGTAGACGCGTTTTGGCCTAGGCGCTTAGCATGACAGACGTCTGCGCTGTCGGTGCAACAGCATGACAAACCGCCTGTAGAATGCGGCGGAGCCTGTGGGGTTGCCTTCATGCAACACAGAGACGATTTGTGGCCATAAATCAGCAACACAAATTTTCGAAAACGTGCCTTGTCAATGTGGGGAGCGAGGGGGGATTTTTCCTTTTGATAGAGACCCCACGGCGACCAGCGCCAACGAGTCGCAGGGGACCGCCCTCCTCGGCGGCGGCCCGAAGGGAAAGGGCAAGGGCAGCAAGGGCAACATCGCGAACGTCATCATTCTATCAAATGCAAAAATGTCTGGGTCTGGAAGGATGTAACTTGTGATGCGCATTTCAGAACACACAAAAATCTCTGATGCATAGGCAGCAAGAGCTAGAGCTGCTCACTTTCTGTCACCAAAGTGGGGGATTTGTCATGCGGATTCGGCATAATTGCGGAAGCTTCTCGAAACCTGTGATGCTAGGGCTTCCATGCCAGACCTTCTGTGTCATGCAGAAACAGCATGACTTCTCTTCCAGACCCAGACACTTTTACATTTGATACATTCAGCAAAGGAAGAGCGCCCAGATCAACGCGTCCGCATCAGCAAAGGGGACCATAACACCAACAGACGGAAATAACTACGCAACCGTCCCTGCGACGGGCGCGCCTGTAGTCACTCTGGAGGCGCCGGACGAGAAGACAAGCTCTGCCGGCCAGGGCAGGAGAGCGGATATGCAACAGAAAAGTAATTGTAGTACACCCATAAATTGATGAAGTACTTGCTAACCAGGAATAAAGGTGGAAATGGAAAACAAATTTATTTTGCTGCGTGCCTGTCACGAAAAACTCTGTAAAGTGGCAGAAATGTTGTTGACCACGACAGAGAGGCAGTTTTGGTTTCGATTTTCTGAGACGTGCAGGATGCGTGTTGTATAGTATGGTTTAGCCAGCGACTGATATTAGAGCGGCACCAAATACACGGTTTGTCATGCTGAGCAGCAACACAAGCTTGGTAGGGGAGGAGGTGTGCCTTTAATTTTCTGTTGGATAATCTCGAGGAACAAGGGGAATCGGTCGGCGGCTTCCACCGAACAAGCTACCGGTGGTTCGATGACGGGGAACAAAAGTCTGAAACGCAGTTTACTGAAGAAACAGGCCTTATGCATTGCAAATATCGAAGATCTTTGTGTGGGTCTGGAACTGGCATTCTTGTCATGCAAGAAGTTTTCAAGGACAGCAAGTGCAGCAAGATCTGCGCCGCTTGAATACATACAAGTCGCCAGCTTTTATTTTGTCCTCCGGCTGTGAATAACAATACACTCACACGCAGTGAAGTCTCATTCGTTTTGATGATTTCGCGGATGAATGATCCACAAGAAGCCGCGCACATGAAAAATAACTTCCGATGCTGTAATGTAAAGATCAAATTCTGCACAATGACTAGCGGCTTGAAGAATACCCTTTGATGGTGCGAGCCTCCGCAACACAAATGTCCAGGCGTCCACAGAGAATGAGTAAAAATATTTGCGATGCATAGTCCTCCAATGTAAGCATGGGGCGGAGCGGGCGGCAACGTGAACAACGCAAAAAGTCGAAAATAGCGGGAAACAGCACGCTAAACAAGGCGGATTTTCTCCGCGAGACGGCGGCCTATAAGCAGGCGCAGACTTACACCCCGCAAAGTCCCGAGTCCATGGACCGCTTCTCGGACCAGTTTTTGCTGGGTCCCGAGGGCCAGGCGAGCCCCCCAGCGGGTCCGACGATACTTATCCTGAGTAAAAACGTACCCACACCAGAGTCAAGATGGGGATTTTGCAACACAAACCTAGGAGTTTTGGGACTCACGCATGACAAGTTTCTGTTTGTAAGGTAGTGCAAGTTAGTAAGGGAAGCCGCATCACAAATCGACCTGCTGATCCTGTTCACAGCATCACAAATTCCAAAACACGATTGGAAATGGGTCTCATCGGGATGCGCATTACAAATGTCTTTGTCATTGCAAATCTGCATTACAACTCTGGGGTGGGTACGTTTTTACTCAGGATAATACTGGAGGGAGATTCATCTTCGGCGTCGTTTTCATCTTCTATATCCGAGTCGGAGAATAGTTTTTCGTCCTCTCCTCGCAGTAAATCGTCCGGTGGTTTCTCTGCCCCGGCAGATGAACTACTACCAGGCGAGAATTACACCAAGAACCGCAGGAGGGACAGTCGCTCCTCTAATCATATTGAATCTGCACCACGAGGACCTCCTGGTGAAGATAGCGATGTTGGCGATCACGACGTGGTCGCGGCTCAACTAGAACAGGGGAAGTCCTCCTCCCGCCCGGAGATGACCGCGCAAAACGGAGATATTAGTAGAAGAAGGAGCAGCAAGAACAGAACACATAGTAGTCGTATTTCTTCTCGTGCGGAACCGGAGCAGGAGAATGGTCATGCTGCTATAGAAGCAGCGCGTTCAGATGAAGGACCACAAGAGGAGCCACCTGCTTCTTCGGGTAGTAGTTCCGATGTAGAAAGTTCATCTTCCAGCGAGGATGAAATACGAGCCAATAGTAAAAATACCTCTGAGTCCGAAGAGGAAGATGAAGAAGATCCGAAAGACAACACCTTCCTTCTCAGACGACGCTAGGAGTGCACAAGTTCTTCGTGGTCTGATACTAGGTACTTTCGGATACACTTCTTGCGAGGTGATCCAATTCCAATTCCATGTAGTACATCCATCTTTATTACCTTTTAGACATAGTTTTATCCTCAGAAGAATACTAATAATTTGAAGTTTTTTGGACCGCTACAAATCAATGAAAATTTTGTAGCTCATCCGATCTTCGGACCAGTTTTTGCTGGGTCCCGAGGGCCAGGCGAGCCCCCCAGCGGGTCCGACGGTACTGGAGGGATATTCATCTTCGGCGTCTATCCTGTGTAAAAACGTACCCACACCAGAGTTGTCATGCAAATCTGCATGCTTAAAATGTTTGTCATGCGGAGCCCCATGAGAAGCATTTTCTAATGGTGTTTTGAAATTTGTCATGCTTCAATCAGCATGAGAGACTAGATCTGTAATGCTGCTGAACTTGCTCAAACAGCATTACACTACGCGTCCAAATTTGTCATGCGAAACAAGCAAAGTTGGCCGATTTGTCTAGCAGATTTTCCATCTTGACTCTGGTATGGGTACGTTTTTACACAGGATAGCGTCGTTTTCATCGTCTATATCCGAGTCGGAGAATAGTTCGTCGTCCCCTCCTCGCAGTAAATCGTCCGGTGGTTCTATGACGTCCTCAGGTTGTAAATCTGAAATTTTTCCAAAAAAAAAACTAGCTACTTAGCTAGGTGAGATTTTATCTATCAAAACTAGCTAGCTTAGGAGGAGTGGGCTCGTGGTCTCCAGCTGCGTCTCGGAACGGTCTCGACGCCAAGCTACCGCGCCCGTCCTTGTCCTCCACATCGGCTCTTGCACGACCTACGGCGAGGGAGGTGAGCACGCACGGAAAGATTTCGTCCTCAGAATGTACACGCCCCCCGAGGGCCCCCCCCAAGACGACCCCTTTTGGCGTGCCGGGCGACCCCCGTCTGTCCTGGCTCTCCAGAAATCCGTGGCGGCAAAAGGGGCACCTGTATGCAGTGGACACACTGCAGACCTTAGGGAAACAGACGTATGTCCTCAAGGCGTTGGCAGATAAAATAACCCCGGCGGCGACCAGAACAAGGAAAAAAAAAACGATGAAGAGCGAAAGGAAGACCTGTAGAAATGCAGCGCTGAGCCGGTGCGCGACGATACCGAAGACGAGGAACAACCGATCTAGCTACTGCCCCAAAGGATAGCTTACGCATCAAAATTAGCTAGTTTTTTTTTTGGATTTTTTTCAAATTTACAATCTGAGGACCTCATAGGTTCCTCTCCTGCCCCGGCAGATCAAATACAATCTGAGGACCAGTTTTTGCTGGGTCCCGAGGGCCAGGCGAGCCCCCCAGCGGGTCCGACGATACTTATCCTGAGTAAAAACGTACCCACACCAGAGTCAAGATGGGGATTTTGCAACACAAACCTAGGAGTTTTGGGACTCACGCATGACAAGTTTCTGTTTGTAAGGTAGTGCAAGTTAGTAAGGGAAGCCGCATCACAAATCGACCTGCTGATCCTGTTCACAGCATCACAAATTCCAAAACACGATTGGAAATGGGTCTCATCGGGATGCGCATTACAAATGTCTTTGTCATTGCAAATCTGCATTACAACTCTGGGGTGGGTACGTTTTTACTCAGGATAATACTGGAGGGAGATTCATCTTCGGCGTCGTTTTCATCTTCTATATCCGAGTCGGAGAATAGTTTTTCGTCCTTTCCTCGCAGGAAATCGTCCGGTGGTTTTATCACATGAGAAACATCCTCAGCTGCATTTTTCCTCATAGGGCAAAAAAAATAAATTCACGCATATTTGTAGGTCAGAACTCAAGGCGTGCAGCATCGCCCAAGCGGAAAGCAATTCACGGCAAGTTCGGAAATTATGCACCTGCTGTTTATTTGTGAGTGATGGGATTGCTTTGAAAAAGAGGACTCATCGCGACGGTATGGCGCTGAAAAGCATGGCCAAGAAGTGCCTCAGTTGGCCAAAATTGTGACTGGGACCGTCGAGGCTGTAATGCGGAGAAGGCAAAAAAGATGCTTTTTTTGCAAAAAAAAGCTGTTTTTTTGATCAAAATCCTTGGGATTTTGACGTCCGAAACCTTGCTATGAGTACTCATTTTTTTTTGCTATGAGTACAAATAACTTCCCCGACGGAGTTCTGGATCAGAACTCTCTCACAAAGCAGCTCATTTTGATGCTATAGGTCATAGCTTTTCCTAGGGTCAGGAAGGAGAGTGAGTACAAATACGGTAGCAGTGGGAGAGGCTTTTTTTGCATTCAATTCCCGATGCTATGGTGGCCCCACAGGGTCACTTTTTTGCTCAAACGCGACGGCGTGCTGTTTTTCTTTTTGCACTGCCGCCGTGATTGGCTTCAATTGGTCTGCTTTTCGTATCCCAAACACCATCGCAATGCAGCCTGATAGATGGAGGCTGTACCCTATCCCGGAGAACCTGCTGAAAGAAGGGTGGGCCCGGTTCTGATACATAAAAACCTGCGCAATTTTTTTGGCGCTATGAGGAAAAATACGGCTGAGGACTTTTCTAGTTTGATAGCCTCTGCCCCGGCAGATGAACTACCACCAGGCGAGAATAGTTTTCCTCGCAGGAAATCGTCCGGTGGTTTTATCTCTGCCCCGGCAGATGAACTACTACCAGGCGAGAATCATACCAAGAATCGCAGGAGCAGGGAGAATAACTCCTCTAATCATATTGAATCTGCACGAGCACCTCCTGGAGAAGATAGCGATGTTGGCAATCACGACGTGGTGGCCCAAAAACAGGAAAAGTCCTCCCGCCCGGACGAGACCGCGCATGGAGATATTAGTAGAAGAAGGAGCAGCAATAACAGAATACATAGTAGTCGTATTTCTTCATCTTCTCGTCCGGAGCAGGAGCATGTTCATGCTACAACAGAACCAGCGCGTTCAGATGAAAGACCACAAGAGGAGCCTGCTTCTTCGGGTAGTAGTTCCGATGTAGAAAGTTCTACATCTACTTCAAGCGAGAATGAAATACGAGCCAATAGTAAAAATACCTCCGAGTCCGAGTCCGAAGAGGATGACGAAGAAGATCCGAAAGACAACACCTTCCTACTCAGACGACGGTAGGAGTAGAGAAATTCTTCGTGATCTGATACTAGGTAATTATTTTTCGGATTTATACACATGCGAGGTGATGGATCCAATTCCAATTCCTTGTAGTACATGCATCTTTACCTTTTAGACATAATTTTATCCTCAGAAGAATACTAATACTTTGAAGTTTTTCTTTTTTGGATCGCTACATATGAAAATTTTGTAGCTTATTCGATCTTCTTACGCGACCTCTTCGGTTGAGAAGCAAACCGAAGGTGTTCGTATTATTATTCATCTGAGCAGTAAGAACCCACATAATTTTAGAAATATTTCACCCATTATCCGACCCCAGTTATTAGTTCTAAAACGCAAGCCCCTATAATTTTTCCTATCGAGATAAAATCCAGGTTCATCGAGAAGTCACGCGTCTTTCTTTGCACAAGTACGTACTTGCTAAAGACTGATGAGTGACACTTTGAACATATGGATTTTTTTGTGTCGCAGTGATGAAGAAAACGGACCCGCTTGATGTCTTCGCGTTAGAATCTTCGACTTGATGTACTTACTATCAGTGGCTGTTTCGTGATTTTTGTTTTTTACGATAATGGTCGTTTCTGTCTACTGGTCGTTTATGATTCCCGTGCGATTTTTTTGAAAGTGGGACCAACATCTTCAGACTGCCGACTCTGAGGTGGACCGACCCCCAGTTGTGTTTTTATTTTTTTTTAGGAACCGAGCAGGAACAGGAAGGCAGACCGAGTCGCACAGTGTTATGCTAATGTAAGCAATCCTAAAAATCTGTGCTGTGGTGTCTTTTTCCTTTTCTCCAGAACTACATGAAACGCAATCGGACCCAACATTTTTGACATCCCCTTTTTTTTTGCTGAATTTGAATTCCATTCCAATTGCTGTACAATTTAGATTTTCACGCTTTCGATTCGTATCTGCTTTATCAATTACCGCCTGCCTCTCGCATCCAACTTGCTTTCTGCGTTGTCAAGCGGGGGGGGCAACTTCTTCCCGGGCGTCGTGATCGTGTTCGTCACCCGTGAAGGAACGCAGTCACAAAGGTCTCATCGTGCTCCTTTTGGTTTCACCGGCCAAAAATTTTTCACCGAATGAATAAAGATGAAGAAGCATTTTCTTCGTGTCGTGGTTCTCACTAAGCCCGGCGTAGTTCTTCTTCTTGCACAAGACACACAGTTGTAACAGTTGCAATGCAATAAATTTCGTCATGCGCAGCTGTTGAGGCGATAAATGAAGTGATTTATTTTCGCGTCGTTTGTCCTCGTGGCTTTGGTTTATTTTCGTCCGGTTGATGATCGTTCAAGGTTCAAAGAGCTCCTTGTTTCTCTCATCGTGCGTCCTTTTCTTCGTGTAAATCCTCCCTTGTGCAGGCTAACAAAGTGAATTTTTCAACTATCGTGTCGTTCTCACTGAACAAAAGCAACCACTAAGTGCATCGTCATGCCTACTTTGGACACTTCTATTCCAGACACTATCAGTAAAGGCACAGGCTTTGATTATCTGACGAAGTCGTTGCCCCGTGAAAAATTCAATTCGAGGAAGGTGTAGTTGTATTAGGAGCCCCTTCTTCGTCTGCACGGGAAACTGCACGTAAAGAAAAACGCAGCTGATGGCTAAATTACTCCCCTGTATTTGTACCACTACAAAAACCGCCTCTTCGAGTAAGTACTTGATAGTTATTTCTCAGGTACAACTAGTGCTTCGTAGTTGTCTTCTAGTATGAGTAAGAAGATGAAAAATAATTCAGACCCAGACGGGGGCCGTAGAGATATTGAAAAAGTCAAACCACCTAAGTAGCGGAACACGCTTAAAAACAAACAAAGCACTCGACGAAAATGGGCAACGACAATTCCACGCCGGAGCAGACGGAGGAGGCGACAACCCAGGCGCCCCCCACGGATCCGTGGGGGATTTTGAAGTCGAAGCTGTGCCTGAACCTAGCGGACATTCAGTTCGTGCACACGCCGCTATCCAAGGCCCACAGCCCGGACGTGCCGCCCTTCTTCAAGATTTTGAAGTGTACCTGCCCCTACCTGGCGCTGCAGCCGCCGGCGACGTGGCGACCCCGCCAGTCCGGCTTCGATCCGGAGCCCACGGTATCAATTGCATAAATTATGTCATTTGGGTTTGGAAGTTGTAGAGTGGAACTTGTGATGCTGACTTTGGATCCTTCTACGAAAAATTGTGTTGCGTCAGCACAAAGAGAAGTAGTAGTCCAGTTTTTGCTACAAAAAGAGTTTTTTTTTTCTGATGCGGTATGGGCATCAGGTTCAGGATCAGGAAGTGATAACAAAATCTGTGATGCTAGTCATCACAGACATCATGGGTCAACATGCAAGACATGCATGACAAGTCTTGCAATCATCTTCCAGACTTCGGACCACCCAGATGACAACATATTTGCCGTTGATACGCGGATTGTCTGCGCGTGTGCGCCGAGAAGTTTTGCACGCAGTACGGCGCCGGCAACATGTGTACGAAGTGGGAGGAGTGCACCGGCTTCTTCGACACCGGCAAGATGTGCCAGTTTTACGCCCAAAAACTTCCGACCACGTTGGAGGAGAACGAATCCATATCAATTGCAAATATATCTGGGTCTGGAAATAACTTGTGATGCTAATACATGCATCACAAACTGACTCCAATACGCAGCCACGCATGAGAAAAAAATTCTGAGCGGTTACTTATGCAGTGCGTAACCCGCATGAGAATTCGCGTTTTGCCTGACAGAGGGTTGGCGTTATAATTCCACGACATGCATTACAGAGTTCACGTTCAGGGGCATGCGGATTCAGCAATACACGACATCTCGCAATCTCCCAGACCGAGACACATTTGCAATGCATAAGCCAACGCGAAGAGCAACTTTGACGCCATGCAGGAGCTGTCGCAACAACAACTACAGACCTCCCAATATGGAGTTCTCACACGTTACATTCTCAACTGTTACATGAATTTGTAATGCAAGACTGGCAAAAGTGAAAGCAAAGGAGGACGATTGCGCCTTTTGCATTACAAGTTTGGCGCAGATTTAGATGCTGTTTAGCTCTTCCGAAATTTGTCATGCGAAGCAGCTCGATCATCTGCCGGCTGCAGGCACTTTTGCATGACAAATTCATGTAACAGTTGAGAATGTAACGTTTGAGAACGCCATACCCAACAGGTCGCCAGAGCAGGGACGAGCTCCGACGGGGGAGCGGTTGGCGAGAACGACGCCAGCGCCTATCAAGTGGTATGCAATACAAATACGTCTGGGTCGTGGAAAGGTGGAACTTGTAATGTGCATTTCACAGCACACCAAAATCTCTCATGCATAGACAGCAACCGCTGCCCATTTTTGTCATCCGAAAAATAGGCGATTTGTCATGCGAATTAGGCATCGGTGCTCCTCCACCTCAAAATCTGTAATGCTATGCCCCGCATGCCAGACCTGCTGGGTCATGGAAAAACAGCATGACAAAAATCTGCATCCTACTTCCAGACCTAGACATATTTGCAATGCATAAGTGGACGAGGAGGTGAATTATAGTAATAGTAAAGCCGCCTATAATTATCCGATGGGCACTAACATATTACAGTGAAAAGTGCCCCCCACCCCTAAATTGCAAAAATTTGTGATGCGAAGTTTCCAAATGAAAACTTTTTGTCATGCATGAAAGGAGTATGAATCTTTCTGATGCAGAGTGTAGGCGTGTATCGCATCACTTGCATGACAAGCGCCGCTCTTGCTTGGGTCTTTTGCAATACAAAACTTTGCTACTCACGAGTGAAAATCTGTGATGCTGATAGATGCAAGACGGCGAATGTTTCATTTGGAAAGGTTTGCAATACAAATGCTCCCAAGTTCGGGGGTGGGGGCATTTTTCATTGTAATATATCATGCGTCGTGTTCTTCAACAATGGGCACAAAAAAAAACAACTACGATATCCTGAGTAAAAACGTACCCACACCAGAGTCAGGATGGGGATTTTGCAACACAAACTTAGGAGTTTTGTGAGTCACGCATGACAAGTTGCACTCTGGAGTGTAGTGCAGGTTAGCAAGTGCAGCCGCGTCACAGATTCATCTGCTCATCCTGTTCACAGCATCACAAATTCCAAAACACGTTTGGAAATGGCTCTCATGTGGATGCGCATTACAAGTCTTCCTGTCTTTGCAAATCTGCATTACAACTCTGGTGTGGGTACGTTTTTACTCAGGATATACGAGCAGCAGCAGTAGTCTCGAAAACAAGGGCACCAGCACGACCGGTGGATCATATCCACTCTTCGTCGGACCAGAAGAAAAAAAGGCAGAAGCAGAAGAAGATGAGCCTAACCTTGAAGACACCCCTCTTCCTGATGCCGAGGACGACCTCGAGGACGCTCCTGGTTCTTGGAACAACAGCACGTTTTTCCTACTCGACGGCTACGTGTACGACGACGAGACACGGCGGAATCTTAAACCGCCCGCACTGGAGATTTTTAACGAGCACGGGACTACTTCTGCAGCGAAAGTAGGAGCGAGTATGAAAAGAACTACTGCAGTTCCTCTTTCCTCATCAACATCTCATTCGAAAAGAGATGTACGCGGTCACTTAGACAACTATCACGCTTCCTCCGGGAGGACGGCGACCTCCGGACCAATAACTTCAAAGTCGCTGGGCAGCCGCGAAAGTAGGGGAACAAACAGAGGCGAACATCAAGCACTTACTGGAAGTTTCTTGCAGCTGGTGGAAAAAGAAGAACTACTAGTACGAGAAGCAGCTGCACTTCTAGAAAGAACTACCGGCAAGAAGATGAATATTAAACGGGCAGCGGTCGCCGGCAACAGCAACGCGTTGTACGAGGGTCTGTCGCAGGAGGAGAAAGACATTTGGCTCAGCTTTCCCTACTGCGAGCACGGGGCGGACCTGGAAAGGGTGTATATTCGAAACCCGGCCTACGTTCCCCCGGGCGCCGGTGGGGAAAATAAAGCGGAAGCTACCGACGGGGAGAGTGGGGATGAGGGCGTCGGGGGAGAAGGGGAAGAACTACCGGAGAACAAGGATAATCCGGGTGGAACTCCACCCGACGCGCAAAATTCGACGTGGACCGCGGAGGCGATTTCTTCTAAGGAGGACGACCAGCTTTATCCACGGAAAGCATTTTGTTTCTTGACCTTGCTCAAGATGAACTTCTGGAAGGTCGTCCACCTTAACATCTCGTGCATTTATTTTGCAAATCATTTTTTTTTAGCACAATTCCTACGAGGAGGATGCGCAGGCGCAGGTCGCACAAGTGAGAACTTTCACGTAGAAGTTTGATATGCATTGTCTTGTAGCACTAGCCTTACGTGTTAAGTACGTATGCGATTGTCTCTGTCGTCATGTTCTTGTGTTGCTGCCACTTATACAACTTCTACAGACAGACAGTCTGTGCTCAGTCCTGTTCAGATGCTATGGCGTCGCAACCTTCCAGAGCCAGATCGATTTTTCCCATGTATACACTTCCTTCTTCGAATAGTAGCAAGACGACTACCACCACCACCACGACCACCACCACGAGCAGCGCTCTCTTGCTCGAGGAATACCCTGCGCCGGCGCTTGAGGGAGGAGACGGGCAAAATAATAAGACGAACAGCACCCCCGGGGAACAGGAAGACGGCGGTATTCTGGACCAGTGTGGCACACTGCCCATTCCCGGCTACGGCGAGACGCGACTGTTTCCCTTTCTCCTCATCTGCGTGGGTGCGGTATTGGTACTTGCGGGGCTGGGCGTGGCGGTTTGCATAAACTTCGTGTGCGCTGCCGAAGTAGAGGAGGAGGTGGACCAAGTGTGGCATCTCCCTCCAGAGGGGCACGGCTCTTCGATTTTATCCTGTGTGAAAGCTATGTGTCAACAACGCTGGTCCTCCCACTTTTGCTCTATTCGTACGACTACTTCAAGTATAGAGTTTGATGATGCATGGCATGTAGTGTTGAGAGCGCGTAAGAGTGATTTTATGACGCTGGTTCCCGGCGTTCTCCCACTCGTGGGAAGACTAGACAGCATGCGCATGCTTTTTACACAGGATAGTCCTCCAAGAACGCTTCTTACAATCCCTACGGGTCCAAGACTGGCGCCGGTGCGACCAATTTTAACAACCGGTCTCAGAACAACTACGCGTTGCAAAGTGATCAAGTAATGGGGGGGCACGCAGCTCCCGCACACGGGGGACCGCAGCGGCACCACCCGCCCGGCCACCCAGAAACAGCGCACAAGCTGAGTCCTTCCCACGCCCACCCGCACGCCAAGCGGGCCACGGCACACCACGGCAGGTCCACGTCTGCCCGGGCCACCGGGGCTACCCGGCAGGACACAGCGAACACCTTCGCCACACTTTCGTGGAAGGCTACGCCGGGCGGAGCTAGTACTGGAAAGGAAGGTAGCGCACCGGAGGGGAAAGGCACGGGGAAGCACGGAAAGAGAAAACACAAGGGTCTATTAAACTGAAAAGTGCAACTACCCCGCATTGAGACGAAGAAGCGCACTGCAAATCAGCACGGAGCACACGGAAAGAAGGTTTTTGTCTTGATGCATGCCATAGATAAAGGGTGAAAAACGACGATCGGTCCGAATTTGGATGACTGTGAATCAGCAAGCAACCTCCTGTGCAGCTTCAATGAAGCACAAACAGCTTCTGTACGGTGTCTGTGTGCAGTAAGCTGCAATACAGAAGGTTTTCGTGACTTGTTTTGCGTTGGAACTTAGTTGTTCGTGTCGCGGATTTTTATACATGAGAAATGCTTTCTCACTCGGGGGCGGGGGCGCTTTTCAATATGATAGGACGGCGCAGCAGCTGCGGGGACGCATCATCACCACCATCGTGCAGGAGGGGGGTCCAAAAAGGCTTCAACCGTGTCACAATGACCAAGATATAGATGTCTTTTTTTGCGGAACTCGCAATCATGCCAGTGTTTCGTTTAGTAAGTAATTTATCCAATCATACAGATAAACTGCAGCAGCTTTGTTGTCAAACACAAGCGAAGTTGATGTAGTTTATCTCTCCTTGTTACGCACTTGTGGCCTCAACCCTTTTCTGTTTTGGAGGTGGGAAGCATGCGAGAACAAATATCAAAAAATCTATATTTGATTTGCCGTGAGTAAAACGAAGCATGCAATCACGAGAGACTTCTAGCGGCGCGCTGTTCCTGTTGTCAGGGGAGCGGCGTAGGAGCTGTAAATCAATTACGGATTAGAAGTGGCCGTGTTGAATATAGTGTTCGAAGCGAGGGTCATCAGCAACGTCTCCGCGAAAATGTTGCAATCTCGTCATCGCACGAAGAAACAAGCGAAGGGTTACGCTCACTGCCTTCACGTCGTCACGAATAGAGTTTTCTTGCAGGTCTGCTCTGAGGGTTTCACTCTCACCTGTCCCTTCACCCTTTGGTCTGAGGTCCTCGTCGGTTGCACGCAACCTTCTGAAGGATCAAAAACAACCAGAAAAGATCATGTCCACAATCTAAGGCTCAGTTTTTTCCGATCATCTGTGCTTTTTGCGTGCCATGTTGATGGCGCTGGTGTTGCAGTCTCATGCCAGGCTGCGACCATGGAAAAAGATCCGCAACAGAAGTCGCTTTTTAGAACTACAACTACTGTTGTGCGCGAGCTATTCGTAAAAATTTTCGTATGGAAGTTTCATACAGATTGAAATAAAAGACGGTCGGAGAAAATGCTTGGCATTCCTAGTAGGTGTCGAGTTGTCCCCCCTGCCTCCGCCACATGGAGGCATTTTCAGCAAAATGGTCGATACAGTAAATCTTTGCAGCTTTGAACATATTTTCCGTCCCTCATACGGAGCATTTAAAGTGATCCAATAGCAGGAGAAATCCGCTCGATTATAGGGCTCAGTATTTCCCGTTTTTCTGGGTTCTGAGTTCTCGTTACGAGCAATAGAAATTTGTCAGGCCGGCTGTGTTGATGCCGCCGCGCATGACAAACATCGCGCCATACTGAGGCCTAATTACCCTTGGTCGCAATAGAAGCCTCTCCCTTCTACTGTGTTAGACCCGCGGTGACAATGTTCTTTTGGATAGATATTGCTATTTCGACTAAAGGCTTTGACACTATCACTAGTACATTGGAAAAATAATAATGCGCAGCACATCCGTGCAGCGTGGCCAGGGCATATCATGCTTCCTGAAATCCTTTCTGTGTCCGGCACTTAACAGCTCGATTATAGGGCTCATTACATCCCTTTTTCTCTGGGTTCTGAGTTCTCGTTACGAGCAATAGAAATTTGCCAGGCCGGCTGTGCCACGAGCTGCGTCATGCAGTCTTGGTGCCGCTGCGCATGACAAACGTCGCGTGCTGCTTAGGGCTAATTACCCTAGGTCGCAGGAGAAGAGATTCAAAGCCTCCTGTGTTGGTCCCGTGACGACAATAAAAAAGTAGTTTTCATCCCATGTGCACTTTTTACTTTCCAAATGATATCAGCTCGTTTAATATTTCTGCGAGCTCAAGCAGGCGAGCGCTGATCGACGTACAAGGACTGTTCAGACTCTGATGCGCAGGAGGAGCTGCGGGTGAGAACAGGAGGCTTCTGCGTGTCGCTGCTTGGTTGATCGACGTTTCTGTTCAGGGCCGGCAGAGCGAAGAGTATGGGGAACCAGTCGCATTTTTTGAAAATAAGGTGAGAGACAGCTACTACAAGAATCGAGCCCGTGACCATCTTCCAGGAGCCTGCGACGTTGTGTCAACATCTGGGAGGGAGATCAGTACGGGCGTCTGCTCCTGCTGCCTGGAGGGAGCTACATACTTACTCCACTGGTACTCCGCCCAATGAGTTGTAAGTACACGAGAATGGTGTGGTCCAAGTACTGCGCTTGGAGAGTAGCTGCTTTTCACAGTGTTGTGTTGTTCGTGTCGGTCACTGCTGGTGAGAGTGAGAGGTGACTGTTCGAAGGAGACGACTGTAAAGTGGGTCGTTTGATCTTCTCTGTAGGAGGTGTAGTTCACAGAAGTTGAGGCCCCACGACTACGGGCAGTGCCGCTCGCTGGGCCCTGGATGACCTCCGCAGCTTTGAAGGCTTTCCCGTGCATTCCCCGGACCACCGTTCGCTGAGCAGGACGTTTTTCCGCATTTTTCAACTACCCCCGGCGGGCACAGCAACGAACGACGGCGAAACTTACCGCCTTCTCCACCGCGCGTGAAAATCTCCCTCCTGCTTGCGCAGCGCGACATCGTCACTTTTCGAAGTCTTACCGCTTCTCCTCAGCGACAAAGTTAGAGGTCGCACAGGAAAGCACGGTCGCGACCGCTCGGTTTCTGGCTACTTTGCTTCGGCTCAAGTGACGGCGAGTCTTTGAAAACGGTTCTCGAGAGAAAAAAGTTTCACCAGCCCCTGCTACTACTTGTGCAGCAACGTAGTTACGACCTGCGGAAAACGATCTGTACGATGGGTTGCGGTTCTTCGAAAGGCCAGAACGTCGCCCCGGAGCTGACCATGACTCAGGTAGAGGCCTTCGAGCAAGTGTCTTCCGACGACAGCTTCACGCACATTGCGGATCCCAATAGCGGTGGTGGTGGGGGTAACAAGAGCAGTGCGAGAGCACACCAGCAAGGTCCTGCGTCGTCGTCGATCGAGAGGATACAGAAGAACATCAAGTCATCTTCAACTACGGGCAGAACAAAATTATGAACTTGTAAATTAAACAAGCATCGCACCAGAAGTACGAGTAAGAATTGAATCGATTCTTCCGTGTGAAAACGAGCAGAAATGGAAGAAAAGCTGTCATGCAGAAAATGTTTCAAGTGACGTCAAGTGGTGCGATCCAATCCTTTTTCCACAGGATACGAAAGCGGTAGCAAGACTAATGCGAATTCCACGCTCGACCCGGTTGATTCGGAGCACTCCTCAGACCAGCTTTACCAGCAGGAGAAGCGATACGGAATCGGGGCCGGGAACAATGAGGAAGAGGTCATAGACGTGGTCTACAGTACGGAAGAGGAGGTGCAAGACGTGTCGGAGGGACGGCATCACCGGGAACTGCTGGGAGGAGGTGCAGCTGGGTTATCATCAACATCCTCATCTTCGGCAGGAAGTAGAGTTGGTAGTGGTACTAGTACTTCATCGTTGAAGATCGGCGGAGGAAAGAAGATCAAATCCAATATTGTGTTTTCAGACACGAAGAAAACCGCCGGAAATTTGATGTTGCAATAGCGAAGGTTGAAGTGGTTGTGCGATAATGAATGTACTGCTGCCTTATACCGGTGGTGCATTTTTCAACTTCACGTTCATGAGGACGTCGACGTGCAGCAGCACTAGTATAGCTTCAATCGCAGATAGAGATAGGCGCTGTTGTGTAATATGACCGCACAAGGAAAGAACGGTGCGGAACTGCGGCTCGCATGATGAAAAAAAAGTGGTTTCCACCTTCGTGTTCGAGAGGGTTTTTCTGTCACTTTCGTGAAACGAGCATCCACAACTGGGGCAAGGTTGCAAATCATCCACAAGTCGGTCTATCGAGGTCGTTATTCTTGCTCTACCGTTTTCTGTAAGTATAACTGGTGGAAAAACAAAAAGTAAGCTAGTCTGTTGAACTGGTGAAGATGAATTGAGGAATCCTAATGTGAGCTGACACCATCGCATCCCGGATCTGCATCTGCTTCTTTTCGAGAAAAACTTTCTTCACAGCAGCCTGGATAGGATCTGCATTCTCGCTTTCGGCTGGAATCAATGTGCCAGAAATTATGATCGTGGTTGAGCAAGTAGGGGTCTGGTGATTCAGAAAGTATAAGGAGGTTACCTTAACACTTAAGTACTTGCTTCTGTGAGAGAAGATGTTTTTATGCCAGAGCAGAGTGTGTGGCCCAATCTCAATGTAAGTACCTTTCTATTCGAAAAGATAGTCAGTTCTTCTATTACCCCTCTCCTCCCCCAGTAACACGCAAAGAAAAATGTCTCACCACGACGGCGTCGAGAGCTCTCTGTCGTTGGACCTTTTCGGTTATCCGGTTCAAAACCCAACTGCCGTGAATTCGTACTACCTTGCTGTGCTGGAATACAAACCGTTTGCCAAGTGGGGGGAGATATCCATTGTGTAAAACGATAACGAGCGTTGTCCGGGAAAAGTTTACTGGATTGAGATTCATCGTGGATAACGACGACAAGTTGTAGTGTATCCTTGCATGATCGATGGTGTAGTTGGCGGTTTTTGTTCTTGCGCTATCCTCCAGAAGATTTGTTTCCCCCTTCCGACACTGCTCCTACACTCTTTTCCATGCGCAATCGACGGGCACGATTCTAGTGCGGACCCTCTGGTGTTGGCGCTGCAAGCGGATTTCTCCATTTCCTCGAAAAACATGGTCCGGCTGGAAGTCGCAGAAAATGCGGCTTGGCAGGAGGCGGGCAGGCGGTTGGAGGAAGACGCGTCGCCTGTGAAGTCAATGCACCGTGTGCTGTCCTCGTCGTCGAACACGTCCGAAAAACTACATGGTGATGAACAAGTCGGGGACCACGCCAACCGGACACGGCATCAAACTACACGGAGAGCGAATCTTTACCTGCTGGCCATGCACGCGTTTGCGCAGGGAAAATTGCAGGAGGCGTTCGATTATGCATCGCAAAAGAATCTTCCGTACTAGCATATAATTGCATCACAGATTTTTTCAAGAAGAAATATTTATGTGCAATTTGTCATGCAGGGAGACGGTTAGGTTTGTCATGCATGACTGCGATTAGTATTAGTAAGCGAAGGGTCCGATGCTTTTGCAATCCATATCGATTTCTTCGTCGGCATCCTTCACGAATTCCCCCGGGACCTGTTTGCCTGCAAGCGGGCACAGCTGATGGGCCTGATTCTCGGGAAGCCAGAGCTGATTTACGCTGCGAGTTACGTCTTGGAAATGGAACTCCGACAACATCGCAAACTCAAATCCGCGAACAAGGGACAACAGACGAAGTGTGTAGAGGATCTTTAGGCGGTGCTAGGTAGTGGTTGGATCATGCTACAGGTCGTACTCTTTACAGTTGCAAGAACGACTACGAGGACAAGCTGTTCCCTCGCTTTTTTTAGTGTATCCAAGCAGGAGGGGAATAATTGTTCGCTTGAAATAAAACGAGGACTTAGCTACGAATGCGATGATGTTTCACTGCATACAATTCTGAAAATCGAGTTTGGAGGTAGTGCCGTAGCTAAGACCACGGATGGTGCGCAGAACCAACCAGTCGTCGACTATGTAGACGAAACCACTAGTACTGCTCCGGGTAATATGAAGCACTACTTCGGCATGCATGCGTTCTCGCTGGAGCAGATTGGAGATTGGAATCGGTCAGTCGAGTGCGTCAAACGGGTATGCCACGAACAAAATTGTTCTTTTGGAGGACATTTATTGGCTGAGCAGCTAGCGATTACCATCGATCACATTCATATTCATCGCAGTACAGAGTAGCTATCTGCAAAAACTGACGAAGTGGAAGTGATATAACTTCTTGCAGCTGTAAACATAGATAAGCCTAGCAGTTGCTTGCTACCCGTTCTTGGAGGTCTGGGTAGAAGTGACACTGATTCTCATGTGAAAAGTTTAAAGTGTTCGAAGAGCTGCGCTTGCCTCGTACTAGAAGTGGTAAGTTTACGAACCACAGCGACAGGAGCTTAGCACGACGGAGGACTACACGATGTTCATCAAATTGTAAACTTTTTTGTCCGTGGCATAATTCGGAGAGGCGTTTTTCCGCGACGCGCTAGACACCACGTCTGTCGACCCGTGGCTGCTGCATTCGAAAATCCACGCGGCGCACTACAAGGAGGACTGGAGCAGCATCATCACACTGCTGGAAACCGAGCTTCCGGGTAACTACACCACCGAAAACCTGCACATCTTCCTCTACACGCATTTCTGGTGGCATCGTATGCCTGGTTCAACACGTCGTCGGAAATTTTCAACAGTATCATAGCCTGAGTCTAAGACTACTTAAAAAAATCGATGACACAGGACGTCCCATGTTTATTTGCTGCTTTGAATCTGCTTGTTCTGCAAAAATCAAAATGGCGACATTGATACAAGCCCAACTATTTTGTTCGACCTGTAGTACAATAAGAGAATTTCCCGCGTGAATCGGTCATACAAGTCGGCGTGACGTATGCGGAAATAGGCAAGCTGGACGAAACAGAGCGCATTTTGAAAACCCGGGTGTGGGACTGTTTTGGATCGCAGGAAGAAGAAGAAACGGCGGGAAAACCAAGGGCTCAGGCACCGAAAACCGATTTTCGCAAGGACCCTCAAGTCCGTATCGAATTGGAAAAAGGGAAACGAGCCAACGTGATGGTCCTAAAGTTCTTGCAACTAGGTGCTCATCAAGATGAAGACAATTGCATCGGCAAGCTTCAGATCCTTTTTGTTTCTACTGAGCCCATCATCGTCAACTGGGGTATCATCAATCATGCTGTGAGCGTTTTACCTTTTCCGCTCCATAAAATAGCTGAACGCGTTAGGTCTGATGTGGAGGCTGGCACAACGTTTCAGCACCACGAGCGCCGAAAACGCGGCCACTTCCTCAAACGAAGTAAACCTCCTCCGCCGGCGTTTTCAAGAAATTCAAACCGTATTCACCCCCCACCTGGACCCGCTGCTAGATTTGCTGTACATGCGGTTTCTGCCAACCCTCGCGGAGAAACAAGAATTTGTCGCAAAAATGCAAGAACACGCAGTGGACAAACGGCCGGAGTTGCTGGAGGCAGGGAAGCTGTCCGAGATCGTACTCTGGTGCTTGCCTGAAGTGATCGCTGCAATCGCAGAAGTAGAGGGTGAGCAGGGCGGGCGCGAAGCGGCGGAAATTGTACCTCAACTACGTGGAACTGCAGGGGAAGAAGTTGACATTACTGCAGTTCGCGGTCCTACTGATGGTGACCCGCATAGGAAATGCAGCAGTTCTGCCGCTCTACAACTGAATGCCAACCGGGCCGCACTGAAGGCGTTTGATTGGAGCTGTTTGGGGAATAGTTGTATCCTTGGTGAAAGTTGTCCTGATTCTCGTGGTTGTACAAATTGCAATGTGGCATGACAAAAAAAAATCGCTAGCTTTTTAGCATGACCACGCACGGCCAGGGAACTACAGCTTTTGCAAAGCATACGTCGGGAGCAGCGAGCGGTGCTGAAGACCTTACTGGTAGAGGAGTGAATTTGAAATAGAAACGAGAAACGGCGATGGATTTTTCTTCTGCACCTGGGGGTAGAAAATTGCAACGTCGAAATTGATATCGAAAAGGTCCTACTGCTGGTTTCCTCCTAAAGGGGCCGCTAGATATTCTCGCATTTCTGTTCTTTCACGAGAACTCGCAAGGACGATGAATGTTGTCCGACGAGCTAGGTCCTTGCTGTGCAGCAGATTCGATCTACAAGCGGGTTTAGCTGGTCGGTTTAGGTTTGTGAAAAGTTGTGAAAAGATCGTCCGCTGGAGCTGCTGCTCCTTTACATCTGCAAGTCCCGATATCTTCATGCAACTCTTCTGTTGATTCTGTCTATTTGAAGAGGATCAACAAAAAGACACACAACAGGAGCTTGATGTTGATCCGACGCAGTGAGTACAACCGTGGTTCTTTTCCACCCTGCACAGCCCTCTTTTACAGGATCTTTTCTATCGGATTTTGAAGATGATCAGGTTCAGGTTCCTTCTAGAGGAGTAGAAGCGCCTTCCCACATCATCATAACCACGACCTGGCTTTCCCCGTATAAAATTTTTCTCCGCAGAAGTCGTGTTGCACTCTCTGGTTGAGGTTGGCATCAAGCGCATGATCTCGCCACTTTGCTCCTTGAGAACTCTGTAAAAAATGGAAGTTGCGGTCCTCGTGGAATGAAAGCTGATCTCTAACACTAATTGACCACTAGTAGTACACATTTTCTTAGAAAACGGTCGAAAATGGACAAACTTGCGGAGGATGACAATGATCCCTTTGCCGCATTTGCGTTCCAAGAGGAGGAGAACGACGAGGATGCGAAACCACCAGCCGCCGAACAAAACGTCGCCAAAAAACACGCGAAGAAGAGGAAGGTTGATAGTAACCACGCTTCTCCTGCAGCGAGTTTTATTCCAGTTGCAAAGTCAAAAATGCAGAAGCTACCTGCCGCGAGGAGGGAGACATCGAGGGCATCGGGTGCTACAGGACAAGCCACCTCCACTTCTTCATCCACAGCGAAGACGAAGCCGGCCTCTAAAGCAAATACCGTTTCGACGAGTGCGACCACTACCTCCCATGCCCGCCCGACCTCCTCGGCAGCGTCTTCGTCGTCGTATTCGGGTACAACAAGTACAAGAAAACTTACTGGTCGGGGGCGTCCGGACGTTACAGTTAATACACCAGCCCAGCAACCACTACATCAACAGCCTTTTGTGAACACCAAGCAGCGGCAGAACGGGTTCCGCGAGCGGTGGCGAAGCGTGTGCGCTGAGCACTTTCGGGATTCGCAGCCGTGCGACTGCTTTCCCGAGCTGCCGCTGCGGCTGCTGTTCCTTGGCTTAAACCCGTCGGAGGGGTCGTGGGAGTCCGGGGTGTCGTACGGCCACCCCTCGAACCTGTTCTGGAAAATCGTGGTCGAGGCGAAATTGGTATCCACTGTATAAATGCAAATGGGTAGCTAGTTTTTGACCACCGGGTCTGCAAAAATCAATCGACAGTGGAGGACAACTGATGTAGGCTCACTACAAGGCCACGTTAGCAAGGGGCGATTCTCGACCGACCGATATGTCCTGCGCATTGTGCATCAGATCATGTAAGAAAAGCTACGCTGAAATCCATGCTGCCCAGTCAGAGTTTACCGATATGTACAATTGATTTTCCAGACCTGATAATTCTTGACTACGCATTTGATTCGTCCTGCATAACTTGTTCCCCTGACGCTCGAGGAGAAGCAGGAAGTGGATGCTGACTTTTGCACCACACTCGCCCCTATGCATAGCAAATAGGTTGTTGTGTCGTCCTCTGGGTCGATCCAAAATGTCATGTTGCCGGTGTTGTGGTTGACAGAGATTTTAACTACAGATATGGAAACTGGAGGCTGCTGGTCCTGGTGCCACACTACAACATTTTTGTACTCGTAGTTCTCTTTGCCTTTCTGCATGGCAAATTATATTAGCCGCACGACAGCTGTTTTTCATGCATAGCCTGCATCCAGAACAGACTGCCGAGTAACGAAAATTTCCGGATCGGCTGGTCCGATCTCGGCTGCCGGGAGGCCGGATCGGATGCGATTGATATCCCAAGGAAAAGATTGCATCACAAACAGTCTTGGCTTTGCGCTTTTTGCATTAGAAGTTTGTTTGAAGTTGTGCAGTCTGCTTTCGTGTTCGCTCTCTCATTCCACGTGCTATCAGAAATTCCTATTCCGCAGTAGTTGATGTGATGGAATTTTTCCTGTTGACAACAGAATTCAGCGCTCTTTTGCTGCAAGACACCTGGTATCCGGATTTTTGCAGGCGGGGAAAGGTATCAAACAGAAAAAAGCTAAAGCGTATTTATTAGCCGAGAACCTGTCAACATTCGCAAATAAGTATGGAAGTCGAAGTTGTGCCGCATGTCCATGTTCGGGCTCGCATGTTATCCATTCGTGCATTACATCCAGTACAATCACGCTAGCCTTTTTCTAGATGATACAAAGCCCACGTAAATCGGGTTCGAAGCGCGGAAAACATGAGCAGATTTTTCTCCTTCATGCGCCCTGCGAACAACAGAGGTGCTGTCACCAGCAGCTCGAGCACCGGTGGGGAACAAGAACAACCGGAGCGCGGGCAGGAGCACCAGCAGCAGGGTCGAAATGGTCTGAACTCCTCGAAGATCTCCGGGAAACCATCATCTTCATCGTCAAACACTCGCGCCGTGGCACCATCAAACAAGACCCCGGTAGAGGAAGTTGCGACTGCAGCAGCAGCTCCGCACGGGAAGAGGAAAGCTGGCGTGAACCTCCAAAAAGAGGCTTCTTCAGCGGAACAAGACTCCTCGCCAAACAAAGTGGTTCTAGCCGCACGACGAGACCGAGAGGGTGAATCAAATATTAAACCAAGTCGAAACTACGATAAAGACGTGAGTACACCTCCGATCGCACCTCCCGCAGGAAATAGACCCGCGAACAAAACAAGATCGAAGCAGTTGTTCGTCGATATTCAAGATGTGCTGCCGAACGTTTCGTCGAAGGTGAAAAACAGCGATCCTGTTCTTGAAAAAACAACCTTCGAACGCTACTGCGGCCCGGAAATTGTCGCTTTTACCGGTAGAGTATCCGATGCACCAAATAGGTCAACATCTTCTGGGTCGTGTGGAGGAGGGAAGGGGGCGGGGATGTTTCATCTATTTGTGGTTGTAATTTTTCGAATCGAGCTATCAGTACTAGCACAGGTGGACACGACCCGTGCGACACCACAGACTTGTGTAATAAATGGCGACGAAGGAAAAAAAACACGTCGCGTTACGTATCAATACCCATTGCAGGTCGTTTCTGCATTCCCTTTTGCGACCGCTTTCCTCCAGTTCCAAACCCAGATTGATGCGTTTGTACCGGATACACGAAGCAGTTTTTGGATTTGATGCAGGGATTTGACCCGCTGCTGAATCCGAAAAATTTCAAGTACGGCAAGCAAGATCGATTGACGGTGAAAAAGCTACTCAACTGGCCGTTTGATATCACGCGGAAGAATTGATGGCTCGCAGCAAAGAACTTTTTGTCATGCGTAGACGTACAAAAGAGTGAAGATGATGAAAACGAAAGCAAAGCAGTATGAATTAGCTGTGGAGGTGCAGCACGGATAGTTGCCATGATGATTTCAACCTACGCAAGACAGCTGCTCCTACTAACGTTGCATGGTAAATAAAAGCATGCTGTAGTGCCACTTGTCGCGACGTCGATAGCTGACATTCACAAGACGGAAATTTGGGTGCTACCTAGTACCAGTGGCCGCGCGGTGCTGACGCGGGAGGAAAGATATGGACCGTACAAGGAGCTTATCATAGCGAAAATTGCTAGTAGCGGATGTTGATCATGCTCCTCGTGTCGTATCAACAATAGCCAGGACATGAAGAAAATCTATGATGTGATTGATGCGCGCTTCTCACAGGAGTGCGAGTTATCACGCATACGCATGATCAAGGCCGCAAGTGCAACCAGCAAGACCAACTTTCCTCGCGCTTCGCACAAACGAAGCAAAGAAATGGCAAATACGAACGTCAGCTACTAGCTTTTTTCAGTATGATAGTGTTGTGCAAGAGGTTGTTCTACGGGCATGAAAATAAAGCGGTGGTGGAAGGGTAGATTGAAAGAAGGATCATGAATACGCACCACAATTATATTCTCTTCGCGACCAACAAGACCGCCTTATCTGTAGCCTTTGCACGCGAAATCCAAATTGAAACGAAAAAACAAGAAGACAAAGTACCTGATGTTCAACGCAGGTGCTGCCGCGCTAAGTGCGAGCACTGGCGCGATTTATTTGATGGCGATTTTGATTGTTCGTCTTCGTCTCCCGCATTAGCGCCCCTATCCGAAAGATTTGAAGCTTTGATGTCAATTCTGTTCTTCTCTTCTTTCGTTTTTGGATGCTCGCTTAAAGTTATTTCGCGCACTCATGGGCATAGCATTCATCGGTTGATTGACCTTCCTGAAGATCAGGACAGGATACTAAAGTAGTTTTTTTTTTTCTCGGTTCTTCTGCATTCCCTTTCCCCGTGTTGTTACTTTGCCAGTAATCGTAAGTACTCGTCGTGAAAGTGCAACTCGGTATCGTATTCGTTGATTCACGTACAGACCAAATTCGTCCGAGGAAAACAACTTTCGTGTTGCCTTCACAACACAATGCGGGCCGTTAGTCCTAGTAAAAATCGTCGGTTCGTGGCTTTTCAAAGTAGAGGCTTTGTTGTAGTAGCCAGGATGATAGATGAGGTATTTTCATTTTGTCGTCTCGTGTGCCTGCGCCTTTTTTTATGACTCTCAGCATCTCTTCTGCTGACACTTTTTTTGCGATGTCATTTTCCAGCCGATGTATTTCCACGAAAACAGTTTTTTCTATCACCAAAGAATTTGTTTATGTTTTCTGAGCTACGTACTAGCTCTAGCACCTCGGTTCATTACTGAGTATTCATCGTGGCATATAGCACTTCTTCGTTGATAAACAATCGGAGCGTCAATCAATATTAACCACCTCAGGTCCTTTCATTGTCCCTATCAGCCTACGTGCCCTTTTCTTGATCTTGTATCACCTCGTGTAGACATACGTAGTTTCATCTTCACCGTCGTTTCTCTATCTCTTCTAGTACGCCGTGCACTATTTTTAGAATTTCCGTATACCGCCCAGCCACTTTTACCATCAACGTGTAACAAAAATTTTGTTTGTCTCTTTCTAGGAATTCGAGTGGCAAAAGTCCGTCGTTGACAGGATGAACTACCCGGTTTTTGTTTGAGCAAAAGGAAGCTTTATCTCTCAGGTTGTTTTGACGGGGAAAGTCACAGTAGCTGGCTCGTCTCGCGCAGTCGATATTTTTTGTCATCGCATATAAGTACATTTTTTACACTCGGCACCTGTACACAATTTTTGGATAATTTCTGTAAACAAATTTTGGGTTCATTTACGTTTTTGCTGTTGTTCTAGTTTTGAAAAAGTCTTTTTGTCGAACACAAATCACAATTATGTCGGCCTCTTCCATTTTCAATTTGCAGCCGACGGTAGACTACAGTTACCAGCAGTTTAACTTTGTCGACAGCGGCGCGCATCGCCAGCAACTGACCAAGCGCAACAAGCTGCAGAGCGTGGAAGCGCAGAATTTCTCCTCGTGGTCAGCGAAGCTACCTTCGCCCAAGCCTTCCAAAAAACCCGCAGCCGTGACCGGGACTACTACACAAGAAAACGCGAATCATGTTGCGGAAGAAGGAAAGCCTGCACCTACTCCACAGCGAGAACCTGCGCCACAGCATCTTCATCCGCAGGGAACTACAAAAAGCGTCGTCAAAAGTTGTTCCTCCACGTCGACTCAGGAGCTCACGCGCGAATCTTCCGGCACCTCTACCACCGCTGAGGACGAAACGGAGGCCCAATTAAGACAACGAGAAGCCGAGGACAACGCTTACATGCAACACATCCAGAAAACCGGCTACCGGGCGCGGCTCTACTACTTCTGCCTCTACTTCTTCATCGCGGTTCTGGCCAAGGCGCTGCACTCCACGTTTGGCGATGAAAATCAAATATCTCGTCCTCATCTTGCCGGGGCAGGACTTGGAGGAGCACGCGCACGCGGTGCGACCGTTTCGAACCAGATGTCTTCACGCGAGATTTTTTTCCGACTGGCGGCCGCGAGCTTCACGCTGGGGGGCGACTTGCGGAACCGGCTGCAGATCCAGAAAAAGGGCACCGCTGATATGGCTTGCTCAGGTGTTACAATCTCAAATTGGTTACCATAGAATTTGAAACTTGTGTTGCATGATGAGCATGACAGACTCGCAGACCGTTCCACTTTCTGCAATTATACAAATTTCGCCAGATCGTAGTGCGGTTTGGGACTCCGGAACTTGTCATGCGCAGTCCTATGAGAGTTGGCTAGATCATGCATTTCTTGCATCACAGATTTCCAGAGTCTATGGTAACCGATTTGAGATTGTAACGTTTGAGCAGGTCATAGCCGACCGGGATAGCACCTCGTACTTTGGCACTGTGGTGTATTTTATCAACTGTAAAAGTGTCTGGGTCTGGAAGAATCCAACTTGTCATGCTGATTTTGGATTATAAAAAAATCTGTATTGCATGAGCAGCAAAGCGTCTAGGGCCCTTCCGTAGCGTCTAGGGCCCTTCCGCAGCAAAGCGTTCTAGGGACTATGTATGTAGCGTCTAGGGCCCTTCCGTACGGCCGTATGTATGTCCCGCAACGGGGTTCGCCTATGTCGGTCATTTGTATGCGAGGCGATGGGTTACCCGGTCGGCAGAGCCGATCCACACGAACGAACGAATGAGCAGCAAAGAGAGTCTAAGTTTTGCTACACGCAGAGAGCATTTGTCATGCGGTATAGGCATCAGGAAGCCCTCACAAAATCTGTGATGCTAGGGCACGCATCACAGATATCAGGAGTCATGCAAAATGTGCATGACAAAGCTGGCAATCTTCCAGACCCAGACATTTTTACATTTGATATATTTGACGAAGCACGGGAACGGGTTCATGTTTTACCACTTTCTCTATCAAAATGAAAAATCCCCCCACCCCATACTCAAACTAGAAATTTGTGATGCAGATTTGTGGTCACAAATCAGCTTTGTCATGTTAGAAGGGAAAAGATGCGGACTGTAGTGCTGGTTGGCGTGGGAAAGCCTTGCATATGCAGCATGACAGGGGGCAGCTGGAAGTGGGAAACAGCATGACAAATTGCCTGCAAACGAGGCCGCAGCTGCGTCTCTTGGCCTTCTAGCATTACAAGCCGACTTGTGTACTCAAATACGGCATCACAAGTTTCGTTTTCGATATGGGGAGGGGGGATTTTTCCTTTTGATATTCTCTTCACCGCGCTCTGCGGGATCATGGTGATGGAGGAACAGGATTCACCGGAAGTTGCTCTTGAGCAGCTGAACGCGAACGGAGACGAGGAGGGGAACTACAGCCTGTGGTCATTATACGATTTTTGGACGGGAGGTGGCATGATCACGACAGCCGAAAGAACAAGAAGGGCTTCTACGCCTCACGCCTCTAATTGGTTCTTTTTATCATCCTCCCCCGAAGTCGAAGATCATCCTACGACACCACTACTAGCACCCTCCAGTATTTACCTCTTCCTGCGGGACGCCACAGCCCACGCGAGCACCATGGTCTCCGTTCTGGGTTCGATGGTCACGCTGCTGTGGTTATCAAATGTAAAAATGTCTGGTTCTGGAAGAATGCAACTTGTCATGCTAAATCTGAAACAAGCAAGAATCTGTGTTGCATGATTACCAAAAGTCGTCCAGTTTTGACCAAGTCGGGAGGGAGTTTCTCATGCAGGACAGACATGAGAGAGATCGCACAGAATCTGTCATGCTAGGTCCTGCATTCCAGACCTCATGGATCATGGAAAAGCTGCATGACAAATCGCTCATTCTTCCAGACCCAGACATTTTTACATTTGATAGTGGTACTTTTTGGTGTTTCGCAACCCGGAGACGCACCTGAACTACCGGAAAGCGTTATTACAATGAATAATGCCCCCACCCCAGAACGGGGGAGTATTTGTAATGCAAACCCTGCCAAATGGAACATTCGGCCTCTTGCATCTATCAGCATCACAGATTTTCAATCCTGCATAGCAAAAATTTGTATTGCAAAAGATCCCAGCAAGTGCGGCGCTTGTCATGCAAGCGATGCTGTTTACGCCTAGACTCTGCATCAGAAAGATTCAATTATATTTTTTTCGCATGGCGAAAATTTGGTCCGCCTGACTCCATGACCTGGTGGCCGAACCATGTGCGGTAAGGTGCCCTTACAGGTTGTGTAGTGGTTTCGGTCGGTTTAGCATCACAAATTATTGCAACTTTGGGTGGGGGCAGTTTTCATTGTAATAAGTGTCGCTGAAGACCGGAATCGACGCCAAAATGCGGGACATTTGCCAGCACGTGCCGGGACTACTTTTCGGGGTCAGTGAGGTGATCCTGCGGAAAAGAAGCGAGAGGTGCTGGGCCGCGGACGTGGCAGTTACAATACCGGAAGGAGGAAGTAGAACAACCCAGGCCGGACAAAACACGATGAACATGTTCACCAGCAGCTACATCTTCGGCGGAGGAGGTCCTCTGCAATTATGGCCTGCTGGCGAAGCAGCTGGACGGGAGCAAGAGGGGTCATTTACTTTATCTTTTTCCTCCGTTTTCGGTGGTGGCGAAAATGAAATGGGGACGTCAGTGCCAGCCATCAACCTCCTGACCGACACCGTCTCCACACTGCTGCCGTATTTTGCGCTGCAAGCCGCGTTTCAGGTCTACTACTTTTCCTTCATTTTCGTCAATTACAAACTGACCAACTCCTGGCCCTACGCGATTCTCGGATATGTGCACAGCCGGGGCGTAAAAGCGTGGGCGCTGTTTATCAGTTGCTGCTACGTGGCGGCGCTGATTCTCACCGCAGTCGTGGTGCTGGTTTGACGGAAGAACAGAGAAGGATGGTGGGTTATGAAAAGCAGAACTAGGGCTGTGCTGTAAGTTAGTATCGATCATCTTCTAGTTGACCGTAGTCTATCGTATTTTCATCGCACATTTTATACACATACCTACGTCTTTCACTCAGAATTTTGTACCAAAAAGCCTAAGTTCTCGAGGCCCGGTTTTTTGAAAGCAAATCCCGGGGCTTCGTTCATGAATTCTCTTCTCAAAACGAGGATAGCGATAGACGCAAAAATTTTACTTAGTCACATCATGTTGCTAGTTACGTCATTTTTATCAACCTTTTGAAAAGAGAAACAGCATAAAAAAATCTCTCTAGAGGGCTACCGCAGATACGTACCGTGTCCGAGATGGATATAAAAGTAAAACAATGTGCTGTTTCATCAAGTCGCAGAAAAATAACACGTCGTTGTAGTTCTTGCAGAAGTGCTCGTAAAAAAGTAGGATGCTGAAATCGCACCGCAGGGCTTCTTCAAATAACTCGTTTTGAACAAAGCTGCTGAAGTTGCGTACGGAGGAGTAAAAGTCAATGCGCTTAATGTCAACCGAATTTTCACGGTGTGAAGACAATCAACGACGAAGAAACGCGGGCGGTGTGAACACTGGCCATCTTGCATGTCAAGCAGAATCTAGGTGGGATTCAGTGTTTCTTAGTCGCAATCAATCTATGGTGACTATCGTCACAGCCTGTGGGGAAAAATTTAGCGTTCCA